TGACAAAAAATTAAGAGAAAAAAACAATGAAATGCACTAATTGACTAAAATAGCTAAAATTTAGCTGCTAAAATGAATGGTGGCCGTTTTTTTTATTTTCATTGTCTGTCTTTGTTGAAGAATATATGTCATTCACGTAACGTAAGGTAAGTGTGTGTGTGTGAGTGATTGGCATTACCAAAAGTTATAAAAAAATCATTATTTTTGCCTCTTTTTTACGGTCATACACACATACACACACACACACTTACTTGCACCTAAATATGCACACCTTTCTTAACAATCGTTCGTGTTTTACTTTCGTTTCTAATTTTCCAACAAAAATAATGATAATGATAAATGTCACCATTTCATTTTCAGTGATAGTATCTCATTTGTCAGGTAAACACAAACACACACACACACACATAGATTGGAACAATGAAAAAAAAGCTTCATTATATAAGTATCGGGTGAATTATTGACAAAGATAACAAAAAAAAAAATCATATCCAATCGAAAGATTTTTCAGATAAAAATGATATCGATTTTACTACAAATAAACAGAATCATAAATTATCCAAAAAAACCACAAATACGACAGGACACAATGGACCAGGATGTTTTCCCTTGACTTCATACGTTGTTCGACCAGTTTTTTATGAACAACGAAGGGACCACAAATGGTTGATTTCTTTAAACGAGAATTCGATCGTACCAACTCAAACGACCGCATCAGACTGGTTCACCAGCTTGGTTACGAAGCTTAATGGCTGCGGATGATTTTGATTGCTCCTTTGATTGATCGGACAATAGGTATAACCCAGGATCCAAAGGTACCAAGCCATCAGATGGTAGTTTCAAGACTTCACCATGGAAGAGAATACTTGGCGGAACTTTTGTAGAATCATGAGGAACACAATGATAAGCATTCAATATGATACCAAGTTTAGCATCCCAATCAGATGAATGATCTGCGGCTCGAATCATGTTTCGGAAAGTCCTGAAGAATCGTTCAATACAACCATTAGATTGATGTTGATATGCTATGTAGCAACAATTCGACATTTCCTTTTCATAGAAACTTTAAATTATCCAGAAGCTCGGATCACACAGCAATAATGATTTCGGGTTTCCATTTTTCTTCCAAAACCACAAATGATATGCCATTTAAATGAAAATATCGATTTTACTACAAATAAACAGAATCATAAATTATCCAAAAACCACAAAAGACACAGCTGGATTTCAATAGAGCAGGAAAGATTTTTGCTTTTTTCTGATCATTCCATGAATTAGCGTCAGCCACCCTCTCGAATTCTTCCATGAATGTTTCGATTGACTCGGATTCGTCATATCTATTTGGACGCACCAATAGTTCACTTTGGTGGTTATTCATTGAAAAAGTGTTCGTACCCGTTGAATTAGTAGACATACTTCTTGTATTCATACGTGTCGATGATTAACGATATTGAACAATAAAAATACTTTGTAGAAAGTTTCCGATACCACCATGTACAGTAAGCTGGCCGAGTGGGATAACCAAAAGTAACACGAAGGCAAGAATAACGAACAAAGATTTTTATCATCAAATATTTTATTAAACAAAATAATAATCAAAATCACATTGAACAAATACAATCACAAAGTAGTCTTTTCTCTAGTCTCTATTCGAGTATCAAATGCAATGCCTTTTTATACACGAAGCCAACTCGAATATGACTCACGAGTCACAACGTGGATGATCGTTCAAATATCACGTTACAATATCGATTTTACTACAAATAAACAGAATCATAAATTATCCAAAAAAAAAACCACAAATGTGATAGCCAGAATAGAACAACAAACAATCATATATCAAACAATCAGGGCGATAATGATATATATGAGTATGTGTGACGAACATTTTATTGTTCCTGGAACAAATAAAAAAAAAGATCAATTTATAACTCACGCACACACACACACACACCCAATGAACATCATTGATCAAATTGAATTGTATATAAAATAAAGCTAGTCATTTTTTTTCAAATTACACATTTCATCATCATGATCTGTGATCTGTGTCATAATGAAAACAATATGTTTTATATGATTAGATTATTACAATATCTGTGTCAGTGTGTATATGTTTATGACACTAATTTCATCATTTTTAGTTCAGAAAAAAAAACATTACATAATACAAATAATAAAAAACGAAAAACTAATCATCAACATCATCAAAATCAACGGATAAACAAAACACAGAACATTTATGGTTCCAGGAACAAATAATATCCGGCATATATTCATTATATGTGGACAAATTTGACAAAAAAAAGTGATGAAGATGATGATAATAATAATAATTTCTCATCTTTCAAACTCTATGAATAAATTGAAATTGAATATAGTTCCGGAAACAGCAAAAAAAAATGAAACACTAAGTCACCATAACTGATGAGTTAATGTCACCAGTTGTCATACACACACAGACAACAACACACCGGACATGTAATTTCCGGACCTCTGTGTGATAATCATCATATAGCCTACGGTTAATGGAAATTTTGAATGTTTTTTTTTTATTATTCAAAATCAAGAGAAAAAAAAATCAACATAACCGAAACAAATTTGATCATTATTATGTGATAAATGAAAATAAAAATGGGGAGATTTATTCAAAATGGAAAAAAAAGGAAGCGAATCCATTATTGATTTCAATTCACAAATCCCCAGTAATGATCAGAAATTTTTTTTTTATATTTTGCAAATTTTAGTCTTTTTTTTCATTTTACGTGTATTTACTCGATTATCATTTTCATCATCATGAATGAATGAATGAATGATGGACATGAATATATTTGAAAATTTTATTCATTATTTATCATCATTTTCATCATCATGATCGATTTCCATCATCATCATCATCAATAATGATGATGATGATGATTCGAACCAATCAATTGATCTTTGGATCATAGCCATTTCCGGTGGATTATATACGTACAGAAATGTATTATATTTATTATGATCAACAAGATCTATTCATTAGAAAGAACAAAATAAAACAAAAAAAATGTTTGAATTTTTTTTTTCTATTTTAGTTCAAACATCATCATACTGGTCAATGAAAATTATTGATGATGATGATGACGATGATGATAGATAAGAAAGGTAAGATAAGTCTGAATTAAAATGATTGTAACCGGGTATTTTTGATAGATCTTGAAAAGGATCCTTACATAGAAAAAAAACCCAGTAAAAGAAGGAATGGAAAATTGATTAACGATTATCTCGTAGTGGCCAGCCTAAATGATAATGATGACGATGACATCCACATCCATACATCATTTCACATTCAACTACAACAACAACAACAACGATCAATCGGTCAACAATTGAAGATTATATATTATATACGAAAAAAAATAACAATTGAAATTGAGAGAAAACAAAAACAAAACCAAACAAAACAGGAAGCCAAATAAGATGGAACGAATGAGAGAGAAAAAAATGGCTTTTATCCCAAAATGAAACAATAGCTGCTAAATACATATGGGTAAAATCTATGAGGTTTTCACAAATGAAATGAAATGGCCAGTTCTTGTATAATAATAACACACATATCGTTGAATTACATAATCAATTCGTTATGATGATGATGAAATAGAAAAGATATAGATATATTTATTGATAAAATTCATCAAGGGTTAAGTATTAATAGCAAAAAAAGACTTATTCAACTATATCAGCTAAATTGAAATTGAATTTTTTTCTTCTCGTCTTTGATCTCGAGAATAAACAATAACAACAACAAAAGTTCAACTAAATAATATAGGTCGGTTATCATCGAAGAGAAAAAATTGACTAGACAACAAAATCCGATTATCTTTCCCACATTGAATACACACATACACACACACACACAGTACACATATATGAATAAGGATTTTACCTATCATTATCATCATTATTTTCATTTCACCATCATCATTTCAATGATGATGAAACGGAAGAAGAAAAATTGAAAAAAAAATTTAAATTTTCTACTTTCAATTACAATAATAACAACAACCACCACCACCAAGACGACGATAACAGAAAAAAAAACATTGAACAACTTGTATTTGACCGAATTCAATTTCATGTTTCAATTTTTATTCAACGAAAAAAAAAGTTCAATCCATTAAGTTCAGTGTCGTCATCATCATCATTGTTGTTCATGTTCCGTTATATGGATACAAGATATAATAAATTATTGTTACATACCAAATGTATCAACATATACAACATGATGACGACATGTTGACCAATATTATTATTATCATCATTATAATGATGATCATATTGATAAATATTTCATCCAAATGACCAATGGCCACCCAATAATAATCCATATTCATATATATTCATATTATTATTATTATTACCATCATCATAATCATTAATCCAAGTGGTGGAATGAATGAAAAAAAAAGTGATCTGAAAATGAATTTTCCCCAAAACAAAAATGATATTTGAAAATTTCTTTCCAAATATCATTTTTTTGGGCAAAAAAAATGGAAACAATTTTCTTCTTTACAATAATCCTGAATAAATTCTCTTTCTCTCTACATCCATAACTCTCTCTCTCTCTCTCTCTCTCTCTCTCTCTCGCTCTGTGTTCGTCTCTCATTCTCTCCCACTCTTTCATTATCCAGTAAATAATGATAATTTTCATTTTCTCCACGACGACAATATTGTATATCATTATCATCATTATAATGAAAAGTTAATAGTAGCCACTGTTGAAAAATTCGTGATTTCAAGATTTTTTGTTTTCAAGGTTTTTCAATAAACAACAAACAGACAGAAAAAAAACGAAATTTTCTTAAAGGTTTTATATTAACAAATATAATGATGATGATTATTATAATTGTAATTGAATTGCATCAGTTTTTCAACTTCATCATAATCATAATTATTATAATCAATGAATTCATTCAGAATAAAATTCAGAATTTGAATTTGTAGAATTTTCATTCACTTACCTCAATATTTTTTGTATATTCTTCATTCAATTGTTCATTCATACGACTTAATTCTTCATTACGATCTAATAATGCTTTACCTAATTCAGCGGCTAATATTAAATCTTTTTCTTTTTTAGCTAAACGTGATAATAATATATCACTGTTAGTATTGGTAGTGGCAGATGATTGACTAGTATAAATTGAATTCGTATTCATAATTGGATTCATATTTTCATTATTAGTAATAATATTGTTGTTGTTGTTGTTGTTGTTGGTGATAACTATACCATCGTCATCATCATCATTATCATTATCGATATTACGTTGCCGTAATTCATCAATAAAATCATCCAAATTTCCCCCATACATCGATGGAATAGATAATGATGGTGATGATGATGACGATTGAATACTGTGGTGATTATTGATCGTTTTTGTTGTCGATGATGATGATGACAATGATTTTTTAATATCACCATTATCATCATTATCACTGATAATGATTTGATGGCTATTGTTGTTGCTGGTGACATTTGATGATAATTTAGAATGTTGATGTTGATGTTGATGATGATGAATAATGTTGTCATGGAAAATTTCTTTCGTAGACATGACATGTCATGACAAAACAATTACAATTTTAAAGAAAAAATTTGATGAGCAACAAACTAAAAAAAAAATCAAAACTAGATATGGATTGATTCTTTGTAACAAAAAAAAATGAAAAAAAAATCGAATGTTTCAAAACATTCGAATTCACACACACACACACAAACAACGCAGTTGGTTTTTTTTTTTTTTTTTGGATTTCAGGTGAGCTTAATATTGGATTGTCAATCAATCAAAAAAAAATTTTTGATTTTTATTTTTAACTTTTCATGGTGATTCACACACACATACGACTGAAAAAAAAATTATGACGACAATTTCATATCTTTCATCTTCGTGATTAATTGTAATTTCCAGGATATGAATTTTTTTTTCTACAACAACAGCAACAACAACAACAACAAAAATTTTCATTCAATTATTTATCAACATTAAAGCGGGAAAAAAATGACATTGTCATCATGATCGTCATCAGATTGAATATTATCACCAGGAAACGAATATTGAGATAGAGAGAGAGAGAGCAATAAACAAACTTCAAGTGTCAATCACACGTAAATCTAATAGAATGAATGACAATGGTGATCACTTGGATGATAGATAATGACGATGATGTGAATTTCACGATGTAATCAGATTGGAAATTTGATTATTTTTTTTTTTTTAAAAAAGCTGTATTTCACACACATACTCACACACACAGGCAAACAAAAAATAACAAACAAAGAAATTAATTCGATCCAAAATGGAATCACCATGGAGATAACATAATAACAACATACACAAATTTGAATCCAGAATTGATCCAAGTTGGGTGTATACAGGCTGCTGTTGAACAACGCGTTCGAAATTTGAACGTTTTTTTTTTGTTTGATAATACGAAGGCTAGAAATGTTGTTTATCACAAATATATCGGTGTTATATGAATATTGATTGAATTTTTTTTTTTTTTTTTTTTTTGAAAGAGAATGATTATGAAGATGAAGAAAGAGAAAGCGATCGCGATACAGCGATTTTTTTTCAATGATATCAAACGGGTTTATCGATGATTATTAATCGAACGAACAAAAACAAAACAAAACAAAAGGTTGACACAATCACAGCTAAACAGAAAAAAAAAAAGAAAAAAAATTGAGAAAACAAGACAAACACAAAAAAAAGTCAATCACGAATTTGTAAATGGTTTGAGTATAACAGATTTAATGGTGATATATACGAGAGAGAGTTCCATCTCCAACACATAAAACCAGACAAAACCATACACGAGAACAAAGACCTGAATTCCCATAAAGACCAAAGTCATCTGGTCATCTATGGGTGACTATCACTATACTACTTACATTTTGGTTGAATGAACATACATAAATCCAGAAGACATCCGTTTTTTATTTTGGTGGTGGTGGTGACTATTAAAAAAAAAAACACATATTCACATGATGAACCACAACAACGACCAAACAACCGGACGACAGATGGCTGAATGAATGAATGAATGAAATCTGGATTGCATTCGAATTGCAATCACCAAAAAAAAAAGAAAAAGTTTGATGGCCACAGGTTTTTCATTCATTCAAGTTTTTGATATTTTTCTCTTTCTCTCTCTCTGTCTGTCTTTGTCTCTCAATTCACTTCAATCATATCGTCTGTGTGTCGATGTATTGCAATACCTATGATCATCATCATTTTGTTCTACACACACACACCTGTCCAGGTGAGAGACAGAGAGAGAGAGAGAGAGAGAGAAAGAAAGAGAAACCATTTGATATAGTAACGCGTAATGTATTGAAATGGAAAATTACCAATTTTTTTTTGAGAATAATCGATTACAATCGATAGATGTCGTTCATCATATCACAATCATTCATGTTTTTCTATTCATGCATGGTTTTTTTTTGTTGACATTTGATCATCATCATTTATTTAAATTTTTTTCTTTTGTTCAAGAAAAGTAATAAAAATAAAAAAAATAAAATCTAAAAAATGGAATCCGATGAAGCAGTTATCTATAAATTATGGCGTATACGTAAAACCGTCATGCAATTATGCAATGATCGTGGATATCTTGTAACACGTGATGAAAAAGAACAAACATTGGATCAATTTAAAGAACAATATGGTGATAAACCAAGCGAAAATCATCCATCACGTAGTGATTTAATCGTACTGGTTTCACATATGAATGATCCAACTGGTAATCTATTTATAAATTTTTTCTTGAAAATTTAAATTCAATTTTATTAAATTTTCCATCATTCCCCAATTCAGATCAAATGTTTGTATTCTTTCCGGATGAACCAAAAATCGGCATAAAAACGGTCAAAAATTATTGTCAACGTATGCAAGAAGAAAATATAACACGTGCTATGATTGTAGTACAACAAGGAATGACACCATCAGCTAAACAGGCATTAGTGGATATGGCACCAAAATATATTCTTGAACAATTTTTAGAATCTGAATTATTGATCAATATAACTGAACATGAATTAGTACCACAACATATTATATTGAATGTAGAAGAAAAAGCTGAACTATTAGCACGTTATAAATTGAAAGAAAGTCAATTGATGAGAATACAAGCTAGCGATCCGGTTGCACGTTATTATGGATTGAAACGTGGCCAAGTAGTAAAAATCATACGACCATCAGAAACGGCTGGACGTTATATTTCTTATCGGCTAGTTGTATAGAAAAATTAATCATTTGTTTTTTTCATCACAATTTAAAAATCTGAAATCATCATTTCATTTAATCATCATTTTGTCATTTCAATAAAACAAAAAAAAATTTTTTTTTTTGTTGAAATTTTTCTTGCCTTACAAAAATCCTAATTTTCGATTCAAATTACGATAATTTTTCATTGCTTTCATAACACCTTGTGCTACATCTTCAGCCGTTTTTGTTTGGCCATAATAATCGACTAGTTGACCTTCCGGATTAATCAAATAGGTAATAATTGTATGATCAACAATATAATCATTTTCATGATCACGTGGTCCAGCTGAATAATATACACGATATGCACGTGTTGCTTGATTAATCTGTTCTTTATTACCGGTAAGACCGATAAATTTTGGTGAAAATTCGTGGATATATTCACGTACAGCTTGAACATTATCACGTTCTGGATCCACTGTAATAAATACCGGTAGTATTGGATCCGAATGTTTATCCTGTTCAATCAACTCAACGGCTTTAACAATTTTTTCCAATTCATCTGGACATACATCTGGACAATGTGTGAAACCAAAATAAATCATTGCCCAACGGCCTTCCAGATTGGTTGATGAATATGGTTTTCCATTATGATCGATTAGATCAAATCGGCCACCAACAGCTGTTTCACCTAACGCTTTTTTACGTTGTCTTTCCATTTGTTTCAATTTTTCATTTTTCAAATGTATCATGAAACCGGCAAATAATGAAACTAATACACCAGATATGATGAATGCTTTCCAAGTGAAAAATGCACGTTTACTTTCATCACTTTTTCCCGTTGATAACCATAGTATTGTTCCGGAAGAATGATTCGAATGATGATGATTGAATTTAATTCGAACAATCATCGATCGATTGTTTGATGAGAGAGCGGTAAAATTTCTAGTAGATGTAAAAATTTTCATCGATAATCCATGATTTTGATGAATTAATCGCCGAAATAGATGATGGCTTGATCTTAAAATTGTTAGATTCATTTTGTAATCGTATGTAATCGTCTGATATACTTCGATATATGATCACTATCAAACGACCGAAACAACACGCTTATTTGGGTAGTGTCACTGCAGTCGAAATTGTTTTTTTTTCAAAACGATGCATTGATATTGTCAAGTCACGTGGATACCATCACCATCAATCATCAACACGATTTAATGTTCCAAAAAGAATTTATACAACATAAATCATGAATTCCGAAACGAATCGTACCCGTACGGTTTTAGTACAATTTAAAACCGATAACGATGAAACAATTGGTGCACCATTCGATGTTCCTATTGATATTAGTGCAGATAAATTACAATTAATTTGTGATACATTTCAACAGACCGAAGAATCATTTCGACAACCATATTTATTCTTTATACAGGATACTGAAATCAAAACAACACTTGCCGATTGTATTGATCAATTTGATGGTGATCAAATTCAGCTTGAAAAATGTGTAGAAATTGTTTGTGCAGCACAAGCTTTATTTCATGTTGAATCTGTAACACGATGTTCCAGTTCATTGGCTGGCCATTCCGATGCCATTGTATCGGTTGCATTTAGTCCAGATGGTAGTTCATTAGCCACCGGTTCTGGTGATACTACCGTACGATTTTGGGATGTATTGACCGAAACACCATTTCGCCAATGTCAATCACATAAACATTGGGTATTGGCTATTGCATGGTCACCAGATTGTGTACGTCTTGCATCTGCTGATAAAATTGGTGCCATTTATGTTTGGAATACTAAAACCGGTGAACAAATCGGTGGATGTTTACGTGGCCATAAACAATGGATCAATGGATTAGCATGGGAACCATGTCATTCGAATATTGAATGTCGACGTCTAGCAAGTGCATCAAAAGATACATCAATTCGAATCTGGGATGTTATTCTTGGCCAATGTCTTTATACGCTTAGTGGTCATACACAAAGTGTTTCATCAATTAAATGGGGTGGTACTGGACTTATCTACAGTGGATCACATGATCGTACGATTAAAGTTTGGAAAGCTGAAAATGGTATTCTATGTCGTACATTGAGTGGACATGGACATTGGGTCAATACATTGGCATTATCCACTGAATATATCATGAGAATTGGATTTTATGATCCAACTAATCAACAAAAACTGAATGCATCATCATCACAAGAATTACAAGAAAAAATTCAAAAACGTTATGAACAAATACGATTACAGCATGAACGTTTAGTTTCTGGTTCAGATGATTTTACATTATTTCTTTGGAATCCTGAAACAGGAAAAAAACCAATTTGTCGTATGACTGGTCATCAACAATTAATCAATGATGTAAAATTCTCACCAGATGGTCGTCTTATTGCAAGTGCATCATTTGATAAATCAATTAAATTATGGAATGGTTTCACGGGAAAATTTCTAACATCATTACGTGGCCATGTACAAGCTGTTTATCAAATTGCATGGTCAGCTGATAATCGATTATTAGCCAGTGGTAGTGCTGATTCAACATTAAAAATATGGAATATCAAACAAGCTAAATTATTACATGATCTACCTGGTCATTCTGATGAAGTATTTGCATTGGATTGGAGTCCAGATGGTTTGCGTGTTGCAAGCGGTGGTAAAGATCGTATACTAAAAATGTAAGTCATTTTTTTCAATCAACAAAAAAAAAATTCTGTTTGACTAATTATTATTTTATTTATCATCATAATTTTTACTTAGATGGCGAAGATGAAATAAATCAATTTATCAAAGAATTTTCCATTTTTTTTTATATAGATATTGTAATGTATTAAAAAAAATAACTTGTTGAATGTTATTGATGATGAATAAATTATTATCGATTTCAATAATTTGAATGTTCCGGTGCCGATGGTTCTTCCATCATATGATGAGGAAAACTATTTATTGAATTTATATCTGATTCATCTGTAGTCGTGGTATTCGTATTTGTTGTTGTAGTACCCGGCAAAAATGTTATAATTGAACCATTATCATTATCATCAAGCATAGAAGATGCATTATCATCATTATAATCATTTGAACTACTATCATAAGGACGATTTTGATGTTCCGGTCTTTGATTAGGTGTCATACCAAGACCAAATGATTTGAGTCGTACCATTTCAAGTGATAGGCCACAATTATATGATAAACGACATCCATTATGAATGGTGGCACCACAATTTTTACAAATTTTTGCTTTCGAACCAATCGTTATTGATTTAGCACAAGCAACACAAATGTCTGATAATTTTATTGTTTTCGATGTGAAATTATGTTCACCACCCATTTGTTCGAAATAACTTTTGGTCTTCAATTGTGTTTCAAGTTTTCGAACTTCTTTTCTCAATTTTTCAACTGTATAAAAAAAAAAAAATTAAAAGAATTTTTAGACAAATTAAAATTCAAAAACAATATACTAACCATAACTAGTACGTTCATCCAATTCATTAATCATTTCATTTAATCGTACATTTAAAAAATTATTCTTTTCTCGTTCATTTTTCAATTTACGTTCCAATTCTTCAGTCAATGATTTTGTTGATGATTGATTACCATTGATTAATTTTGAACCAAATGAAAATAACATGAATGGTTTTTTCTTCTCCAAACATTTACAATTGGATTGTATAAAATCAATTAGTTTCAATTGTTGTGAAATGGTTTCTTCATGACGATAAATCTCTTCAGATTTTTGTTCCAAATTATTATTCAACAATTGTAAACGTTCATTCAACAGTTCAATATCATTGGCCATTGATTCACATTTTGCTTCCAATTCTAAACGTTCTTTACTTATTTGTGAAATTTTAGTTATATGTCCAGCAGCCTCTTCTTTGATGGCAACCAATTCTTGTTCTCTATTATCAAAAATATCTTGCTGACCATTCATTTCATGTTCCAGTCGTTCAGTTTTAGATTGTTCAATCATTAATTGCCGTTGTAGACGATTATTTTCCATTTTTTCATTTTCCACAATCATTTCTGTTTGTTTTTGTTGTTCAATCAATTTAGCTTGTAATTCTTCCAATTCATTACGTAATGTTTCATTCTTCTTTTTCAATTCCATTAGCTGACTATTCAATACAGAAATAGCATCCGATGATTGTGATTTTTGTTGATGTAAAAGTGTTGGAAATTTTATGTTATATTGATCCAGTTGTTCTTCACAACATTTCAATAGTTTACGATATTTTTCAATCTTGTTCTTTAATTGTTCATTTTCATTATTCGAATGATTCAAATTATTTGTTGTTTTATCCACCAAATAATGTAGATCAGCATTTTTTCGTTTACATGTTTCAACTTCTTTCATCAATGTATCGATTCGTCTGGTTAGTTCACCAGTTTTCGAACGTAATTTTCGTTCATTTTCGGATGATTCCTATACAAGAAATAGAGAAAAAAATCAAAAACCAAAAAAAAGAAGAAGAGAATTAATATAAGATTTTCTTTTAAATTTATTAAATTTAGATGATTATAATTCAAAATATTTTTTTTCAAAAAAAATTGAGAATGGAAAAATTTTCAAATAAACAAACAGAAAAAAGAAATTAGTAACTATCAATAGAAAATTCAATAGAATTAAACTGACTATGACTATATATGCTGCACGGATAAAGAATTATCACATAACTGAATTTAGAAAAAAAAAATTAACTAAAAGAAAAAAAAAGAAAGCCCTCATCTATAAGTAACTAAATAAGATTTAACAAAATTTTGATGACAATCAATCAGCCTTTCCGGATAAATTATCACTTGTAGTGATAAAATGATGATGAAAATTATTGCTACTGGAAATGGATAAATTTCCAACAATCGATAGCTGAAAATAGCCAACCATATTTGATGGTTGATTCGATGATCCGGAAGTAGTGGCAGTAATAGCAGAATTTGAATTTTGTTGATCATCGAAAAAATTATTAGCATTTGCATTCACCTTTAATTTCAGATTGAAGTTATTATTATTTTCATCGACCAAACATTTCAGGTTCTAGAAGTGTAAAAAATAGAAAAAGAAGATGGATATGTTAGAATGAATTTTTATAATACAAAAAAAAAAAACAAAAACAAAATACAAACCACAATTTCGGTGTCTTTTCGCTCAATTTCTTGTTTGTTTTGATCCAATTCAGATCGATATGTTGAAACCATTTCGGAATAACCATTCGAACGTTTCTTTTCATCAACTAATGATTTTTCGTAATCAGTTAATTTCTGTTTAATTTCACTCAATTCGGTACGTAAAATATTACAGATTTCAGTCTTATTTTCCAATTTACGATTAACAGCACGCATATCACGTTCACTAATGATCAATTTTGATTTCAATGTTTGAACATCATCGTTATCATTATCACTGCTACTGTAAAGACCACCATAACCGCTAGTGAAATTTTCATCCATCATTTTACCATGTGGTAATATTATTTCGGCTGTCGATGTTGTTGACGATGTTGATTTGATTGGTGTTGCCATTTCTGCGACTTCTTTTTCAAGCTTTTCATTCTTTTTTCGTAATTCAGAAATTTTCGATTCTTTTTCATCCGATTGCCGTTTTTGCTTATCGATAGCCTTTTCAAGTTCGGTAATTTTCAATTTTTGTTTACGAATTTCTTCATTTCGATCATTACATTCATGTTTTGATTTTCGTAAATCATTTTCAATTGTTTTTCTTTGTGCTTCATTCTGTTCAATACGATTTTCCGATGTTTCTACACGTGTTTTAAGATGTTTATTTTCACGTTCAAGTTCATCGTTTCGTTCTTCCAATCGTTTAATTTCAGCTTTAAATTTTTGTTCTTGTTGTTGATCGATTTTTTCATTTTTTACCGTTTCTTTCGATGATGATGATGATTTAATGGTTTTTTCGATTGATTCATACTTGATGCGCCATGTTTGAATCTCGGATTTATGTTTTTGTATCATTAACATGAATTGTTTTTCATAATGCTTTTTAATACTGTCGATTTTTTCTTCATAAACAGATTTTAATTCTTCCATCAATACCATTGCTTCAGTTTCGATTGAACGACATTCGTTGATACATTTTTGTTTCTGATCCAAATGCATTCGTTCACGATCGGCAAATTCATTTTGAAGACGTTTCATTTCTTCATTCATATCATTTTGTTGTTGTTCAAATTTATTTGCATATTCAATAAGTTCATCCAATTCTTTATTGAATTCTTTGGATAAACGACACGATGATTTTATTGGATGAACCATTTTTAAATTTTATAAAGAAAAAAAATAAAGTTTGAAAATTACAGATTGATTAATTGATTGATTAAAAATGAATGATGATGATCAATCAATGACAATGGCAAATATTCAAATGAAAGTCATTCGAAACTCATTTCAAACTCATTCGAACGAATGTGATATAGAAAATACGTTTCAATTTCAAAATTGTCACTGTCAAAACAAGCAAACAAACAAAAACACACAGTCATTTAAACCACACCATTTGTAACCGAAATATTCAATTTTCGTTACAAACGTTTCTGATTGGTTGATTTAATAAATTTTTTTTGGTCACATTCATCGATGACGTAACATATATAATTTTTAACGCCATTTTTTACCTTTTAGTGTGTGTATATATAAAATATATAAAAAAATCAAAGAATTTTTTTCCCCCATTTAAATAATGATTTTATTCTATATTAAATTTTTTTTATAAATAAAATTCTTGAATTCTGTGAATTTTCCTATGGCCAATGAAATTTTTGTTTAAAAAATTTTGAAAAACTATGGTTCCAAAAGAGAGAGAGAGAGAGAATAATCTGTGTGTATATGCATGTGAACGCTGGTCATCCTCAAGAACATTGAACACAATAGTAGTAGCATAGATTAATGATACAATTTGATTTGAAAGAGTTTGACGTTCATACGTGACGTAGGTATATAATAAGCATCTATTATTCAAATTCATATAAATGGCCAGATCGATCGCACTGCCACCACACACACACACACACTTACATAAAACATACATTTACTACTACTACTACTATTTATTTATACCTGATTTTTATTTCTTTCAATATGTTCAATTGCTACTACTTTTTTTTCTATTAATCATGGCCGCTTTCATCATCAAATGATATATATATATATAAATATGCGAAAAAACCATCCTCTCTCCTCATGTAGTAGTAGCATAAATTAATGAATATATAACCTGTAAATGTATAACATGAACAACGTTTGTAAAATGAAAAACTAAATCTTAACTCATAAACGAAAGACGACGACAACGAGATGAGCGGCTCTCCATCATCCATCACCCTCATCATCATCATCATCATCATCTTCGTTCGTGTGTCGCTTTTTTTCAAGCAAAAAAAAAAAAATTTTCTGTTTATCATCATCATCATCATCACCAACATCGACAACTTTTTTTTTCTAATTTTTTTTTTGTTATATTGGCCCCCATAATCATTATCGTTGTTGTTTGTGTGTGTGTGTGTGTGTTTCTATAACACACTTTGAGCAGTAACAACAACAACAACAACAACAATAACGACGACGACAAAACACCGAAAAAGAAAAAAAAATGATGAAAAAATTTTATTAAATTCGGGTAGTGGTGGTGCTCTATGTGTGTGTGTGTGTATGTGTGTATGTGTGTGATCTTGATTGATTGTGAGTTCCAGAAACAAAATACGAATAAAAAAAAATTTCAAATATTCATCACATCTTTAACAATCTAAACATTTGAAAATAATACAAATGAATAGATAGATGGCTAAATACCGATGCTGGTTGAATTCTTGAATTTTTTTTTTTTTGTCTTGTATCACACATATCTGGACTAATTGTTGTTGTGGTGTGTGAATGGATTTTTCTCGTTTTTTACGATTTAATTGCGTTCCAAATTATATACAACCAGAAAAAAAACAACCATTATTATTATTGTGTGCTATAACTCACAATGTGTACTTCAAGACTGTATATGTAGTGATGGTGCTGGGGTGATGAATGATAATTATCGATATAAATATCAATCATCATTTTTTTTTTTGTTCATTTTCCGGTCATTCATTGATGATCATCGAATGTGTGTGTGTGTGCATGGAAGAATGTATTAATTATCGAAGAATAATTCACTGCTGATATTTCAATTTCAAAATTCTTTATTGTTTTTATATATATCGTATTTATTCGTCAAAGTAAATTTCTAATCAAATCATCAAATGTTTTTATATTAGAATAAAAATTTGAAATTTTTTTTTTAAACTCAATCCAATTCATCATTTTCTTCTATAAATACTACTACTGTTGCTGCTACTACTACTACTACTACTACTTTCATCGATGTTATATTATTCTTCTTAAGGTTTTTTGTCATATATAAATTATTAATTAATTAATTAATTTAACGATGATAATCATGATGATGATTTTGAAAATTTTCTAAATATACAAAATTATGGCCGATAACATTATTATTGATGACATGAACACATTTATGAATGACCCAATCATCATCATCAATCGATTTAAATTATTTGCCCAAAACAACATAACGATCATTGAAGATAATAATAAAAATCGACTACAATCAACAATATGACTCAAACGACATATTTTCTAACCAACGGTAATAGTCTTGAAGATTGTCATACAAATTTTTTCGCTTTGGTATGTATCTGATTGATTTGATTTGTTGTTGATTGATTGATTCATTTATTGTTTGTTTATATAAATAAATTATTAAATAGGCCGATTTATGCGGTATAAAATGGCGACAATTTTCATGTGACAAAAACTTTAATGATCTTAATGATGATCCAATATTATCATCATTTTCAAAATGTATAAATGCCAATCTTTTATGTGTTTGGCGTCGTATACGTAATACAAATTCATCATCATTATCGACAAATACTCAGGATCATCCCCATCAACAACAACAATATCGTGATCTAAATTATTATACAAAAGAATTATGGATATTCTGGTATGGTGATGAACCGGATCTAAAAGATTTGGTTACACCAAATCTTAAAGGTAATTCATTTATTTATTTATTTAATGAAAAAATCCAATGAATACAAAACAATGATTATAATACCTATACAGAAGGTGAACAAGGATCCTGGGAAAGTGGTCTTTCATATGAATGTCGAACATTATTATTCAAAGCATTACATAATCTAATTGAAAGATGTCTACTATCGAAAGGATATTCACGTATTGGCCGTTGGTTTTTTCAGACAAAAAATCGATCACCACCATCATGTTACAAAGAAACAACAAATCAATCATCAACAACAGCAGCTACAGCAAATGATACATCAATGAGTGATATTCTAAAAGAAGGAACACAGATAACATTTCGTTTTAATTTTTTCCTACATGGTGATAGTAATGTTTGTGCAAATGTCGATGTACGACAACATTCATCGATTAGATCAATCACACGTGATGATCTACATATGGCTCAACAGATTCCTGATGGAATGCAAGGTAAACATTGTGTGTGTGCTTGTGTGCATGAATTTGAATAATTTACAAATCTTTTTTTTTATTTAATCAAACAAATAACAGTATTGCTATCTCCATATGGCGTACAAGGCTATCTAACTGGCTATGTATATAAAGATAATGATCAAAATGTTCAGAAATTTTTATCCGATTGGAATAAGATTTATCCATTGCCATCAAATACAAATAATTCATCATCATCATCGAATTCTTCATCAAGTGCTAATAACAGTAACAATAATACAAATAATCAGCAAAAAAGTGCAAAAGATAAATCTACATCATCAAATTCAACATCGGATAATGATCATTTTGGATCAGATTTATCACAAAAAGTAGTCGAAATTATTGTCGATAATTGTCGTTTGAAATATCCGGCAAGTTATGTATTTGTAACGGATGTTGATGCACAAATATTTCGTGCAAAACATTCATTTCAATCTCCAACATCACAGAATTCAAATAGTTGTCCACCACCATCACCGTCGTCGAATATGATGGAAAAAGCAAAAAATCTATTCGAATTGTCCATACAATTACAAAAAGAATCGGATGAACACCTGGAACAGATTAAATTAATAATGACACCATATTATAATCAACAACCAAATGATAGTTATTATTTACGAAAAAATTTCAATCGAATAATGAATATTTGTGATCAACGTGATAGCGATAAGAAAAAGAAACAAAATGTAACAACAACCATGACGGATGACGAAGAAACATTATCATTATTAAGGCGTAATTGTGATTGTCCAAAATGTATGAATCAAAATCGTCGACATTCATCGAAATTATCATCATCAAATTCTACTACATCATCATCCCTATATTGTTCATCATCATCATCATCATCGGGAAAAAATATTGGGAAAGATATGAAAAAATGGTCATCATCAACATCACCATTATTGAAAAATTTATCATCAATAAATTCAACACCATTTCATCATCGTACATCGACAAGAATTGATTTAAATCATCATCAATTTAATCTGCTTACCACACCAGCTGTTTGCAGTAAATCTAATAATAATGAAGAATCATCAAATCATCAGCCCAATAATAATAATAATAATAATAATAGTTCAAGCGGTATTTCTCATCCAACACAATCATTTAAAAATACAGCTGGTAATGTTGGTGGATCAACAACATCAACATGTGATCCATCATCAAATTCATTTGTCCAGCAACAACAACAACAACAAGATCATCATAATCCACAATCAAATCATATGCAAATTGATTTAGTAGCTAATAATCAGATTGATTCAAGGTCACAACAACAACACCCACAGCAAACGCCCATATCACTCCCACCGCCACTTCCAGCTCCTCCAATAGTAAAAGAAGAATCAGCATTGGCCAGTTTAATTGCTGCCAGTACATCAATTTCTAATAATAATCAAATGATTCATTTATCAAGTCCAATAGGAATATCATCATCATCAAAAGATTCAAATAATAATCATAATGTTGATGGTATGAATGAATCGAATAATAATGCTCAAGGTGATAATAATAATAATAACGAAAGAAATGGCCACAATATTAATAAACGAAATAAATGTTCATCATTCTATGATGATGATCTAACATATCGATTACGTACCGGTCTATTATATGATTTTAGTCATGAAAACTTATTGAATGGATGGGATAGTGATGTACCAAGGAAAAATCGTCGTTTTAAATCCAACCATACAATATATCGTGAAACAAATAATCATCAAAAAGATGATCAAAACCATATGAATGGTGGTATTGTTGATGATGATGATCATCATTATTATCATCAAAATAAGATATTTGATCAACAAAATGATGATAAAATATCTGCGGCAAACACCGCTTCGTCTTCTACACCGATGATAAATAGATTATTAAATAGTAGTACGATTAATAGTAATAATACATCGGAAATTCTTCGTTCAAATCTTTCCGGTCCTGGTGGTGGTAATAATGTTATTCCACCACTTATGAATGGTGGAATCGTATCACCATCATCATTGGATCATAATCATAACAATAATTTGAACAACAATACTAATAATGGATCACAATTTTCTTCATTAAAATCAAAATTATCATCAACTGATAGTGAAATGATAAAGAATACAGTGGTCAATTGTCATAGTCTTAATGGTGGTGCTTTTGGTGAAAAATTGGTCGTTAATCATAATGGTAATTTATTCGTTAAAAATGGTGAAATTCTACCAAGTGATTTGGAGTTTTTAAATTCACCATTGGAAGAAGAACAACAGCAGCTACAACAACAACAACAAACAATGAATGCTCAAGCTAATCACAAGAATAATATTAATAATACTACTATGAATTCAATAGATGCGACTGAAACAACAGCGTCCACATCGACATCTAATAATTCAACATCCGTTCTTGGTGTTGCTGAATTGAGTCGAATGTTTCCAACACCACCATCATTGGAAGCAATGGTATCATCACCATCAAGTTCATACGTAACTGAAGTGGCAACAAATAAATCATCGATTAATGATAACAAAAATTGTAATGAACCTGATTCAGATTCAACAATTGTTAACAATAATCATCAGGTTAGCCAAAATATTAATCGAATGGAAACGCAATCATCATCATCATCATCATCAACGACAACAGCAATGATTTCACATTCATCAACATTAACACCATTAAATGATGGTGAATCAAAAGATTCAGCGTTAGTTTATATGCCACCTGTTCAATCCGTATTCATTACATCGGATAAATATGCACCATTAGGTAATGTTGAATGTAAAAATACATTACCACCAAATTTCCATTATAAACATAATGTCCATCATCAACGATCATCCAATTCTCGTAATAATCATCACCATCATCATCATCAGGCAACACCACATCATCATCATAATCATTATCAACAACCAATGGCACATCACCCTCATCATCATCCAAATATGAGAAGCTTTTCTCCTAGCATGTCACCATTTTCTGGTGGTCATCCATTGCAACAGCAGCAACAACAATCTTTCCTAAAATCGAATCAAAAATTTCCTCCGAATTATCCAATGCAACATCAACAACAACAACATAATATAAATAGCCCAAAAATTGGACAACCATTTCCAAATACAATGATTCGTGGTCCTCGTGGTCCATCGAATTTTCCAATATCACCAATGACACCAGGTCCACCAACATTGCCATCTCATTCAATGCATCCATCTCATCCAAGATTACGTCAACAAATTAGTCCTGTTCCTAGCGGTGGTGGTGGTGGCGGTAGTCATAGTCCATATGCATTAATGGATGGCAATATGAATTCACCTGGATCAATGATTGATAATCGTCGGTCCCCTTTTATGTTTACACAACAACAACCTCCATCATCTATGATGATGGCTAAAAATCCAATGATGATGAGTCCATATGGTGGACCACATCCATCACATATTCATCATATGGCTAATGATGGTCATCATATGGGGTCAATGACAATGGAATGTAATTCATTGATGCTTAACTTGTTGCTATCGGATTCTATGTTCAACTTGTTCCGTGATCATAATTTTGAAAGCTGTTCGATTTGTGTCTGTAACATGAATATCAAAGGTAATGATTTCGGTACATATCTACCTGAACATCTTACCCAAAGAGATCATATGCAACAACAACAACAACAAAATTCCGATCAATACTATCAAACATGTACCTGTGGTTTTAGTGCCATTTCTAATCGTCATCTTAGTTATTTTGCTGGTTTATTCTATGAAGATGAGGTTGAAATTACCGGTGTATATTATGATCCTATTGAAGCAAATAAAGAGAATCTATTAATGTTACCAGATACGCAAAAAGATTCTACGAATCAACAGCTTGAAGCATTTATCGATAAAGACTTGATGAAAAGTCTAGCCACCGTTAATGATGATCAATTTATTAAACTTTTATTAAATCAATCGACAACGATATTTCCATCGGCATCAACATTAGCTAATCTTATGTACTGTGATCGTCGTCGCCAATATTGGCATTCGACATTTAACATGAAAAACAACAACAAATCTAATCAAATGGAAAAGCTTCGAAATCCATTACGATTAATGTATGAAGATTTTTCAGCAATCATACAAATGTCTCTGCAAATAACTAGATCCGATCATTCATCAGGATCTAATACACCAACAGGTAAATTATTTCAACATGGCGGATGGTCTAATGGTTGTCATACACCAACGCCCACACATATTGGTGGTCATCCACATCATCCAGGTTCATCATCGAATCGTCAATCTCTTTTACATGATTGGCAATTTAGAAAATCTAATTATCCAGTTAATAATCATGAAGTGATGCTTACATTGAAAACATTACAGCCATTAATGCAAGAATCTGTACAACGTAAAGGATCATTGAATGAAGTGACATATAATACGGTTAAAGGACCATTAACTTGGAGACAATTTCATCGATTAGCAGGTCGTGGAACCGAATGTCAATGTGAACCACAGCCTATACCATCTTTATTGGTTGGATATGATCGAGAATGTGTTGCATTAAGTCCATTTGGATTAAAATTTTGGGAGAAATTATCATTGGAACCATTTGCTATTACACGTGATGTTTACTATGTAGTCATTACACCAGCTGATATGGAATCACAACTTTCAACCATAAGAAATTTTTTCAAAGAATTATCCGCTACATATGAAATTCTTCGTCTTGGACGACATACTCCATTGGGAAAATTATCCACCGATTCTGGTATCTATGTCGTTAGTAACAGTGGTAATGGACAGGGAAAATTTAATAATAATAATAATGATTATCAACATTCAATGGATGATTGGTTTCAACAATTGGGCGATAGTAATCTTGCGCAGAAAATTCGTTCATTTGCACATGCATTATATGAACTATTACCATCATTCACACCATCATCTGTTGGTGATCGTTCAATGAAATTGGAAAAATCTTCAAATTCACATTCAACAACAATAGGTCAACAACAACAGCATCAGCATGAAATGTCATCATCATCATCATCCAATAATAATAATAATAATAATGGAAATTCAAATAATCATCATGTCACAATGAATGGTACATCTTCTTCATATACATCATCAAATACAACGACATCATCAGCATCGTTATTATCTTCATCAACTTCATCGGCAACTTCATTCAATGCCAATAATAATAATAATAATAATCCTCAACAACAACAACAAAAATCATTAAATAACGGTATGAATAATAATGGTCAGCAGCAAACACAACCAGATGGTAATGTCAATCCCAATAATAATAATGGCAATCAAATTCTAAATGATTTAGATACATCACATGGATCATTAAATCAAGAACAAAATCATTCAAGTTCATCATCGAATGCATTTCAACCATATGATGAAGAAGAAGATCCACATAAATATCCATCAGTAATGATCTATGTATTGGAATCATTCTCACCATTAGGTAAAGAAATGGCACGATTTGGTTCGATTGGTCTATTGAAAACATTTGCAATGTTGAAAAAATATTTTCCCGAACAAATGCGTAATAATGTACATGTGCAAATGTTATCGATTGATTCGGTTTGTTCAAACGATAAAGATTTTCGTGATTATTCACGTCTTTCACAATTGAAAGAATTGGCATTTGCTGTGTATGGCCAATGTAAACAACAATTGGTCGTACAATCGAATATTAAAAGTTTAACCGGTTTAGGACCAGCAGCATCGTTTGAATTATTTTTGAAGAATAAAACATCAGGTTTCAATCGAACCGAATTATTTACAACACCTTATATTCTGGCATCATTAAAAGATAAACAAACCGAACTTACCGAAACATTTGGAGATAGACGAGAAAAATCACAGATTCTTTATTGTAGTTATTGTTTAACGGAAGATAAAAAATGGCTTATTGCATCATGTACAAATGATCGTGGTGATATTTTACATACAAAAGTTATCAATATCACTATACCGAATCGTATGAGACGAAGAAAAGCATCTATACGTAGATTTGGATTAGATAAATTGATGAAATTCATGCAAACCGTAATGGCCGAATCAGTAATGCCATGGCGTCTAATAATTGGTCGTGTTGGACGTATTGGTCATGGTGAATTGAAAGATTGGACATTTTTATTAAGTAAAAAATCATTGCTTAAATATAGTCGACAATTACGTGAAATGTGTGATCAATGTCGATATGTTGGACCAAATGATCAGCCAGCCATTTATTCGGCATGTTTAATATCATTAGAGGCTGATACGGCATTGCGTGTGTTTCCAAATTATTATACACCGGATGAACGATTTAGTAGTTCGTGCAATACATGTGGTCTTTCAACGCCTGAAGATGCATCGTGTACACATATTTTGGTGTTTCCAACATCGGCTACAACACAATCATCACATACAAATTTCAATCTAAATGATGAATTTTTCAGTAATTTAGATGATAATAATCTTGAATCGGATATACCGGTTGAAGATGATTTTCTTGATTTTTGGGCCGACGATTTATTATTACAACACCGTGAACCGGATAGCCCAAGTAATCGACAAATGTTTGATACATCCAATTCATTAAAGGTATTTTTTTTTTGTTTGTGAAAGGAATTTTGTATTTATATTTGTATTAAATTATTTTTTTTTTTTTTGTTCACACAGAATTCTAGCCTTATGGACGTTGATCAAGATGAACCTACACAATTATTACAACAACCATTGGCATTAGCATTTTATGTTTCAACTGCTCGTACTGGACCATTACCACGTTGGTTTTGGGCACATTGTCCTCATTTGGAGAATACATGTCCTGTTTTCCTAAAGGTTTGTTTTTTTTTTGTTCAGTCAAAAATTTATCCCTGCTAATAAACGATATTTTTTAATCCAATAAATAGTCCGCTCTATTGATTCATACACCATCAGTACAACAAAATACCGATGATCTTTTACAATCAAATAATCGTGATGGACATTCACTTGATTCAAATCTTACTACTGATGTTTTAAGGTATGTCTTCGATTGATTTTTTTCTCATTTCTCATTGCTAATCGTAATATTTTTTTCTGTTTAAAAAAAATTAGATATTCACTTGAAGGCTATAATGCATTATCATGGCTTATACTTGATCCATTAACCAATGATAGATTATCATGTCTACCGTTACATATACAGGTATTGATGCAACTTTATCATACAATACAGACACTGGTCCAATAATAATGAATTTAATGTGGAAAAAAAGTCATCAAAATTGTTATTGTTGTTGTTTCTGTTGTTACAGATATTCAATTCATAATTATACACAATTTGAAAACAATCAATGTACAAATGTCCTTATGGTAATAATCGATGAATCACAAACAAACAAACAAACAAAAATTGTACAAATGTTTCCATACCAACACAATCGTCGATTTATTATTTTAGGTACATATTATTATTATGTTTTAAAAAAAATTTTCTTTCAAAATTCAAATTGAGATTTGAAATGACGAAACATTTTATTATTATTATTATTATCATTATTGCTGTTCCAAAACAAAAACAAAAACAATTGTAAATAGCCCCAATCAATTGATGATCATGTCAACAATCACCACCACCACCATTTACATAATAAGAGACGATACATATATATAATTTTTATTATTTATTCGTTCACACATCATATACGATCAAAATATTGATGATGTGAAACAAAAAAAAAAAAATATTTGCATATTCATCTCATCTCAATCAATCACTCAATCATTGATTTGCTTAATTATATTATTATTATTATTACATTATTTAATTTTCCAGTTTTTCTTCTTTCTTTTTCTTTCGATAATTATTATTATAAATTATTCACAAAAAATATTCATGATTCATTCATTCATTCCATTTTTTTTTTTGCTTAATACATTATTCTTATTACATTATCATCTCAGAAAAAAAATGATGATGATGATGATGATAATTACAAATAAAATGTTACTATATCAAATGCAATGGCATTATATTTGCCAAAAAAAAAAAAATTCAATAAAAACAATGAAATAATAATGATAATAATTCATTTTATATAAAACATTTTCGAATTCGTTGACCATATCGTTCATGAAGATCGGCAAATGTTAATTGTTCTTGAACATGATCATCTGGCCGTTCATCAAATGGATTGAAACGTTGTTGTTGTTGTGTGGAATCTGATCTTGATAGAATTGGACTTGAAGTGGATTTTGAATGATCACTATCGTTAGTTGCTGTTGTTTTGTTGTCATCCTGATTCAATTCACTAAGTCTATGTTCAAGTTCAGATACGACCATTTTAAGATAATCATATGATGCACAGCTCAAAGCTTTAATCCATTGTTCCATATCCGAATGATTATCGGTGGCCAATATATATGATTTCAATGGTTTTCCAGTAATACGGCTAATACCGAAATCAATTTTAAATGGAAATCTATCATCGGCTAGACTTTCGATTATTTCGACACGATAACCATCCAATATAATTAGACCGGTAGGTTCACGATCATTACGTTGATTATAATAGAACAGAAGATTTTCTTTCAATACAAACCATTTCTTTTGAAATGTTTTCTTTTCATCATTCCATTGTTGTAGCCAACCACATTGATCAATAGGATTTTGATCATTCGATTGAGCAATATGTATGAGACAACGATCATTTAATTTCATTTTCATTATTATTGAATCTTATTCATGGATGGATTATCATGGATTATCATGGCTAATTTCGGTTTCGTAAATCCATTCATTCAACACATACACAATGAAATGAATCCCGAATTTTGTGATCAAATCAAATCAAATCAAATGTTGTTGGTTTAAACTTTAAAGCTTGAGCATCATAAACATTTTTCTTATTAATATTAATCATCATGATGATCAGTCAATAGATGGCATGATTTCTGGATAGTTCGGTAATGGAAAAACCAAGACGTACAAAATGTATATATTAAGATTAACTCTCATTAACATCATCAAACAGAACAAAAAACTACTGAATAGACCATGTCATTAATCATCATATATTATATCATCATTATTATTTTCCGAATTAAATTATAAATTAAAATATTCATTCAGAACATGTTGAATTTTTGTTTTGTTTTGTTTTGTTTTCTTCATGAAAAGTATATGAAATTGAATGATTCTCGAGTGTTTAAAAAAAAAAACAATCGAAACGCTGTACAAATATAAATATTGTTGTTGACTAAAACCAAAAGTGCAGAATTTTGTTGTTGTTGTTGTTTTTTCATAACACATAAAATTAGCAGAAAAAAAAGGAGAAAACAAATACATAACGAAAATTTTTAAATAAAAAATAAAAACTACAAATGATCAATTTTTTCTTTTTTTTTTTTTTGTTTTGTAAACAAACACACAGAATCTCAATAACAACGATGAATAAAAAAAAAGAAACAGACCGATTAACAAACAAACAAATAAACAAACAAAAAAAAAGTGATATATTCCTATCATAAATGAGGGCCGGGTTAAAATGGTGTGTTTTGTATGTATGTATGTGGGTGTGTATGTAAGTACTGCACATTTTCAATTATAATAATTCTATAATAATTAAATAATTATTCTTAGTTGTAATTATTATTATTATTGTATAAAGATGTGAAATGAAAGAATTACAGGACACAAAAAAAGAGCATATGAAAGAAACAAGGAATCAATCACTTGTGGTTGGTCGTCGAATATGATTATTATTCATTATCATCATCATCATCATCATTATCATTATTTTCAGTTTCAAAATTCGTTTCAATAATATTCTTTCTGCATCTGTGCTAAACGGTCACAGGATGGTGTTTTCAATGCTTGCGCTTTTGATTCCATTGTAGTATCACGTAAAAATCGAGCTCGATAAATTAGATTCTCTTCTACAAATAGATAATTTTTTAAAAAAATGTGAACCTTTATTATGATATCAAAAAAAATACTTACTATAATTTCTTTCTTTAAAACAGGATGTTTGTAGATTCGAAATATAACTTTCTTCCACATGTCTTTCAATCTGTGATAGGCTATCTCTGTAATCACGTTCAAAATTTTCTTTAACAAAATAGGGCACTTCTAGATTCTCGGTGAATCGTTGATATGGATATTTGCTATATTATTATAATGATAAAATGGCAAAAGTTAAAAGAATTTCCATTAATTAATCAATCAATCAATACATACTGTGATCGTTGTAGACTATAAGGATTATCTGGAACAAGATTACTTAATAATGAGATACAAATGAAAAATAATATGGGCAATATTTGTAATAGAACCGTATAACCAGCCGTTGCTTGTGATTCATGTTGACGATTTGTCCGTTGTTGTTGATGATGATGTGAATGATGTTGATTCCAACCACCATTACCATTTCTATAGACATAAACATTACCGGTAGGAAAACCACCACCAAAAAACATATTGAATATTTCATCAGCATTGAAATCTTCAAAACCACGTGAATAATCATAGCCACGTCTACGTGATGAACTAAATGATGGATAATCGGAATCATCTATTGTACCAATTTGATCATATTTACGTCGTTTGTCTGGATCACTTAAAACGGCAAATGCATTACCAATAGCTTTAAATGCTTCGGCAGCACCAGGTTCTTTATTCTTATCTGGATGAAATTGTAATGCTAATTTACGATATTGTGTTTTTATCTCTTTTTCCGTTGCCTGTTTCGAAACGCTTAATATTTCATAATAATCTTTACAATTTCGTATATAATCAACCGATTTTGGCTGATCATTTGTTGTCGTCGATGACGATGATGATGATTGGTTTTGTTGTTCATTATCCATATTATTATTTGTTGATGATTCTGAATTTTTCCGTTGATGATTATTAGTACTATTACTTGAATCATCAAATGTAGGATTATGGCGACTTTCGGCCAATAATTTTGCTTTGTTTAGTAAATCTATTGAAAAAATGATAGAAATTAAATACCTTGATTGATTAAACATTACTTTCACTTACTTTTTGTTACCTCAGTCGAATATAATTGATCAGCTTTTTGAGCAAATTTTACCGCTTTATTAAAATCTTTTCTTGATAATGCCTGTTCGGCTATAGCCATACATCGTTTACTTTCGTCTTTATTTCCTTCCATTTAATCGATCAGAATAGAAGATTATTATATATATTCACTCAATAAAATTGAATTAATTTTTGTCTGTTTTTTTACGTTTCGGCACTTGTTTTTGCTGTAAAATATTCTCGATATTCGTTTCGATTACAAGATTTTGATGATGATGATGATGAAGAAATGTCGTTGTTATTAAATGATGAATTTTTTTGGTGATTCAATTCAATGATGATGATGATGATGATGATCCAATAAATATTTTTACTCAAATAATCATCTGAATATTTTCTTGAGTCTGTTGTGTGTGTGTGTTTGTATTATTAAATAGTTAAATTAAAATAAAAAATATGATGATAAAACAAACAGCAAATATTGGTAACCACGGCCAAACTAAAATTATCATATACTCATCTCATATGAAAAAAAAAATGAATAGGCATTACGTATGCTTTAATTATGCCCACTTCTACACAACCACATATATTAATTTCATTATTATATGCTACTACCATTCGAAAATGTCTACGGCAATCATTCATTTCCAATGTATAAATCGATTATGTTCCAATTCATAATGTACGCATTCATAATGATATTTTTTTTTGTTGTATGCCGATAGATGTCGGTAATCATTTGGATCACATGTTTTTTTTTTGAATTGAATTGAAATTATCGGATTATTTTTTTGTTCGGGATAATTAATCATGATTTTCCGTAATAACCGATTTCCGTTACAAAAGATGATCAGATTGGCATCATCATCATCAAGTACAACACCAAGTATGTAATTCGATGTACTGATTTTGGATTGGATTTATCAATTAAATTTTTTTTTTTTTTTTTTGATAGATATCAAACGATTTTACAAAAATGTCCACATCCTTAAAGCCGATAATCATGAACCACGTTACGAAATTATTTTGGATAAACGAAAATTAAAAACACCTAAAGGCAATGTATTCTTTGTACAAAATGAACCATTAGCATCGATGATTGCAGCCGAATGGGATTCACAGAAAGATAAAATTGTTCCATCAAGTATCCATTTAACAACATTGGCCAACACTGTTATCGATAATCCGGGTGGTCATACAATCGATTCATATGTTGAAAAATTAATATCCTATCTTGAATTCGATACCGTTTGTTATCGTAATTCATTACCAACTGAATTAAATGAATTACAAACCACTCGTTTGGATCCAATTGTTCAATGGTTTGCCGATCAATTTAAATGCAGTATGCCTGTTACCAATGATGTTGTATTGCCAGATATTGATCCACATACATTGGATATTATACGAAAATATTTACGTTCATTCAATCAATGGTCAATAGTTGGCATAATGTTTGCAACGGAAAATCTTAAATCATTAATATTAACATGTGCATTGATTGCACGTCAAATATCCATAGAACAGGCTGTATCATTATCACGTATTGAAGAAACATTTCAAACATCACGTTGGACATCGGTTGAATATCATCATGATATCGAACAATATAATATACAATCACGTGTAGCGGCTGCTATTGTATTTATTTTATTGAATTTTGAAAAAAATTATATTTATCACAAAAATTGATTGATATTCAAAATTTTTCATATTAATTAGTAATAATGATGATTTGACTTTTAAAAATAATCATCATCAATAGCAATATATATAAAGATGTGGGTGGTGTTGTGGTGGTGGTAATTATTAGATTTTTCTGTTTGTGTACACAAATTGTATAATATATAATATATATAATAAGATTATATAAAAAAAAATTCATCAAGATTACTAGATTGTATTTCAGTTTTTTTTTAAAGTGTTAAGTTTTCATTAATTATAGAAATACTTTTTTTTTCTTCTTATAAGTTATATATTTGCATTAGCAGTATGTGTGATGTGTGTATAAATGATGACTGAATGATGATAATATAAAAAAAATGCAATGCAGTGAAGTATGACTTGGCAAATTGACAGGGGCATAATAATGAATAATGAATAATTAGTAGTTGGTTGATTGGTCAGTTTGTCATTATTTGTTTTTTTTGGATATGATTTTTTTCATCAGGAAATAATAGCTAAACTTTTCCTTTGAAACAATGTTACACTGTTTTGACTTGACCATTTTCGTAAATCTTTTCTTAGATTTATAAATTGTGAATGTTGATTATCAACAGCCGATAGCCTTGATAATGCTTCCAATTTAAATGCACGTTGTTCAGTTAATTGTTCAGCTAATTGTGTAGCTGGATTTGAAAGGAGATCGTTTTTTTCCGCTAATTCACGTAATTCAAAATAATATTTTGCATAAACACTTGATGGAACATTTATGTTGAATTGTATCATTTCAAGAAATCGACGTTCCAATTCATTCCTGTTGATTAAAGAAATTAAAATGTAACATCAAATAATAATAAGAGATAAAACACAAACATACATATCATCAATAGAACTATCACGAAGTATTTGACAATAATCTACATTCCATACAGCTTGATCATCCCATACTTTTGATGCAAGTAATATTGCACCTAAAACAATACGACGCCATGTACATGGTACAATATCAATTTCAGCATATGTAAGTAATCGTTCCAGATAAACAAGTGTTATAATGGCACATTCAGATGATAATTGAGCTGCATTAAATAATGTACGTATAAAACGATATATCGTACGAAAATCAGGTTCAACCGGTATATTGCTATTGTTTGATAGATTCTAGATTTCATATTGAATTGTTAAAAATTTTTGAATCAATGATTATTACTCACCTCTAATGGATAGATTTTCTCATCAAATATATCGAGAACAACTTCAGATGAACGATTATGTATATGATAATAGATAGCCATCGAAACACATTTAATCATATTCTTTAGATTCGGATGGCTAACCGTACTATCATCAATAAAAATTGTTGAACATGAACTATATTTTTTCAACGTATTTCGATATTCATACTATTCATAATGTTTCGAATAATATTATCAGTATCAGTATTATCCAATTATAAATAAATCACATTTTACTTACATAATTTGGTGTGTTTTTCCGATGATAATCTGATTGGAAAAAATGAATCCAATGAATAAATGGAATTATCGAAAATTAAACAATATATACTTACTTCTCGATGTTGATGATTGTTGTGAATGTAATGGCGCTTGTATTGATTGTTGTTGTTGTTGTGTTGTTGATGATGATGATTGTTGTTGTTGTTGTGTGATGATGATGATTATTATTATGATTAATATTATTATTGGTAAATGTAGCTGAACGTTGTACAAATAACGGACCAGCCGTTGGATTTGTGGATGGATCATGATTTGTTTCAGGTAATTCACGTTCACTAATATGTTGCAGACTAAGTATTGTTTCATCATATTTAATTTCAGCATTATTCAATGTTGTCTGTGAACTTTCTTTTCGTCTTCGACGTGATAGCCGTCGTCGTCGATGTTTGAATAAACTTTCTCCATGTGTTTTACAGCATGAAAAACGATTACCCATTTTTTACTCGGAAATTTTTTCTTTACAAATCTTCTTGTATAACGTTTGAATATTTGTTACAATTTCGCTTTCTTATTCTTGTTTTTTTGTATCGAGATCAACAATTCCGATGAACATTTGGATGGATGGACTTGTCATAATAATTTCTGAATGGCAAAAAATATTTTCAAAGAATTTGATAACGACAATGTCGTTATTATGGCATTTGTTTTGATCAAAATATTGTCGAATTCATTGGTAATCATTATTGTTGTCATAGCCTTCATAATCATTATGATCATGATCAACAACACACGCAAACACAATCTAAATTTGTAGTGGAAAAAAAAACAAAACAAAAAAAAATTGATGTCAAATTACTATAGTTTGCACACTCACCTACACACAATAACCAACAAACAAACAAACCAAACCGATCGGAACGAGTCAAAAACAGAAATAGAAGAAAAAAAAAGACGCTCTGGTTTCAATCGTGTTGATACCTTAGTGACCAGATCTTCTCAGTATTTTTTTTTTTTTTTTTTTGGCGTTGATGAAACAAGATATACAACGAGAAAACAAATCAAATAACAATGTATATGTGCATGTGTTCCAAAGGTTTTATGGTTTTTTTTTGTTTTGCTGGTAATTATCGTCATCACAAAACAAGCACATACACACACACACGCACAAATGATGATGTTATGACGATAATTGGGCTATGAAACGCCCCAATTACTTGAATTTTTTTTCTCAGATAATTTTCAGGTGATTTGATTACAACAACAACAACAATAAAATAATTCCTTTGTAATTCCAAAATGGCCAACGGGATGATGATTATTAAATTGAATTGACAAAAATGATAATCCAACAATAATAACAAAGAGTCAATGATTTAGCCGTCTGTTCGAATAGGCCGAAATATCAGGTAACAAAAAAAAAATAACCGAAAATCCATATCATTCACCCACACACACACATCATACACACAAATATTGCAACAAAAGATTCGATTTAATTCTAATCGATTGTAAATAGATGGCGCTTATCTGATCTAAACATGTGATTATTATTATTTTTTTTTTTGTTGTTATTTCGGGTCATTCGAAATTCTTGATTTCAAATATTTTTTAAAAAAAGAAAAGAAAAATGTTAATTCGTACAAATTATTTATCATCATTGATTATACGGAATATTCGTCATTCGTATTGTAGAAATTTATCTAATCAAATTGATAATAAACTAGATTGTGTACAGCAAAAATCTGATGCAGAAATAATAACAAAAATGAGAAAAATAACAGTCCATCATCATCGGATACCAATACGAAGATTGAATCATCATCAACAACGGACGATCATTTCGATATATCATTAATACCACAAGCAGCAAAAGATAATTTTGTTATTCAATTCAACAAACATGTACCTACATATGATCAATTATTTGAATATCATATTGATAAAAAATTATACAATCTTAATCGTTATATTAGTGAATCAAGATTCTTATCCGTTGATTTTAAAATAAAAATGCAAAAAAAATATGATCTTTCTATGGCAGAATTTAAACATGGATTGCGTAATAAAATCGATCGTATCGAAACAAAACAACAAACTTATTCGGCTAGACGACATGGTATATTGGGTCCAGATTTAGCAACAGCACATTTTATATTATCACGTGGTGGTCGTGTTCGATTCCGTCATGAACCACATAGATGGGTGACTAGTCTGAAAGAAATTCCACCAACATTTGATAAAAAATATCGTCTCATTTCTGTGGACGGTTCTGAATTGGCACTAATATTCGAAGGTTTAGATAATTTAATTCTATTGAATGAACTTGAAGAATTAAATCTTGCCAATAATCGTCTAGATGATTGGTGTTGTGATAAATTGGCACGGTTATTTCGTAATTCAAAAACACTTAGTTATCTGAATATAAATGATAATAAATGGATTTCACATCGTGGCATAGAAGCGTTGTATAAAATTCCATCATTAAAAACATTGGTCATACGTCGTACAAAAGCGGCTGAATTTCCATTCATCGATCTAGTTATTTTAATGTTTAATGATATAAATCCTAATTGTAATATTATTTATAAATAACAAAATTTCAATTAAAATTTCATTTGTTAATTTGTGGATATTTAATAAAATTAAACCAACAGACAGCAAAACGAAAACCACCAGTACGACCTAATCCAGTTTGTTCATCATTTGCAAACATTTCCGTTTTAGCTGCTTCGATTGATAATCTAGAACAAAAGAAAAATAATTTTTATCATTTTCACCATATTCAGTTGTTGAATGAAAATTAAGATTTCAAAACTTACTCGATAACTTCAATTGATTCATCATCGATACCACCGCCAGAATTGACACGCATTGAATCACTTGAAAAGTAAATTTTTCGATTAAAATTTCAAACAAAAAATTTAAACATTTACTTACTCAACTTGACAATAGAATAGATGTTGTAATGATCCAGATGAACCGACACCTGTTCGACATGATGTAATCAATTCTAAAGCATCAATTGGTGGATTATATCCTGTTTCTTCCAGTACTTCTTCATGTGCAATTTCCCTGGGACTTAGACCATCTTTATCAATAATACCAGCACATAATTCTATTGTATAGCCACAATCATGTTTCATTTCTTTGGATTTTCGTTGCAATTCTTTTAAATCCGATATTGAACAATTGAATTTATTAAACAATGTTGCAAGAAATACCGGTGGTCGAAATTGTCTTACAAATACCAATACATTGCGACTTTTATTGTAGATAAGAATGGCAACACTATCATGTGTCCGTACACAATCCCAAACTTTTATCCGTCCATCATGATCACGATATTGTAAACGAAATGGTTTCAAATACGGTGATTCTATATTCACTAATGATTGAATATCAATTATTTCCAACGTATTTTCTTGTTCTGCATTCATATTTTTGTTTTCATTTTTATTCGACATTTGTTAAAATGAATTTGCAACAACAACAACAAAAACAAAACAAAACAAAAAATCAAAAAAAAAAATAAAAATCAAAAAAAAAAACATTCGAATCAATTCATTCATCAATAATAGGTCCATTCGAATAGGACGTAATTCTTTGAAAGAAAAAAAAAAACAGATGATGATAGCTGATGTTGAGGATGACAATTCAATTTAACATCGAAGAAGAAGGCAGTGGTATTATTTAAAACTAACCCAGCCAATAAATAATGACACGTGTGGATATAATAATATAATATAATTGTGTGTTTGCGATAATATAAATTCAATTCTGTTGTGAGAGAGTTTGTTTGCTTGCGTGTCACAATAAATCAGGGAAATTGATTGATTCTTTTTTGTCAACTTTTGTAGCTCATCATCATTTGTTTTTCAAAGTTCCTGCCCGTTTTTTGTTGTTGTTGTTGTGAGGCCACAAAAATTCAAACATTTCAAACAATGAATTCATTTATCAAGAATTTTTTTACCATTCTTTTCATCATTGGAATGGTTATCGCTGATGATAATAATGGTGGTGATGATGTAACGGAATTAAAAATTGAAACCTTGGTTAAATCGGATAAATGTGATCGTTCGGCTGCAAAAGGTGATATGCTTTCAATGCATTATAAAGGTACATTAGAATCAGGTATTGAATTTGATTCAAGGTAAGTTACCATGTTTGATTTGACTAATTCTAATTCTAATGGAATTCTATTTTTTTTCCACATAGTTATAAACGTGGTGAACCATTTAAATTTCAATTGGGTGTTGGTCAAGTAATCAAAGGCTGGGATGAAGGTCTGTTGGGTGTTTGTCCTGGTGAACGACGTAAATTGACCAATACCATCACATCTTGGTTATGGTGATATTGGTGCCGGTGAATTAATACCACCAAAATCAACATTAATATTTGAAGTTGAATGTTTAGCCATTGAAGATGGGCCAGCACCAGTGAATATATTCAAAGAAATTGATTTAAATAATGATAATCAATTATCACGTGAAGAATTAAGTGATTATCTTAAAAAACAAGTGCCAGAAGGTGCAGCCGGTACACATGATTTACCAGATCAAGATAAATTGGTTGAAGATATATTTCAACATGAAGATCGTGATAAAAATGGTTTCATTTCACATGAAGAATTTTCCGGTCCAAAACATGATGAACTTTGAAAAAAAAAAAAAATGAAAAACAAAACAAACAAAACAGCAACAATAATAATAATGAAAATTCGCTCAACATCTATCCATCCATTTTTATACTACTTTTATCTGGCATATTGAAACATTAATTCTGTAACAAACAAAAACATAAACAAAACTCTGTCGCTCTCTATCTCCGCCCAAAACAAATGAAGAAAATATTTGAATTCATGAAATTTTTTCATATAAAAATTATCATAATAATCATATAATAATAATAATAATTTTCGAACGGGAAAAAATTTTTGTTTAGACTCTTGTTGATATATCATAGAGTGGATGTGGATTGGCGGTGTGTGTGTGTGTGTGTGTGGGGGGGGTTGTGTGGGTGAACAACGGATATTGTCTTGGGCATGTTGTGATCAACGGGTCAGGTAATCTCAGACAATGATTTGTGAGTAGTGTTTTTTTTTTGAATTTGACGAAACGAAAAAAAAAAATTTTTTTTTGACTATAGTGTGTGTGTGTGCGTCATTTTGTGTGAAAACTATACGTTATTAACAAATCAAACAAAGAAAAAAAAAGTTAAAATTAATAAATTTGTTTAGAACAATTTTAAATGAATAATATAATAATAATAATGAAATGATGAAATGATAATGGTGGGTTGGTTTTGTTGTCGTCGTCATCTGTGTATGAGTGTTTTTTTTTATTTATGCATCAATTATTCGTCAATATCATTGATTTGATTCAATTAAATTAATCAAATCAGTCAATAAATCAATCAATCAACATCACATTTTGAGATCTTCTTGTGCTTCAAGATTGGCAATTGTTTTCTTTATTCGTAATGCTGTTAATCGTGCAGCAGCATTATGATACCAACATTCTTTCATTATTTTTGACATTACTCGTAGTGCCTGTATGAAAATACAAATGAGTTATGGATAAATCATACTGTCAAACTACTAAAAAGCTAAATTCAAAGATATTTACCTCACATGATTGCCAACGATTTGGTATTTGTGGCCGTTGTCGTTCAATGCAAACAATTTTTTTCATATCATCAATTGTTGGATCAAATGGAACGACATCATAATATGGTAATTGATATTCATCATGTATTCCTATATGTGTGTTACAACGATAATGATGAAGTATATAAATTCATTAAAATAATATATCAATCACTTACCACCAACATTACAACGACGTGCAATTTCCCATATACAAAGACCAAATGAATAGATATCAGCACGTTTAAATGAATCAAAATGATTAATATTGATTGATTCATCAAGTACTTCGGGTGCTAAATAACGTTTGGTTCCTACACGTGGATTTGGTGGTATATCCACTGAATTTGTTGAAGAATCATAACGAACAGCTAGACCAAGATCAGCAATGGCACATGTTCCATTCATTTTGACAAGAATATTTTTTGATTTTAAATCTCTATGTGCAATGGCCGGTTTTCCTTGTGTACCAAGGATTTCCATATGTAAATGAGCTAAACCATTTGCAATGGATGAAGCCATCTTCAACATGCCAGCTATATCGACAGTATTTTTACTTAAAAAATCAAATAATGATCCACGTTCATGATAATCAGTAATAAGCCATAATTGTGTCCATGTTCCATTGTCTATTTTCAGAAAAAAATCAATCAATTAGCAAACAATGAAAATACAGGTAATATCTTTTACCTTTATTATCGGCAGCAATAAAGCCAAGAATATTATCATTTCGAAGCATAACGGTTTGATATATTTCCACTTCACGAAACCATGATTGTTCATCACGTGATGAGAATATTTTCACTGCAACCCATTCACCGCGCCATTTACCACGCCATACTTCACCAAAACGACCTTTACCAATAATTTCCAATAATTGTATCTGTCTTGCTATACTACGTTGTACAAGTAACGGCAGACCCGAACCAGATGATGTATGATCCAGAAGATCTTTCAATAATTGTCCTGGTATTAATGGATCACAACTAGCAACACTACCTTCAACATCATTGATGAAATGTTTCTTTTTCGTTTTCACTTGTGTTTTACGACGATATATTATTATGACTATCAATATGAATATCAAACAGAATAATATAGCTATACTGCTGATGATGATTGGTAAATTTTTGGTAAAATAATTTGATGCAACTATTTGGAATACAAAGAAAAAGAGAAAAAAATTAATCAAATTAGTGCAAAAAAAACAAAATCTCGAAATTGAAAATTGAAATAAACAGATCATCATAAAACATTTTAGCAAATAAAAGGAGGTATTAATTATAATTGGCATTTTTAGGAAAAGCAAATTTGTCACAAAAAAAACAATCAGAAAAAAAGGGGAGGAGTTGTCATGCCCACCACACAAACACAAATTGACAATTTTGGTCATGCTTTTCTGTTTGTGTTAGTAACACTTTTATCAATTTTTTTTTTTTGGTTGGATTATTATAAATAAAAAAATAATAACAATTACACAGGTGATATAAGGTGATACAAGAAAAGCTTACCTTGATTAGAATCCTCATCATTATTAAAATTATAATTAAAAACATCATCATTATCATCATCAAATGATATGAAAAGATTACAATAATCATTATCATTACAACAGCTATGGATAAATTGTTTAGTGCTTGATTTTTTACACCATGATGGATTATCCGTTGGAAATAATGTATATCTATTCATACATCTATTTAAACGATGATTTTTTTTTTTTTTGTGTGTGTGTGTGTGCAAGGTAAAAAAGCATTTTTGTTTTGTTTTGTTTTGTTTTCAAAACCGAAGAATGGCAGGCAAGCATAAACACACCACAAAGAGCACATGCAATTTAAGCAAAAAAAAAAAATTTTTGTGACAACATGAAAAAGTGTGACAGAATCATATATATATAAAAAAAAAAAAAGAGAAAGAAAAAGAAAAAAGCAAAAAAAAAAAAATTAATCTACTGAAAAATCAAAAATTGCTTACCGGAATCCAATGAATCCGTATCATCATTGTTATTAAATAATTGTGGATTAAAATGAAAATTTTTATTACAAAAATCTCTATCTACACAGCAATGTATATCGACGTTACGTTGTAAACGTTTTGAATATTGACAATGTACCGGATTTTCTGGCGGTAATAGATCTCTTTTGTCATAACATCTTTTGTTTTTTTTTGTTGTTGTTGTTGTTGTTGTTGTTGAGATTTACGAAAAGAAAAATTTCACAGACAGAAAACAAATAAGATAAAAAATATAATTAATGAGCCTAAACAACTAACAATTTTTTTTTTTTTCTCTATAGTGTTTAGAAACTAAATTTTACAGAATAAAAAATGATGACTTACCTATATGATGTACGTATTTTACCCGATTCTTTATATAGTGTTGCTGCACAAACACCATCCGTTTCACAGGTATTGTTATTTTTTTCACATATATCACAGTGACAAAGTAGACCTGAAAAAATCAAAGATAAAAATTAATCATTATTCAATAACATAAAACAGTGGTGGTCAATTTTAGAAAATTTTAATTATTATTATATAAACATAAAACTATCAAGGAAAAAAATCAAAATTTCAAAATTTTGTTTAAAATCTTGTAATTTCATAAACTTTTCCATGTTTTTTAATAAATTTTGGCCGTTTTTCACGATAACAAATAGCGGCAACAATAGCCGCACCATAAAGGACTACCATCATTTGCATGTATCAGATTGAAACGTTTTATATGTCCACTTTTGGCAATAAATTCATTCAATTTATTTTCCACCCATTGACGATAATGTGGATGTAAACAAATTAATGATCCATCATATGCAATGGAAATATCTTCACGATTAATACGACACATTAATGTCCACAAGGCGGTAGCAACAAAATTTGCCGATCTACGTGTAATACGTTGATTAATCATATGTATGATTTTTACATCTGAATCTTGGAATCCATTTTTAAAACGTGGATTTTCTGTACCAAAAATATTTTGCATTGCTTTTCTTGTATGTAGAAAATCATTATTATTGCCATCATCTTGATCAATTTGTGACATATATTTTGTTTTAATTGAATATGGACGAAACAATTCTAATGGTGGACGACCATCAAACAATATGCCCAATTCAATTAATGTTAGCAAACAACGTCGTAGAATTTCTGGCAAATACATTCCACTAATTAATTTTTCATGTATCTGTTTATTTAGATTAAGTGATTCATAATTTAATCCGCGATCCCAACGTGTTAATGCCCAATCAATAACATGATTATCGCCAAATGCACCACATTCACAATTAATAACAACTTGTTTTGGATCACTATAATTAAATGGCCATTTTTCAATATTATGTAATTGTTCTACATAACATGCATTACTGCCAGTACCAACGATCAAACCGATGGCACAATTTTTATCTTGTAATGCACCAAATATTAATGTACCAGTTGTATCATTGATAATGGCAACAACATCAATATATGGAATTGAATGATGCATTTTACGTTTCAATGATGCTTTTAATAAACGTACAACATCAAAACCAACGACACCTGAACAAACAAATGATTTTGTCCATGTAACTAATGTTGCTTCAGCCAGGCCATGTTGTACAACTGGAAAACTAAATGTAAAACCAAGAGCAATACGTACACCAGCCAATTTATTACGTAATGCAAATGAAACAATAAGTTCAGCTATAAAATCAAATAATTGTTGTCCAGTTCCATAGAATAATTCTGTTGGCAATGGTTGACATAATGAATCGATTATTTCAATTTTTTCAGATTGTTCTTGTTGTTGTTGCTGTTGTTGTTGTTTCACTAATGATGTATCTGATCCAGGACCATGAAATTTTAATAATAAAACACGTATATTTGTACCACCTAAATCTAATGCTAAATAACGGCCATGTTCTTCTTTATTTGGTAATGATCGAACATATGTTAGATACATTTTTACAATCGAATCTTTTGTTGATCTTAGGCCACGATCAAATTCTTTTGATAATAATCCAGATATTTTTTCAAAATCTTCATGTGATAATTGAAAATGTTTGGTTAATGAATCAACTCGTTCTATGAATGCTGGATTATTATTATTATTACATTCTTTATCTGATGACATGTTTTTTTTACAACTCTTTCCAAATCAGAAAAAACTAATTCAACAAATTCAACAAAAATCTATCAACGACATTTATATGCTTATTTAAAAAAATTTTTCATTCATTCTTTTTCCTCACAAATGGTCAAATCAAATTAATGGAATTTAATTTATAAAATAATAATCAAATAAGACTTACCAACGACAATCGTTTTGGTACAAATTATAAGTATCAGAATAGTATTATAGATGAATATTTTCTTATTTAATAATAACGATGATGATGATGGACATGATGAACGATGATATTGTCGATGTTGATTAGGATGTTGATGATGACATTGATTATCATCATCATCATATGTATTTGATGATGCCATCATCATCAAATAATTTGATTTGATTGTTGTTTTTCACAAATAACGAAACCAAAAAAATCAAAAATGATCGTGATGGTGATAGAAGGTCATAGGGTTTGTAGTCAAGTCATGTCAAAATAGTGATGATGTGTAGATGAATATGGAGAATTCGAATGTCAAACAAATGGATATGGATCTATTTTCGAATCATTTCAAGTATGGCTCACACACACAGACACATTTTCATTTGATGATGATATCCATAGACGATATTTGTTTGGATGTTTGTTTGTTTGTTTGTTCGAATAAAGAACAAAAAAAACGATCTAAATTTTCAATAATAAAAATAATGTATGTATGTATGGATAAACTCCCATCAAATCAACAAACTAGCTATTTATTGAAACTTACACGATGATGATGATGATGATAATGAAGACAAAAAACAGTCAGACTAGATCATGAAAGAAGAAGAAGAAAAAAAACAAGACGAGACGCTTAAATTGATCCAGAGCAAATTTCTTATTCTTCAATCAACAAACGAAGGATGTTCTTGGTAACAATTCCACACACACACACACGCACAAACAAACTTTGTTATAATGATTACAACACAGACAGAATCTATTTTTCTTCAGGATTCATTTATTTTTGTTTTTGTAAATTAATGCTTGCTTGCTGGTTGGTTGGTTGGTTGGTGGTAGCACATTGATGATGATGAGAATGGCTATTATTTTGTTTGTTTTTTTTTTACATTCACACTCATACGCACAATTTTTTTATTCTTCGATTCTTATAGGGGGGGTGGATATATTGTGTGTGTGTGTGTGTGAAGCAGCATTTAAAATTGAATATAATATAATAAACACAATATAATAATTCGAGTGAAGACAAATTAAAAAAAAAAAAAATTCTACATTCTGATGATATGATCAAACCAATTTTCGATACATATGTGATGGAGATATTTATCATATTTATTCACATTTTATGTCGTCGTCGTCGTTTACGATCGTTGTCGATGTTGATGAAGACCACCACTGCCATTAAAGTGGTTTTTTTTTGTTTCTTCAACAAACAAACAATAAACAAAACAACAAAAAAAAAAAATCATCATCGTGTGTATACACGATATATACAATTCGATCATCATCATTCGTTCTTTTTTTTTTTTTAATATTTGATTGGAGAACATGATCAAATGAAATGTATAATGAGAGAGAGAGAGTGGTAGAGGTATTAATTTATCCACCATATGGATGAAATATCCGATTTCTTCCCCTCCTTCCCAATGATATGATATGATAAAATTAAACGTAGACGCATGCGTAAAGTTGAATGTACCTTCTTTTTCAATGATAATCAATGATAATCATGAATATAAATAGTAGCTGCAAAACAAAAAAAAAAAATCTGATTTATACGTTGTAAGTTTATTTATTTTTTAAATTGATTTTTTTTTTTACATTAATAATTGAAAGAATTTTTTTTTTCTTTCATTGGAACAACAATTCTATTAGTTCGATTGATGTGGATGAAGGCTGAAATGAACAACATTAATCAGATTTGTTGATTCAAATCGAGAAATCGTTTGGTTCCGGAAATGAACACATCATACAATCAAAAATTATGCACAGTGTTAACTGGCTTCATTTTTTTTACATACAAACTTTCTTATTTATATATGGTGGTGTGTGTGAGCAGCAAATTTTGTTTAGGTTATAGTCACAATATATATATATATTGATTATGATTATATCATATTTCATATGCTCATATTTACAAACACATATATTACCGGGTAAATTACGTTTTAGGATAGTAGCATTTTCTATAACACTTTTTGTTTATTAATGTGAAAATTGGGTTGTGGTGGTGGTGGTGGTGGTGGTGGTGGTGGTAGTGGTGAAACATCAAACACACACACACACACACATTTTGCTTCTCCAAAACAAAAAAAAAATTCCATAACATGAACCACTACCTTAATGGCTCAATTTTTTTTATCAATGAATTATGAATTGAGGAAAAACAACAACAATTTATATTTCCGTAATGGTCACAATATAATAATGTGTATAATTGCTGCTTTCCCCTTTACACGAATAACACACACACACACACACGAAGAAGAAATTATAATTCTCAACAATATAAAAAACAATCGAATCCTTCAGCTCACATCGCTTTATCGTCATCATCATCATCATCATCATTCGTTGTTGTTGTTGTTGTTGTCGTTGTCGTATTCGATTGCTATATTAAAATAAAAAATTTTTTGATTTCTGTCCGTGTATTATTTTTCATATCAATCAATTTATATTTTATTATTATTATTTTATTCGACTCGACAACCATCATCATCAGCATCAATAAAAGAAAATTTATCCACAATTTGTTGTTTTTTTTTCTTAATAATTGTGGATACATTACAAATACAACATATTAATCACACACAATCTTTATATGTTTGTATGTGTGTGTGGCAAGCCTTTTTTTTCTATGGTTGGAAAAATTAGAATGAAAATGGAATTCAAAAGAATTTATTATATGTAAAAATACGTAGAAATTGTTATTAATTCGATTTTTTTTTCGTTTTTTTTAGATTCCAAATCGGTAATTTACTACCAATTCATTGATTTGATTATACATATATAGATTGGCTATGATTTGGGTACGTACGATTTTCTGAATCTATTCTGATTCGATTCCAATAACATTTGTTGAATTTTTTTTTTCATTAAAAAAAATATATGTAATCAACATGTATTAATTGGTCATTTTTTTGCCCATTTTTAAACAGTTAAACTATATATGAAAGAAAGAAAAATATAACATTAATGAAATCAATCACACATGTATTCAAATATAATGCAAATCAATCGAATTTGATAGAAAAACGTAATTGAAAAAAAACGAAAACAAAATCTATTTGAATTTGTGGTTACATTTTTTTTCAAAGAAAATAAATCCAAAAAATGAATAAGTATTCAACAAAACGGTCACATTCTACAACGACGACGACAACAACAACATATGATTCATATAATCATACACCAACAAAAACATCTTCATCAACAATAACAAAACATAGACGTGAATATTCATCACCACCACCATCATCATCATCAATATCAAGATGTCGATCTAGAGATCATAGTAGTGAAGAAAGTAGTAGCCGCCATAGTTCACAAGATTCATGGAGTCCAAGATCACGTGGTGATGATGATGATATTGATGGTCGTGGTGGTAGTAAAAGTGGCCACAATCATCATCGATATAATCATTCAAATCATGTAAATAAATATTCAGATCGTAATAACAGTAGTAATAATCATAATATTCGTCGACGTGAAAGAAGTCCAATAAATGATGATGATGATGAAGATGATGATGATGATGATGATGATGATGATGAAGATGATGATATTGATTCGATTAATAATAATAATAATAATCGTAATAGCAAGTATTATGAACGAACATCAAGTAAAAGTAATAAATATATAAGATTATCAACATCAAGATCACCACCACTTCAATCATCATCGTCGATGATAAATAGCCGTGGTCATAATAATAGACATAATGATTATCATCATTTTAATCATCATAGATCAACGTCGAATAAATTTTCATCAACAACAAAAAGATCTAGATATGATGATACAAGAAATTCCTATTATAATAATGGTCATAGTAGCCATTATCGTCATAATAATAATCATCACCATTCAAATCATCATTCTTCGACGTCATCGTCATCGAATAAAAAATATTTTGGAAATTGGTCCGAACAATATAGTTCATCTGGGAAACTTTATTATTATAATAGTAAAACAGAAATATCACAATGGGAAAAACCTAAAGAATGGATAGAATGGGAAGAACAACGAAATTCAACAAGGGAAACATCATCATCTACAAGTAGATATAATTCCTCAACATTGAATCATCGTGATCGTGATAATCATCATCATCATCATAGTGGTAGTAAATATCATCATCATAATGATAAATATGACCATAGTAGTAGTAACAATCAACAACCGAAGTCCTATGCATACTCAAATCATTCACCATCCGAGCATTCATCATCAACAATATCGAATAATAATAATAATAATGATCGACATTATTCACATCATCATCAACAACAACATCACCAACATCGGAATCGATCATCAACATCAAGACATCGATCAACATCGAGACAAAGATCTCGTAGTCCGTCGACACATTATTCCTATCATAATCATAGTTCATCATCATCAAGATCTCATCATAATAGACGTCGTCATTATGATGATGATGATGATGATTATACTGATGAAAGTGATGATGATCTAATTACTAATCATCATCGTCATAATAGGAGTAATAGTAGAAGTAAAATGGATAAATTATCAACAGAACAATCAAGAAATTCATTAAATCATGATTCTGATAATAATAATGATGGTGATGTTGATGTTGGTGGTTCTAATGTGCATTCAAAATTAACAAATAATTCCATCGATAATCGTCATCACCATCATCAAGATAATTCTTTGGATAACCTTAATAATAATAACAATAACGATTCAAGCCATAAAATAATGGATAATGTGACAAAGATTAAAGATTCAAATAGTAAATTGGATGCATGTTCACCAGATTCTAATTTATCCGCATTTTTAATGAAAGCGATGACATCGATAGTATCACAATCATCATCATCATCATCAACATCACCATCGAATAATAATAATAATAGCCTTCATCATATGATTGCCAAATTATTACGACAATTTAATATAAATTCACAAGGTATTAATCTATCAAATACGGAAGAAATATTGAATCTTTTGAGAAAATTACAACAAAAATCTGCTACTACATTAAAAAATTCAAGCCGTTCACCACAGAATGTAAAATTAATGAATAAACAACAACATCAGCTGTACAATAATAACAATAGTTCTCGACATAATCTTTTAAATAGTTCTGATGGTATACGTCAAGATTTAGATCAATTATCTAAAAAAATTATCAATCAACAATCAGCCGAATCACCACCACCACCACCAACACCACAGCAAACAACAGATTCAAAAAGTGTGAATAATTGTAGCCAAAACAATCAATCATCATCATTAACATCGGCTATTTCATCGATAACAAGTTCAAATATTGCACAGAATAAATGTTCATTACCTGATCTATCGAGATTTTTTAAATTATATAATGTAGATCTGATTAATCATGTATCCGGTTGGTGTTCCGAACAATTAGAAAAACAGGTAATTTTTATTAATTTTTAATTGATATTGGAATTTATTTATTATTGTTTTTTTTTTTCTCTTTAGGCAAATTCATTATTTGAACAAGCCAATCATATTGGTAATCATTCATGTACAAGAATTTTGACTGAATTAAAAAATGCCCGAAGTTTAGTACGATTAACTGAGATACAGAAAACATTACAAAAACAAAGGTAAATTAATTTAATTAATTTTTTCATGTAACATAATTCCATTACCAAATCAATTATTATTATTATTATTATTCCATATAGGATTCTGTTTGCCAGTCAACAAATCAAAACGGTTGAAGAATGGAAAAGTAAACAATTTGCAAACTATTCTTAGTGTGTACATCATAAATGGAAAAAATTTTTTCCAATCCTCTACAAATAAAACTCTCTCAATTCATCGACAAAAAAAATCAAGCAACCAACTAATTTTCATTTTTTTTCTACAAAACATACAGTAATTTCTCTTTGATGTGATGAAATTCATACATTATTATTCAAGTTGCATTCAAATTCATCGCGAAACTTTTCAATTTTCTTGTGAAATTCATTAATTTTTGTACAGACAATATATACATTGTCACACAAACACACACACACCTAGATACATTTGGCAAAAAAGCATACCTGTATCAAAATAATTTTTTTTTGTCACTTTTGATCATCGTTTATCAGCCATCATCATCATTATCGTCAGATACATGAATTTGTTCTTAAAAAAAAAATACAACAGAAAGACAAAAAATTCTCCAGATACAAATCCAGTCCATTTTATCTTGTTCTAGTTTTTTTTTTTTTTTCATTTATTATTCATCATCATCATCATCATCAGCAACAACAACAACAACAAACAAAATGATTTATTTAAAATTTTAAAATTCAATTTAAATGTAGCACTCAGTAAAAACAGAACAACAACAACAACAACACTACCAATCCTCCCAAGTTAAACAAACACCTCAATTACAAAAATTTGAATGAAAAATATATTTATTTTTTCACACCGAAAATACACCACACCACCCATACATAGATGCATATGAATATTTGTCTGGACAGAAACAAACAAACACACACACACATACCCATCTTTATTTGGATTTTATTTTCTTTTTTTTTTTTGTAAATATTTTTTTTCTTGATTTTTTTTTCTTTTGTTCAATTGTGACAAAAAAAAATAAACTGCTAAGAAAAAAAAAAAAGCTCATCATCATTTTTCATTGATTGTCGAAATTTTTTTTTCGATTTGTGTAAATATGATGATCATCATTTTTAATTGAATTTTAAAAATAAAAATTAAAAAATTTTGGAAATTTATTTTTTCATCTGTTTGAGTCGAAATAGTTGATCATATGATCATCATTTGTTTGTGTTTGTTGTTTTTTTTTTTGATTTTCTTTGTATTTTTTTTGTTCCACCATCATAGTTGGAATAGAAAATGTTTTTGACCACAATTTATTTTAGTCGTAGCCGTATGTTGAATCGTTTTGTTGGAAAAACCGTTATTGTACGTGATGGTGATGTTGATGGTTCTATTCGTGTTTTGAATCGTATAATGGGCTCAGAAGGTTTGTTTGATATTTATCGCCGTACAAGATATTATGAAAAACCATTCAATACACGAAGACGTGTTAGCTGGCAAATGTGTAAAGCAATATATGATGAAGATATGGAAAGAAAAATACGATTTGTTTCACGTAAAAATCGTACGAATCCAAATCCGGCTTATATTTTCTAAATTGATGTCATCATCATCATCATATATATTTCTTAATTTCCAAATTGAAAAAAAATAAATTGTAGACATATATATTGCCTGTAAATTTTTTTTTTTTGTGTGTGTTTTTGAAAAATAAACGCAATTTTTTTCAATTGAAAAATTAAAATTTTTTTTTTTGCAATCAAATTGATGCGGTCAGAAACAAAAATTTTTTTTTTGTATTTGGATCGAAATAGCCGAAGATATCCTTTTATTGATGATTGTTGTGGTTAAGTATGTCCTGCGTATTTTTTTTTTTTTTTTTTTTTTTGATGAAAAAAAAATTCGATCGTGTCTGTCTGTCTGGGCGTTTAAGTTGTTGTTGCTGTGTGTATTGTGTGTGTGTATTTTTATCTCGGATTGATGTTTGTCGTAGCTGTTGTTGTCATCATCATCGTTTGATCGAAATAAATAAATTTCGATTTCAATTTTGTTCTGGTTCATCTAAAAAAAACCACCCCACATTTATTATTCAATCTAATGAATAGCCATTATTCGTAGTTTTAATTTATATCAACAAATGAATTCAAAAACAGATTTTAAAAATGGTTCCCGTTATTTTGTCATCAAAAGTCATCAATGGCGTGGAAAGTAAGTTGATTTTGTTTTTTTGTTCAAATATTACATTGTCATTGTCATTGTTATTGTTATTATTACTAGCCTTCGAAGATTATTGGTTATTGAACCGCCGAATGTTGCCACATATGATCTGGCTGAATATAAATTAACAAATAGTTATTTTTGTAATGATATTCGTGAATTTCAACCAATAATCAATGAAGAAGAATCAATGACTGTCATGACCGGTGCTGATCAATTTTTTCTCATCAATTTTCCTAATAATAAAATGAAATTTAAATCAAAATATCGTTCAGATATTTTGACCGATCTATTTAAAACATGTCCGAATATATTGCCAAAATATTCGGAAAATGTTCGTCGTTATAATGTGCTGAAACATCGATGGTCTGGTGAAAATTATAAAGCCATTCTTGAAATTGGAATTTATGGTGTGAATAAAATTCATTCGAAAACCAATCAAATTCTATCATCATATGCTTATAAAGATATTTATCGATTGATTCATGTACGTGATTCTGAATACGGTGCAGCAATCGTAATATCGACAACGGAAAATGAACGTCTTCATCTTTTCATCATGCAAGATGGTAATAATTCACAGGAAATGATTGATCGAATTCGTTTGATTGCAAGAAAAAATATCGGTGTCGTAATACCGGTATCAAATGAACCGATGACATTTGCTCATTATCAAGAAAATTGTTTCGGTATTCCTAGATCAGCTTTGGCTTTACCTATACATCTGTTTGTTGTGAATAAAATCAAAACAAATCATCAAATATTAGTGAACAATGGTTCAACGGAACAATGTAAAAAAATAATGTTAGCATTCACCGATAATTGCCTAATTGAACGTGATTCAACAACCAATACATTGATTAATGTACGACGTTTGATTGAAGTTTATGCTATCGTAAGACCAATAAATCATTCACAAAAATTTGCAATACTTTATCTGAATGGTGATCGCCGTTTTTATACATCAACTGAACGTGATTCATTATTAGCATCATTATTGGACAGTGTACGATCATCGGGCAATGCAAATGTTTCAATGAAATTGGATTATAATCATCATAAAGTGATATCACAGCCAGAAATTGAAGTTGCACGTTTTATTAATTCACGTAATAAAGATCTAATACAAGCATTGGATTTTTTTATTGAAACAAGTTTTTTCACCATCACCAGTGTTGTATTTGAAAATGAATCAAAACGTAATCAAAAAGAACAGGAAAAATTCATACATAATGCTATTGGTGAATTATTATTCGAAGATCATTGTGATCAAGATATGGCCGAATTCAATACAAAATTATTGGTATTGAAAAATTTATTTACAACACGTGCCGGTTTTGCTTATTTCATCGGTACGGATAAGAAATATAAATCCGTTGAAATTGAACAATTATTTAAAAAAGTAAAAAAAGCTTTTGATAGAGAAAATGATGTAATCATTTTTACTGCTATCGATATGCTTTCAACTTTGATGCAGGTAATTTTTTTCCATATTTTTTATTGATTTTATTTTTTTTTTTCTCAATTGATTTAGCCTGTTCACGATGAAAATGATCTGTTTTATGAGCAGAAAAATAAAGGATTTTTATTTAGTTCGAAAAATTTCCTACCAATCATTCTGGATCTAATGCAATATCATATCAATAAAGGAACCGGAGCATTAATCATATCGGCCATATTAGATTTTCTTACATATGCATTATGTGCTCCATATAGTGAAACAACTGATGGTGGTCATTTTGATCAATTATTGAATCTAGTATCACAATATGGTCGTTGTCTATTCCGACTTTTTGATCATCAATCATTGTCGATTGTGAAGGCAACCTGTCTACTGATGAAAGCTATGATTGAAGAAGGTAATCCAACCATTGCTAATGAAATGCAAAAATTAGCACTTGCAGAAGGTACATTTTTATTCCATTTACATGCATCACTTTATCCGATTGTTACACGTGAAAAATTTTTACCAATACAAATTCTATCAAGAAAATTAATTTCTTTATGGACCGTTGATAATGATACCGGTTGGTCAATATTGCAGAATATTTTCCCATTAGGATTGTTGAATTATTTTGAATCAAATGAACAGCCACCAGCTGATGCATTAGCGGCACTTAATTCTCGAGATAATCTAAAAATTGCTCAAGATCTTTCACAGAAACCAGTTTCAAATCTGCAAAAAATTCGTGATCAATATGCTGTTGTTCGTAATGTTGAACGACATCTTGAAAATGCGTTCAATCATTGGCGCAAACGAATTGGAATCGTATCGACCGCTAATGCTGGTGAATCTGTTCATCCAATCGTATTACGACGACGTCGTGAATTTATAAAATCAAGCCTCAATTGGAACATGTTTTTCTATCAATTCACACAGAATCATTCGAAACCAGATCTTATATGGAATCATAAAACACGTGAAGAACTTCGTGAATCATTGGAAAAGGAAATTTCTTTTCTCAAGAATGAACGTGAATTACATTCTGTCCAATTATTGTCATGGAATTTTGATGAATTCGAAGTTCATTATGTTTCATTGGATGAAGAGCTTAAAATTGGTAACTATTATCTTCGACTTTTGCTGAGTCAAGGATCATCATCATCATCATCAACTAATCCATCATCGGCAACAGATATTGATGGATCATTATACATTAAATCACCGGTTGAATTTTTCAATGCACTATATCATCGATTTCTATCGAATTCAAATGTTCAAATGAAAGCCGATTGTCTACAGGCAATGTCAATAATCTATGAAAAATATGATGAAGAAATTGGTGCCTTTAGCGATGTAAATTTCCTACTAAACATTCTGAATGGTTGTCGAAATCGAACATTACGTGATCGAATCGTACAGTTTATCGGAAAAATTATCAAACAACTAACAAACATTCGTACATTACTTCGTTCTGATGGTCTATTGATATTGATTGATTTGGCTACACTTTCACATTTACATGTAAATCGTGCTGTTATTCCAACACAAACAAATGTTATTGAAGCATCACCTGAAATGGCACGTGATTCAATGGAAAAAGAATGGCATGTATCAAAAGATGTTGCAATAAGTTTTGCTGATTTAAAAGATCTATGGAAAGATGATAAAATTTCTGGAGAAACCAAATGCTGGGCACAAGGTTATAATTCATGGCGTAAAGTTTCGGAAATTGCTCAACTTAAATGGACATTAATGGCTGAAGGATTGTCAATATTTCAGGAGAATAATATGACCATCTATATTCTGGATACATTGATACGAATTTGTGAACGTTATCCTAGTCGTACGGTACCAGATAATGCAATCATTCGACCTATTCCAAAAGTGAAACAAATTCTATCGGATGAAAGTTGTCTACCACATATTGTCCATCTTCTGTTAACATTTGATCCGATAATCGTCGAAAGAGTTGCAACTTTAATTTATCTAATCATCGAAGATAATCCACGAATTTCACTTCTTCATCAGACTGGAATGTTTTATTTCATTCTAATGTATACTGGATCGAATATTCTACCAATTAGTCGAGTTCTTCATTTGACACATATGAAACAATCTTTCAAAAGTGATGATCAAAATCAACAACAAACCGTTCTACAGCGTAGTATCTTGAGTCAAATGATACCAGAAGCAATGGTTTGTTATCTAGAAAATTATGGTCCGGAAGAATTTTCTAAAGTATTTCTTGGTGAATTCGATACACCTGAAGTGATTTGGAATTATGAAATGCGTCGTTTTATGATTGAAAAAATATCCGCCCATATTGTTGATTTTAGTCCACGATTATATTCAAATGTACGTGCCATCTATCAATACTGTCCAATTCCACCTATTCGTTATCAACAATTGGAAAATGAATTATTTTGCAATATTTATTATCTAAAAAATTTATGCGATACAAAACGATTTAATGATTGGAAAATCAAAGATCCTGTTACATTTTTACGTGATATATTGGAAATGTGGAAATTGGAGATTTCAAAAAAACCGAATTCAATGCAAATTGAAGATGCATTCGAAATATTGGGCATAAAAGATTATAATGGACCATTAAAAGGTCATGAATTTGAAAGTATGATACGTAAACGTTACTACTTACAAGCACAACGTTATCATCCAGATAAAAATGCCGATGGTCGTGAAATGTTTGAAAAAGTTAATGAAGCATATTATTACTTATTTCGTGCTAAACATAAATCAAATGGTCCTGATATACAGAATATTATATTGATATTGAAAACACAAAGCATATTGTTTTCACGTTATAATGTAGAATTATATCAATATAAATATGCTGGTTATCCAATGTTGTTGAAAACATTGGAATTAGAATTGAATGATCAATATTTATTCTCAAAAACTGATTCTCTATTGGCACATGCATGTAAAACTGTTTATTATACAGTAAAATGTTCGGCATTGAATGCTGAAGAATTACGTCGTGAAAATGGTCTACAAATGCTTTATGATATACTCAATCGTTGTGTTTCGGTATTGTCAGCATCATCAACATCAAAAGATTTATGTACTAAAGTTTGTAAATACATTATCTCAACATTTGGTGTATCCGCTGAATTTCCTGCATGTCGATCATTTTTCTATCAAATGCCATCATTGGCTAAGAATATATTCTACATACTGAATTATAAACATCTAACAAAATTATCAATGGCTGCAATCGATTGTGTTATATATTTTTCCAATGATCCATATCTACAAATGTTATTATTCAAATCTGGTTGTCTATTCAGTTTGATACAATTCATATTTAAATATGATTATACGTTGGAAGAAAATGCCGAAACTATTGGTGCAAATGAAAAAGTAAGCAAACAATTTGTTGCAAATTCATTGGCGAAAAAAAGTCTTTCAGCTTGTGTTGCATTGTTCGATAATCGATTTGATTGTGCACAAGGTTTAGAAGATAAATCATTATTGGATGATTATTCACTTATAAGACAAGCAATATATTCATTACTAACACCATATATTGCTAATCAATTGAATATGGAAGCTGTACCGGAATTATTGAAATTAATCAATTCAAATATTGAAAATCCATATTTTATTTGGAATAATGCATCACGTGCTGAATTATTGAATTATCTACAGACACAGGAAAAAGAATTATTACGTAGCGGTGTTTGTATGGATGAATCATATGGTACAAAATTTGTTTATAGTTGCCATAAAGAAGAGCTTATTATTAGCGATATATTCGTACGAATATATAATAAACAGCCAAATTATCCATTGAATAATGTTAAACAATTTGTATTGGCATTGTTGGATAATCTTGGTTCGAATGCACAATATTTACATACAGTTAATGCAATATCATTTCCAACTAAAGAAGATTTTCAAATGGATGAACAACGTCGTAATACTATTGAACAATGTTTAACTGCATTGATTAATCTATTGAATTATAATGCTGGTATTGAACATTGTTTTGTTGGTCATTTTCGTAATATTTTTAGCCTGTTACGTTTAGAATCAGAACCAGAAGTTCAATCATTGGTGTTACGATTATTGATGAAATTATCCACCAATAAGGATTGTATCAATGATATTTCCAATTCAAATGTTTTGATTAATTTGTTGCTCATGTTACATATAACGTCACGAATTACTGAACAACGATCAAAACCATATATGGATATTTTGGAAATATTGCTATCATTCACCACAAATAGTGAACTAGTTAAAGAAGGTATTGGAAAAGGTATTCTTCTCTACGTTCTCCATCTGTTCATTATGCCCAATTTTAATACGGTACGTGAGAAAGCAGCACAATTGTTGATTAAAATAAGTGGCGATGTACTCAATGGACAATATTCATCGTGGGTATTGTCACATTTTTTACCTACATTATTTTTGAATGCCATGAAAGATGCTCCACAAAGTGCCATCAATCTTTTTGATGAGAATAAAGAAAATCCGGAATTGATATGGACTGAAGATGCAAGGCTACGGCTAAATAAACATATCAGAGATCTAATTGAAGACCTGTATACACAACAGATCTCAAATCCATTACATTCATGGAAATTCAATGCTGATTGTGAATTTAAATGTTCATTAGATGATAATGAATTTAAGATATCAGGTGTTTATCTTCGATTGTATAATAAAAGCCCTGGTTGGATTCTTAGTCGACCGAAAGAATTTCTATTGGAATTATTGGAATATGCCAAAAATGCTTGTGATATATCAGATATTGATGTAAGTTATTGCTTGTTTTGTTTGACATTTTTTTTCATAATTTTTTCTGAATTTCAGGAAGAAAAACTTGATATGATCAATAATGCATTGCATATTCTGTTGACAACACAATCGGATCTCCTCATTCTTATACCTCCTACTGGTTATATTCCAATATTCATCAATAAATTGGATAATAATAATTTGAATGTATCCAAAACGTGCCTATCATTAATACATAAATTCTCATTGAATCCAGCCTGTTTAAACGATATGATTGTAACAGGTAAATTGGCTAAAAATTTCAATACAATCATTGAAACACATCCAACTTTGATTGAATTATTATGCGATTCATTGGTGAAAATATTCGAAGCCAAAAATGAAGAATTCATTCATCAATCAATTAGTACTGGTTTGATTAATAATCTATTGAAAGTACTCGATTCAAATGCTAGTCAATCAACTAAAGCAAAAGTGGTGCAGATGTTTCAAACAGTACTTGATTCAGAATATAATTCACAAATAAGCGAAGTTTTAAATAATTCAAATATCTGGAAAGATTATAAAGATCAAAAACATGATCTTTTCATTGCCAGCACTAATGCCACTCATCTTTTGACAAGTGAGTAATTTTATATATTATTGTTTATAAAATTGATAATGATCCATCTTCTAATCGTAATTATTATTTTGTTTATAGATTCCACTGTCAATATTGCCGGTTATCTGAAACAAAGTTCAGCAAAAACATTACCATTGGTACCACCACCGATTGAAGAGTAAAAAAAATTGGCCAATTGGATTCGAAGATAATTCAATTTTGTGATAATTGATTTTTTCCATATTTTTACTTGAAACTGAAACAAAACAAAAAAAAAATTTCATACACTTGCTTATGATCATTATTGATTGATTGATTGATCAAGACTGGTCTCTTCTTCGTTTTTCCACTCTACTATATATATCTGTCGGTTATATATGTCTCTATATATTTTTTTTTACATTCATTTGTAACTTTTAATATTTGATAACCATTTATATATGCTAATATTTCTTTATGTTGAATTAATTATAAAAACTATGAAACTTGAAAAAAATTCCAACTTTATCATCAATTTTCATATTTCGAACGTGTTTCGTTCCAACAGTAAACCATCGCGAGTTGTCGAGTCTTATGTGCCGCCATCTAGTTTTGTGTGATGTTTTACATTAACAATCAAAACATCACATAATTGGCCCATGTGGTTTAGAGTTTTTGATAAATTAATCCAATGTGTTCGAAGAAAATATTCAAATTAAAATCAACACTCATGTCAAATATACCATTGATCAATGTGGCCAAATCATTACTCATGTGTGATAAAGTGATTGCATTACCAACAGATACAATTTATGGATTGGCTACACATGTTGACAGTACGAAAGGAATCAATCGTTTATATGAAATCAAATCACGAGATTATAATAAACCATTAGCCATTTGTATGGCCGATGTCGACGATATAGCCGAATATGGCAAGATAACCATTCCGAAAAGTTTACTATATCAATTATTACCTGGTGCTATCACTGTAATTTTTGAACGAACATTAAAATTAAATCCATCATTAAATCCAGAAACGAATCTAGTCGGCATTCGAATACCCAATAATGAATTTGTTCGTCAATTATGTCGACAATCTGGTCCAATTGCATTAACAAGCGCTAATGTGAGCTCAGAACCTAGTTGTTTAAAAGTCGAAGAATTCGAACATTTATGGCCATTGATCGATGGTATATTTGATGGTGGGCAACTTGGACATCAGGATCCACAAGGATTAGGTTCGACGGTCGTCGATTTTTCCACTGAAGGACATTATCGCATTCTACGTGATGGTTGTGCATTTAAATCCACTGAGCAATTGATTGATAGTTATCACCTTAAACGATTATTATGACCATAAGGTATATATCATGAGTCGGCAACCATTTGGTAGTTGAGTGTCAACAAAAAATTTTTTCCATGGCATCACATTGACACGTTGCATACCACTGGCCCTATGTGGTTTACAATGTACGATGTTTTTAGATGAGATTTATGCAACTATCTATTTATACATTCTTTCCATTCTGCAATATTTTGGCCAGTACAAAATTAACGATGGTAATTCGTTTGCTATTTCATCGGATGGTTGGACTTTTTTTTAATCTTATCTTAATTGTTTATTTTCAATGAATTTATAATAAAGAACTGATGATCAATGAATTTTTAATTAAATTTTCATTCATGTTTTTCTCCATTTTTATAATTTAAAATCATCATCATCACTGGTATTTAATTTCAATTTATGAAAGTGCTGCCATCTATTGGATAAAACTACGATTCGGCTATTTTTCAAATTCATCTTTTTTTTTTTTGAAAATTTCATCATTTTTAAACGAATGTATTTTTATGTAAATTCAAAGAAGGCAACATTAAATTTTAACAAAAATTTTTGTTTTTTTCTTCTATAGGCATACAATGTGTCTGTGTGTGTGGGTGTAATTGATTTCAGTATTTTTCTTTTTGTTTTAAAACAGAATTTTTATAAACGATTTGATTTCACAAAAAAAAAATATATAAGGTATATATGATTAATAAAACGACAGAATTAAATAGTTTATTTAAATAAACAAAACAAAACAATTGTATGTGTTTGCGTGTGTGTGTGTGTGTACGTGTAATCATCCGGATGGATTATTACGAGGAATTGTTGTTGTTGTTGTTGATGATGATGATGATGATGATGATTGAGGTGGTGGTGGTAGTGGTGGTTGTTGTTGTGGCTGTTTGATATTGCTATTGGAATAATTTCGAACATGACCACCAATAATATCATGACGATTCATTTCTTCCAAAACACTAGGTGCAACATATGTAAAACCAATAAACATTTCATTGATACTACGACTTAGATGTGAACTTTCTTCTGGTGAATCAATTGGCATCTGTTCAGTGAATTTTGTATCAAATTGACTTACATCATCTTCAGAATGTAACACTGGCCTAAATGGTGGACTAAGTCGTTTGAAGAAAACTTCATCCCAATTAATTTTTTTGAAAAATGCATGATGTTTAACCGGTGCTGCATCATCAACGCCACCGCCAAGCCGTAATTCTGGTGATCGTCGTAATAATTTACGAATCAAATCTTTAGCATCATGAGTAAGATGTTTTGGAAATTTGAGTTCAGCGTGTAATATTTTGGCAATCGTTTTATTACGATTCGAACTAACAAATGGCGGTTTACCGGTCAACATGTCAAACATTAATGCACCCAATGACCACCAATCAACTATGAATTAAATAAATTGGATTTGAGTGAATTTTAGTTTATATTTTGAAAAAATTAAATAACTTACCGGCATGATTATGACCGATTCTTTTGAGAATTTCAGGCGCCATATATTCAACTGTACCACAGAATGTATAAGTCATTTTACCACTTTGTATGGATTCCTTACAAAGGCCAAAATCAGTCAATTTAACATGACCATGTAGATCGAGCATAATATTTTCTGGTTTAAGATCACGATAAATAATGCCCAATTTATGTAAATGTTCAATGGCCAAAATGATTTCGGCTGCATAGAAAATGACAGCATTTTCCAATAAAAGACCTTCACGTTGTAGATACATGAATAGTTCACCACCACTTAGATATTCGAGTATTAAATACAATTTTCCACGTGTTTGAAACGCATACATCAGATCAACAATAAATGGATGTTTAACACTTTCCAATATATTACGCTCGGCTTTCGTATGATCCGTATCTTTGATACTACGAACGATTTTTGCCTTTTTCAAAACTTTCATTGCAAATATAGTGCCTAAATTTTTACCCGTAACTTTTCGTACTTGAAACACTTTTCCATATGCACCCATACCAAGAACTTTGAGTAATTCAAAATCATTTGTCGAAACACGTTCATGATGTTGACAATTGACCATCTCTTCAGTTAATTCGATGCTATTATTTTCCGGTCCTAAATTGATTACCTCTTCAGCGGTAGCCTCGAATGAATCGATCTTTTGAAATTGAATATATATAATATAAGAATCAGAAAAACAAAAACACAAAGTTTATAATACCTCAATTTCATTGTTGACAACCATATGATCATCATTTTCGATTTCGTAATCAAGTATACGATTATGTGTATGATGATGATTATGTTGTAATGGATGTGTTTGATGATGATGATTATTATTATTATTATGATTATGTTGACCAATCGTTTGATTATTAACAGGAAGTTGTTGTGATGTTGGATTGGAAAAATCTTCAATCTCTGAATCATTAAGTTCCATATCGAATATTGTAGTCATCATTGCGGATAATTTCTTTGGATTCTTTTTTTTTGTAGGCAAATAAAAAATTTTTTTCACTTTGGTTCAAACGTTTATAACACAGACAATGAAAACAACGAAAACAACAACAACAGAACAGAACAGAACAGAAAAATATCTAAAATCTAAATTTTTACAATCTAAAAACAAAATTGTCGTCGTATTCAAATCCGAATACGGACGATAAATAGTAGTAGATTATTATGATTCATAAATATATAATCAGGATAATCAGGAATAATTGGAATCACAACAATAATAATCGAAAGGAATGATGATGATGATAACGATGAATGTAAAATAAACGAGTTTGCGTTTGTTTGTTTGTATTGATGATGATGATGATGATGATTTTTTTATCAAATATAATCATATCAATCAGAGAAAAAAAATTGAAATTGATGATTGAAAAAAAAATAAAAATAAAAAAATGAAAAAAGCCGAAAAATAAAACTCAAAATGAACTACACATACATATACATCGCACACACACATCGTAGATTGTTTTTTTTTTTTTTTTTTTTTTTTTTTTCAGCGATGGAAAAGGGATTGTTAATAAACAACGTGATGCCATGTATATAAAAAAAATCGAGAAAGAAATCCCTTTAAAAATAAAAAAAATCAGGTCATGATTATTATGATGATGATAATATCTCCACATTTGTAGTGGATGGCAGAGAAATAACAACAAGAGAAACACACATCTTTGAATAGATTTTTTCGTTCTATAATTATAACAACGATGATAATTACGTTTCTAGTGCTGCTGTTGATCTATTATAATTATTATCAATGTCCTGGCCATCATCATCATCATCATCAAACGTGATTATTGTTGATCCAAAAAAAATCGATTATTTTTTTAAAATTTTATTTCAAAATTCATAAAATCCATTGTGTTGGTCAATATAACAACAAAATCGATATGATTTTTTATGGAGAAAAAAAAATGGTCAAAAAACAACAATACGTTTGATTGATTGATAGATAGATAGATGGTTAAGCAGTTTGATCGATTGTAAATTCAATATTATCTAGATCATCATAATCATCATTGACAATACCTAAATGTCGTCCTAATTGTTTAACTTTATGTATCACTTCCTCTTGCATTAGATTAAAACACATGGCTAATAATGCCATACCGGCCAATAAATATAGGCTACATATGACTAATTTTTCTTGTGAACCTGAACTTTCAACAACGGATGCACCGGGCACAAGATCACCGAAACCAATTGTACTTAATGTTACGAAACAAAAATATGATCCATCCAAATAGTTCCAATTTTCCCAAATAGAAAACAAAAGGCCACCACCACAAACATAACTGGCAAGTATTAAAAGGCAAAGTGTAATCGGTACATGGACACGATTATTTTCTTTGAATTTAATTGTAGTAGTTGATGGTGGTGCCGATGTAGTCATCATTGTCATTGTTGTTGGATCATAACTAAAACCAACGCCAACACCTATTTCCGGTGTCAATTGACTGGTATGATTGGTCATACTGAATGGAAAAAAATCAAAAAATCAAAACAAAAATAAAAACAAAAAATTTGAAATTTGACTTTGATCGATCGACTATCCAAACCACAACAAACCTATAGATTCCAGTTGGAGCAGATACTGCACGTTGTAATAATAAACGATTTCTTTGTTTCAATGTGGTCGATGATTGTTTACATGAACATAGGCCACCATAAACATAACGAAATGATTTGGCTAAAATATCACCAATATTAGTAAGATATAATAACATTAATGGTATGCCAATAATGGCATACAATATGGTCATTAATTTTCCACGATCCGTACGTGGACTAATATTTCCATAACCAATAGTTGAAATAACTGTCAGGCTAAATAGAAATGCACCAGAAAATGACCATTGTTCACGACCTTCACTTTGTTGTCCTTCATAACCATCTTTGATTGATTTCAATAATTCACGTTGAAATAATTTTATCGTATCGGTTACTTGGACATTCCATTTTTCATGATACAAAATATTTGTATTGTATGCTATTAAAGTGAATCTTTAAATTTACTAAGTCAATAATAATAAGTTCATAATAAACATACTTATATTCCAAAGATTCAAAATAATCTTATTACGTAATTCATTCACCTGTTTAACTGTTTGCACTTCGAATGGTGATTCAATGGCACGAAACATGAATGCACCGCCAACTGAATAGGCAACAACCAATACACAAAGTCCAACATTTGATAAAAGAAATGCGAAAAATTTTCGACAACAAATTCGACATTTTGATGGTGGTGGTGGTTTACGTGGTTTACAGGATTTTGATTTTGATTGTTGTTGTTGTTGTTGTCTTGTTTTTGTTGTTGTTTTCGACGCCGTCGTTATCATGTGACCAACATTATTATTATTAGTATTCGAATGTAATGGATAATTAATTTCTTTCAATTGATGATGATGATGCTGTTGATTTTGATTCATAATAATATTCTTTGGGTCAGAAACGAAACCAGAAAAAAAATTTGGAAATTACTAAAATTTGACAGAAAAGAAAAATAAGTGAAAAATAAAATGAAAAATAAAAACATTGCAAAACAAAATAGAAAACTCAACTGAACTTTGAGTGGATTCTTGTTGCCGCTGCCATCATCATCATCTTTTGGATCAAATCCAAAGAATCAAACTATTTTTTTTTTCGTTTCTTGGTTCACTCTTGCCAACAGCATATACACACACATACATGTGTGTAGCAAAAAAACAAAAACAAATCTAAGGCTTTGGCATACATTACACATCGACTATAGAATTTCAATTCAATTGTTGAATTTGGTTTTGTGTAAACGATTTATTCATTTCATTTCATTTCATTTTTTTTTTGATCATAGGCTTCTCATTTATTAACAATTATTAAATTTGATCATAATGAAAGGTTGATTTGATTATTTGCATATATATGGAAAATGAGGAAGAACAACAACAAAAAAAATTTTCGAATTTTCATAAAAATTTTTCGAAAAGAAAGTAAAAAATGTGTGTGTGTATGTATGTTTGTGGGTTCACTTTTCATATTTGTTCGAATCTATCACATTTACAAGAGAGAGAAAGAGAAAAACAAATGTTCCAATAGATTATCATCATTAGACATCGATATCTTCATTTGTTTGAAATTTCGATTGATGTTGTTGCTGCTGCTGCTGATGTGATTGTTGTAATGATGATGATCCATGTTGATGATGATTCATCATTTTCATTGAATTTTCTTTCATTATTATTTCATCCATTCTTTGTTGATGACGTTGCTGTTGTAATTGTATTTTATATCCAATCTTTTTGAATTTGAATGCCAATTGTTCATATACTAAGAGAGAGAGAATATATAATGCAAAAGAAAATGGAAGATCATTAGTAATATTATGTAATGTAATTAAATGCATATAATATTTGAAAATCAAAATATAATGATGATGATGAGAAACTTACTTAGATTGAAACTCATTGCTACCAATGTCATACCGCCAAGTATATAGATGACAATAATGATTATTCGTTTTTTCGATTCTGTCTGGCTTGGTTGATTCACTGTTGTTGTTGTTGCTATTTGTTGATGATGATGATGATAATGTTTTTTCGGGCAATATGTCACCAAAACCAATTGTACTATTGAAAAAAAGGAAATATAATAAATTAATTAAATTATGGATAATTATGTAAATCAAAATTGTTGAGAACAAACCTGAGTGTAACAAAACAAAAATAGGCACCATCAAGAATGGGTAATCCTTCCCAAATATGAAACATAACACTACCGGCCATTATATACAATGTAATCAATAGGAAACAGAAATAAAATGGTACATTATCCGTTGCCTGGCGACTATTGTTTGCACCAAAATCATCGAAACCAAAATTCGATGAATCTGATTGATGTAATTTATGATACAAATGATGATGATGATGATGATGTAAATGTTGATGATGAAGATCTAGATCTAATTTATTTGTCGATTGATGATGAATTGGATGATGGAATGCTGTATTAAATGGCGATCCATCACATCCACTAACACCAGTACTAAAATGATGATGTGGATCCAATGTTGTACCAGTACCTGGATAGGTTTGAAATTTTGTATCACAAATATGATGATGATGATCCATAACTAATGGATCGGATAATTTAGCTGTTGGATCAGTAATAGCCGTAGTGGTAGTGATGGCAGCGGCATTTGGATCCAAAAGATCACATGAACAGGCTCGATTATCATAATGTCCAGTACCAGTGCCTGATACAGGTGGATAAATGGAATTTAATTGAGCATAATTTTTTGTCTTATTTCCAATATTATTCATATCTAATGTAGATAATAGGCCACTACTATCACCACCACCAATATTATTCAATGCAATATGATGTATTTGATAATTATCATGATGATGATGTTGTTGTAAATGATGTAAATGATCTTGGCTATTATTATTATTATTATTATTATTTGGTGTTGTCGTCGTTGTTGTTGTTGCTCCTATCGTTGTGGTTGGTGTTGGTAAATTTTGAAATGAATGTTGTAATGATGATGATGATGATGAATCCACACCATTTGGATTACAATGACAACAGAATTGATATAGATATTTAAGACCACGGCCAAGTAGGCTACCAATTGTGGATAAAAATAATAACATTATTGGTATACCAAATAATGCATAAATTATTGTTGTTAATTTTCCTTCCACAGTTAATGGACGGTTTGCATAACCTAAAAAATTTAAAAAAATTAATCAATCAATGAAAATTTAAAAAAAAAAAAAAAACACAATTCAATTCATTACCAATTGTCGTTATAATCGATATACTATACATCCATGAATCAATAAATGACCAACGTGTATAAAGATGTTGATGATTAGAATATTGATAATGTTGTTGTTGTTGTTGTTGATCATCAGAATTCTGTTGATGATGTTCTATTGATTGTTGATCATCACCATTATCTACATTATCATCGTTATTTATTGTTGTTGTTGTTGTTGATGATGATGATGATGTACCAGTAAGATCATAAACCATTGGCCAATAACCATCTTTAAATGAATCAATCAATGTACGTTGAAATTGTTCAATCTCTTTTGTTGCCATTGTTGTCCAATTTTCTTTATATAATACATTTAATTTATATGTTTCAATCCATAAACGATCCACTGTTTCATTACGTATACGTTCAATAAGACGATTTCTTTCGATAATGTTTGGTTCTATTTGTTTTGGGTTAATTTTCAAATTAACGAAAAAAAAAATTTCAGGAATAGAAAAAAAACCAAAAAAAAAAGATCGTGAATTTCAAAGAAATGAGAAAAAAAAATCATCAAACATCAGCCAATGCAAGTATAAAATATCGATAATATTGACGAAATGGGAAAAAAACGGAGAGAAAAGAAACAGACAGACAGACAGAGAATTTTACTTTTTGTTAAATTAGCATCATCTATTATTTACGGTATAAATATAAAAAAAAACAACAAGAATATTGAGAATTGGATAGAGAGAAGAGAGAGAGAAAAAAATTGCCGCTGTTCCGATATATTTACTGTCATCATTATAACATTAACATCAACACATTATATCAGTCAACATACATGGCTATTTACAATCAACAACAACAACAACAACAACAACAGCATCAAAAGTCAAATCAAATACCATTCTGGGGTATATATCTAGAATATATTTCTGATCTTTTTTTTTTTTTTGGTTCATTCATTCATTCTTTCTATCAAACATTCTTGAACAACGTTGACGGCAGCGGCCGTATAAGGGGATGGCCCCCAAAAAAAAAAAAAAGACAATCAATAGTGAATATATTCTGTTCGCTGGTTCTTATCTTTTTTTTGTTGTTGTTGTTGTTGTTGTTGTTTTCTTTCATCGTTTTTTATTGTTTATTGTTTATTATTATTATTACTGGAAACACGCGGGTGTTCCTGTGGTTCATTAGGTTCATCATCATCATCATTTTCCATTGCCACCAACATCAGACTAACAACATAAGTTTTTTTTTTGTTTTTTTTTAATATTTTTAGTTCAATACGTGTTTGTAATGTGTGATGGAGGGGAGGTAAAATAAAAATAAAAATAAAATGTTAATGTTCATCGTCATGATGATGATGATGATGAGAATGTGGAACATTTTTTTTTCTTCTTCACTGTAAATCAGAATAACGAAGAAAATTGGTTTTTTTTCGTTTCCTGGTAAAAAACAACAACAACAACAAAAAGGTGAACCAAGGGACCTATTTGTACAATATTTTTGATGATGATGATCATCATCATCATCAATTCAATGATTTTTTTTCAATCGAAAAATTACCATTACTAACAACAACAAATAATAACAATAATCAGGATAATCAAAGACAAACTACTTATTTTTTGAATGATAATGATTCAAATCAATCGATTGATTTGAATATATATTGATTACTTACCTTCAAAATGACGGAATAAAAATGCACCAATAATAGTATAGGCAAGCACTAGACAACCAAGGCCAATATGTGAAAAAATAAAGGCAAAAAATTTAAAACAAAAATTCCATTGCCTTCGTACAATATTATTATTATTGCCACCATTTTTATTATTATTTCGACGATTAGTTTTGATATCAGCCGTTGATTTATTAATCGAATTATATGATTGCTGATGTTGTTGTTGTTGTTGTTTATTAACCGCCTCTGTTTGATAGGCTGGATCCGTACGATATGATGACATGATTTTTTTTTCTATTTTGGTTTGTTTATGTTTGAATTCTTTGGATTCTTTCTTGATGCTGATAATTAGATAATAAAACAATGAAAATGAATAACGGGATCAGGAACGCCCCCCCACACACACACGATAATGTTGATAATAATGGGTGTTCAATAGTTAATCAATCGTCAATAAGGCGACAATATTCTTTTTCCATTCTTTCATTCTCTATATTTATCCAAAACAATTTTTTTTGGACGACATATTATTATTCTCTCTGTTGTTTTGTTTTGTGTTGTTGTAACCAAACAAATTGACAGAAGAAGATGGAAAAAAAACTTTTTCTCTGTTAGTACAATGAGAGAGAGAGAGAGAAACAAAAAGTTTACTACAACGGTCTAATAATTAGGTTTTCGGGTTTCGTTGTTAAAGTACTGGTGGTGATGTTGTTGTTGTTGTTGTTGTGAAGAAGAAGAATTGAGAAAAAGAAATGGAAAAAAAGCCGGAAGAACAACAAAAAAAAATCAGATAAACACACAGCCGAGAAGAGAATTGCATGAGCAATTACATGATTATTCAATTTGTTGTTCAACAATGGAATATCTGTGGAACACAAATATAATAAACAAAATAAACATCGGGAGAAAAAACATTGGAAAGTTGATAATTACGATGATGATGATGATGATTGAAAATCAAATAATAAACAAATGACCGATGATGAATTCATTCATTCAATCATCATGGGAAAGTTTTTTTTTAACTATCCTCAGTAAACATGTGAAATTGTCGGAAAATTCACAACAAACAATCATCAACATCGTCATCACTGGTGACATTTAAAAATTCGAATGTTTTGAAATTTCGAATGTTTTGTTGTTTTGTTGCTCATCGTTTGATGTTTTTATTTTGCAGATTTCTTATTTTATGATGATTCAAGAAGAAAATTTTTCTTTTCATTTTTTTGAAAAAAAAACTTTTTGGGTTGAGATTGCAAAAAAAAAAAATTTTCATCTATATATGAACGAGTTACATTGTATTCATCGTCATCATCATCATCATCATTATTGGACCGGATGGATCATCATCATCATCATCAACATCATCGACGACAACAACAACAAAATTCAATGGTCACGAAGCGACACAGAATGGATCTATATTCAAATGGATCACTGATGATGATGATGATGATGATGATAATGACAGTGTTGGCGTTTTTGTTGTTATATCATCATGAAGATTATGCATTCATTCATTCATTCATTATCAATGAACCAAAAATGAATAAAAAAAAACTCATGAAATAGTGAAAAAAAAGATAAAGTGTTCGATGATGATGATGATGATGATGATAATGGTGAGTTCAACTATTTAGTTCACTCAAGTTCTTCATATCCATTTTTTTTTGTTTGTTTGCAGTATGGATAAAACGAATAAAAAAAACAAAAAGAAGAAGAACAAGAACAAGACCAAGAAGAACAACGAAATCGAAACGACTACTATGGCACTAAGTTCTGTGTGTTTGGAAAAAAAAAGAAGAAAGAAAGAAAAAAAAATTGAAGAATCAAAATGAAAATCCAAATGAGAATCTATCACTAACAAACCTATTGCAGTATACTATCATCAAGCCATAATAAAGTATAAAATGAATGAACTGAATAGAAGTGAAACATACCCATACCATACATTGATGGAAGAATATTTTTTTTTCTTTGACTCGACTCATTTCCAGAAGAATCATGAAGTGTGTGTGTGTGTGTGTGTGTGTGCTATTATTCGACTACTAGCGACCAGACTTGAGAATCGAACCGACTATCCAAACAACAACAACAACAACAACAACTACAATAATAAAATATGGATCAAAGTGGCTCCAAATTTTTTTTTCTTTTTTTAGCTTTTTTTTTTTTTATTATTTGTTTCTTTGGTTTGATTTAGATTCTGTTCATATGTATCTCTCGTTACAAAGTTTGTATACCGACCACTATATCTGGAACATCCATATATATATAGTATATTTGGTGATGTCGTTATTTCTCTATAGAACACATTGTTTTGTAAAAAAAAATAAAACAAATTCATCTCACTATGTGTGGCAACGTCAAAAAAAAAACCGATTCTGGTTCATATAGCTGAGAAAAAAAAAAAAAAAAAAAAAAAATTCTGATGGAACAAAACGGTAATAGTGGTAGTACACACACACACACATTCTCCCGGGTACAATGGCCCGAATTTGAAGGAATTTTTTTCTTTTCGCAAACTTTGTTGTAATATATCGCATACACACCCTCAAATAACCACAATATAAAAATAGGGTGGCTGTCATATCAACCACCTCTCAATTTTTTTCCGATAGTTTGTTTTGTCAACCAAACCCAGAAATTTTTTTTTTTTTTTTTTGGTTCCAATTCAGTGTTTCAGTTTTATTTTTTTTTCATTCATTCATTTCTATTCATTCAATGAAATGAAATGAATAAGTCTATCGTTTTTTTTAGTTAACTAAGCGAGATAGAGAGAGAGAGAGAACGGATAAGTTTACCCATTTACAACAAGAACTTCTTGGAAATATATTTGAAGCTAAATTATCTGCGTGTGTGTGTGTGTGTGTGTGTGTGTTTCTGAAATCAGATGGATGATGATGATGATGATGATGATGGCAGGGGTAATATAATAGGATTCATTACATTTTTTTTTTCTTCGCCATTCATAATATTCGATAGTATAGTGTAGTCATAGTTCGTAGAACTTGAACTCGAATCCGGATCCAAAACATACACACGCACACACAAACGAACATGAAGAATGATATCAATAAATGGAATAGAAAAGAATCCATCGGGGACATTCATTCATTCATATACAAGCAGAAAGTATAGTCATTATTGCAAGCATAGCTTTTTTTTTATTGGCCACCAATCATTGAAAATTGTCGCAATGTTTGAACATTGAAGAATCGATATTCTGTTTTCGAAATGTGAAAACCAATGATATAGAAATAATTTTGAGGAGAAAATCTGCAGGAAAAAAAAGATCAAAAAGAAATATATAAATAAATCAATTAATGTGGCTAAATTGATTCGATTGAATTTTTTTTGCTCGTTGTATCATTGGAATCAAACATACCATGTTCCATCATCATCAGATACATGTTGGAGGAGAATAAAATATCGATTACATTATTATTTCTTGAATTTTCTTTTTTTTGGCAAAAAAAAAAATGACAATTTCATGGTCATTTTGGTCATATGCATTGAGGAGAATTTATTCATTCACAGACGTTGAATATGTGTGTGTGTGTGTGTTGAGATAAATGAATTTTGGATTCGAAATTTTGTTTCAACACTTGAAAATTCTTGTTCAATTTCATTTTATAGTTTGTTGAAAATCGAATCGAATCGAATGTTTTTTTGAATGAATGAATGAATGATGATGATGACAATTCCATCCGGAATCAAATTGATGATGTTACTTTTTTTTCTCTCTCTCTCTCAACACTATTCAGTTGTTTTTGTTTTCGTGAAAATCGAAAATTCTAATGTCATGACCAGACACTTGAATTTTTTCTTCATTTTTTTTTTGCTTTTGTTGTTTCGAAGTTTTATGAGGTCTTGAATTTTTAAAAACCCCATTGGGCAGCAACAACAGCAGGAACTGAATTTTATTTTATTTTTTTTCAACAACAAAAAAAAAAAAAATAGATCATTATGTATGTTTTTTGTTACTGCTTGTTTTTGTTTGCTATTTGAAGATATAAATGTAAATTTATTCAAATTTAAATTGACAAGGTAGTTGGTATATAATAATAATAATGATGATGATGATGATGATTCAGAATTTCGATAAAATTGAAAAGAAAAGAAAAAACAAAATTGTTATTATTGTCAAGATCAAAGAAACAAACGAAAAATGAAATGAAAAGAAAAATCAACATTCGAAAAATTTTAAACTCAAACTTTTTTTGTGTGTGTGTGTGTAACAAATAAGGTCAAAATAGAATCGAAAATATTAAAAAAAAATCATCATCATCATCATTCATATGTTATGTTTTGAATGAACCAAATTTCGGCGACGAATCTTAATTGTTTTCGCCATTCCTGTAGATAAATGCCGTTGATTAATTCGTTCATTATTTGTTGTTGTTGTTGTTGTTGATGATGATGATGATGGTGATTTTGTTGACGAATGATGATGATGTTTATTTATCATTCTATTGGCAATATCTATCATTGCCGAAGTGGCCGGAAATTGAAAAGGAAAAGGTTCACGTATTGATTTCGATTTTTGCGGATGTTGTTGCTGTTTTCCCATAATGATCGATGATCGTTCTTTACTAGCTTTGACCATGTTGTCCAATGTTTTTTGTGATCGTAAAATTTGCAATATCAATGGTTCTCGTTCATTTGACCTGGTCTTTTTCTTTGACGACGGTTTTTTCTCCTTATTTTCAGTTTGTTGTTTCTGTTCCGGTTCTTGTTGTTGTTGTTGTTGTTGCTGTTGTTTTTCTTGTTCCGATTGTTTTTCATCACACTCATGATTCACGATATTTTGACTTGACCCAATAACATCAGTATTATCATCGGTATCATCATGATCTTGATCATCATGTTTAACAAATGGAATGGTCAAATTGAAACAATCTGGATATGGAATCATTTCCGGTGTAAACATTATCACTTTCTCGTCATCTTTATCATTTTCTCTTCCAATGTCATTAGAAACATCATCATCATCATCATCACTAATGGCCACAATAGTTTTTTCACCAAATTTTTCAATCTGTGCAACATTCGGTACGGCTTTAACACGCATCTGAATTGTTTGTCCAAAATATTGGCCATCATGCCAGAAACGCCATACACTATAGAAAATTTTTTCTTCACAAACATCGGCCGGTATCATAAAATCCATTTGAACATCATATTGTTCATCTGCTTGCAATGATAATGGTATAGATTTTTTTCCATCAATTGGATCAATATTTGAACCAAGACAACGAAGTTCAGTACCGGTTGGCCAATCAAAATTACCATTATTACCAATATGCCAGATTTTTGTGAATCGTGTACCAGGTGTATATTGTTCATAACAATCTTCAGCAATCGATAGATCACGTTGTAATTCACCAAGCAATAGGATAAGATTTTTTCGAAACATTTCAATAGCTGGACGTGTAGCTTTAACGATTGGATTTGTTATTGTATTATTTGAATTTAAAGATTTTGGTTTGATTTTAATAAAATCAAATGGATGTAATTCTTCACTTCGTTGTTCACATTGTTCACATAATATTACTTCATGACAATGTGAACAAACATAATGCACCATTTCGGCCGTACATGGCTGTACACAACGATAACAGGTATGAATTTCATTGGCCAATTCTTTTGTTTTTTCAATACGTTCTGGTAATCGTTGTAAATCTTGTACATAATATCGAATTGCTTCAATCATTTGTGATATGGTCCATGTACCGGATGATGAATTGATCAAAATGGACATTAAATCCATTTTTTCACCAATATTAAACATTGAACGATAGGATTTCTTTTTCAAATTCAAATTATTCTGATTTCGATTTGTCGATGTTGCCGATGCTGTCGCTGTCATTTGTCCATTCGTCATTGTTGATTGACCATTCATAGTACCACCACCACCACCACCACCACTGCCACTACCATCTGTTGTGATATTATTATTATCATCGATTAATGATAATAAATCAGATAAAACGGAAAATATCATCATTGATAATGAATTTTCAATTTTCAATTTTCAATTGCTCAAAAATAAACAAACAAACAAACAGAAAAAAACAACGCACATTCACCAAGAATGCTCAATTTGTGTGTGTCGAATTAAAAACAAAAATTTAAATCGAACACAGCACCATCTGTCCGACATTCATTGAAACTAAAAATCCGGTATATTCATTTTGCATTGATAATCTTGGCCCATTGTGTTTTTTTTTTTTTTTGACCATTCATTCATTCAATGAATGAAAATCTAAACTTGTTGAGCAAGATTCTTTGCATACAACAACAACAACATCAACAACAATAATCATTTTTTTTGTTGAGAAGATTATTTCATTCTGGAATGATAATTATATAGCCCAAAAACATGATGATGATGATGATGATAAAGGTCGAAGGTCATAATCATCATGATGATGATGATGAAGGGAAAAAACTTTCGATTGATTCGAATGTTTTCTCTCTCTCTCTCTCTCTCTGTGTGTCTTTTGAAAGACAAAAACATTTTGATGACAAGTAGAATTGATGAATGAACTTGATCTTCATCATCATCATCATCATCATCATCATTATCGTTGGTCGACACACACACACACACACACACACACACACACACACACACTAAGATACAAATTTGACAAAATGTTAAAAGACAAAATTTACAATGTCACATTTTTTTTGAGGAGAAAAAGAAAATAAAGTTGTCACATTTTCTTTCTGGATTACTTACTTTACTTACTATGACTTGAAACGAGAAAAAAAATTGTTACACAGATGACCAATGGCCGAATATATGCGGTGTGCATGTGTGACATGTATATATTAAATTTAATCCATTCACATGCACACATACACGATATAAAAAAAGTGTCGAATGTCCAAATCGAATCGAATTGACATTTTTTTTAAAAAATTTATACCCCAGTGTACTCAAATTTCATCATACAGTCATACAGTTGATTATTAAAATGGTTTTTTTTCTCAAAAAAAAAGTCAGAAACACCCGATATATATGAGAGCTATGTTGAAAAATAAGTAAGAAAAATGATCAAAAAAAAAAGAAAAATCGTCTTAAAAGATTCTTTACCTCGATTTGTGTCATCGATGATGATGATTCGTGTTCATCTTCTTAAAGTGATTTTATAATCAAAGAAAAAAAAATTTAATTCAATTCAAAAATTTTTGATTCATCATCATCATGATCATGATCATGATCATCAAAACCACGCCAAAAATTAACAAAACAGCAAAAATTTCAAGGTGAAAACCAAAATGGACAGGAAATTCGAATCGCAAATGAAAAAAAAGAACGAAAACATTCGAATGATGCAAAATAGCCTTGAGGGTTCGACAAATTCGACAGCATCAACACAGCAGCAGCAGCAGTAGCTAAAATAGAATGTTGGCTATTTCCGTTCTGCTTGATTCGAATTCTATTCATTCATTCATTCATTCACTTGTTGTTGTTGTTGTTGTATTATTATCAACGACAAAAAATCAACTTTAAACATCAAGCAACCGAATTAAGAAATTCACCAATCAACCATCAACCATCACCATTATCATTATCATCATCATCATCATAATAATAATAATAATCAAGTGTGCTAAGGTCGACAAGGTTAACGAAAAATATCAAAAATCAAACTTTCAACTACCACAATGAACACAGGTCAAATGTAATTTCACTTTCGTTATGCTTTTATACAAAAGATAAATGTAAACTTTTACCTCGGAATCCATCATCATCATCATCATCATCATGGTGTTATCTTTCAAATATTTGATGGTTTCTTTCCCTCGTTCTCTCTCTCTCTCTCTAGCTTGTTTCATCATACATTCCAGAGATGATGCGTCTCATAGACAAGGTTAGATGTACAACAACAAAAATCTACCTGAATCTCTGATGAAAAAAAATGTGTGAGAATCAACGCCATCAAGCAATTCAATATAAACATTGCTTGAATACCATCATACACAAAACAAAAATTCATCCAAAACCGGCACACACACACACACACACATATAAACAGGTAGGTACCCTGGTAATGCGAATAATACCTATAGGTAGGTTTGGCATTTTTTTTTTGACATTTCTTTTCCTGCATCATCACATCTTCATAAGAAAGAGAGAGAGAATGGGTAGTAGTAGTAGTAGGCCTTTTCTTTCTCTCATTGTGAATGTTTTTTTTTTTTTTTTTTGTATTTTTAAATTCACAAATTCGCCAACAACATTTTGCACAAATGGACATGTGAAAATAGTTCATTACGATTCATTCGAATTTTCTCCTTTTCTATTTTTTTTCCCATTCATTTGTAATGATGATCATCATCAATGATAATAATAATCCGTTTTCTGTTTGATTATATAAAAGATTTCTTTTCTTTTCTTTTTTATTTCATTTAGTTGTTGTTAACAAACAAACAATCAAACATCACAAAGTTAGCATCATATTCACACACACACACACACATGCGAAACAACGGTCGTCGTCTGATATACAACGAGATACAGTCAAAGATTTCTTCTTCTTTTTCTTTTTTATTTCTGATTTTCACACGGAACCAAACGAACTAGTCGATTGGCTGCCATATGGATGATGAACACAGCAACAGATGTTTTTTTTGATGGTTAAAATTTGTCCTTTGAATGTCACCAATATTTGAATATTTTGTTTGACAAAATCCACATTTGCTGTGTGCATGTGATATCGGAACTAAGGACCAAAATTTTTTTTTTGTTTTGATCATAAATCCACTCATATCATATTATATACATCCGTTTGTTTTTTTTTCTGGTTGTCACACCTCCACCCACCGACCGCCTAAATACCGACTCATCATCATCATCATCATTATCCACCATGTTATGACCATATGTGCCCATTCCTATGTTGTTCGTGTAATTATCATTAACGTGAATTGTGTGTGCATGTATGTATGTATGTATGTATGGTCAATATGGACAACAACAACAACAACAACAACAAAGATCATCATTATCATATCATGAAAATAATAATTGTGAATGAAAATTGAATTGAACCATATGAACTACAAGTTTGTATGTGTATGTGTATATGGTTGTAATTTTGTTTGTTTTGTATTTGGCCTAAAAATTGTGAGAATAAAAAACTCCCATGGCCTCTATTCGGTCTCATCATCATCATCATCATAAGCAAAGAAAGACAGTAAATCCAAAAAAATAAAAAAAAAATAAAAACGATCATTTAGAGAAAAAAAGACATCTGTGTGTTGTTATGTCTCGTGTGAATTTAGATTCAAGATTCGTTTGATTTTTTTTTTATTTTCTTTGATTGTGGTATGTATGTATGTGTGTGTGTGTGTATGTCTGTCTATCTGTGTTTGGTGACCATTTCATTTCCTTTGATATCCATCTTTGTGCATTGGATATTTTCTTTCTGTTGTCTCTTTTCTTATGTAATTTGATTAAATCATTATTAAAAAGTAGTGGAGTGAAGAAGAAAAAAAAATTCATAATTGTCAAGAAAGAAAAAGAAAAAAAAATGTTCCCCGTTATAATTTTCATTCCCATCTTCTTATGTTGATTCATCCACATTCACATTGATCATCATCATTCAGACATTTCAATCAAAAAAAAAAAAAATTTTTTTTTGTTTCGTTTCCATATTCAAATATTCAAAAGCCACACAGTTTTGCAAACATATTGTGTGTGTGTGTGTACATGTGTGTGTGTACATCTGCAATTTTATTTTTGACTTCTGGAATTTCATTTCATTTCATTTCAAAATATTGGAAAATCCCAATACAACATACACAAATTTAGCAAAAAAGTAAAAAAAAACGGTTTTTCTTTTGGATTTTCCCTTGCTGCTACACTTTTCCAATTCATTGCATTTTGATGATCCAATTTTTTTGATTTCGTTTTCTAATTCTTCAATATATATTATGTGTGTGTATGTGTATGTTTAGTTTGTGTTTGATTGCCGGTTTTATTCATGTAAATCTTATTTTTTAAATATCCAAACAAACAAAATATTTTCTTTTGTCGTCCGAATTGTGTAAACACACACACACAAATAAGACCTCCTGCTTTGGCATTACACCACCATTTGATTTTTTTTCTATTCAATTCAAAATCAATTCAAACATACATTGATTGATCTTCGATCGAAAAAAAAAAAAACAAAAACATACACACAGCTGCACGATTACGACCAAAGAATTGATCAGAAATTTTTTTTCATTTTTCATTTTGATTTTGAATGTGATTTGTGAATGACGAATTTCTTTTTTTTTTTTTTTGGTTTCGATTTCGTATAAAAATAATGTTTTGATTGTTTTTGATCACGAATTATTTGCCACTGAAACATCAATCAAGAAAATACACAACCGATTGTTTTTAGTGATTTATTTTTCATTGTTTTGACATTCAATCATAAACATTTTGTGTGTGTGTGCATATATATAGTGGAGAATATTCATTTCATTCACATGCAACGATCATTCAAATCAATCAACAAGAAATAATAATCATATATAATTGAAATGAAAAATTGAATTCCATCGATCACACCATCATCATCATCATCATCATCAAAATTAACGACGTCCATAATTTTTTTTTTGTTTTGTTTTCGTGTGTTTCGTGGTTTTTTTTGTTCATTTGTATTTAACCATCAACAACAACAACAAAACGTTCATATCACATTCATATATTCATCATTCACCTGCTGCTGAATTTTTCATTTCAAATTCAACAACAACAACGACAACAACAGCAGGAAGAAAGGAAAAAATAACTTAACCGATTCAATCGATCAACAACAACAAAAAACCATAACCAAGAAATAAAATCTAAATTAAATATTCAAAATACAGAGGAAAAAAAACCTGTTGGTCTTTTTTTTCTTGTATTCAAGTATAATTATTATCATTATTATACAAGTTATACAATAACAACAACGACAGAAAATCCATACATAATCGATTTGAATTCAAATTCCAATAACAACAACAACAACAACAACAACAACTACAGCTACAACAACTACAACAAGTTTTGAAAAATACATCATCGCCGAATAAGGCACATGTTATTGATGAAAACTCTTTGAAATTTTCTATGAGAGCCTAAAAGGTAAGTTTTTTTCAATTATATTTGCAAATGAATGAAAGAAAAAATCAAATCAAATCAAATCAAATCAAATGAATCAATCAATCAATCAATCATTTATTCAAACATCATACCATGGCTATAAAGTCATCTTGAATTTTTTTTTTTTTTTTTGTTCTTTCCCATCAAGAATCATTATAATCCACGCACAAAAAAAATGTATGCATTCTAAATAAGGTATTGGTGTGTGTGTGTGTGTGTGTGTTTGTCGTTGGTAGTCAGGGCTATAATAATAATAAAATTGTTTTAATTAATAAAAAAAACATGACAAACGGAAGCCGCATTTTTGGCTTTTATATTTGAATCAAAAACAACAACAACAACAAGATGATTAGCCTATATAAATAATGTACGCCCTCTTGTTTTTAGCTGATGATGATGATGATGATTCTAATCAATTGTTTAGATTATTGATTAGAATCCAAACATTCAATGATTATGATGATGATCATAACGATGATGCCTTGAAGCTATTGATTGCCTTAAACGTAATCATCATCATCATGATAATGATGTCTACATCTGTATAATCATTCTATATATTTTTATGTGAGGGTTTTTTTTCTGTTCATTCTTTTCATTGAATGAATATAAATGGAATATAATCATGATGTTTGAAACTAAATTTTTTTTTTAGTTATAAATACATAAGCAATAATAATGATAATAATGTCCATCTGTCATCACTTTTATATATTATAATAAAAGCCAATTTGATTGGGGGGTGTTAGGTAGGTGTGGGGGGAGGGTCAATGGCAAATTGATGATGACGGTGATCATCATCAGCCAATGACGCCTACACAATCATTTCATTTCATTTTTTTTTACTGGCTTTTCGTTTTTTTTGGTCTAATTTTATTCTCAGAATTTAATGAATGAATGTAAGAAGATGAAAACAAAAAATTCTCAGAGGCAAGCTGTATCTTTTTTTTAATTAAATTGGTTTTGTTTTGTTTTGTTTTTCGTCCTGTCTAAATGATGTTTTCATCATCATCATTAAAAGTTATTTTTGTTTACTTCATAATATAGATAAATATAAATGGTTGAAAAGTTTTTGTTTTGATTTTTTTTGTCCGGCAATCTTGATATTTTTATTCATGATGATGATGATGATGATGTGCGAGAAATTTTAAACATTAGACTACAGGGTGAGCGATAGCATCAAAAGACAAAACAAAACAAGGACGAGAATCTTTTGAAAAACAATAAAGATTCTCACGATTAAGAAAAATTTTCTTTTTTTTATATATATATTCAAATTAAATTGCAAATTATGTAAATATATGTGAATTGTATGTTATGAAAATGTGTCGAGTTTGCAAACATTTTGACTCTTTTTTTGTCGTTATCATCTTATTGATGACATCGACATATGTCATATGAAGATGAACTTTTGGTCATTTAATTTATTGTTTATATGTGATTTAATAATAATTATTATTATATGTACCTGTTGATGTCAGTTTTTTTTTTGTTCGCAATGGTCATTATAACTAAACATATATGCAATGGACTTGCATTTACATTTTACATATGATGGATGAATGAATGTAAAGATTGGATAACTTGAGATGATTATATCTCATTGTTCATCATTATAAAAAAATAACATGATGATTACAATCATCAATGGTTTTGCTTTGTTTTTTTTTGATTTTTGAATGTAAATTTCATTTTCAAGTCGTTAATTTTTTTTTTTTTTTATATATTTAATCAACAGTTTGTCATTGTGTTTTTTTTCTATTCTTCTGTACCATCAACAAACATAAAACGCCATTATAATTATGTCAAATGGATTTCTCTTCTTCTTCTTCTTAATGTGCTCAAAATAAAATAAGAATGTGGTCTGAATTTTTTGTTGTTCTTGTTCATTCAGCATTTCACAATGGTACGAAGAAAAAAAGAAATTTTCTCTGCTAATTTTTGATGATACAAGATTATCATTGTCTACTAATCATCATCATCATCTTCAATGAATCAAGTGTCTTGTGTTTTTTAGTTCTGAATCAATGAATCATTGCCATTAAGATTTAAAAACGGAAATGAAACATTTCCAGCCGTTTTTTTGCTTAATTTTTTTTCTTTCATTTCATTTTGCCATTAAGATAAAAAAAGTTAAGATTTTTTCTTTTCCATAGAAAACATATGTGGTGGATTTTTTTTTTTTATTGAATGTGTTCTCATTTAAAACTTTTTTCCTTTTTTTTCCATTTGTATGCGTCATTTCAATCATATTTTGTGGTGTTAATTTAATGCCAAAAAGAAAAATGATCCAATCCATCTACATAGATATTCTTTAGACCTCAATATGATTTTTCTTTTTTTTTTTTTTGCTAAATGAAATTTTATCTCAACCAAAACAGCTTTATAATATCCTATGTTGGTTTCCTGTTACCTCTCTCTCTATTTTTCTTTTACACAATTATTGCTCTGTTTCTTTTTTTCCTATCTCATTGTATGTGTGTGTGTGTTTGAATTCAAATCATATCACAACCGACGAAAAAAACAGACAAGAAAAAAAAACGAATTGAACCCGAACAGCACACACAACAACAACAACAACAAACTATCTTCTTTTAATAAAGTAGTATATGATATGATATGTCATAATTGATTGGGTGTCTGGTCATTATTGTATTGACATTTGTCATTTTTTTTTGTTTTTTTGTTTTGTTTTGTTTATCATCTTCGTTTTTTATTCCTGGATATGATAATATATACACGATGGGTGTGTGTTTATGTGCGTTTGTGTGTGTGTGTGTGAAATATGCAGAGATAACACTTCCGACATTTGTATTATCATCCATTATGATTTGCCGGTGATAATTTTTCAAAAAATCTTTCCCATTTCTCTTTGTGTGTGTGTGTCTGTGTTTGTGTTTGTGTTTTTTGATCAATTGACTTTGACACTTTTTTTCCGTATCACTCATCCATAGTCTTTATTGATGGTGGTGGTGGTGGTGGTAATGTTCCAAAATTGTTGTGAAATAATCAAAAAAAAGCCAATAGATATATCTAGCTTATATTTTATTTTCTATGTCAATATGTGTGTGTGTGTGTGTGTGTGTGTGTGTGTATAGTGGATATTAATAATTGATAACTTTAACTTCAACCACCAAAATCACTAATAATTTGTTTATCTTGTCTTTTGTTATTGATAATAATTACTATGGTAATTGGACACCAATGATGATGATGATATTTTGTATTCATTATCACATTTAGAACAGAATTCTGATGATAGGTATTTCATGAAGCGGACAGATTTTTTTGTTTGTTTTGTGTGTGTGTTTTGGTTTGCACTTTGACATTTGCAAGTTTCTCGTTCTATTTTCTCATTTCCATTGACATTAATAATAATAATTTTCATTTACATTTTTTTCTGATATTTATTTTGTTGACAATTCTCTGTCGATTTGCATTGTAAAAATTATTATCATCATTATCATCATATAATTGAATTTAACCAAAAAAAAAAGAAAGAAAGAAAGAGTTTCTCCTTTGTTTATTCTATTTTCTCTCTCTCTTTTTTTGCCAATTGTTTGTATTGTATTGTAAATCAACCCAATCGTCACCATCATTAATATATGTTATCATCATCATCATCATCATCCGGCTTTACTATTTATATATTCATATTCATATATATTGACCAAGGTAAATGTCAGTGGTCTCTCTCTCTCTCCCCCATTTTTTTTTTCTACATCTCCATTAACACCACCAACACACACACACACACACACACACACAAATGCAAAAACCAAATATACACATAATGAAAAATAATTCAAAAATAGCCATTCATTCGATTCAAATAAACAAACAAACATATCACATAAAGCACACACACACACACAAACACACATCACAAGCTATATATAAACACAACATTCATTCATTCATTTTTTTTCCATATACAAATTGATCAATGTGTCAGGTCATATTTGTAATCCATTCAATCCTAGATGAAAAAAAAAACAAAAAACTTTTTGTTGTTGTTGTTGTTAGATTTATGTCTATGTGCGTTTTTGTGTTTGTGTATATGATTCTGACTCTGAGATACCATCAAATGAACATTAAATATCATTATTATTTTTAATAATAATCGATGTCACAATCGATTATAATCTTTTGAATCTCTACGTGTTTGAGTGATATCAATTTGGTTTGAGTGTTTTTTTTTCTATTGGTTGTATATCTTTTGATCTATGATTTATTATTATTATTATTATTATCATGTATACATGATGTCTATTTCCGCTCCAGTTTTTGTTTTTTATTTTGTTGCTGCTGTTGTTGTTGTTGTTTCTGGGAAATGACAATCATATATTGCAATTCAATTACTATATATAATCAATGGTGGTAGCATATGATGAAATGGTTTGGTTTGATGATGACTTTTATTAATCACCATTTAAAATGTGTTTTTTTTTTTTTCTTTAGTTGATATTCTAAAACCAATTTTTTTCTAATTTTTTTTAGTTTTCAAATTGTTTTTCAGACGACCATATAATCACACCTTTTTTTGAATCATGCTCAAATACGTTTCAACACCAATGCCATTATCATATTCAACATCACCATCATCATCATTATCAGCTTCAAATAATCCAACAATGTTTGATGTCGATCTTAAACGACAATCATCATCATCATCAACATCATCGGATTCAATTTCATTGAATAGTTCTGATAGTATTTCGAATGGATCATCATCGATAATGAATGATTCTATTGAATCGCCCATCACTCATCATCATCATCATCATTCGAATCATTTATTAGTTCCTGTTGTTAATCACCATCATCATCATCATCATCATCGTTCATGGAGTTCATCTTCATCATCAACATCATCATTACCTAGTCTAATAACGGATAATGTTCAATTATCATTACCAACAAAATCAATAAATAATAATGATGATCATCAGAATAAAATTGTTTCATCATCACCAACATCAACATCATCAAATACGATTGATCGTAAATTTGTAATAAAAATATTTACACGTGTTCTTTGTACAGATGTTGAATATAAAACATTATCCATATCTAATCATACAACCAGTCAAGAAATTGTACAGATTATATTGAAAAAATTTCGTCTCAATCATCTAGATCCTAATCTTTTTTATTTAACCCTTGAAGCATGGATTAAACAAACCGGTATACCAATACGTAGTGTTATGGCATTAGATGATGATGCATGTCCAGCATTATTACAATCATGTTATCGACAAAAAGATCTTAAATTCACTTTAGTAATGCGTCGTGGTGAAAATGTTCGTATTCATAATCAATGTAAACATGGGGTAAGTGGTTATTTGTTTGTATGTTTGTTTTTTTTATTTTTGTTTCTGGTGATGTAATATTTTTTTTCCATCCAAATAGCCATCCACTGTAAATATTCTCATATCGGAAAGGACGAATGTTGAAGAGTTAACTCATTTGGTTACCGGTATACTTGATTTACCTACTATAGATAAACAATATGAACTTTATGTTTATTCACCTTCTTGTAAAAGTAAGTGGCTATTTCTAGTTCAATACCAGTAATCATAATTGTATGATGACAATTTTATTTATTTTTTTTTTTTTAGTTGAACAAAAATTGTCACCAACCGATCGACCATTAGCCATACGTATGGAATGGCCAAATCAAGATTTTAATCGTTTCGAAATTCGTCCATCATCATGTCGAATTCAACATCATCACCAATACATTGATAACAACAACAACAACAGCAGTAACGATTCCCGTTTGATAATGGCTGATTTTCGAAAAAATTTCAAATCTGAATTTACTATGAATTTGCTGGGTGCAGCAACCACAACAACAAATCATAATAGTATGGCTATTGCAACGGAAAATCGAAATCACTACCACCACCACAACCACCATTATCCTCATTATCGATCACATCCACAGTTACAGCTACCGCAGCATCATCAACATCATCATCATCATCAACAACAACAACAACAACAACTACGACCGGAAAAGTTCTGTATATTTAAAACAACACTCCCTTCGACAAGAAAGAGGGTCCTGTGTTATATCATTTTGATTCGGTCATCAACATTTTTTTTTGTTTGCCTCTTTATTTCTAGTCTAACCTCATCATATTATTATCAATGATGATTTTTTCGAAATTTTTTTTTTGTTCTTGCTGTTGTATATTGGCAAAGACTTATCGTAATACTGACTGACTGACTGACTGAATTTATAATCAATTGGAATAATAATATTTTATTAATAATAAAAATCAAGAAAAAATTAATCAAAAATTTATTTATTACGCATACGAAAAAAAAAATGATTTCAATCCCATAATAATGAAATTGGATTGTCGAACCAACCAACCCGTGCGTTTATCAAATATAAAACAACACATAACACACACACACACAGACAAAACACAGTTGGAACAGTTTTAAATTTTGGAACATTTCAATTCTAAAAAAATCTCAAATTTTTTTTTTTGTTTGGTCTGGTCCTTCTCTTTGGATTCACACACACACAAACATACATATTGACTGTATGAAGCCAATGTATGTATTACTGAGGACCAATATGGCCCATATATGTATGTGAGTCGGTACAAACACACATAATAATATAATATTTATTTGGCTCAAAACCCCAGAAACACGAAGCAAACACAAACTTATACAATTCACATACACACACACACATATATACAGAAGAAAAAAAAAAGATTTCTTTTCTTCTGTTTTCAATATTTATGCATTTGTTGTTGTTGTTGTTGTTGTTGTCATCAACCCGTCATCGTCGTCAAATGTATATGTGTAACGATCAATTGCGATTGCAGACCATTTTTTTTTCTTTCTTCTTAAAAAACCGATTTGATTCGATGATTCGATGATGATGATGATGATGATGATGATGGTTTGATTTTCTATACGTATTTCTGTTTGATTATAATCATTATCATTTAAACACAACAAAAAAAAATGACGAACGAATAAAGAAGAAGCGCATCAATTTCACTATCAAGAAAGATATCTTCAATGTATGTGTGTGTGTGTGTGTGTGTGTGTGTATATTGTATAGCAAAAGTATTTGGCTTAAATTCAAGTTCTGTTCTTCGATACAGAAACATAAAAACGAATTTCGATGGTCGTCGTTTGTGATGTTGATGATTGGCACTATGATTGGAATTCTTTATGTTGTTTTGTAATTTGTTTTTTTTCATTCATTCATTCATTCATTTTGATTGGTTTGTTCGTCAATTTCGTTTTTGGTGATATGGTTTATTGATGCATACATTATTCTCTTGAAGTGAATTTGATGACGAAAAAAAAGAATCTTCTTTTAAGTCAGAATAAGACAAAAAAAATATATCTCATCACTTGTCATCGCCAAAGAACATTGCCATTGCCGTCAAGTAAAGAATCGTCTGTTTTTTTTTCGTTTTCAGAATTTGATTTTTAAACTTTGAATTCGTTTGTCAAATTGTTCGATTGTGACATTCGAATATCAGTGATCTCAAAACGTTATTGTTGTTTTTATTATTCTTTTTGGCCATGATAAAAAAAAATGACGATAATAATAATGATTATAATCAAACAATAGGCCGAAGGCAATTTCTATTTACGATTTGTTTGACAAAATAGAAGAAAACAAAAACCAATTTTCCTTATTGACAACAACAACAACAACAACAACTTACTTTTTTTTATTTTGTTTCTTGGGTAAACATTATCAAGATCATTTTCTCAATTACGATTTGTTTGTCGATATGATGATGATGATGATGATTGATATTACTGATAGCAATTGATTCAATAACATTTGATTGTTTGTCGTCATATTCTCAATTCGTCGAACAAATTTTTATTTTTATTATTCATGATAATCATCACACACTGTACACTGCCATCATTCATTTCGATATATAAAATTTTGGTAGATTATTATTGTTTTGACTTTAAAAGTCCAATGAACCCGATATTCATCATCATCACCATTATCACCATCATATGTTGTTTTTAATTTGTTGTCGACGCCATTTTTTATTCTCATCTTCATCAAAACGATCATCATCATCGTCATTTGTATTATTTCATTTGTAACAACTTAAAAAAAAACAAGGATTGATCATCCCAAAATCAAATCATTTGATAATTGATTAAATGATCCAAAAATGATCGATCCAAATCAAAAAATTGTATCGATATTATTAATGAAAATCATCATATTAATTATTATCATCATAATCACAAGTTTATCATCAACGAATATTCAATGTTCACGAATAAGAATAAAACATTCGGTAACGATAATCGATACTATCGATTCATCACAACAACAACAACAGCGGCATCAGCAACAACAGCAACCAGAATTCTATTATATCGAACAGGAAGATGATTTTAAATATCAATTACGTAATGTACCATTGGAACAACAGACCATCAATTTTATTGGACAACAACGGCCAAAACGTGCAGCAACAGCACGTTTAGAACGTCTCTGGGATTATGGTGTCATTCCATATGAAATTGAATCCAATTTCAGTGGCGATCATCGTGCCCTATTCAAACAAGCAATGAAACATTGGGAAAATAATACGTGCGTTAAATTTGTTGAACGTACTGCTGAACATCCTAATTATATTATATTTACTGAACGTCCTTGTGGGTATGTTTATTTATATTTATTGGATTTTTCTTTCTTTTATTTGAAATTTTTTCATTTTTTTTTCGATTCAAAATTCATTTATTCATTCGACATCGAATCAACAAATCAAAGCTGTTGTTCATATGTTGGAAAACGTGGTAATGGACCACAAGCTATTTCGATTGGAAAAAATTGTGATAAATTCGGTATCGTTGTACATGAACTTGGTCATGTTGTAGGTTAGTTTCACCAGATATTTCCAGGGAGGATTTCCGCAATTTTCTGGCCTAATAAAAAATTTTTTTTTTATCCCTATAGGTTTTTGGCATGAACACACCAGACCCGACCGTGACGAAAATGTTCACATTATGAATCACAATATTATGCCTGGTATGTTCATTGGATTTTTCTCATTTTTTAGAATTTTCAAAACAGAATATAAATCAAGTGAGAAAGAGAGAATCGTACACTAATCGAAAATTCTGTTTATGTTTTCCTTTTTTATTTTCATTTCTTTAAATTATATAAATTCCAATTTTCAATTCAATTCCATCGAACATGGTCCGTGTACATGTGGGTAAGGTCAGGAGTATAATTTCAACAAACTGACCGAAGATGAAGTCAATTCATTGGGTATCAAATATGATTTCGATAGTATTATGCATTATTCAAGGAATACATTCTCCAAAAGCATTCATCTGGATACAATATTACCGAAATTATCTGCAGTAGGAGATATGGATCCAGCAAATAGGCCTGAAATTGGTCAACGTATACGGCTAAGTCAGGGTGATATTGCTCAAACTAAACTATTATATCGTTGTCCAAGTAAGTGTGTCTAGATGGAATTTTAAAATAGAAATGATGAAATAAATAATTTTTCACTACAAAGAATGTGGCCATACCATACAGGATGAATATGGACAAATTATATCACCAAATTATCCACAATCATCACCACCACCTGAAGGTGAATATTGTGAATGGCGTATAACGGCAACACATGGTGAGAAAATCATATTGAATATTACCGATATCGATATTTATGAAACGAATAAATGTGAAAATGGTTATATCGAAATTCGTGATGGTTATTGGTTTAAATCACCATTAATTGGTAAATATTGTGGTAGCGGTAAAATACCAACATCAATCATATCACAAGGACATCGTATGTTAATCACCTATATGGTTACACCTAATCAACATAATCATCGTGGTTTCAATGCCACCTATGAAGGTTTGTTTGTTTTTTTCAATTTATTCATTTTCATTGAAAGTTTTTTTTTTTTGCACACACACACACACACACACAGAAACAAACATTATGTTAATTTTTGTTTTCATTTTCTCTTCCATTCATCCATCCATTTCATTATAGTCGTTTGTGGTGGTGAAATTGTTGCCGAAAATGGCTATTTACAAAGTCCTTATTATCCAGATGAATATCGTCCAAATAAAGAATGTATATGGCATATAACCGTACCGGATGGCTATCAAGTAGCATTGAAATTTCAATCATTTGAAATTGAAAATCATGATAATTGTGTTTATGATTATCTGGAAATCAAAGATGGTTATACTGATACTAGCCCAATGTTGGGCAGATTTTGTGGTCATAAAATACCTGCCGATATACGTTCGTCGACAAATCATTTATATGTAAAATTTGTTTCCGATTCATCCGTAAGTAAAGCTGGATTTTCCGCTACATTCATCAAAGAAATGAATGAATGTCTGGATTCAAATCATGGTTGTGAACATGAATGTATCAATACATATGGTGGTTATCATTGTGAATGTCGTATTGGTTATGAATTACATTCGGATGGTAAAAAATGTGAAGATGCATGTGGTGGCCTTATTGAATCATCAAATGGAACAATATCATCACCATCATTTCCTGATCTATATCCACCGAATAAGAATTGTATATGGAAAATTGTTGCGCCCGAAGGATTTCGAATCTTATTGAATTTTACATTTTTCGATTTGGAAGGCAACAATGTTGGTGAATAATTGTCTCATTTTTTGTTTTGTTTGTTTCATTAATTATTTTTTCTTTTCTTTTTCGATTAGCAAGATTGTGAATATGATAAATTGGATATCAAAAGCAAACTGAACGATCATTATAGCCCACATGGAATATTCTGTGGATCACGTCTACCACCGATCATAACATCACAAGGACATAATCTTCTTATGGCATTTACATCGGATAATTCCGTACAACGTGGTGGTTTTCATTTGCATTTTTTCACTGGTAAACAAAGTTTTTTTTTAATTACAATTTTCTTTAAAACTAAAATTCATTTTTTTAACTGATTAATTGATAGATCTGGATGAATGTGTCATCAACAATGGTGGTTGTCAACATGTTTGTCGAAATAAAATCGGATCATATGTCTGTGAATGTAATAGTGGTTATGTTTTACATGAAAATAAACATGATTGTAAAGAAGGTAGCTGTTCATATCAGATAACTAGTTCGAATGCTGAGATTGTTAGTCCACAATATCCGGAAGAATATCCAAGTAAAAAAGATTGTACATGGCTATTTATTGCAACACTTGGACATCGTATTAAAATTGTATTTGAAGATTTTGAACTTGAACCACAACAAGAATGTGCATATGATTTTGTTGCCATTTATGATGGTGATACACCTTCTGGACAAACATTGGGTAGATTCTGTGGTAGTAAAGAACCACATCCATTAGTATCATCATCTAACAAGGCATTAATGGTATTTAAAACTGATGCATCCGTCCAACGAAAAGGTTTTAAAGCAAGATACTATACAGGTATGTTGCTGTAAAATTATAGTCGATCAATTATTAAAATTTATCTCACTATTTTTTTTTCTCACTATAGTATGTGGTGGACGATTATTAGCAACAGGATCATTTGAACATTTGTATTCACATTTTAAATTTGGTGATGCAAATTATGATAAAAAAGAAGATTGTGATTGGCATCTAGTAACGGCTGGACATGATAAAAAAGTTTATCTAAAATTTGTTACATTCGAATTGGAACATGAAAATAATTGTTCATATGATTTTGTTGAAATATTTGATGGTGGTGATGATACTGCACCATCATTAGGACGTTTCTGTGGTAATCAGGTAGTATATAGTAATTTATTCTTGCAAAAATCAAAACAAAAAAAAATTGACCATTTTATTAATTATTAATAATTTTAGATGCCAAACGATATGATCTCATCAGGTGATTCATTACTAATACGTTTTCGTACAGATGATTCAATCCATAATAAAGGATTTACATTAATATATTCATCTGTTGAAGCTGATGAACAGGAACAATTTATTAATCAACAAGAACGTAAACAATTGGAGAATCAATTGATTTCGAAATTTTTTTATCCACAACCATCACCATCACAATCACCAATGCCGTCATCGTCATCATTATCTATACATCATTCAACAATTCCTCGTTATCATCATCGACATCGTAATCATAATAATAATCATCATTATCATCGAAATCCACAACAACCTCATCGAAGAAAATTTTACGTATAGAGTGCCAAAAAAAACAATTTATTACGGGAATGATTCACAAACATACATCGATCATCATTTCATTCATATATAATCATTGACAATTTTTTTTTTGGTATTTGGCAGTTTAAAATTAATTATTTTTTCTTGTGATGATTTATTATCAATCAAAAAAAAAAAAAAAATACATTCGATCTACTTACATCATCATCATCATCATTCATCATTCATATTATGATGCTCAGTCAACGACAGAACAATATTCATCTCAGAAAAAAAACGATATCCCGGTTTCGAGCTTGAACAACAACAACAAAAACAACAGAACCTTCCTATCCCTTTTTCCAGGTTCTTCATTTTTTTCTATCTATCTATTCAACAATCCTAACCAAAAACTATTGCTCAAAATATCTTTCTTTTTTTTAAATTTTGTAGGTGATTTAAAATTTTTTTTTCTTGTTTCGTTCGTTCCTTTTTGATGTTTTAAATGAATTTTTTCTTTTGTCTTCTTCTTCTTTACCATTATATATCGAATATATATACAAATAAAAGCAAATTGAGTACCAATTTTTTTTGTTGTTGTTTTTGATGTTCTTTTTTTTATTGATATGCGAACGTGATCATATTCGATTTTGAAATCTAATTTCCGAATCGAAGGGTTCAAAAGATTTGGTTCGATGATTTTTATGATGATGATGATAATCGAACCAAGATAATAACCGAAAGATGATTGACCCAAGCCAAAAAAATTGGTTTTTTTTGGTTTTTTTGGCTGATAACACGTACCAGGTATAAAAATGACCCAGATTTTTTTTTGGTTTGTCGTATTTCATTAGTGACAAAACAAAAACAAGAAATAAAAATCTAGATTTGGTGAAATTCGTCACCAAATGGTCAATCTCCAAATAATTCGGGTCGACTTTTTCTGGTTATATATTAACAAACAAGCAGAAAACATATAAAATGGCCAATGGCCCGATTTATAATTATTCGTTATTCGTTTTGGCACAAATTTCCATTATGAATGGCAATCATAATAATTTTGACATTTTTTTTCAGGTATGAATCATTAAATAATTTCAGTAGCCAACTTGCCTATAATACGGTAACAAAGCAAAAAAAAAAATAATACATTTTTTTTCTGATCGGTTGCCAGTAGCCACCACCAATACAACAGCCAACCAGCGGGTAGTCAATCTGAATATTCTAGGGCAAATATGAAAATATTCTGTGATGGTATCTAGTTCAGTTGATCATCATTTGGGATATACAATTACCTTGTCAAATATTCAGTCAGTCAGTCAGTCGATCAAATAGTGTTCCACAAACACAATAAAAAAAAATAAAACAACAAGAATTTATTCTGTTTCAAACTTTATTCGCTGCCAAACACACACACAAACACACACACGAAAACATAAACGCACAGAATATTTTTTTGTTTGTTTGTTATATGTGGTATTAAGGCCAAGTTTGAATTGTGAAAAAAAAATGAAAATTATGAAATCGACAAAGAATCGATACAAGATCGATCGATTAGATGAATAGTATAGTTTCGAAAATTATTATTGATTATTTCACTATTTCAACTTATATTCGAATTTTTGATTATGGATTCACATTATTCATCATTATTATCAACTATTGTGATCTATTCGGCCATATTATTCATTACGATAATTTTTATTTCAATCGAATCAACCATTGCATATCCACCGATCATACATTATTCACATATAATGCGTATATTAAAAATTCCATATACAACCGAACCGGGTACCATTGTTTACAGGTAATTGGTAAAGTGATGTTAATTTATCCGGAAATTCAATTCATTCGTTTGTTTGTTTGTTTGTTTGTTTGGTCACTCAAGAATCAAAGCCAGCAATGCCGATAATGATGATATTATTTTTGGTAAGTAGTGGTGTTAGACGTTTTGAATTTGAATTTTTTTTTCGTCACCCGTTTTGTAAAGACGTTCTTGAAGATTATGGAAAAACATTGATACGTTTCGATAAGATTAATCCAAACGAAGCAAATGTTATTCTTTTGTGTCCATTGAATGTATGTACCATTGTCTTTGTCTCTCTCTCTTTTTGTGTTTTGTGTTCAATGATGAAACTTTATCGATCCACATTCATTCGATTCGTATTCATTTTTTCTTCTTTTGTTCATTTGTTGTCTCAAACAGAAAGATTCTGAATATAATCTAACAATCTATGCGAATAGTGGTGATGAATCAACATATATTGAATCACGTTTAATTGCAACCGATATTGATGGAATTGCCGCCGAAGAACTTATTCCATTTGTCATCGATAACGATCCAATTTATGTGTTTGAGGTGATTTTTTTTTTTGGTTCATTCTCCTTGTTCAGCATAATTTGATATAGTCAATTTTGTTTATTTTATTTTTTTTTTGCCATTAACTCAGAATGTATCGCTCAACAATTCGATTGCCATAATTAAAGCCCATGAACAAGAATCAAGTGAACTTCCGGTCACGTTCGAATTATTGGTTAGTTCAAACGAAAAAAAATTAATTTAAGTTATTTTTGATATGATTTTTATTTTTGGACAGGAGGATGGAAATATTTTTCATTTCCGTTATATATTTGGTCCTCGTGGTATTACTATAGCTGAAATTACCATATTAAAACCATTGGATTATGAACAACAAAATCTTTACATTTTAACCATATTAGCTTTAGTAAGTTTTATTTATAGATGGTATTACTTTGGTTCTGATTTTCTCTCTCTCTCTAAAGAATGGTAAAACTAGACAAGATATCGACACAAGAAATGTACATCAAACACATTTGACTATTGTGGTCAAAGATGTACAGGATACAGCACCGAAATTTGAAAATTTGCCACAAACCACTCATATCAATGCTTCGTATCGTCCGGTAGATGTCGACAATGATGAAATGGAATGTTTTTAATGTTAATTTTTGAATAAAAATTTTTTTTTCCAATTTCAGAATCAAACTCTGTTTATTGTTCAAGCTCAAGATGGTGATGTCATCGACAAACGAGATTTAATCTATCAGATAAAAAGTATGGAAATTATTTGGATTTTTTTTCCTCATGAATAATTATCATGTTTTTTTTTAAATAGAACCAAATGATAGATTTTTTAAAATCAATTCCAATGGAACCATATCAACGCCATTATCTTTCGATGAATTGAATGAATTATATGATATACGAACACCGATAACGTTAATGATTGAAGCCAATGAAATTGTAAAACAAAGTTTATTGCCAAATAATTTGGCCGAAAATAATAATTCATCATCCACATCATCTCAATCACATCTGATAATCATATTCAATTTGAATAATCGAAAACCTCATTTTTCACAGCCACAATTTATAGCCAACATTGATGAACATAGTCCATATTTGACTTCAGTTCGTTGGTCATCATCAAATGGCCACAATCCAATGGTATCGGATCCAGATTATGGTTTCAATGGAACGTTTGTTCTTCGAGCTTATGATCCTACAAATACATTCATCATATCACCAATGATTGGCTATAAAAATCTTACATTTACATTGTTGGTTAATGATTCTAATTCATTGGATTATGAAAAATATCATAATCTAAGCATTCATCTTAGCGTACAAGATACATCCGAAGAACAGCCTCTTTCATCGAATGTAACATGCACAATTTTTATCAACGATATTAATGGTATTCTATTCTATGGTATTGTTACTCAAGTGACGGTTTTGATTTTCATATTTTTTTCAGATAATTATCCCGAATTCACACAAAATAGATACTATAGTTCAATGTTGGAAAATGCTGTAGAAGGAACCACTGTGACCACTTTATCGGCCACTGATAAAGATACTGGTGATTTTGGCCGCATTCGTTTTACTGAAATACGTGGTCCTTTTGCACAGAAGTGAGTAAAATCATGGAATAATTTCCTGAATTTTAATTTGGCCACATTTTTTCTTTATAAAGTTTCAAGATTGATCCTGTAACCGGGACAATCATTTTGATTAGCAACAATCATGATATCGATCGTGAAAGTATGGAAGAAATTTTTCTAACAATCGAAGCACGTGATAACAATGGCCAAGGAAATCGTAATACTACCGAATTATATTTACAAATTTTAGATGTCAATGGTAAAAAACGAATTTGATTTAATCTAAAGTTTGCAATTCATTCATTTTTATTTCACAACAATGTAGACAATCAACCATTATTTTTACAGCCATATTATGTGGGAATTCTTAAAAATGATCTCAAGGAATTTATTCATCCATTAAAATTAGATGGTAAGAATTTAAATTAATTTTTCATGATTGATAAATCTTGTTTTTTTCAGCAATAGATATTGATCAAATAAATACAACCAACAGTATGGTGAACTATGAAATTTTACAGGGAAATTTTGAAAATATGTTCGAAATTGATCGACAAAGTGGCGGTATAAAACTTACAAAATACGATGTTCATGATCAACGATCATCCACATTGAATGCCATTCCTAGCTTAATAAGTTTGACTGTTCGTGCATATGATTTTGGTATTCCACAATTGTCATCGTTGGTCAAAGTTTTCATCTATGTTCTGGTATATTGATTGTTTTCGATTAGCTTTTGATATAAATTAAATTCTTGTCTTTTTTTGCAGAATACGCCAACATATCTGCCAACATTGTTTTCCACGAATAAAATACTCGATATTCGTAATGGAAACAGTTCGTTAGAAAAGTATGACCATGATTTTTATTTTTTAAAAAGTTTTTAAAAATTTTTTCGTTTCTACCTATAAAGATCTTTGAGCTTAATTACCGGTGGTAACGTAACAGTGAAAGAGTTACGTTCACCTGAAACGCCCAATGAACCAATAAAAATTGTTACAATGGTCCGTTATCAAAATGAAAATATTAGTAAGTCATTTATGAGGTTTTTTTATCGTAATACTTTTATTCTGATTTATTAATTAATTAATCTTTATTTCTTCAATAGTCGATCTTGACAATCTAGCATCAGCATATAAAAACTTGTTCTATATTCCACCTCAAACACCAACATTAGTTTTACGACCAAACTTATCATCATCATCATCAACAATTCCATCTATCCATGCCACTAATATTCCAGTTACTGTTCCAGTTGTAACAAGTAAAAATATCAATGAACAACAACAGCATACATTCATCAGTAGAACTCATCATCATGAAGTGGATTCCAGTTCCTCATCATCATCATCATCATCATCGAAAATTTCAAGAGATCGAATAACCGAATCAAATAGTCATCAAGATGTGGCTGATTACAATGATGAACAATCTGATGAACAAGGCCAGGAAAATAGTGATCCATTAGTTGTACGGACTTCGTCCACTGTTGGATTTTTAAACTTTCTCATGTATTTTCTATTGGCCTTGATTCTTATGTTTCTCATTTTTCTTTGTTTTCTTTGTTGTTGTTATTGTTGGAGCAAAGGGTAAGCAATTTGAAAGTAATTTTATTCTGTTTATAGCTAATTACTTGATATTGAAGGGATTCCGAAACATTATTTGATTGGAAAAATATCTGGTTCCTACAAAATCATAATAGTGGCAATAAATATCAGAAACGAAAACGACGAATGACCGAAAATCATCCAAATCAACGGCATCATGTTAGTCAACATCGAAAACAACGAAATGAAAGTAAAGTAATGACTATTTCAAATCAGCAACAGCAACAGCAGCACAACAACAACATTCAAAACAACTGGCTAAACAAGAATCATCCATTGTAAGTTATGGACATCATGATAATGATTGGTTTCAAGCATTGGAACAAAAACTTCAAGGCGAAGATGGAGATGTTGAATATGAGATTAAAGAAGAGAAAAAATATTCAAATACACCACGTACAATGTCATATTGTATCAGTAAGAAAATCATAAGACCTAAGCCAAATCAAAAGCAACAACAACAACAACCAGAACATTCACGACAAGTGGACATTTTAAATCTGGAAAATGGTGCAACTAAAGTGGAACATCATCGTCTGTTTCCAAGGAAAAAAAATTCCGTTAGGCCATATGAAACGATCGAACAACAAGAGGATAAAAATCAATCAAATATTGATTTGGCCATCAATCAAAGTACAAAATTTGCACAATTAAATAAACAGGCAAGTAATCTAAATAAATCACCGACAAATCGAATGATTGGCACGGATATGTTACAGATTTGTCCACAAACAATGCATAGACGTAGTATATTTTCCATTGCTTATGATGGTATTGAACATCGAGAAAATATTTCATCATCTGAATCAAATCAAACAATAATGCATATTTAATTGGGAAAAAAAATGTACAGAATTTGAAAAAAAACATCTGTGTGTAAAATATGATGGATTTCAATAATAATGAAATTTATTTATAGAAAAAGGTAATCTATTTTTCACATCGTTCAAAAATACAAATAATCGTATTCACACAAAGTGTGATTCAAACATTCAAACGTTTATTATTGAAAATTCAAAATAATTGAATATAACAGAAATTTTTTTTTGTTCAATAACAATAAAAATCTATAAATATATATCAAAGGAACTCACAGTTATTATATGGATGTGTTGTGATTCATTCATTCATTCATCCAAAATGATTTTTGTTTTTTTTGTTTGTTGATAGAAATTATTATAAAATACAACATTCATATTGCCAAAAAAGAGATTTTGAAAAAATATTGATAACAAATGTCATTGTATATCATGGATCATCATTATTGGCATTCACGATTCATATCGGCACACCTTAGATAGATAGATATTCAAAAATTTACCAATTGTTACCACCATTTGTAGTAATGAAATGGTTCGATTTCAATAATCAATATTTAAAAACACTTGAATAACTTTTCATTTGGCTTGCCGTTTCATCATATGTTGAACATTTTAAAAAATTTGATTGTAATTGATTATAATAATAATCATTATTATTATTATTATGATGATGATCATTATTTTGGTGAATATGATTATTGTTGTTGCCAATACCATTTGTTGTTACCAATGATGGCCATGATGAATTATGATTTGTCGATGATGATGTTCCAATTGTACCGTTGACGAATCCCGATAATGATGATGATTGATGACCATTATTATTCGTTGTTGTATGTAGATTACCGCCATTCGAAAGACCATTACACATCTGATTATTAAATGTATTCAATTTATTACCAAAAGCATTCGATTGACCGGTAGTAAGTTCAAAATTTTCACGAAAATTAAATGGATTAAAAGATGATGTTGATGATGATGAACAAAACGGTAATGAATCATTCAATGATGTCAGACTTGTATCGTTGCTCAAAAATCCATTTAGACAACTCTAAAACAATGAATATGTTAATCACATAAATTTACAATCGATTTACTTACGGTTTGACAAAGTGAACAACTCGGAGATTGATCATGAAAACCATTGCTATTGACTGATTGGCAATTCGAATGATTAGATTTGATCGATTTCAGATTATTGTCAATCATTGGTTGTAGAACATTTGGTGGAAATGAATTACGATAAGTAGCGGCGAAATTCATCAAAGCCATACTGGCAGCTAATTCTTGTTGTTGTTGTTGTTGTTGCTGCTGCTGTTGTTGTTGTTTTGTTGATGATGATGATGATCAATAGTCGCTAATGTCAAGACGGCTTTGTTTTCGTTGATTAAATTGTTTTCATTCATATACTTAAAATTCAAGATTCTTTGTCGGATCTCCTGTAAATAAGTCGAATGACGTTCCTGAGTTTTAATCAGAACCGTATAAACATGGCCCGATAATTTTTCACGTGTACGAATACCAACGCCAAATTCTTTTTCCAATTTTTGTAATTGTGATTGATGGCCATTAATATCGAAATTAATATCAAATGACAATAATAATGGCAGATAGCCCATCAATTCTTGCCATCCCATTACGGTTGATAGAAGATTTCTACTTTGTATTATTACCTGGTTACAATTGGATTCATGTGATGGAAATATTATCATGGCACCGGAACGTTGATGTATAACTTTAAGATTGCAATTATTCTTTCCCTTCACATATTGATGATGTGAATGGCTTACATCAATTGTTATTGCAAACATTACATGTGAATCATTGGTCAATTTTTCTTCAGTAACAAATTGATACAGTTCACGAGTGGCAGATTCAATTTCTTCCAGTTGTGCACGTCCACCTTTAACATTGATTGTCACTTCTGGATTACGAGTATCGGCAATAACATTTGTGAATGTTACATCAACACGATATTTTCGTTTTACAGCCTGTACTTCGGCGCTTGCCGTATCAATAATGACAAATTTACCGGATTTGATCTGTGCTTTGAATCCAATATTCAATGGTAATGATTTTCGAATCTGATCACGAGCTTTATCAATGGCTGTAAAATCCGTACCAGCAATCGATAATTTATTCGATTTTTTATTGCTAGTTTTATTACAATCAGGTAAATGAATATGGCAACCAGTCATACGAGATAATTGTTTAATACGGGTACCATCTTTACCAATGATATATGAATGGTCATTATAGGGCACGTCGATATTGAATGTCATTTTGTCACGATGAGGATCCAGTCGTTCCATAATAAGAGCTGATGCAACCTCTAAACTTTTTTGACTGCACGCTCTTACTTTTAGCACCGGTATTTCATTACCTTGTCGATCTCTTAATGAATTCGATACATCTACATGGCAATTTGTTTCAATCGATATACGAGATAGAAATTGGCTCAATGATGGATGATAGTCATTGCCACCTGATTGTATAATTTTGGATGAAAATTAATTCAAATATATAAATCACAACATTATCAATATGGGTCTTACCTTGATTCATGATAGCCAATATTTTTTTGTCCACTTTAAGATCTTTTTCATAGAATAATGAATCCGATTCTAAACTACCATTACTACTACTACTACTACTACTACTACTATTGCTTGTATTTGGTGAAGAATCGGTTATCATTGTCGTCGTAATCAATGATGATGAATTAGATTTACTACCAACAAGCATCGATGATGAAATAGATGATGTTGTCGGCATTGATTGTTGTTGTTGTTGTTGATGATGTTGCAATATGGTGGATCTTGATTCCATCATCATTTTTTTTTATTTTGTTCAAAATCAATTCTATCGTTAAAAATTTTGTCAATACATACATGCATAAACACACACACACACACACGGACACAATTGTCATCAAAATAAAGCTAACATAACGAACAGATACATGGATGAAATTATAATAATAAAAAAAATTAACAAAAAAAAATTTCAACAAAAACGATTTTCTATAACTTTTTAATAATCAAAAATTTGATGAAAAAAAAAAATATTGTGAAGATTGTAAAGAGAAAAAATTGTCAAATGGCAACCATACAAATTCGAAATTGATATTTATATGTTGTGAATGTGTGTGTGTGTGTGTGTGTGTGTATGTATGATGGTCATGTCATCGTTGTTTGATTTGAAGAAAAAAAAAATTTTTTTTTTCGAATTTGAATCACTTTATTAGTTTCGATTACAACTTGACGTGATTTTTGGTTTTGGTTTTGGTTTTGTTTTAAATTTTCAATACTATTTTACCAATGACTAATTGACAATTAAATTTAAAACATCATCATCATCATCATCAATAAATTTATAAATGACCTATGACGACATATGTATATGAAAATGAATGTATATTGTGTATGTATTGTGTGTATTTTATGATGAATACGAACGAGCAGAATTCGTAGACGTTTAATTGTGACGATTAATGCACAATCTCGTAATGTTTGATCATAATGGATTCAGCTACCTTTTTGAACGACTACTAATTCCATCTTTTTTTTATCTTGTTCATTGTTGTTGGTTTGCGTAATCAATGATAAATTGCATAGTTACATATTAACCTCCGATTTTAATTTTTATTTTAAATATACAATATTTAATTGATAAAAGTTTAAAAAATAACTTTTTAAATTATGAATTATCAAGAATGAAGAATATAATTATTCCAATCTTCTTTGATTGTATCTTCATCGACAATATTTCCAATTCCTCCAAAATCTTTTGATAGAATTGTTGATTGATTTCATTTTTTTAATAAACAAAATAACTTGATTATTCTCATTTTCATCAGTCAATTTTCATCCATTTGATCATTTGAAACTCCACGTTTAGAACCAGAGGTTCGGAACAATTTCCGCCCATTGCAAATTCGATTCTTATTTCCATGATAATCACGATCATTAGATTTAATATTCAAAATCGGTTTCATAGTTGTTGACGAAACAATATCTTTTGGTTTTGAAGTCAAAAACTTAAATATTGGTCGTACCAAGCAGTCAACTGGCTGCGCATAGTCTTGTGTCTTGTTTTCACTTCTTTCCATTTCGATTGAGAATGTCGGTGAGAAAGACGAGCATGTTTTTTCAATCGTTAATACCGATCACAAAAGAAAATCATTGTTAAAAAATAAAAAATCATTAATGAATGAATGGGATTCAAAGTTCACAATTAAATGATCCGAATGCTTTTTGATGAAATACAGACCATGAACTTGTGCGTTTTCATCTTCTTGACACCATCAATGGCACCTTCAACGAAGATTTGTTGAGTCTGAGGATTCAGTAAAAATTTATTAGCTAAAAGCCAATGTCTTTGTTGAAATCCTCGCAAAACAAGTCTTCTCAGGACATTCTCCTTCAAAGCGAATTTCAAGTGTTGATGTTAATTGCGGCAAAACTTGTACTATATTTTCAGTCATTTTTTGTTGTTCCATGGTTTTGTTGAACCACGCTCTGCTACCAAATGTAGTAGAGCAAATATTGAAATACAAATAAATTTCACACAATAAAAACTTTAATAATAATTAATATTAATATTAATATTAATTTTTCGCAATCATTCATATTTATATGTTTCAAACAATAATCTAATAAAAGAATTGTTTGTTATTTGTTGACCAAGTACAACACCAAATGTGTGAAGAATAACAACAAAATATGAAAGGTGATAATATTTAAATTGGATACACTCTGGCTCACGAACAAAAACCAACACGCCAAACGCGAGCACCACATCCGTTGTTTTTCTTCTCCCTCGCTCGCCACGTTCACAAAGAACGTTACCGCACGTGGCAGCACTAGTCACTTAAAAAGCAAAAAAATGATAAACTGTTCTTTTATTTCATATTTTAAATACACGTTTTACAATACATTCATAGCCTAGAAAGGGGAGACCCCCCTACATTAGCATTAATGGTGGTACACCTGGAGGAGGCGGTGGAGCACCAGGTGGAATATTTTGCATTAATGGTGGTACACCTGGCGGAGGTGGTGGGGCACCATGTGGAACATTCGGTATAAATGGTGGCACACCTTGCGGAGGTGGAGGAGCACCTGGTGGAACATTTGGTAATAATGGTAAACGGCCCGGTGGAATTGGAATCGGCGGTGGTGGAAATCGTGCACCAGGCGGTAATCCTTGTGGTGGAAGTATTGGTGGTGCATTTGGTGGCCGCATAGCTGCTAATGCAGCTGGTGGTACTAAAGCTTTATTAGCTTTAAATGCGGCAGCTATATTTCGGTTACGAAAAATATCAGAATTAATTCGATTGTGTTAATATTTGGACTTACTAAAAAAAAAACTTACTTGTCACATCAATTAAATTCTGTGCTTGTTCTTCCATCCATTTTTGATAATAAAATCGAACATTTTCCTTATGTTTTCGTCCATTACAATGAGTTTTACGTACTGATGGCTAATAAAATAATAATAATTTAGATTCAATTTTTTTTTTTATAAATCAAAATGGTTGTCACTCACCGAATCATGTGTAAGAAATGTATCACAATAATCGCAATAATATCTAAACAAAACAAAAAAGAATGAATATAATTATCACATGAACAATTGTTTTCATTTTCAACTTACTTGGGCATTTTTCAATGATTTTTGTATAGAGATTGATGAAAATGTCAAAAATCAATGTGTTCGATTGATGATGATGATGATGATGATACACAGACACAAAATACACGCACAAACTAATGAGTATACTCAAATATATATATTTGGTAGTGTACACGAATAAAAAAAACGTGGTAAAACGTGTGCCCGACAAATATGACATGTTTTTATTCTAAATTTCATCCGAAGCAACAACAACAACAACAACGATTTCAAATGGCTTTCAATCAATTTATGCATCCTCGTAATATTTACCGCCAAAAACCTGTTTATGAACAATTGGCTCGTGAATATTCTGATTTTGCTAATCATGTTTATCGTGATGAAAAAGGAAAAGTTCATATTGATTATGGTGATATTGGTGCATTACGATCATTGACACAAACATTATTGAAAAAAGATTTTCATTTAAATGTTCAAATACCCGAACAAAGACTGGTACCAACATTGCCTATGCGTTTGAATTATATTCTTTGGATCGAAGATCTTCTTGAACATTGTCGTTTATGTTATCAAATCAAAGCGATCGATATTGGTACTGGTTCGTGTGCCATTTTTCCATTATTAGCAACAACTTTAAATCCTGAATGGAGATTTATTGCCACTGAAATTGATCCAATTAATTTGGATTATGCTAATAAAAATGTTCAAAATAATAATTTGAATAATAGAATCACAAGTGAGTGTAAAGTTTTTTTTTTCATTTCGATTCATGAATTTGAATTTTTTTTTCTCATTTCATATATAGTTTATGATAATCATAATATTGATACAATCTTCAAACATCTCGTACAAAATTGTCATTTCACTTTTGTAATGACTAATCCACCGTTTTTCGATGATACGTTCAATGATTCATTTGAAGATATTGCTACGAAACCAAATGGCCATAAAACATCATTTCATTGGCGAAAAATGAATTCTGCATCCACTGATGAAGCTATTTGTGATGGTGGTGAACTTGCATTCATCAAACAAATTATGGATGAAAGTTTTCAGACTAAAAAATCAATCGATCTTTATACGGTGATGATTGGCAGAAAGAAAACATTTCTTGAATTGAAATGTTTGCTTAAAGATATGATTGAAAATAAAACATTGGCCAGCTTTGCCCATACTGAATTATGTCAAGGTAATACAAAACGATGGGCATTAGCATGGACTTTTGATGATCGATACCAATTAGCTAATTCACCTAAAATAATTCATTTAAAATCAAAACCATTGATACATTATCTGAATCCAAATATGAAATGTTGTGATTACGATATCCAATCTATTGGCAATTTTATTGAAAATTTATTATTAAATGATTTACATATCGAACAATTTCAGATGATCAAACTGAATAAACGAATCGAATTTGATATTAAATCGAATGAAGCAAATTGGAAAAATCAACGCCGTAAACGAAGAGAAAAATTATTACAAGAATCAATGAAAACGATGCATATAGATACAGATGTTTTTATCGCCACCGGTAAACGGCCATTAGATAATGATCAGAATAATGGTGATGGTCAGAATTTGAAAAAATTTTCTCAATCAAATGAATTATGTAAAGTAAATCTAACATATTTATTACATTGTTCATTGATAATCAAACGTGATAAACAGGATATTGTGATCAAAATGGAAACAAAAGAAATGTCACAGAACAAATCTGCCACATATGAATTGTTACAATATTTTAAAAATAAATTAACATAAAATTAAAACAAATCACCACTCTGGATGACAAAGATCTTTATCAATATGAAATTCAATATCAAATTTTGATCGTGGCCATGTATTTTTTGTTATAATTTCCGCAATAATATGATCATCATCGTCATAACCATTTTTTAATGTAATATCAATATCCAAATGAAGTGAATGATCAAATCGATTGTTCAATCTTGTAATGATAGTAGTTAAATAACATTTACGTGTAATTGATTCGATTGCATATAACAATCGTGTTATAAATGATTCTCGTGAACAATTCGAATGTTTACTTGCCCATATGAAACAATTGAATGAATCAATTATCAATACTGATCGATGTAATTGTTCATCTTGATCGATCATTTCAAATAGATTGTATAGCTGATTTATTTCAAATATAGGATAAATTTGAATCAATGAATTAAGATCATCCAAATTTGAATGCAATAAACGTAAACGATCATTAGTCAATGACAAATCGGAATCGATAAACAATACTTTTCGTTTGGATATTGATACACAATCAATTGCAATCGATGTGGCGAGCATCGATTTTCCCGTATTTGAATCACCCGTTATGCATATAATTGATGATGGACGAATTGATTGGAAAAATTTGTTCAATCTAAAATTTATAAATTCAATTTATCAAAGATTAAAAACAATCATACAAACATTTATTACCTTGGAAGACGGCATTTGATTGGCGATAAATTTGAGCATTGAAATGGATGTGATTTCATCATACTATCGATATATGATTGTCGTGTTTGAACCATACGCTATTGATTAAAATTAATCAGAAATCCATTAGATATAAATATTGATTATACCTCATATAATTTATTTCTTGAACTAATTGATTTATTTGAATAATTTTCAATGATCCAACGTTGAATTTCTGAATGATTCATGGCCATAAGTTGAATTGCATTCATTGATTGATCATCAATTTCATCAGAATGTTTAGAATCATCCATTTTTTCATTTATGATTGGAATTGGAATTTTTTTTTTTCAATTTAAAATGGCGCGAATATATTCGGTAAAAAATATTTATAAATTGAGAAAAAGTTCCATGTATTATATAAGAAATATTTCAGAAATTTTTACAAAAACGTTGTCTATGAATAGATATTCAAAAAAAAAAAAAAAAAAATTTGATGCTGCTGGCAAATCATCAACCTAAATAAAAATTATGATGATACTGCCAACAAGCTGGGACTGCAGTCGTCGCTAAAAAAAAAATATTCAGCATTGTGATTTCAATACACCACACCGTGTTATCAACTTCACTCGCAATATAAAATTTTTGTTTTGTTTTTGTTTTGAAATTTGTTCCAGAATTTCAATCTGAAAATTAAAAAATATCATTCCATAAAATTAATTGATTTTATTGGTAAGTGTTGAAAATTTTAATTATTTTATCCTCAAAAATCTGTGTTTTTCCCTTCACTATTCCTTTAATCATTTCGAATTGATCAATAGATTTGGTTATTGCTGGCTGCTAATTCATTCGATTTGTTGATCAAATGTTGAGACCATCAATATTATCATCATTTTGTTTACGATCATCATCGGAAGCACTCTCGTCGCAGTATCGAAGGAAAGCTATTGTTTAGGAATTGTATTTATAGAACAAAATTTTCATTGAATGATATTTAACATTCAATTTTGACAGCATCATTCGATAATTTTTTTTTTCAATATTTGATCTGCTGTTGATTTTCTATCAATTCATATTCACAACAGAAAAAAGCAGAATATTTTTTGCTGTAGCAGAATCAAGCTGAGAGCTCAAAAGTAACAAGACAAACAAAAATCAAAAAACAAAAAACCTGAGGCAGATAAAAAGAATGTCTAGTCCGGTAATCGAAACTGGTAACCGGGACCGTGACCGGAACCGTAGAGAACGAAGCCGTGAAAGCAGACATCGATCATCATCAAATCGACATCATCGTAGTCGTGATGATAGTCGTAAGCGTAGCAGAAGTCGTAGTTATAGCCGCAGCCGTAGTCGCGATCGAGATCGATCATATCATAGCAGCAGCAGCAGTCATCGAGGTTCAAAACGATCATCTCGTTATACGGAATCGGAGAATAATGAGTTCAGTACAAAAGGACAAGGCCCTCCTCGTATTGAGGGTATGATTTCGCTCAAAGTTGACAATATAACTCATAGAACCACTGTTAGTCAGTTGAAAAGACTTTTTTCTAGATATGGCGAATTGGGAGATATTTATGTACCGAGATATCCTGATTCATATATGACACGCGGATTTGCATTTGTACGTTATTATCGTAAACGAGATGCTGAAGAAGCGATGCGTAAACTCGATGGTGAACGTCTTGATGGCCGAGTACTTAGTATACAAATGGCTAAATATGCCCGTCCAAATAGCCGACAACGTAAACGCACTGAATATCGTTCTAAACGACGATCTCGGACCCCCGATCGGTAAGTGATTGACACATTTTTCATTGATCAATAATAAATCCCATTATTTTGTTTATTGATTTAGGAGGAGACGAAGCCGTAGCCGCAGTTATGGTCGAAATAGCAGACGATATAGCCGCTCGAAAAGTTCAACACCATCAAGACATCGATCAAGATCAGTTAGTTCTGCAGAATCAGATCGCAGTGAAAAGATATCACCACCACGTGCACGTTCGAATTCAACTAGCGATGGTGAAGAAAGAAGAAAAAATGATGATCGTAATAGTTCAAGTGGTGATGATCGAAAATCATATGAAAATCACCGTGATGGTAATGATGATCGTTATAATGGTTCGGATAAAGAAGGATCGAATGATAAACATGGCCAACATCATGATTCAGATGATCATAGTCGAGAATCGAATGAAGATTCAAATGATGTCCCGAACAAAGACGATGACGGTGATGATAGAAAACGCTCCGAAACGAACAACAATTATGATGATGATGATGATGATGCAACCAATTGAATCAAATGAAGAAGCATTTCATTTTCCCACCCTCAAAAAAAAAAAAAAAATTTGCATCAATGGCACACTTACACACAAAATCATCGTATTCTTTTTTCTCATATTTTATCATTCATTCATTCATTCATTGCTAATTTTGAGTCTTAATTTTGAATCAATCATTTATCAACCATTTACATGATTCATAATTAATTTTATTATTTAGATAACCAAATTACAAATACAATTATTATTTTTTTTCAATCATTACATAATATACATACACATACCTTATGAAAACACACCCATATACACACTCTTTAAAGACAAAAAATTAATTTTTTCATTCATTTACAATTTTATTCATTCATATTCTTTTTTCTTCATTTTTTTTTGTTGTTGCTATTTCTAATAATGATGATGATTTAGAATTGACTCTTGACAATAGTTGACATTTGAATATCCAATGGTACATCTGGTTACATAAAACATAAAAACAAACAAACAAAAAACAAAACAAAAAAAAAATGAAAATCAAGAGCCAAAAAAAATTATTATATACAGAATAAATTGAATCGCTTATCTTTTTCTTTCTTTTTTTGTTTTGTTTTGTTTTGTTTGATTTTAACCCATTTACCTAGATCATATATGGATGGTGCAACCATAAATATACCACCAGTACCGATTATACAGGCTAATGTAAATATCCAAAGAAATAATCGATCCAATACCATTGATACGTATTTCCAATCTTCTTGATTCTAGAAATGTAGAAAGAATATTATTAATGATGAAAATGAAAATTAAAAATCTTAGTTAATGTTAATATGTAACACATACACTTTTATATTCATCAGCATTATCAATATGATGAGCAATGAATATTGCATTCAATATGATTTGATCGATTTTTCTTGGATAACAATAATGTGGTTCACGTGTTTTCATCATCGATGATGATGGATGATTTGTAACCATTAGATTATAGCCATTATCAAATGTTGAATCAATTGATTGATTCCAATCGATTGGTGGTGGTGGTGGTGATTGTATTGTTGTATTTCTTTTATTCTGTTGTTCTTGATGTTGCAATGGCTGTTGTAAATTTTTCTTTTCAGTATCCGGTAATTCTAGTTTAAATTGTGGTGATTTCATCAATAACCATCTAGGTAATGTATGAATGAATGTTTTTCGTATCCATGGTGACTGTAAATAATAATGAATTAATAAATGAAAAAAATAGAAAGAAAAAATTCCATCCATACCATTCGATGTGTAGATGGTGAACGAAAATGAATATTCATTACCAATATGGTGACAATGACCGAAAGGGTTACTAATACCATTGTAAATATAAGATATTTACCAATCAATGGTATGACTAATGAAGTTGATGGAATGATTTCAATCAAAACAAGAAGAAAGAAACTGAGCGATAAAAGTATCGATACTGATAATGTAACCTTTTCACCGGAATCTGATGGCATATAAAATACCAGAATTGAAAGACATGATATCAATACACATGGAATAATCAGATTGATCGTATAGAATAATGTTTTCCGTCGTAATGTTATATTGAATGTTATATCCGGATAGAATTGTGGACAACAAGTATATTTAATAACTTTACGTAATGCCGGTACACGCATTATATCCCATTCAACATTTAGATAAAATTCTGATAAATCGATACCATATTCCAAAAGATCGGTACCATTACCTTCATTTAAATGGATTAAATCTACATCATTACCACTATATGTCCAGCTACCAAATTTCATTGTACATTCTTGATAATCGAATGGAAAATAACTGATATCAATATTACATGAACTTTTATAGATTGCAGGTGGATTCCATACAACACGACCATTATAATGCTAGAAATAGAATGATATTTTTTAGAAACATTCGATTTTCCAAAAATTAAACTTACAATAATTGCTTTAGTCATGATGGTTATCTCGTAATTACCATCACCATTATTGTACAATACAATATCTGTAGATACATGATAATATTAATTAATTAAAAATTCTAATTCATTCAAATATCATTATATATACCTGGTAGCCATATCTGTTCAGATGGTACATATAATTGTCGTACACCGCCATATTCTTCTGGATCCCATTTAAGTTTATGATCAAACCATTCTTGTGTTACCCATACGTTTGTGGTCATCATTTGATTCTTTAGATTCTATAAAATGATTGTCATTTGAAAATTAAATTAATCCAAAAATTAATTAATTGTTTGTTTAACTTGTTTGTTTGTACATACCACATCGATTAATTGAGTTAGCTTTAATCCAAGTTTGACCTTTAAACTTTGCGAATTATTACTAACAGGACGTACTAGTCGATTATAGCTAGATAATAGATCATCATATAATCTTTTTCCATCTATAAGATTGATTTGATTAGAAATTAATTAATTATGATTAATTAATCAATCGAATAAATTACCTGAATTGGCATCAATTTGTCGTATGAAAATGTTGAGCAATACAATGATAATAATAATGATGGCTAAATTTTTTCGTAGCCAACAACAATTGAATAATGGCTGCATTTTCGAATTATTATGATTATTTACATTTTTTTCTTTTAAAAACAAAATTGTCTCAATCAACAAAGAACAAATCGGTTTGACATCCAGCAGCTATATGGTCCAGGATCCAGGATTCTAACCCCAAAAAAAAAACATACAATAATAATGGATGCGGACATTGATGTGGACATGCGTGCTGAATTCTGTATCCGTTTCAATAGCATCTATTCATTCATCCGTGTCTCAAATGTTTATTTTGTCATTCTGCTCAAAAAAATAAACAAAAAGTTCAATATTCAATTCCATTTCGTGACTTTGAAATTTATCATTTAACAGAAATTCGATAGCCACAAACCAAAAATGATGATAATTCTATCCAATCAATCCATATTATTATTGATGATAATTTGTACATGTCCAATAAATGTAATGACCAATCCAGATGTATGTATCACATAAATATGTTTGTTCATCTGAAATTGAAATCCAAAAAAAAAAAATTTCAAATTACAGGCAAAACGATTATATGATGATCTAATCAATGGATACAATAGTATTATTCGACCATTGGTAAGTTTTTGTTTTTTTTTGTCAAAGAAAAAAAAATTCGAACATATAACAATATTGATTATGATTAATTTCAAAGGGCAATAATTCTGATCGTTTAGTAGTGAAAATGGGTCTTCGATTATCACAATTGATTGATGTTGTAAGTATCATCATATATGAATTGAATTTTTTTTTTAAATACAAACCAAAACAATTTGAAAACAATTTATTTTCAACAAATAGAATCTAAAAAATCAGATCATGACAACAAATGTATTTGTCGAACAAAGATGGATTGATTATAAATTAAAATGGGAACCAGAAGATTATGGTGGTGTCACAAAATTGCATGTTCCATCCGAACAAATTTGGTTACCAGGTATTTTCTGTTGTTGTTATTGTTGTTGATTTGTATTCAATAATCTAATAATGCTTGAACTTTGAAATGATCATAGATATCGTATTATACAATAATGCTGATGGTAATTACGAGATAACCATCATGACCAAAGCAATACTTCATTCAGATGGTCTTGTAATTTGGGTAAGAATTCTTTTGATTGCATGCAATTCAATCCAATTGATCCAAAAAAAATTTCAAATCTATTCGACAAAAGAAACCACCGGCAATCTACAAAAGTTCATGTGAAATTGATGTCGAATATTTTCCATTTGATGAACAGACTTGTTTCATGAAATTCGGTAGCTGGACATATGATGGCTATACGGTAATTAATTAAAATGATGATGAATTTTGAACGAAAAAAAAACTTACATTCATTGATAATATATAGATTGATCTAAGACATATCCATGAAAAAAATGATGATCCAGTAGTTGAAATGGGTATGGATTTAAGCAGTTTCTATCTAAGTGTTGAATGGGATTTAATGGCTGTACCGGCTCGTCGTAAAGTCATTTTTTACAGGTTTGTATTACAATCATTCATTGAATGGATTCTATTAAAAATTTTTTTTTTGTTTTGTTTTGTTTAGCTGTTGCGATACACCATATATTGATATTACATTCAATTTAACATTACGTCGGAAAACATTATTCTATACATTTAATCTGATCATACCATGTGTTGCAATATCATGTCTTTCAATTTTAGTATTTTATCTTCCATCGGATTCAGGTGAAAAAGTTAGCCTTTCCATATCAATTATGCTTTCGTTGGTAGTGTTTTTTTTATTATTGGCCGAAATTATTCCACCAACAAGTTTAACAGTACCATTACTTGGCCGTTATCTTTTATTCACAATGATTCTGTTAACATTATCCAGTGTGGCAACAATAGCTGTATTGAATGTAAATTTTCGTTCACCATCAACACATCGAATGGCACCATGGGTGAAAAAAGTATTCATACAAATTCTGCCAAAATATCTATGTATGCAAAGACCACAAGATGCAAATGAAGAAGATGATGATATAACAGCAGTACAATCTGATATGGAACAACGAAATGATGAACAAAATGCACGTAATGGACCAATGATGGATGATTTTTATTCATTCAATAATTCTCCATACATTTCAAAACATCATCATCAACAACAACAACAACAACGACGACGAAGTAATAGTTTGACTTCATTTGAATCAAATGAATTTACGATTATTCCGGAAAAATGTTTGGCAAATGATCAACGAATAAAATCACCACAACCACTTTATCCACCCAATATTGATATGATAAATGATGAATTACATGATGATGTACAAATAGCAGATCAAAGTAAATCAGATGATTCGAATTCAGCTGAAGAATATTCGATTAGTCCAAATCTACGACGATTAACAACAAGGATTCAATTTCTATCACAACATAAACGTAATCTGGATAAATATTTACAGGTAATAAAATGTATTATTAATTCATAATAAATCATAATCCTTTTTTTCATTTATTCTAAAAAATTTCAATTACAGATTGAAGATGATTGGAAATTTGTAGCCATGGTATTGGATCGTCTATTCTTATGGATATTCACCATAAGCTGTATTAGTGGTGCTGCATTAATCATATTACGTGCACCTAGTCTTTATAGTTTTAAACAACCAATAGATGTATTGTTTAGTAAAGTTGGTTCAAATCATTGAATAATAATAATAATGTATATGTAAAAAATTAATAATTCAAAAAATCCAAAATCAACAACCATAGAAAATTATATCGATATCAATTTCTAATCATCATCAATATCAATAATTGTTTGATTTTTGCTCAAATAAATTCGAATTTATCAAATCATCTTGGTCATCATCATCATCGTTGACAAAATCTGTTATTGTCCACTGTTATTTACAAGTGTTTATTAACAGAATAAATTATCCGGCTTTATATACACGAACACATCACCCTAAATTATTCGAATGTGACATTTATTTTTTTATATATAATATAAAAGCAAACCATCAAAAGTTTACTCTCTCCATCATCATCATCATCATCATCAATCCCAATTTTATTGGCCATTGTAGAATTTCGGACAAACAAGCTACCGAATGAAAAAATATACAAACAAGACCAATCAGATATTACAGAATATACTCGAAATGTTTGAATGCAACTATCCCATTTCTCTTTCTCTCTCTCTCTCTCAATCTATCTAAACAATCCCGAGAGAGATTCTTCATAGAGTGGTGGGGGGGTTGTAGGCAAACGACATATATATTGACAGCAGCAATGATCAAATGTGTAATAGCTTTTATCGTACATGTCTATATGAATGTGTGTGTGTGTGTATATATCACCCAAGATAATTTATAAAACGAGAATCGGTTTTTCCATTATATAATGACTAATGGCTAAAAATTGACCATTGAGAATGGATTGTCGTTGTCGTTGTCGTTATTATTGTGCCTACTGCCAGTGATTTGTCTCCAAAATACAATGCATCAAGTGTGTGTGTGTGTGTGTGCTTTTGTATTATATGTAATCATTGATAATTTGAATTGCCCATTCTGGACAATGCTGTCGATGATGATGCTACATTAATGGATCATTATCGGTTACCCCTCATCATCACCCACTCGTTCAGTTATATAATGATAGAGACCAGTGGTAAAATATAATAACTTGTTTTTTATTATTATAAGTTTCAGAATTTGGTTTGCATTCAACAACAATTGAGAATGAACAACAGAATCGAAGCCAAATAACATTGGATTCTCTTCATTTTTTTTTCTCTTGGTTGCCTTGGGCCGAATGAACAAACAAACAAACAAACGAATGAATGAAAAAAAATTCTGCTGTTCAATTGATCATCATCATCATCATCATCATCGAGAGAGAGAGCGAGCGAGAATTGCTATCTTGTGTACTTTACTTTTACTCTACTATACTAAATATTCGGTATAAACAAATTGAATGAAAATGGATAAGTGCAATTTGGGTAAATACTAACACACTCGTTATTACCCCCACCCCACCAGAACGCGTCAATTCACCCATCATTACTTTATCTATTCCGGCTATTTATACCCCAAAAAAAAAAAACGGGAAAATAAATGGTCTATGTCAAAATCGGCGCCAATGCCTCTCTCTCTCTCTCACTCACTCACTCACTCACTCACTCACTCGCTCTTTATGAAATGGACACGTTCGAAATTGTGAATGAATTAGTGAAAGAATTCTAGCCAAAACATTCTTTCATATCATGAAATTGGCATATTACATACACTCGATTGGATTGTTGTTTCGATGCAAAAAAAAAAACAGAGTGCCATCATTTATTTTTCTATTTTCTTTGAGTAAAGATTGTAGACGATCAACAACAACAACAAAACTAAGAATCAAGTAAGTCCCACTCATCCCCTTTATTCTAGCCATGTCTCTCTCTTTCTCTTTCTTTTATTCATTCAATTCTGAATTTAAGCCATCCACTTCCATCCATCTATTCATCCACAGAATCTTTATTGATCTCCTGTTCTATTGGTCTATTACTTTTTTTTTTGGTCCAAATATATATATATCGGTTGTTGTTGTTATTAGTTCGTTTTTTTGGCGCCTTCAAATCGAATTTTTTTTTTCGTCGACTTCCACTTTTTGGTTATTTGTATCTCGCGGCCTGGAACTATGGCCTTTTTTTCTATTCTTTCGGGTGTTTAGTTTACTTGAACACACACACACACATACAGGCTGACAATTGGTTTCAAATTGAGTAAATGAGACCAGGGTTATCATTCGACAATGATAGTAGAGAAAATGCCAGGCCAAATCGGAAGCTTCTCTATCACTCCTTCAATCAACTGGCTAATTTGAGAGAAATAGAGAAAGCAAAATGATGAGGCATATTAACGGCTGTCGCGTCAATGTGTGTGTGTATGTGTGTTTAGTATTCTGAAATGAAATGAATGAATCCAGCATAGAGAGAATTGATCAAGATGATAGAATATTCTATGTGTGTGTGTATGTGTGTGTGCATGTGGTGTTAAATCGAATGGATGGATGGATGAATGAATGAATGAACCAAAAAAAAAGACGGGGAGACCATCACATTGTTGTTGTATAATGAAAAGAGTGTGTATACCAAAACATCACATCACACACACACACACACACACACACACACACAGTGGATCAGAATCAGATGTAGTGATCAAGTAGTAGTGAAGTCTGTAGTAATTTTTTTTTTTTTTTTTGGCAGTCAAATTTGTTGTACCAAAACCTATCATCATCACCACCACCACCACCACCACCACTATTATTATTTCATCCCCTCGGTTTTCTGGGTTTATATAATGGATAGAAAAATGAAAAAGTGTCTGGCAACAAGAAAAAAGCGATGCTTGTGTGTGTGTGTGTGTGTGTGTGTTGTATTCACATTGTCAATGGCAAGGGCTGCTGCTTCTGTTGATGTTATTGTTGTTTTGGTTAATCAGATTTTCTTTTCCGTTCATCATTTTGCAGGATAATTTGGTTTACTGTGTGTGTGTGTGTGTGTGCATTCATGAAGAGAACCAGAATTTGAAAATTTGGTCTATGTGTGTGTGTTTGTATGTTGAAATAGCAGCTGATGTCATCATGTTTCAAACACTTGAATTCTCGATTTTTTTTTCGGAGATATTATTCTGAAACTCTGGTAGTTGATTGTGTATTGGTGATAGTCAAAGAATTTCATTTTTTCTACATACTACTACACTATATACTATTGTAATTTCAATTTGAAATGCTATCAAAATATTTTTTTTTTTTTTTTGGCGCGTTCTTCTCATTATATCTGAATGGATGATCATGTTGATGATGATGATGATGGATTCACTTGATGAATTTTCATATTAATATTACACACACATACACACAGATACACACGCTTTATTAATTTTGATCATCATCAACAACAAATTTCATCAGCAGAGAAGAGAAAAAAAAATGTCAGATTAAAAATGAAGACCACATCACAATTCAATGTTCAATCTCAATGATTTTGACCATTACTATGTCTATATATATATAGTGTGTATATTTTGGAAAAGCTTGTGTTTCGAAATAGCCATTCTATAAGCCATTTTGATGACGAATTCTAGAATTAGGCTGTCTTTGACAGGATTTGATCATGATGATGATGTTGATGGTGAATTTGGGGTGGGGAAGATTTGTTTAGTAGATGAGTAGTTCCCCTTTCCCCACTATTTTCTTTTTCAGGAACACATACGATGATATATTGAAACACCCATGGTTTCTGGTCTCTCTCTCTCACTATATATATGGTTGATATATTTTTAATCGAGATATATGGTTGAGAATTTGAAAGAAGAAAATCAAATGGAGACATCCATCCATCGAAACCCAAACACACACACACCAGCCATTATAGAGACCATTGAAAGTACAATTTCATTTGATTCCACATACACACACACACACACACACACATCAAGTTTAATAAGCCGGGATTAAGATGAAAATAGAAGAAAAAACTGAAAAGAAATGAACAAAGTAGTTGAGTGAATGGTATAAAGCCATTGAGTGATAGAGATGAGATGAAAACATCGGTAGCCAACAAAAAAAAAGAGCTTGTTGTTGTACCAAAGAAACACACACACACACTGGTTTTTTTTCACTATAAGTCTCTTTTTTTTGGTATTACTGAAAAAAATGTCTCTAGAAAAAAACAGGAAACAGAATTTGTCTGAAGATCATATACTGTATATATATTATATGACTATTATAATTCCAAATGAAAAAAAATAAATTGTAAGGATCTATAATCTACAACAACAACAACAACAACAACGATAGCAATAAAATTCCACATAAGCTTAATTTCGAAAACGGCAATTTTAACTCGATTACATTATATCCAACGTTTTTTTTGATTTTATGAATTAAAACTGTCGAAATAGAAATTGCTCATCTTTTTGTTTCCATTTGATTCGAACATCTAATATTCCAATAGATTCCAAAAACATCTAACAACAAGATAAGAATTTGTCAATTTTGAATCAAATGAAAAAAAAAAAAAAAAAAAAAAAAAATTCTTTTGCGCTTCATTACATTATAAATCATACAAATGTGTACTTTATTTTTTTGTGTATGTGAATCCTGCCTTTTTAGAAGCTAACCATTCAATTACTTGACCATTGACGAAAAAGAAAAAGAAATTCTACCAAACCAATCGAAAAAAGAAAAGAAAAAAAGAATCGAATCAAGAATCAATGTATTTTGGGGGTCATTATTATTATTATTATTATTATTCAATCACGAATTGAAATGCCTGTTCCACTTCTTCTAATCCTACCCCCATGTCGAAAATTCAATCGAAATTTCTTTCAAAATTCAAATTAAATCGAATGGTTGGGCAACCTTTTTATGACAACTCATGGTTGATATTGATGGAATTTTCAAAAAATTTCCAATCGGATCAAATCGTCTAGAAGTCCAAAATTGACTTATTAATACAAATCCTACCACCACCTCCACCACCACGCCATTCACTGCAATTTCCTGTTCTTCCCTCTTATCTGTTTTGTTGTTTGTCACTTATTTTCAAACGATTTTGTTATATTCTGACACAATAGCCTGGATCATTTTGTCTCAACGCCAAATTTGACAAATTATTATAGCATCAGGAAAACTACTGACGACAACAACGACTACGGTTCATTGAAGCACGATTTTTTTGCCTTTATTCATAAAAAATAGCATTCATTCCACCCCCCACAGTCATAGTTAGATGCGAGAATAATTGGTCTGGCCAATAGTTCTGTGTGTATGTGTGTGTATAGCGAACCAGCCAAACAAACATGCACCCAGATTCTGGGTATAGTATAATTTGGTCTGGCCAATAGAATCGTTTTTTTTTTGGTTTGGTTTGGTTTGGTTTGAAGAAAATCCTCATCACCATCATCATCATCATCATTAGGAACATTCTTCCCAATAATGAATGAATGATTGCAATGCAACACTATATGTAGCATCGTATTTTTGTTTGTTCGAACGAATGAATGAATGAATACCACCAGATACCCTTATCATCATTGTTTCTGCTTATATACTGTGGCTGCACTGTTGAAAAATATCTTGTAGGGTTCCACACACACACACACACACTGGATAAAATAAATGGTAAGTAAACTCTGATGGTATTATGGTGGATGCGCATGATGATGATCCAAATTGATGCGGCTCCTTTCATACAAACCACTCACTTTACTTCCTATAGCAAGAATATTGTGTGTATTTGTGTGTGTGTGTGTGTATGGTCACCGGTTTTTTCCATTCCTTTTCCCGTTGAATATATATCGATTTTTTTCAATATCAAACTGCTACTATCAAATCGAGACATAGAACATTTACAGAATTTTTCGTTTGCTGAATATATTGAATTGATGTTGTTTATACGCTCAAAAATAGCATCATCGTAGGGTATCTAATTCTTCAAGATCCATACACTGTGTGTGTGATCATGTGAGAGACGCATTCCTATGTAGTTTTTTTTTTAATTGTGAATTCCTGAATCCATCTAGTCAACAAAAGCCAGCATCATCATCATCATCAACTACAGCCACAACAACAAAGAGTATAGAAAACCTTTACTCTCAACATTGATGATAATGATGTTTGATCGTGATCATTGATGATTCGAATTCTAATACGAGGAATTCATTTGTTTGATAATGTTGATTTGCATTTGTGGTTAAAGTGGTTTTTTTTCTTTCGTTTCGTATTCCAACATCATCATCATCCGGTTTTAATCAAATAAAAAAATAATTTAAATTGAATGATGATGATGATGATGATGATGTGAAATTTAAATTTTTTCAACTTTTCAAACAAATAATTTTTTTTTTGTTGATTGAATAATTTTTTAGATTTTGGAATCTAAAATTTTTATTTACCGATTCTTGAATCATCATAGCCAATCAAATGTCATCATCATCATCATCATATTCGATGCATAGTCCGATAGTCACTACACAATTGGATTATTCGGGTAAGTGTAATATTATTTTGTTTCAAACACACAATGATTTTCGTTTCACCATATACATACACATAGGTCCATTATCGAACGATATCTATGCTGGATCATCATCATCGAATCGACCATCAATCTATGCCAATCATATGATGGTAATGTTTTTTGGATCATGATAATTTCCATTGATAATTAAATTAAATAATTTCTAGGCATCCAATTCATATGGGCCTACATATCCATTACCACCACCACCACTACCATCACTACCAACATCACCATCATTTCGATCTGATATGAATGATGGTGATCCATATTCAAGCTCAACAACAAACATTCATTATACAACTAATGGAAACGATGTTCCATCATCATTACATCATTATACGGATAATCCAAATTTATCATCATCATCACCATCGATGGCTCAACAACATCATCCACATCATAATCATGTTTCTATGCATCATCCACATCATCAGCATTATCATCAAACATATCCACATGGTCCACCATTAGCTAGTTTGGAACATCATCCACAACATCAATCTCAATCATCATCATCACAAAATATCTATCCAAATCCGTGTATACGAAACATGCAACCATATCCTTTAGTTTCAAATAACCTAACCATGATGAATAATAATCGTAATCATACCATCCAAACTACTTCAGCTACTACTATAAATACAACTACTAAACAACATCATCAAACATCTTCAGGTATAGGTTATTGGCCATGTGATTCACAAACATTACCGCCGCCATCACCACTATCATCATCATCACCTCATTGTTATCCTGCAAATGTAAATAATAATAATAATAAAACAACGACAACAAATTCCAATCATTGGACAAGATCATCACCATCGAATAATAATACACCATCACCAATACAACCATTACAACCACCTACATTACCACCACCACCACCACCACCATCATCTTCATCATCATCATCTTCTTCTTCATCATCAACACCAACATCACATCCGTTCCATTCATCACCACATAATCATAATGTTATGCCATCATCGGATTCTTCCTCATCATCATCATCATCAAATAGTGGTAAACAATTTACAAATCATACAATGATTAATTCTTCCGGTCATCATCATCATCCTCAGCAACAGCATCAACAGCAACAAGGATCAATGATGATGATGAATAATAATAATAGCAGTGGAATAAATCCATTACAATCATTACAAAAAATGGTACAAATAGATCCATCCATTTCTTCACCAATATCATCACAACCATCCAATGGAAGTGATCATCTACGTACAACAATACATTCACATCAACAACAACAGCAATATGAAACGGCAATAGTTACTATGAACGATACGCAGCAACAGCAAATGAATGTTTGCGGTTCTGGTAATGGTAGTCATTCATCATCATCTTCATCATCATTAGATGGTACGATCATCGATACAAATAATACTATCAACAATTATCCAACCTATTACAATCTAGATCAGAATCGTTTGTCAGCAACACAATTACAACATCCACAATCTTCATATGGTAACATCAACAGCAATAATCCATCCATATCAACATCTTCAATGATGGTGGTACCAGAATTTTCACCTATGGCCAAAAATTCATTATCACCATCATCATCAGCATCAAATTCACCGCCACCACCACCACACACACCAACAGAACGGTCTCCAATTGAAGTTAATAATAGTAAAAATTCCAATGATGGAAATAATTCAAATCGAACAAATTTAATTCGATTTTCGAATAAAAATGGCAATCAAATTGGTAGGAAAAACAGTAAAAATTTTCCATTAGATAGTAATCCATTGGATGATTGTGAATCACCAAATCGTAATCAAAAATTAAAAAATAAAACAAGGACTACAACGAGCATTACTGGACTACAAACTGATCAAACACATGATCATTCTAATCATTCATATCGATGTGGTTCAATCGAAACATCATCATCACGTGATTCAATTAAATCAAATGATTCGGCCACTACAACATCGGATGGACAATCCTCATCCGTTTATGGTGGTATGAGTAGTAGTCAATGTTCAACACCTAATAATTGGAAATCAAATAACAACAGCAATAATCAACAACAACAATCAACACAGCAACAGCAGATAGAATTTCGTAATTTTTCAAATTCAAATTCAATACAAACACCAAAATCATCGTGGTGGTCAGAAAATCAATCATCAGCTAGTTCAAATCGATCATTTACACCGATGATTGATAGTAATCAATCATCTTATCTTATAATAATAATAACAATAGTTCCACGATGAATAATTATCCAATGACACGATCAACATCTTCATCTTGGTCTCAACAGCAGCAGCAGCAACATCCACACCATCAACAACAACAAATGTTACCATTTCAGATATCCGGTTGTACAATACCGGATGGTATAATCAAAAAGAAACGTGGCCGACCATTTGGTAGTAAAAATCGTCGAAGTTTAGAACATGCTGTTGCTGCTACTGCTGCCTCTATTTCAACATCGAATCCTAGAATTACAACTGTAGCTACAGCTGTTACCACAACCACAAATGCTTCCAATAATCAATTAATCGATCCGAATCGAATGATGAAAAAACGAAAATCATCTATGTTTATCGATATTGGTATTAATACTAATCTATCGTTTGATGTTCATGATAATTGGAATCATCATAATAACAGTAATAATAACAAGGATGATCAATTTGAATTCGAATCGAATGTAGAACATCCATTACCATTGGCTAGTAAACGGAAAAAAATAGTTGGTCCTGTTATTCGTATTGATAAATCAAATGATACAAAATCTGCGAATAATTCTCAACAACATGATAATTGTAATGCAAGATATTCTATTGTGAATAATTCTCATAAATCAATCAATAATGATTCAGAACAAAAATCAAAAAGAACATCATCATCAATATGGTTATCATCTTTGAATCGTCGAAAAAATAATTTACAAATAAATCAAAATAATAATAATGTACAACAGAAATGGTATTGTATTCTATGTCAAAAACCATCAAATTATAAAGGATTAGGTGAATTATATGGCCCTTATTATATTCAATCGGATCATCAACGATTACAACGATTATTTTCAGATTTAAATGACCATACTAATATGAATGATGATGATAATAATAAAACAATAAACCATGAAAGAAGATCATTACGTAAACGAACAGCTGAACAACAACTTGTCAATAATGGTGATACGACGATAACAACGACAATGGATAATAAAAATAATAAAAATGGTAATATGAATGAAACGATTGAACAATCGATCCAAAATCATAAAACCAATAATAATGATCAACCAATGGAAGTATGGATACATGAAGATTGTATTGTATGGTCAACTAGTGTATATGTTGAAGGAATGAAAATTCGTAATCTTGAACCAGCCATTATCGAATCTTTTGATCATGTAAGTTTGTGTCAACAACAAGTTTTTTTTTTGAATAATCAAATGTGAATGAATTTGGATTTTATTTTTTGTCCAATTAAGATATGTACCAAATGTAAACTGCCTGGAGCTACATTGGGTTGTATATTTAAAAATTGTCAAATGTCACCATTACATTATTTATGCGCCAAGGAAAAAGGTATTTTTTTTTTGTTCAAAGAAATTTTCCATTCCAACTAATCGGAAAAAAATATTTCATTTCTAAATATCAAAAATAGACTGTGATCTGGATGAAGAAAAATTCATACTTAGTTGCTCAAAGCATAAGGTTAGTTTTAAAATTCACAATGAAATTTTGATTGATTTTTATTTATTTTTTTTTCTTGTAAATTAGAAACGTCGAATAATAATGACTAAAGATTTTGAACCATTTGATAATCCACAACAACAACGATCATCAACAGTAATTAATCAAGCTCAAGAAGATAATGATAATAATAATAATAATGTTGATGTTGATAATGGTCATCATGATGAATAATAATCACCAATCCATAATTCATTCATTTTATTTTAACTTGGATTCTATTTGGGTAAAACAAAAAAAAATAGTTAAAATATCTGCTATATTGATATGATATATTTACTATTTTTACCTGTAACACTTACACTTACACTTACATCAAACAAACAAAACAAAAAAAATTTCATTCATACAATTTTCATATATTTCCAGATTGTCAATGTCAAACTGTTTCTTTTTCTGTTTTTGTTTTGTTTCTTTGTTTGTTTGATTGTTTTGTATTTCATATTCTGATACATTCCAAGATTATTCATAAGCAACAACAAAAAAAAGAGATGGAAGAAATAAAAATTTCATTTATTAATGTGATAAATAATAATAATTTTTTCTCAAGAAAAAAAAATTAATGCTCAAAATCCATGGATGATTGATTGTCAAGGTTTATATATATTCATTATAAGTACATTTGTAATACGTAAGTGGTGATGATGATGATGATGATCATTGATCAATGAGAAAAATATCATCAGGTAAAAATGGTGATTATCGATGAAATTTGAAAATGATCAATGATTATGTTTGTATATGCGCATGGCGTGTATACACATTCTGCCGTCTATCGACAATGGATGATAATTTCATTCATCAAATTTAATATTTCGAATCATCATCATCATCATCATCATTGAACAACAGAAAATTTTCCAATTATTGCCGTTAGGCGGCGTTCAAAATTCCTGTATATATCGTGACTTGTCAACCAACTTTTTCGCTATAGAGCCATATACACAGTAACAATCAAAACCAAAAAAAAAAAAAAAAAAAATCGCACTGATGTTTTAATGCCACGTTTCATAAGGTTTGGTCTTTTATATTTTCATCATCTACTACTGTTTTTATTTGTCGATTAGTTGATTATTGGTTGTTGATGATTTAAATCTCCACACATTCAATTCATTTTAAAAATCAAAATTGTCTATGTGTGTGTGTGTAGCTTCAATTATAATTGTGTTTTATTCATTCCTGTGTTGATTGATGATTTGGTAGACAAAATAATTTTTTTTTTCGAACCTATCGTCATCATTGTTGCCAAAAACGTCATCATCTTTGGCTGTGTATTTCTTCCAATTTTTTTTACCATAAATTAATTTAATTAATATATATCGAATCGATTGGATCACGTTTATTTTTTTTGTGAATATATTAAATGATGACAAAATCATTTGTAATTTTAGCCCTTGTGGTGGCCATAATACAAACAACTGTCAATGGTGGTTCAGTCGATGATATCGAACGTGAAGAAAATGTACTCGTTTTGAATAATGATAATTTCAATGATGCTATAGCTATACCGGCCATTCTTGTAGAATTTTGTATGGAAATGATTTTTTTTGTTTTTTGATTGAATTTTTATTAATTAATTTTATTTAATCTTTTTTAGATGCTCCATGGTGTGTTCATTGTAAATCATTGGCACCGGAATATGCTAAAGCGGCAACTGAATTGGCAGCAGAAAAATCTGAAATTCTTCTTGCCAAAGTAGATGCAACAAAAGAAACCGATCTCGCTGAAAATTATGATGTACGTGGTTATCCTACATTGAAATTTTTCCGCAATGGTAAACCAATCGATTATAATGGTGATCGTACGGCTGAAGGTATTATTAAATGGTTGAAGAAAAAGACTGGACCACCAGCTCAAGATCTCACAACAGCTGAAGATGCAGCGAAATTCCGTGATAGTCAAGAAGTTGTTGTCGTTGGTTATTTTCCCGATAAGGATAGTGCAAATGCAAAATTGTATCTAGAAGTAGCCGCAGAAAATGATGCCATTCCATTTGCATTGATTACGGATAAATCTGTTGCCGAATCATTGGCCATTACTGAGGATGGTGAACGTGTTGTATTATTCAAAAAATTCGATGAAAATCGCAATGATTTTGATGGTGAATATAGTGTTGATAATCTTAAATTATTTATCGCTGCCAATTCATTGCCGTTGGCCGTTGAATTTAATCACGATGTAAGTGAAATTCTTAAAACAAAATTATTTCAAAAATTTTCATCAATCTCATCAATGTATAGACTGCAAAGAAAATTTTTGGCGGTGAAATCAAATCACATTTACTTTTATTCATCAGTCAAAAAGATGATGATTATGAGAAAAAAATTGAAACCTATCGTTCAGCTGCCAAATCATATAAAGGAAAAGTTCTTTTCGTCATATTGAACGCCGATGATGATGAACATGAAAAGATTATGGAATTTTTCGGCATTCAAAAAGAACAGGTTCCATCAATGCGTTTGATTCGTTTGGAAGATGAAATGACTAAATTCAAACCAGAAACAAATGATTTCAATGAACAATCAATTAAAGATTTTGTTGCCGGTGTTTTGGATGGTAAAATCAAGGTAAATTTTGTAATCATGACGTTTTTCTTAATCATTACCAATGATTTTTATTTATTTTATTTTTATAGCAACATTTACTTTCACAAGAATTACCAGAAGATTGGGATAAAAATCCAGTAAAAATTCTTGTATCTGATAATTTTGATTCGGTTGCATTTGATAAAGAAAAAGATGTATTAGTGGAATTTTATGCACCATGGTGTGGACATTGTAAAAATTTGGCACCTGTTTATGAACAATTAGGTGAAAAATATAAAGATAATCAAAATGTTTTGATTACAAAAATGGATGCTACAGCTAATGAGCTTGAACATACGAAAATTGCATCATATCCAACATTTAAACTTTATAAACGTGATACAAATGAGGTATTCATATTCATATTCATCACATTTTTATTTTGTAAATTTTTTTTTCAAATTATTTAACCTCGTTTTAGGTAATTGAATATAACGGTGAACGTACTTTGGAAGGCATTTCAAAATTCATCGAAACGGGCGGCGATTATGGACGTGCCGCTCCAGATTCGGTACATGTATCGTTTCATTTGCATGACTAAGTTTTTTTTCTCTTTTTTCGTTTTGTTTTCCATCCTCCTTTTTCCCCATAACAATTACCCAATTTTATGATTTAATGATAACGAATCTATAGATTGTCGATTTTAATGGTGAAAGAACATTACAAGGCCTTTCGGAATTTATTGAATCTGGTGGTAGCAAAGGTGCTAGTCCACCACTTGAGGTTAGATATGTTATGTTGATCTATTCTCTATATATGTGTGTATATGCTGCTTGTGCGTCTATGTGATGTTTCTTTTATCCATTACGTTGAAACAAAAATCGGCTTCAAAAAAAAAAAAAAATTTCCAATGATTTTCACAAAAAAAAGATTATCATTTATTGATTATTAATACATTTCATCATCATTTTTTTTAAATTTTTCAAATATAGGAAGTGGTCGAAGAAGAAGAATTGGATAAAGAAAATCTGAAAGATGAACTATAAAAGATGACGACGATGCTTTTATATATTATGAATTAAATGTGGACTGAAATGAAAATTGGTTGTCTTCGTTTTTTTTTCATCATTTTGTATACAGACATTTTTATATACTTTCTAAATAAAAAGCTGAATATAAGGATGATGATGATGATGATGAAAATTATTTTTTTTATAGTCAAAATAAATTCTGTGCATTTTTCTAAATTGTTTTTTTCGGTGCTGGTGTGTGGTGGGTTATGATGGATTAACGAGATGATCCAGAACTTGATCGTGATGAACGACGACGACGACTATCACGTATGGGTGGTGGTGGCGGTGGTGGAGTACGACTACGACTACGAGATCGTCGTCTTGAATGTGGTGGTGATCTACGTGATGGTGGTGGCGGTGATCGTCGTCGGCCACGATTTGGTGGTGATGAATTTGGTCGCCATCCGGAATTTCTCCCGCCTCCACCACGTGGTGGTGGTGGATGACCTCGCATTTTTTGTAGATCAATTTTGGATGCACTGATTTCCTGGCCATCAATCTGGCCACCATCCATATATTTTACAGCTTTAACTGCATCATCAGCGTTCTCATATTCAACATAAGCGAAGCCACGATTTAAATGGCTATGCATACGATCCATTGGCAAATCAACGCAGATAACTTTGCCAAAAGCACTGAAGATTTCATGCAAATGATCTCGATTGACATTACGAGTTAAACGTCCAATGTAAAGTCGAGTGAAAACCGATGATGGTGGTATTGGTGATGGACCACGTTTTTTCGATGATGATGATGATGGCGGTGGTGGGGCACCACGACGATCTCTTGGTGAATCGCCACGATCACGATGATAACGGCGACGATATCCCGAACTTTTCGAACTGGATGAATGTGATGAACGTGAAGAAACGGATCGTGAACTAGAACTACGACTTGATGATCCACTTGAACTTGATCGAGAAGAAGCAGAACTACTACGTGAACGGCTTCTGGAACTATTGGTGAATCGGGCATTTAAAATTTGTAAATTTTTAAATCTAAAATCCAACTTACCTGCCACTGGATCGTGAGCTAATACTTCGGCTTCGTTTTCGACCTTTTATTCCATCTTTCGATTCTTTCAAAGCTGTCGTACTACCCCTGTGTGTACAAAAAAAATGAATTTAATTAGAATAATAAATAAATAAAATTTGACAGAAAATTCTACAAACATTTTATATTAGTTTTCAAATTATAATTCGGATCCAAAAAAAAGAATGACAATTGAAAGATGCAATTTTGATACCGCTTTTGTATCACATGCATGCATGCATAAAACTCGATATATGATACATTCATAAAGACTGTATCCAAATTCCAAATTTTATATTTTGTTGGAATTTTGAACAAAATAATTTCATCATCGATCATGAACATCATACATGGTCATAATTGTTTTCGTATCACATTTTTTCACATTGATTCATACATTACGAAACCGGATCTAGTTTTGGATGAAACCTATTCCAGTTTTCGAAAACGTAATATTAATTTAGCCACCATCATTAGAGTGTTTGGCACAACCGATGATGGAATATCCACCTGCATTCATATTCATCAACATTTTCCTCATCTAACTGTTCGTCGTGAAGATCTATTCGAATGTTATCGAATTGAATCGGCGAAAGAATCGACAGTAGATCACACGGCCATTCTGGATGTGTTTGTCAAAGATTTAGAAAATTCATTGAGTCAATTTGTTGATTCACGATCACAAGATGAAATACAGATTATCAATGTTGAACCACATGATTCATTGTAAATAAAGTTTTGTTTTTTTAAAAAATGAGATGAATTCTTTCGATTAATTTGATTTTTTCTCACACAGTTCATTCTATGGATATCATGATCGGCCAGAAACATTTTATCGAATTTATTTTACCACCTATTGGATGGCCAATCAGTAAGTATATATTGTATTTAATATTGGAATTTTCGTCATCATCAATCTCGAATTTTTTGATTTCATAGGAGCAAAAATTATCTTGAATGATTCATTGTAAATAAAGTTTTTTTTTAAAAATGAGATGAATGTTCATTAATGGCTATAAATTTGAATTTTCGTCATCATCAATCTCGAATCTTCCAATTTTTTTTTTTGCTATAAATTTGTTTGCTATAATTTTCTTGAATTTCTTCTTCAATTCTACATTGATCGACATGTCTATCTGAATACATTAACATTTAAACAAATTACGTTTCGTAAACATCGATCTTCAAATGTCTATGAAGATATTGATTGTATTCGTGATCGACAATTCACAACGGTTGCCAAAATTTTATCCTATAATGATCTAATCATAACGAGTACATGTCAATTTGAATGTGATGCATTGGCCGATGATATTATGATTGTCGAACATCAACCATTGTTTCCATCGAATGAACTATTCAATCCATCAATGCCGGGTATTATCAGTTTATGGAATCGACAATTTCAACGATCATCACCAGAAGAATTTCAATCACTATTGAATGTATTGCAAAGTAGAAATTCAATTCATTATAGTAGTCATCAATTTCAATTGAAAAGACATCATATATTCGATATAAATCCAAATATTCCACAATTGGATGGTCCAACTGATTCTGAAGATGTTAACTATTATCTATTCAATGGTAAACAAATTCATTTCGATCCAAAACAATTTCAGAAAGGCATTGTATGTGCACCACGTTTAAATCCACAATCCGGTAATTTTCCGATATTAAAATTTATGGATAAGAGTCCTGGAAATATTCCATTAATAATGGAACGTTCACATTTGACCACTATTTCGAATACTGATACCAAACATGAAATGTTCGAATCGATTGAAAGAAAAATCAATACATTCCATCGTACTTCTGATTATATGGAAAAATTAAAATCACGTCTAAAAACATATCGGCTGTCAAATCCAATACTCGAAACAGATACAGATACAGATATCAACAGGCCTAAATCAACAAGTTGTCCGTTGAAATTACATTTTAAAAACAAATGCAATGTACCGAAAATCTCATTTCCAGAATCAACGATTACGAGGAAACGACGTAATCCATTTGATAAAAATCCAGCTATTCAGGATATTCAATTGGACAATCTTATCACCGACAGTAATCTAATGATGATGGCCAATAGCTTTTCTACCACCGTTCATACGATGAATTCAAGTTTAATGAATGATTCTAATCAATTCGAAATGACAAAATCGAATGAATTATCGATTCGATCAAATCATTTCGAATGGATTCAATATCCACATTTAACCATAATGTCCATGGAATTACATGCACGTATTCGTTCGAATTTAACACCTGATCCAAATTATGACCCCATACAAATGATCATGTTCACCATACATTGGGAATCCATTCATGATTCATCATCGGCACAAAAACCGTACATGGCTGCCATCATCGTTAACAAACCCGATGTCAAAAATGTTGAACATTGTTTGAATTGGAAAAATCGATCAATAAACATTGATTATGTGCAATCTGAATTGGATTTATTTTTTCGTTTCTCACGTTATGTTCAACAATCGGATCCGGACATTGTTCTTGGCTATGTGGTCGATACACAATCCTGGGGTTATCTTCTTCAACGTGCAATTATACTTGGTTTTCAAATTGGACCAATGTTTTCACGTGTGATCAATACATTTCAATCAAAAGGTAATTCTGCTGGTGGCCAAAATGAATCACCATCACTAGTCGGACGTATCGTTCTAAATACATGGCATCTATTACGACATGAATTGGCTTTACGATCATATACTATTGAAAATGTTTATCATCATTTATTCGGTATGACAATGTCAAAATTATCCAACGAATCATTAGGACAGCTATGGGAATCTGCAAGCGATTTGATTCTAGAATATTATCTACAACGAACACTTGGTTCAATGCGTATATTGAATCATTTGAATTATATACGTCGTACATTTGATCTTTCCTGTGCGTTTGGTATGCCATTTTTGGATGTCATCGAACGTGGAACACAATTTCGTGTTGAATCAATGTTATTACCATTGTGTCGTCAAGCAAATTATTTGCCATTACGTTTTTCCAAACATTTTATACGTCTTCAACGTGCACCACAATATATATCATTAATATATGAACCGGATATTCGTATACATTTAGAACCGGTTGCCATTCTTGATTTTCAATCACTTTATCCATCGTTAATTATTGCACATAATTATTGTTATAGTACTTGTTTAGGTCGATTACAAAATATCATCAGGTATGTTCTGTGAATGATCAATATGAATCCATTAAATTAATTTCAATTTCCAACAGTAAGGACGATACGTTTGGATGTTACAAACTTAAGAATCAACAACAAATATTAGATGGATTATCAGATGATCAGATTCATATATCTGAAAATGGAGTCGTATTTGTTCGACGTAATGTTCGACAAGGAATATTACCAAAAATGTTGGAAGAAATACTCAATACAAGAATATTGATTAAACGAGAATTGAAAAATGTTGATCGAAAATTAAAAAATCCTGAATTATCTCGATCAGAACGTAAACGATTACAGGCGTTACTAAATGAATTGGATAATTCACAATTGGCAATGAAATTAATATCGAATGTTACCTATGGTTATACATCGGCCAATTTTTCTGGTCGTATGCCCTGTATTGAAATAGCCGATTCGATTGTATCGAAAGGAAGACAAACATTAGAAGAGGTGATTACATTCATTAATCAATGGGGTCAAAAAAGTGGATCAAAAGTTAAAGTTATCTATGGTGATACCGATTCAGTATTCATATCGTTTCCAGGTCATTCTTTATCGGCTGCATTTGAAATGGCAAATTTTTTCATAACCGAAATTAATCGTCGACAGCCATATCCAATTTGTTTGAAATTGGAAAAAATCTATCAACCTTGTATCATTATGGCAAAAAAACGTTATTGTGGTTATGCATATGATTCGGCCACAGATCAGGCAAGATTCGATGCCAAAGGTATTGAAACCATACGTCGTGATGGATGTCCATTGACCGGTAAAATAATGGAACGATGTATTCGTATTTTATTCGATTCGAATGGTAATGTTGAATCATTGAAACCATATCTTCAACATCAATTCGATCGTATCCTATCTGGTCGTATTAGTCAATTATCGGATTTTATTTTTGCAAGACAATTTGCCGGACTTAAAAATTATCGTAATGGTGATGTAATACCTGCTTGTATTATTGCTCGAAAACGAATGCAAATTGATCCACGTGATGAACCCAAAATCAAGGAACGTGTTGCTTATGTTGTCATCGATGATGGTGATGAAAAACGAAGAATAGCCGATCTAGTTAGACAACCATTCGATTTATTGGCTGATGAAACACTTCGATTGAATGGTGATTATTATATTAGAAGTGCAATCATTGTTCCAATGATTCGAGTATTGGATTCAATATTTCGACAATCACAAAAATGTCTAAATGGTTGGTATGAAGAATGTCGAATACGGAATAAACGAAATAGACAAAACCTAATGGTTGGTCAACAATTAATGCAACAATTACAACAAAATCATCAAGAAGAATTCAATTTAATGATGAATAATGATTATTGGCAGCAGCAGCAGCAGCGGCGAATTTTAACAACAAACGATTATTTGGAACCATTAATTCAAATAATGGATTCAATTAGAAATGTTCGATTTAAATTGAAAAACTATGAACAACAATGTTGTCATTGTATGCAATTTGATTGGAATCATCAATTCAAATCAAATTCATCAAAACATCCATGTCAAGTGGAAACATGTCGATCATTGTATGGTTATCATCAATGTAAACGTGATTTTCATTATCTATTGTTTCTTCAACAAGCATTATTGAACAAATCCATCACTAATTTGTTTTAAATCATTTTTGTTTCTCTCATATATATTATTTAATAAATTCATTTTATTCAATGAAAAAAAAAATTTATACTGTGTAATTGATATTTGATAATTATGAAAAAAATCGAACGATATAATCGGCTAGGTCTCTCTCTCTCTCTCTCTGTGTGTGTGTTGTTCGAACTTTGAACGCTGTGAAAATAGGTGCTTTTTTATCAACTTAAAATGGTCAACTGGTTGGACAAGTTTAATTGAGATAAAAAAAACCACCCATTTTTTTTTCTTACACAACAACAAAAAAAAACAAGTCCTGGTTCTCGATTCTGTTGATTGTTGTGATTATTAATTCGTTTTCAATATATATATATTATATTATATTGAAAAATTGCACGTATACACCAAACGTAACGTAATGTAATATAACATATATATGTACGTATTTATTATGACCACTACCACACACATACACAATATACACAATATAGATGTGCAACACAATAAACAACAACAACAACAACAACAATATTCACCAAAATATTTGGCTGAATGCAGTCTTCATTTTTTTTCCTTGTTTCCATGTTGTTGCTGGTGTTGTTGTTGTTGGTGTCACTGGTTTCGCTGTGTTTGTGTGTACTCTTCTTCCATCATCATCATCGATCGATCGATCACCATTGATCATCATTGATATTGAAAAAAAAAGAGAAAATCAAAAAAACAAAACAAAAAGAACGATAGAATTTTGAATTTTTTTTTTGTTTCCAAAAATCAGATTCTGATAAGAATCATCAAATGTTTTATAATTCGTTTTAATTGTGGCTGAGCTATGTGTGTGTGTGTGTATACATCTGATGATCAATTTTCATTAATCGATTGATTTCAATTGAAGAATATTTTATTTTCTTTAGTGCCAAAATATTAACAACAACAACAAATATTTTATTACAATCATTCGACATCATCAGAATCATTAATTTTGCTCAATAAAAAAAAAAATTTTTTCTCTCTCTCTCTCTCTCTCATTTGGATCTTAGTCTAATCTACTATAATTATTTGAATCTCGAATTCATTGTTGATCTTAATAATAATAAAATGGAAGCCATTGCTAAACATGATTTCAATGCAACAGCCAATGATGAACTTAGTTTTCATCGTGGTGATGTATTAAAAGTTTTGAATAAAGAAGAAGATATTAATTGGTATAAAGCTGAATTGGATTCACGTGAAGGTCTTATTCCAAGTAATTATATTGAAATGAAAAATCATGAGTAAGTTTATTTTGTTTCGAATGTTTTCAATCGAATGTGTTTTTTGTTTTCAAATTCTTTTTCTTTGTAATAATAATAATAATAATTTATATAGTTGGTATTATGGCCGTATAACAAGAGCTGAAGCGGAAAAATTATTACATGATAAACATGAAGGAGCCTTTCTTATACGTGTCAGTGAATCATCACCAGGAGATTTTTCCTTATCAGTCAAGTAATTTATCAAGATTGAGTTATTTGAAGATTCAATTTACAATTCTTAATCATTTGTTGTTTTTTTTTATTCCACCTTAGATGTCCTGATGGTGTACAACATTTCAAAGTTTTACGAGATCAAAATGGAAAATTTTTTCTTTGGGTTGTTAAATTTAATTCATTGAATGAATTAGTTGATTATCATCGTACATCATCGGTTAGCCGTAATCAAGAGGTTAAACTTAAGGATATGCGACCAGAGGTAAAATTTAAATTCTAATTACAATTTTAATTATTGAATTGAATTTGGATCCTTTTTTTAACAGCTAAAAGTACAGGCAATGTATGATTTTTTCTCACAAGAATCTGGTGAACTTGAATTTCGTCGTGGTGACATAATCAGTGTAATTGATCGTAGTGATCAAAATTGGTGGGAAGGTGAAATTGGTACTCGAAAAGGTTTCTTTCCGGCTACATATGTTGAACCTTATTTTGGACAAGTGGATGGACAACAACAACAACAACAACAATAATAATAATAATAATAATAATACGTTAATCAATTTGATTTCAAATTTTTTTTTCTTCTTTTTGCGATTTTAATCATCGAATTCTCTACTACTACTACTACTAATTATTATTATTATTCAACGCTGACAACATTCGATTGATCAGTCAGTTTTTTTTTCTATATCTACAAATTATTTTACACACCCCTCTCGTCATGATGGTCAACTGACAACCAAAAACCCGAGGTGGATGTGTATTGTGCTTCAATCATCATATAAATTGTTCTGTTTTTTTTCTCTCTCTCAGCATTTACCTTATCTCATTCTACACACACACACACACACACACATTACACAGCAGCATGAATTTTATCATTCTATCTTGAAATTTGTTTTTTAAATTCTTTTAACCACCACCAATCTCCCTCGTCATTCGTTTTCCTGATGATTTTATTTGCATTTTATTTTACAAAAATTCTATAACAACAACAACAACAACACTAATTCGATTCGATTTAATATTATTGTGACAAATGACCATGTGTATTATTATTAGTAGATGATGATAATCTAGATTTTTATTTTTATTTTTATTTATGAATTGAAAAAAAACATGCTGAAATAAACAAACATACACACACACACACATACAGATTAAAAATTTGATTCGATTGAATATCACATTTATATGATAATAATGATGGTGATTCTGGAGCTTGATTTTTTTGTTTCTTATAGATCTGATTTACGATTTTCAATCTGAATACATTCAACTTCAAATATTAATGATGAATCTGGTGGTATTGTTGGTGGTGAACCAGTTGATCCATATGCAAGATCAGATGGTATGACTAATTTTCGTTTTTCACCAACACAAATACCTAACATTCCTTGATCCCAACCGGCAATCACCTGGCCAGCACCTAATGTAAATTTTAATGGTGTTCCACGTTTATATGAACTATCAAATTCAGCGCCAGTTGAATGTAATGTTCCCTGTGTGAATGAATGAATGAATGGAAAAGTGGATGATTGAAATTTTTTTTTTTTCATTTTCGAATGACAAATAAATTTACCCGATAATGAATATGTAATATATCGCCTTTTGATGCACGACGTTGACAATCATCAACACGTTTTTTGATACCAATCTGTAATTTGGTCACTTTTTTATCATTATTATTATTATTACAATGTACAGTAATGAACACAATGGATAAAAATAAAATAATGATGATTTGAGCAGACGTAATCGATTTCCGATTGATAGACATTTTCTTTTTTCAATCCTTTGTTATTATTCAAATTTACTTAATTTAATGGAAAAAAAATACTTGACGTCAGAAAATTCAAATGTGACAACTCAACCAACAACAAAAAAAGTGTGTGTGTGTGTGTGTGCGATGTATACGATATGTCGATTAATATGAACAATCGATTGTTTCTTTCGAACGATATTTTTGAAATTGTCGATTTTCGATCAATTTTAAACATTCTTGTTATTATTTTATTATAAATTAATTGATAATTGATAAATGATTGATTTTAATTGACGAATAATAATAATAATTATTTATATATGATAAGTGTTTAAACAATAATAATATAATGATTATCTATACATTTATTATTATAATATATAATGAATGGATGCTATAATTGATCATTGTTGTTTGTTCATTCATTGATTATGATCACCACCACCACCACCAACAACATCATCATCATCATCATCATCATCGTCATCGCCATCATTATCATTTTTATCATGATCATGATGATATTTTTGATCAATCGATTTTGATGGATAATCATTTCTATCATTAAATGGTCGATTAAATGATCGTTCCAATTCACGTATACGATATCGTTGAATAGTCAATTCTTTCAATATTTTCCGTCGTCGATGTTCACATTCAACATTATCACATACATACCAATCACGATCACAAATATCTTGATCTTTTTGATTCAATTTTAATGATCTGGCCAAACTCTAAAATGATAATAATTCAATTAAAATTCAACAACATTGTGAATATGAAATCTGAAATCACTTACAAGGCTAACTAGTGCAAAACAATCGGCTTTTTCCGTTTTAGCCAAATAACGGCGACAATAACTAAAATAAAGATGTTCAAGTGCCAATAATATGACTGTCAACAGGATACCACAGCCAAGCAAAAGGAATGCACTCATAAATTGATTAATATCCAATGGTTTACTCATGTTTCGTTTATTTTTCTGTGATTTACATGCACCTTGAAACCAATAACGACGAAGCCGTTCCAAATCACCACTTTCACGATATTCAATCATTTTTTATTGAATTTTTCCAAATATTTTGAATTTTTTGGCATAGCAAAGCCATATCCAGTCATAGCATACCAACTACCGACGGTCAATAGGCCACAATCATTATCTTCACCGACCAGATAATCCAATACTACGGCATCATAGATGAATGCATCCAATTCTCTATAAGTGAATAGAAAAATTTGAATTTTTTTTCTAAATCGAACAACAACAAACGAACCCTTTTTTAACAGCTGTAACACCATTTTTACTTGATGAACGATTAAATGGTGCCATATAATGATACATTTTTGGTTTATTCAATTTCAATACTGCTTCAGTATTACCGAATGGTATGGTACCGAATTTTAATGGTGGTTCACTTAGATGTGGATTGGCCAATTTTTTATCCTCAATACCGGTAAAATCATGATATTCTTCACGTGTAATCATAAATGCTGCCAGATTAGCAGTATAAATGGCAAGAAATACGACAGCAAATGTAGCCCATGTATTGGCCATAAATCTGAAATGTGCGAAAAAAATCCGATTACTCAAGAATACAAAACCAGAATCACAAACATCAAAATACCTTGCCGTATATCCTTTTGGACAATCTACAGGTACGGCAGCTCCAAATAGAATGGCCCAAACTAGCCAATAGGTACGGAATAATGAAAATTTATGATCTAAAAACAAACAACAATCGATGAATGAAAAGTAAATTTTTCAACAAATCAAAACTGACCTTTTGGTGGTCTCATTGCCATATCATAACCGGATGGACTTAACCATTCGAATAGGAAAATAGCAAATGCAGCTATTTGTATGCTGACCAACAATATCATGATCCATGATATTACATCGAATGGTTCTACAATATATCAAAAAAAGGTATTTGTAAAAATTGACAAATTTTAAAAATTTCACAATTTTTATCTCATTTTACCTAGAAATGCTTTTGGTGAAATAATACCGGTACGTTTTGCAACGGCTATAGCGATACCAGTTTCCAGAAATGGTACGGTAAAATCAACAAATGCTTGTCGATCAGAATTAATTTTGATCGATGTAACAACCATATCGGCTTTATGATTAAGCAATTCTGCAATTAAACCATTCCAGGTTCCATTCTTGAATTTTATTCAAGAATTTTAGTCAAATATTTTCCGATTCTCATCATAAGAGACAGACTTACATTCAGTATACCCCATGCACCATCTTCAACACGAACTAATTCATAGGTAAATTTAAGATCATTGGCAAATTTTTGTAACAAATCGATACAGAAACCAGCACAGCATCCATTTGATGTACTTTGAAGACAAATAATTAATTAAATTTCAAATGGTCAAATTTTGGAATCGTAAAACCACTACTAACCTATTATCGACGATATTAACAAGTGTATATTTACATGGTACAGCACGACTCATACGACATTCACCGGTTTCATTATCGGGAGGCACAAAATTAACAAATGGTGGTTCTTCTAACCAGCTTACTTTTAGGCTAAATTTTTCTGGTATACCTATCGGTGGTACTGGAGAATTTTCTGGCCATGTTATATCTTTGATTTCTATACCATCTTCAGTCCATGTACCAATCTTATCCCAAATGGCCATATTATTCAAATTCATTATATCCAATTCAACATATTTAAGTGTACCATCCAGATTGAATTCAACCGATGGTTTACCCGATTTACTTTTGATTGTTACATTACGTAGAAAACTATTTGAAATGCAAAAAATCAATCAATTAATTCAAATGATTCAAGTCAACAAAAAAGAAAAACATACTAAAATAATTGTTCACCCGTTGTCCATTTAATATTGGCCGATGAATTACAATTAATGGCACTATTTAAATTCAATACATTACTATCATTGTTAGTGTTGACCAATAATTCTAAACCATGTCCAAATATGGTTACAGCTAATTCAATTTCTTCCAATAATTTTTCATGTGTCGTATTGAAATGTACTCCTGCAAAAAAAATGAAAAACATGTCAAAAAGAAAGAGATAAATTACTGTCAATTATTACCTAGAATACCGGTAGGAAATTCACCCGGTGCATATCCGGCTCTTGGTCCAAGTACACTTTGTGTTACAATCCACATATAATTCTTTGTAGTCATATTCAATTGATCAGCAGCAGCAAATATATCCTGTGCTTCACGTTTATTTGAATACAACAATATGACTCTTGCTTCACTAAATGAAAGTGGACGTAATTCTTCAACAATTTCATCACGATTCGTTCGTTGTACAGTAATTATATCCAATATAGTGAAACTATAATCATTTATCGATAATGTTTGATCACGTAATGCACGTATAAAATGATCATAGCCACCAATTTTACTGGTTATAATTGAAAATGTATGCCATGAATAACGACGTAAAATACTTAACATTGCTGATGCTTGATGTTCCATTGATGGTGCCAATTGTAATATACGTGAATGAACACTTTGTTGTTGATCAAGACCAATATTATCGGCATTCCATGCAATAACCGGTATGCCTAAATAACTGGTCAATTGTAATAGATATTGTGCCGATGCAGCATTACTACCCCATATTTCTGAATTGGTCATATACAATATTGTCGATACATTTTTCACTAATAATTGATTACAAATACTATTCAAAATTTCCGTTGGATTTGGATCCAACGATAATGGCACAACTTGAGCCTGTGTTATTTGATAATAATTTGTAAAATTATATTTTTCATTTATAGATTCAATTTTTTTCTCATGACGATTACGACTTTTCATTAATGATTCAACAGAATCTTGAAGGCGCTGGAAAAAAAATTTATTTTTTTTCAATCAATTCATTTTCTCTGATACAAAAATGAACTTTTTACCTTATAATATTGTCGCTGTAATGTGATCAACGATGTTTTGGGCAGTATAGCACCGAATGTTATTTTTTGTGCATTCATTAATGATGATCGATGATTATTATGATAATTTGATGAACCATCAATATTCGGTATGATGATGATGATGATTAATGAAAAGATAAAAATTGTCATCGATAGCAATAGTATCAAACTACTATTATTATTACTACTACTATAGGTATATGATGATGGGCGGTGTCTGATTAATTTGAGCATCATCATCTTTTTTTTTTTGTTGAAAAAAGAAGGGTCGTTTTGTTTTGTTTTTTTTTTGTTTTGTTTTATTCGAAAAATTTATGAATCAATGAATTTGATGATTTTCAAATTTCTCCATCTTACAATGATAATAGAGATGATGATGGCTTTTCATTGTCACAAGATTCAATTTCGTTTTGGTTGTTGGTTTTTTTCCAATTTTTTTTATTATTATTAAATTCAATCGATTGTCAAATCGATAATGTTGATGTGCATGTGTAAATCTATTTAATTTGTGTTAATGGAATGGAATGATGATATATTCTATAGAGACACTGAATTCATTCTATTCAATCAATTCAATGAACACATAGTCATTTGGATCGTTAAATGTTTTTTTTTGTTTACCCATATTCTCTATTTATTTTCGTTTGGTTCGTCGTAGGCAACACAGACAAACACACACACACACACACACATCAAATTCTGGTTGTAAACACACACACACACACACACACACATCCCCCAATCCATCTCTCACTTAGTGGCCATCAGATTCTCTCTTTAAACATCCATTCAAGTGACATTGATGTTTTTTTCATACATAGACAACAATAATATATAACATGTCCTGTCCATATACACACACACACACACACACACGCACAATAGAATCATTCTATAAATTCTGTTGGGTTCGGCTAACACACACACACACACAATTCGATGTTTTTTCCTATAGGATGTGTGCCTGCAATATTTTAAACCCCCAATTCCTAACACCCGTAAACACATCCAATCCATGCGCGAAACTTTTTTTTGTTTGCATCATACAAAAATATTTCCTCATTTTTTTTTTTGTTTCAAAATCCCAAAAAAAACAATAAAATTCCGAGCATGTCATTGTCAAAAAATATTTTAACCGCGTTTAAATGAAAAATTTTTTTTTTGTTGTTGTTAATGTGGCTACTGCCATCTATCGAATGATGGTCATGGATTGAGTCAATCTATATTGATTTGATTGTTCGATTCGTTGTTTTCTTTTGGTTCCATCATCAGCTGATTCATTTGATTTGATAATGATTAATCGTATGGTCATTCCATTATTATCATTTAAAATTGGTCTTAATTTAGTTTTGACAACACTCAATCAACAATCACAACGAACAATGGCTAGTTTTCAATCGACTAAAGGTTAGTGTAAATTTTTCTTAATCGTCATCATGTTTAATTTGTTTGTCATTTAAGTTATGACTCAAAAAAAACATGATGAAAATCGATCCAACAACAACACTAATACAATATATCAATGTAAATTAGATAAATTTCTTTCCATGGCAATAAATGAAAAACGTACACATTATAAATGTGGTGAGAATTATGTACAATTAAATCAGATACCAAAATGGTCTGAACAATCAAAATCACAAACAACATCAGCAACAATGAATGTATGCAATAAATATAAGCCAATGGCCGAAATGAATGATCGTTTATCATTGTTTAATGGCGATATAACAACATTGGAGATCGATGCTATTGTTAATGCTGCTAATCAACAATTAGCTGGTGGTGGTGGAGGTTAGTTTTGGTTGTTTTTTGTTTTTTTTTTTTCTATTGTGGATTACAAATTAATATATCACATGATGATAATAATGGCTAGTTGATGGTTTCATTCATCGTGCTGCCGGATATGAGGATTTACAGGCTGAATGTCGTACATTGAATGGCTGTCATACAGGTGATTGTAAAATGACAGGTGGATATCGTTTACCAGCAAAATGTAAGTATTTTTACTATGATAATCCATATTTGTCTTTCTTTATATATAGTAATTAAGTCTGTCATTTTTTTGTCTGAAAAAATTTATTTTGAACATCATCTTAATCATAGATATAATCCATTGTGTTGGCCCAATTGGAGAGAAACCTGACCTACTCGCAAGTTGTTATCAACATGCATTGGATATGTTACGTGATAATCAATTACGTTCAATTGCATTTCCATGTATATCTACGGGAATATTTGGTTATCCAAATGAAAATGCAGCTAATATTGCATTGGATACTATACGAAAATGGTTGGAAAATCCATCAAATCTTCAATCAATTGATCGAATAATATTCTGTTTATTTCTCGAAAAAGATATTGACATTTATAATCGTTTAATTGGAGAATATTTTCCATTAATCGACAAATAATCATATCAATAATTGACAACACACACAATATACATGATTTATAAACCGATTCAATCAAATTATTGATTGATTATTTTTAAAATTTTATTTCGACACATTTTAAATTTTTTAAATCATCATCATATCTGACATGCGCTATTAACTTATTTTGTGGGGAGTTTGTTGATCAACAACCAACCACTAATCATCATCGTCGAATGCAACAACAACAACAACAACAACAAAACAACAGGGAAAATTGAATATTTCGTTTTGATGTTAATAAACAGCTTTTTTTGATTCAAGCATCTTTTTTTTTCTTTCTCTTTCTTTTTAATCAATGTATATTTTTTTCGTCGAAATATTTGATTTTGTTGGCGTGGCCATGTCAATTTTTTCATCTGATAAAATCTGTGTGTGTGTTTGTGTACATTCCAAATGATCTGCGATTCGAGATTCGAATTTCCAATCTCATTTTGAAATTCATTACTATTATTACTACTACTACTACCCTAAATGCTGCCTAAATGTCAAAATTTCGTTATCGTTACATGTGCAATAAATAACAACAAGGGGTATTTTCTAAAAAAATTTTTTTTTCCGTTTGATTTTTATATTCCTGATGTGACTATCTTATCTTATCTCTTTTTAAATTAATTAATTAATTTTTCATTTATTAAATCAAATCAAATGTATACAAAATGATTTTAAATATTTGTAAATTGTTGTTGTTTCCTTGGATATTCGTGGATCCTTGTCATCAATCATATGGATGATGATGATGATGATTTTCATTCCATTAGACAACACTCAATCATTGGCCATTTTTTTTTTTTTTTTTGATTGATTGATTGATTGATTGATTGAATGATGTCGCACTTTTTTTTTTTTTTCATTTCATTTTCATTATTTAATTGATAAATCTTAAATCAAAATTTTTTTCTTTTTATCATCATTACTTATGGTTTTATTTATATTTTTACAGATCTCATTTATTTAATTGATACGACAACAACAACAACGACAACGACCACAACGTTGGCTACGGAAATTTATATTGATATATCGAATTCAATCAATCAATCAATAGTATATAACAAACATTAAAGTGTGGAAATTAACAAAAAAAATGGATCGTGATCTAATCAACGTGTTTGTATTGGGTCTTTCGTTTATGTTTTTATTCACAGCATTTCAAACGAATGGATTCATTCAGGTAATTTCATTTTCAGGTGTTTTAAATTTCAAATTTTAAATTAAAAAATCATTTTTTATTTTAGGGCCCAATGATCGATAGTATCAATCATGAATATGGAAAAGATCAATATGGTGCCAATACATTTGTCAGTATGTGTCTTATTTATTTAATATTTAGTCTTGTCAATTGGATTGCACCGGCATTCGTTAAATTATTTGGTGCTCGTATATCGATGATTGTTTCCGGTATAACCTATATGTAAGTTTCTATATTCATTTTCATATTGATTGTCTGATGAATGATGTCATTTTGTTATTATTTTTTTGTAGCTTATTTGTAGCCAATTTTCTATGGCCACAAGCATGGCTTCTTTATATTGTATCAATGATTGTTGGTTTTGGTGCCGCAATCTTATGGACTGCTCAAGGTTATTATCTAACCGTTTGTTCAACAGAAAAAACAATTGGACGTAATAGTGGCTTATTTTGGACATTATTTCAATGTAGTCTTCTATTTGGAAATATATTTGTTTTTGTTTATTTCAAAGATATGACCGGTGAAGATATACCACATTCAACAAGAACAATTACATATATTGTATTATCGATTGTTGGTTCAATAGGTATTGTTACAATGTTTTTTTTGGGTTCACCAAAATCTTTGCAATCACAGGAATCAATCGAATCATCTGGTTCATTCAATATTATTGAATCGATAAGTAAGTTGATTGGGTAAAAATACAATGATTATTATTAATTGATGATTTTTTTTTTGTTTGTTTTCGCTTGAAATTTATAGAGGAATCATTTGCATTGTTGAGTACCCGTAGAATGATCCTGTTATGTATTACATTCTGGTATACTGGTATTGAACTTAGTTTTTATAGTGGTGTTTTCACCACTGCATTAGGACGTATCAATAGCCTGGATAAAGATGGTGGTAATGCAAAAAAATATGTCGGTCTTGCCGGCATGCTTATTGGTATTGGTGAAATTGTTGGTGGTCTTATATTCGGTATTCTTGGTTCAAAAACAGTTCGTTGGGGACGTGATCCAATCATTGTATTGGGCTATTTTATTCATATGGTTTCTTTTCTATTGATTTTAATCAATTTTCCACCTGATTCAACCATTTCGGAAACGGTAAAAAAATCCGCTTACATTGATCCAAAGTGAGTGTTTTTCCATCATTACATTGAATAACTAATTTTTATCATCATTTTTTATTCATTTTTTTAGCCTTACAATTGCTTTAATATCTGGATTTTTACTAGGTTTCGCTGATTCATGTTATTGTACACAATGTATGTCAATATTAGGAACATTATATGCCGATAATAGTGCACCGGCATTTGCATTATTTAAATTTTTCCAATCAATCGCATGTGCCTGTGCATTTTTCTATACACCATATTTTAATCTTTATATACAATTAGCTATATTGGCAATATTTGCATCAATAGGAACATTAACATTTGTCATTGTTGAATGGAAACTTCGTCGTGATGAACATATCAATCTAAATAATGATCATCGTGTCCATCAAAGTTAATAATGATAATAATTGTCTTACATATCATCATAATAACAATTATTAATTTCCTACTGATCAATTTTTCTATTCCATTTTTTCTGTATTTTTCAAATTTTTTTTTTTTTTGCAAAAATTATTTTATATTCAAATGAATAAATTTTTTTTTATATAAATTACGATAGATGGCGTTTTTGTAGTCATTGTTATTGTTCGAAAAAGGACATTTTCAAGCTCAATGATTTGTTGTTGTTGATATTTCATAATTTTTTTTTGTGAATAAATTCAATTCTGAAAAAAATGTATCAAAGAGATATTAGTAAACCATTACAATTTTTTCGTGCCTTATTATTGGGTGTAAGTATTTTTTCAATTATTTTGAATTTGTTAATGTTTATCATTGGATATATATGATGATTTATGTTTAGCGTACATGGAATAATCAAAATCGATTTCAAGATCAACTATCACCAAGGTATGTGTGTTTTGAATTATTATTTTAGGATTTCAATCATTTTTTTTTTATTTGACAATAATCATACATAGACCATATCCAAAACCGGATTTGAATCAAGGTGTAGCACATAAAGCATTTGATAATTATTATGTAAATCGAGATGCACGACGTTCTGTTTTACCACCACAAACATTACAATCACCAAAACAGATTGGTGATTCTAAATCTAATCTACCGCCAACACCTGGTCATGTTCATCGTTGGGATTAAATATATAAAATATTATTCTTGTAGTTATATTTATCTTTTGTTGATTTCGGAACAAAAAATAAATAAATAAATAAAAATTTTTTAAAACAAAAATAAAAAATCCATTCTTCTACGTCAAACGCCATCTATTGTCGATATATTAAACAAACATTGTGTATTTATTAAAAACTAGATGTCAGTACCATTCTTGTATATTCACATTCTTCACCAAAAAAAAAAAAAAAAAATGAGCACAAACAGAATATGAATGTTTTACTGCAGTAAATCAGACAAGATACACGTGAATTAAATTCATTTCTAAATTATTAAATACACATGCGTATTGAACAATAAACGCAATCAGAGCACATTTTCTTCATTAAAAGAAAAGAAAGAAAAAAAAATATAAGCCGGTATCATCATCATCAAAATTATACGGACAAAAAAAAAAAAAATCCATGCATCATACATACATCCTATCTGTTGCTTCACACATACACACACACACACACAACATTATCATTCTATTCATTTTTACACAACACAACACAATATATATATATATATCATATAAACGCGTTGTAATTTCATCAACAAAAAAATTTTTTTTTGTCATCATCAACAAGTTCTAAGCGTTTTTTTTTGGTTGAGCCAATTTTCACATCTACTACTTTCTCTTTCCTATTGAGTGGTTGTCAGGTATTCCAAGATTTCGGATGGCCCCAGATCATACTTCATGACTGTGGTGCCCAGTTCCAAAGCGAACAATTCAAAAGATTCGCATCCGAAAATCACATCGAACTGGAAGAAGCAACAGTGGCTCATCATCAAACTAATGGAATGGTGGAACGTATTATCCGGACAATTGAAACGATTATCCGAGTATCAGCTAACGATCATAATAATTGGGACCGTACGCTACCAGAAGCTATCGCAGCCTACAATGGATCAAGACATTATTCGACATCCATGCTCTTTTTTTTTTGGCCCACACACACACACATACCACTCACACTACACAACACCACCCAATTTTCACATCTACTACTTCTTCTCTTCCTACGCGCGTTGTAATTTCATCAACAAAAAATTTTTTTTTTTTCAACAAGTTCTAAGCGCTGTTGTCTTTATATTTATTGTTTGTGTTGTTCATGTACATGTGTGTGTATTTTATAGATTGCAAAGCAAATCTCACACGTTGTTTTGGATTATATCAAACAAAATTATAATATTTTTTGATTTTGATTGTTGGTTTTTTCATGATTTGATCTACATGATTATAATTGTTTTGTTTCCATAGATATATGAATAATAATGATAATGAAAGAATAATAAATCCACATTAAACTGTAAAAAAAAAAGAAAATAGAAAATCAGAGAAACACCAAAAAAAAACACCTATAATTCGTTTTTTTTTCCATTCAATAATATTCGAAAATCATCACATCTGATATAATCCGATATTGATTATCTGAGAAAAAAAAGGTAAGCTTAATGTTTTTGTTTGTTTGTTTGTTTTGTTTGAATGTCATGCAAAACCATTTGACATTCAAATTTTTTTTTTTCATTCGGCAAATGTTTTCGAATGCACACCCCCACACACACACACACATACACAATGAGAATATTCGAATTCGAAATCATCATCGTATCAATCAGTTTCATTTTATACAAAAAAATTTCGAGAAAAAAAACAACATAGATATGTGACGATAATGATCAAATTGCGAAATTAAATAATTTCGTTCGATAGTGGCGCCCGTCATAGAATACAATAAGAATCCTAATTTTTTTTCATTACTTGCGGTTATTTTTCTGATATTATCGGTATATATTGTTGTTTTTGTTTCGGTTTTACGGTTGATACAACAAAAACAACAACATTGATACACTCGATATTCGTGTATGTGTGTGTGTATGAGTAAGTATCATCATCATCATTATTATCATCATTGAGAGTCGGAAAAAAAAAATTTTCTGGCAACAAAAACCAGTTTTTTTGTTGTTGTTTTCATAATATATTTCCACATTTACCATCATTCCATTCATGAATAGTAGAAATGTGAATTCATTTTAATTTGGTTGCCTCCACCATCATCATCATCATCATTATGAACATTCTCTGATCATCATCATCATCATGATGGTGGTGGTGGTGGTAAAATGTGCCAATACCACACACACACACACACACACACATCGAGAGAGAAACACATTTTTTTTGATAAAGAAAAAAAAACGTTCTTTTTTTGCTAGAAACCGAATTTTTTTCCGGCGTGTGTATGTATATTGTGTCGTGAGATGAAAAAAAAAAACAAAATTGAATTATAAATTTTTCTCACAAAAATTGTTTGGAAATTTTCTTTGAAAAAAAAGTTCGAATTATGTAAAAAAAGCAAAAAAACGAATGTTTAGATTGATCGATTGATTGATTGATTGATTTTATTTGTGAATTTTTTTCTGTGAATATTAAAATCTTATTTTTTTCTTTCTTTCTTGCAATTGAATTCATCAGTTCATCTTTTTCATCAAAAAAAATAAATAAATAAATAAATTTTTTTTTTCGATTGATTGAAACCAAACGAAAAATCGTTTCATTCATTTCTTACCATTGATGGCCTTAACTGATCGTGCCGTAGTGTTAGCCTGTAGTGTTTCATTATTGGCCATCACATTAGCAGCAATTTATTATTGGCAATCATCATCATCATCATCGCCATCATCATCGAAGAATCGAAAAAATTCAAAAAAATCAAAACAACCTGTTGTTGATGACGATAAACACAGTGAACAACAACCAAAGCAGACCACCACCACAACCACCATCATATCTGTTAATAATAATTACCAAACACAACAAGACCATCATCAACAACAACAGCATCAACCGAAGAATATTGTTGAACAACAAAGTGTTCAAACATTTGATTCAAATCATCATTCAAACATTGATAAACATTTGGATGATAATAATAAGATTCCATGTTCATCATCATCACCGATATCTGTCGATATAGGCAATTCGATCGATAATAGTAATAATAAAGATCAAATTCAACAACAACAACAACCAGAATTCTATGACAAAGATTTGATCAAAAGTTTGTATATTAATCATTTATATTCTTTTAAACATTAATTAATTTAACTATATTTCTAGTAATTGAATCAATCAAAAACGACGACAACGACGCTGAAGAAGAAGATTTAAATTTGAATAACGACAGTGTTAGTAGTACAAGTTTATCATTTACTAGTATTGACGAAGACGAATATACAGCTAAGAAAATGCATCTGAAAAATTATTCATTCAATACTGCTATTAATGCTGACGATCATGAAAATTCATCAAATTTTTCAATATTTAAAAATTGTTCACCCAAATCAACATCATCATCATCATCAGCCGATAATACTAAAGAAATCATTATGATTGATGATGATGATACCGTTCGATCCGTATTGAAAACAACCGATGAAATTGATGGTGGTGGTGTCCAAAACAAAATTAATAACAATGATGATGATGATGATGCTAATGATGATGGTAAACAAATAATCAAATCGAAAAATGATATTGATGATGATAATGAAACAATCAAATCATGTTCAGAAATTGATTCGTTAACTCAGGATAATAATGATAATGTTGATAAATACAACAATGATGATGATGAAATAAATCAAAAGTCATCAACAGTAGCCAACAATAAATTGAATGAGCCAAAATCCAATGATGATGATATTGATGATGATAACAACCAGAATGAGCTTAACAATGCTACTAACAGTAACAATGATAAAAATATCGAATCGATTGATAAGAAAAATGTCTCAAGTAGTGAAGAAAGTGATAATGATTTGGATACAATCATTGATGATAATGATGGTGATGGGTGCAATCTTCCTGTTAGCCATATTGATGATTCTGCTACAAATCATCAATCCAAAGACGACAGTAATGGTAATAAGAAAATGCCACCATTGATGATGGCGACGACTACAACAACAACAACAGTGAACACATCATCGAATTTGATGGCAAAAATGAGCGCTTTTGATGACGATCAAACCGACAATAAAAAAATGTGTGATCATAATAAAGATACAAATTCTATTGGTCAACAACAACGACAAACATTTGCTCAAATCGTATTATCATCATCGTCATCATCAACAGCAACTATAACATCAACAAATAATTGTGATTCAAAAACAATGGTAGTCGATAAAAATGATCATCAACAAAATGATTTTCAACAAAATTGTGAATCAAAAATAATTGCTGAAAATGTTGAAAATGCAAATAATGATAATCATTCAAAATCAGCGAAAATTGATGATTATACTGATGATCCATCACAACAGCTATCAATAAAAGATGAAAATGATGACACTGATATTTACCAAAATTATCCGGATCTTTCTTTAACACCAAACAGTGATGATCAACAACAACAACAACAGCAGCAGCAGCAGCGAGATCAGCAACAAGTTACTGATCCTAATAGTAGTAATAATAGCTGTGACGATCAAAGTCAGGTAAGTTAATGATTATTACCAACTTTTTATTTTAATTTTTACTTTGAATTTCATCTTCCTTTTAAAAGGAATCAAATGATAGTGGTAAAGGAAGCTGTTTGCTTGAAACAACAACAATTGATCCATCATCAACATCAGCTACTACAGTGCCTATTAATGATAAAATTACAGAAGCTATGGCTGCTGCAGAAAATTCTTGGTATCCATCAACAACAACAATCAATGATAATGTTGCATATCCTCCGATGCCATCAATATTTGATACTATACCGATGGATAGTCAACATTGTATACAATATAATTTCCGTATACCGACTGATCTTTGTGGATTTCTTATTGGCCGTAAAGGAAGATTTATAAATCCAATTAAATTGTCGACAAATACGCAGATTATTATTGAGCCTTATAATGGAACGACAAATATTTGTACCATCTATGGTAAATATACTAACAAAAAAATATGAAATCATCGATTCTATAATCAATCCACAATTTTCTAATTAGGTCCCAGACCTAATGTTTTTCAGGCATTAAATTTGATTAAAACTCGTTTCCCCGTGGAAACTTATCCAAATGTGGATTATAATCATTTTCCAATCACACCAACAGTGGCATTAACAGCTTCTTGTCAGGTATAATATGAAAAAGCATCAGATGTTGATATTTTTTTTTTGTTTATTGAACAATTTCTATATTCTATATCTAGCTATCACTACCGGTCGGTGTAATGACCGAAGTAGTATTATCCTGTACAATTGATGCTAGCCATTTTTATCTACAACAACCAACACATCCATCATATCCAATGTTGAGTACTATGGATCATGAAATGAAAGAAAATTATTCAAATGGTGATACACCACCCATTCCACAAGTGAAAGAAGGTCTTGTTTGTGCTGCACCTACAGCTGAAGGATGGTATCGTGCATCGGTTAAATATGTTCATGAATCTAGACAAGAATGTGATCTAACTTTTATTGATTATGGTGGTGAAGCATTGAATGTACCGGTTGATACATTACGTGCTATACATTGTCATTTTTTACGTTTACCATTTCAAGCATCAGAATGTCGTTTATCACGTGTGATACCAATAGATGGTAAGTGTAAAACGAAAATTTCTCAAAAGCTAAAGATCATGGTCAAATTTTTTTTTTGTAGTAGAAACAGGTTGGACAGCACAAGCGAATGCATGTTTTGAAGAATTAGCTAAAGGACAAGTGATTTATGCATTTATTGAAAATTTCGATGAAACAGGTATACCATGTGTTAATCTATATAAAAACGGTGAAAATAAAACGGTAAGTTTGAGTGTATTCATTTCAAATTTTTCGAATAATCAATCCATGCATTATTATTATAGTGGATTGATATTGCTGATGAATTGGTCAATCGTGGCCATGCTCAATACATTATCAATACACCATCATCGACAACGATGACGACAACAATTAACAAAACACCATCTTCATCAAATTTAGCATCACATTCATCAATGCAACAACCATATTGGCCATCATCTGGTCATTAAAAATCTGGTCTCTTTTTGTGGTCGTCAAAAAATGATTGCTCAACATTTTTTCCTTTTTATGATTTTTTTGTTGCCTCTAAAAAAAACAAATGTCCATGAAAAATTCATCATCAATCAATCCACCACGACCACAGACACACACACACACACACACAGTCATCTATATTAATCCACATTCTTCATTTCATTTATTGTCCATCGTCATCATTATCATCATCATCATTAAGTTGATGTATTTAAAAAAAATTAATTTGTAAAAAAAAATTTGATCAACTTTTTTTTCTTCCAATATATACAACATTATAGCTCTACCAATTAATTAATTAGTCTTCTTCAAAATATTCAATTTTACCACCACAAAAAAAAACGAATTCTTATATCATTCATCTCATTTTTCATTGTGGTTTCTGTAGTTTTATTTCGTTTTTTTTTCTTTCTTTCTTTTTTTTTCTTCACACATTTGCTGCTCTCGTATATATAGTATGATAATTTTTTTTTTTCTAAAAAAAAACGTTGGATGCAATGTTTGAACAACACACACATACATTCTACCAATCTGAATTATTTTCTCAAAAAAAAAAAAAAAAAAAAAAATTGATTGAATTTTCACTCTTCTTTTTCTTGATCAAAATTGTTTTATTACAATTTATTATCATCAGTTTATATTTAATAGCTAAGAAATGATCACCATAAAGTTGATTCTATATTCGTTTTTTTTTCGTTGGAAATGATCAATTTGTTGTTCATAAGCCCGAATGTTCGTAATTAGGTTACCGTTTGTATTGTAAAAAAAATAAAAAATAAAATCCGGTTATAATCAATCATTTGATGATGATTGTTCGGGCAATATTCGTCCTTGTAGTTTATTTTCATTCATTGTTGTCGTTGTTGTTGTTGTTTGTGTTGTCATTGATATTGCCTGTATAATTTCATCATGTAATAATTCTGGATTGGTCAGAATATTTGTAGATGTTGATACGAATCTTAATGAATTTAGTACATCTATGATTTATTAATAATAATGATGATAATGATTAAAATATATGAAAAAAATTCAATTCAATTCAATTCATTTACCTTTTCGTAGTACAACTAAACTACAGCCTTGATCAAGCCAACGAAATAATGTTTTACACAATTCATCAAAATTATTTGTTGCTATTTGTCTACAATATGAATCTAATAATGATTCCATTATTATGCTGAACTGCAAACAAACAAGAAAAGATAATATACAGATAAATGCTATTTAATCATTTGTACTTACGATCCAGAATTTCCAATTTTGATTCGTTTTCTGTCTTACGTATTGTATATATTGTTCTTTAAGACGACCAATTCTAGGGCCATCAGCAATTGGTAAACCAGTGGTTGGTAACTGATTCTGAAATATGCTGAATAATACAATAATGAAATAATTAGAATCATGATTTATTTGATTGATACCTGATGACATGATTGAGATTATCAATCTGTTGTTTGAGTAATTCATATTCTTTTTGTTGTTCAAATTTTTCATTCTTCAACACTCGAATATAGTCGGCTGCTTTGTGTAGCATAGCTGCTTTGCTTATTTTCGTATTTGAATTCTGTGCCAATGATGGTAATAGGCTACGTAAAGTATCGAAACCATTTTTAATATTACAACGACGTTTTTGTTCAGCATTTATATGGCAAACTCTTCTTCGTTCTCTATGTTCTCTATGTAGATTTCGATGTTCATGTTCATTTCGACCAATAAAGCTTATAGTATTAGCTGGAAATGAATATGAACCAAATGATGCCATCGTAGTCATCATTTCATCATGTGTTGGACTTGTATTATTATTATTATTATTCGCAAGAAAATATTTATTCACCGGACCATTTAGGATTCGATCTTTGAAACAACTATAATCCAATGAACCAAGAGTTGATGATAATGATGATGATGACGATGAACCTGTTGCTGTAGTATGATTCTTTAGCAATGGATTTCTTATCTTAAAATTATTATTACTATCTATATTCCTACGTGGATTTATACTATATGGTTTTTTACCATTATTTATTAATGGAAATTTTCTATTCATCTGTGAATGTGACGAATTTGATAGATCGAATGCTGCTGCTGCTGTTGCTATGGATGATTGTGGTGGTGATGATGATGATGAAGATGGCGATAGTTGATTCTGTACGAATGTATGTTGTTGTTGTTGTTGCTGTTGTTGTTGATGTTTATGAATTGTCAGATTTGTCGCTGGTACCATTTGGACATTTGTGAATGATGATGTTTCATTGTGTGCTGATGTATTTATCATTGATGAAATGATCGGTCCAGTTACCTGTTGTTGTTGTTGTTGTATGGATTTGATGAATTTTTTATTATGATTCAATGATTGTTGTTGTGGCGGAATTTGAATGCCACAATCTAATGGTAATGATAAAGAACGTCCAATATTGGACAATGTATTCGGTTCATTAGCTATTTGATATGATGAGGATGATGATGATAAAGTTCCATCACCAGTGCTAATGGAATTCTGTAGTTGTGATATATTTTTACAAGATAATGAAAGTGCTTGATTCTTTAATTCTTTCAAGTCCAGATTCATGATTGGTGATGTTGATGATGATTGTGGTGATTGTTGTTGTGATGAATTTGGTATCAACTTTTTTAGTGGCATTGTTATGGGATTTATTTGTTGATTGGTGGTCATAATGGTCGCCGTATTATCATTCGTATTTGATGGATTAAATGCAAAATTCATTGGATTATAATTGATTGAATTATTTGCGGACATTTGAATCAATTGACGATTTGATTCTTGTTGCTGTTGTTGTATTAGTTTGTTAGAATGAAAAGGGAATAATGATGATGTCCCATTATTCGATGTATTCATTGTCGATTCAAATTCCATTTTATATGATGATTGTACTAGTTGTTGTTGTGGTTGATTTATATTGAAAATTGGTTGCCCATAATTATTTGGATTATAAACAGCCGTCAATGGTTGTTGATTAATTTGCTGATTTGGTGAATTATTGGCCGAAGCAAATTGACAATAGTTATTATCTTGCAAAGATTTCGGTGACAAATCATTATTGTTATTGTTACTATTCGTTGAGGTAGTTGGACAAGAATTGAATAGAGAATCTAAAAGATCTTCTTGTGGCTATTTTGACAAATCAATTGTTAATTCAATTGAATAAAATAAAATAAAAAATTAGTCTAACCTCTTTGTATCCTGGTTCCGTTTCTTCTGGTACAGTTGATAGTGTTGGTTGACCACGTAATGGGAAAAAATCTTGTTCAAATGTATCAATAAAATCAATATTTGGTTGTAATTGTTCCAAACCAGGTTGCATAAAATCAGCACCCATACCGGAACGAGCTAAATTTTTTTTGGATATAGTTGATGAAGGAAAGAAATCATCAGCAAAAAAACGACATTACCGATTTCCCGAGAACTTGCATAATCAAAATAATTTGTATATGGTATTGATGGTATATTATCGTTAAATATTTGCATAGTGCCATTTTGATTATTTTGACTAATCATAGCCTGGTTATTGTTGTTATTATTAGTCAAATTATTGCCTGTATTAATTGTCGATGGACATCCAATGATTGAAGATGAAGAATTGAACGCTGCCGATGATATGGATGGTGAACAGGTAAAAAGTGAATCCAAACTTAGATTATTACTCCATCTTGGTAGATTATTCTCCCAATCATATGGTAACTAGAAATTGGAATTTGAAAAAAATACGATTAATAATTATACAAATGAAGAAGACTTATTCAATACTAACCATTCGTGATGCATTAGAACCAAGATTATTGCTGGAAAAAGCTGCAGCTACTGAACGTGAAAGATGTTGATAATAAAGACGCCATTTATTATATTCAGCTTTAACAACATCGGCACGTCTTTTCCAATATTTTCCCTCTAATAATATAGCTTCCGTTTTCTTATGTCGTTCAGTGTCGATATTCGAAGAAAATTGACATACACCTGGTTTACGTCCAGAAATGTCTGGAAAAATAATGGAAACATTTATTTAAGATTAACAAATCATCATCAATAAAAACTTACATTGAATATGCCAAGCACGCCATATAATATTGTTTAATCGTATTTTATCCTTGATATTCATCTTTAAACCTTTGAATGTTTTCCATTTTGGTGATGTAATATCATCATCATATGCTAATGTCATACATTGAAATAATTTCCATAATGATTGATCAATAGAAACTATTCTTGTTGTTGTTGTTGATTTTCTTATACGATATGTTTTTGTTTTTGTCACTAATTTTTGTTCCATTAATGACATTGATATAGATGATGGGTATGATTGTTGTTGCTGCGCTTGATTAATGTCGTTGTTAGCATTGTTGTTGTTGCTGTTGTTGTTGTTGTTGTTGTTGTTGGTTGTTGATACATCATGATCATCATTTTCAATTTTGGTTTCATTATCTTCATTTTCATCAATTTCAGATACCATAAAATGACCACTATGAATACGATTTTCTTTTGTCGTCTTCGGTGATGGTTTAATTCGTCTAATAGAATTGACATTAATCATACAACCATCATTGATATTGGCCATATTGGTCATTGTATTAAATTGATTATTATCCATTTTATTCGTATTGTTGACCATTAATAATGGTTCATTAGTTGGTGATATCGATGAATATATTGTTGTTGTCGTTGTCATTGATGATGATGATGATGATGATGATGGATACATATCGTTATTTTGAGAAAATTGTTGTTGTTGTTGTTGATATATTTAGATTTATGTAACATTTGATCAATGATTTTTTTTTCTTTGGTTTGTTGTCTGTATATATGGATATTGTTGTCACAATAAATTCATTCGAAATCAAATGTTATTCGAAATTCAATTCATTGATATAGTGATAAATTTAGCTGTTTTGTTTAATTTTGTCACTTTTCTAATGAGAAAACAAAAACATATATATCGACAATAAACGTCATTTATGTAATAATTTTCGGCAAAAAAAAAAATTTGTCAAATCAAGTCGTAGAAAAAAAATTTGGCCGGATATTATTTGTTTGCCTGTTTCGAACCAGATGATTAAATCAGAAAAAAAACGATTCGAATCGAATCAAAAACAGTCACGCGTGTATTCATTTGATGATGGCGGGAAGAATTGTGATGATTCTTTTTATTTCAATTTGAAGAATTCATGTTTTTTTTTGTTTTGTTAATCTAACGTATCTTTCTGTATTATTTTGGGTTGTGAAATAACAAGTGGCTCAACACTGACACACACACAGGCAAAAAATGTAGTTGTATCGAATAAAAAAAAAATGTTTGTTTTTGGAAAATCACACACACAAAACACACACATTATAGCATCTCATCATCATCATCATCATCATAGTTCATTTGTTATTATTAAACTGAAAAAAAATCCAATTTTTTTTCTTCTTTAATCCTACACACATAGGATCTTCCAATCAATCAAATCAAATCAACACACACACACACAATCGATTATAATCGATAATCTTGTGATAATCACATTCAATGAATCATGGAGAAAAAATTAAAAAAAATTCCGTTATTATTGTAAATAATGAGTTTTAACAAAAAAAAAATTTAAGAAAAAAAAAAATTGCTCACCTACGTCATTAATTATTCCAAATCATGATAATAATTTGATTGAATTACAGGAAAATATAACGACAATAATAACAACGATGGCGACAACGACGACGACGACGACAACGATGGCATAGGATGATGTCGATGTTTTCGTTTTGTTTATTTGTTTGTTGCTGGTATCATCATCATCATCATAACCAAAATATCAAAACGCTAGAGAGAAAGAAAAACCAACCTACTCAAATTATTTATCATCAGTAAAAATAAAGGGATAAAGTGATGATGATGATGATAATTTTACCATTACACCATTATCGCCCATCATCATCAAAAAAAAATGTTTTTATCATAAACTACAACGACCAATGACAACATTTATCGCCGTCGTCGTCGTCGACGATTATAAGTGATTAACGATAACATTGAATAAAAAAAAAACACAACAACAACAAAAACAACAACAACAACTACCATCATATAACGACGACCATTTTTTTTTATTTCCATGTATTAGTGTGTCAGCGAATCTTGAATATTTGATTAACCAATAAAAAAAAAACGAAAAACGAAAAAATTATTATCGAATATTATCTGTCTGCATTAACAGATTTTTTGATTCAAATTATTATTTTTCCATAATAAATGAATAATAAATATAAACAGGAACGATATATGATTGTGATATGATGATGTGATTGATAGATATCTATTTTTGTTTGATGATGATGCCAAAGTGCAACAAGTTATTAGATGCGTTTATGTATTGTTGTTGTCATTGTTGTTTCTCAAATAGTTTTGATTTAATTTAATTTCAATTAAATAAAAAAAAACTGCAAGGGTTTTTACCATTATAACGGATTTTTTTTTAAATTTTATTTTATCATCAGCAAAATTCTCTATTTTTATATGGAAAAAGTTTTTCGGTTTTTTTTTATGATTCAAATCATATCATATCATATAGATTCAGTGATTCTCAACATTTTTTTTGTTGTTGTTGCGGCACACAAATATAAAGATAAGTTTAAAAATCAAAATGGTCAATCTAAAATTTGGCGGCATAATTTTAGAATTTCGTGACACACAAAAGTGCCACGGCACAGTGGTTGAGAATCACTGATATTGATTATAAATAACCATCATCATCATCATCATCTATAGATTATAAACCTGTTGATATATATTAATTTTTGGTGGTAAATTTTTATACAAATTTTTTTTCAAAAATCAAATATCATTTTAAATTTTACATCAACAACGACATCTATGAACAGTGTCGAAAATAATAATGTGAATTATTTATCAAAAAAAACAGTAATATAAAATGTTCATGATTTTAAAAAATCACTCTGTTTGAATTAGTAATACTTCTTGGTCCTCATCCAGGAGACATAACTAAACGATGATCTGATTTAAGTGAGTTTAGTTTTGCTAACATCCTGTTGAAAAAAAACCCGCATTCGACATCCTACTTTCGATGTTGAATGCAATTTTTGCAGGCACAATGTTGCCCAATTTTTTTATTCTGAATAATGTTTGAAAAGTAATGATGATGATTCACATGATTTTTTTTTGTTGATACAATTATCAACCACTGATTTTTGCCAATCATCATCAGTAATGCAGTGTGAATTTTATCTCTATTGATTAACAGCAAAAAAAATGATAAATAAAAATCGATTAAAATTGATGGAATTTTTTCTTTTATAGCTAAAATAATCGATTGTATCGCGATTCTAGCCACCATCTCTTGTCACTCATAGCCGTTTTAAATTGTTTTTTTTTTGTTTATTGTTTGGATTTTTTTTTTGCAAAGCAAGCAGCTGCTATGTAGCATTGACATTCAATATCTGATGTCAAATTACAAATATACAGGATATTATTTAAGACGTAGATACATCATTGTATCTTATCGAATCATCATCATTTAAATAAATCATTCATTTCCATCATCAGTCTGTAGACATTGAATCATCGAATCATTCAAGATGGATGATGATCTACAAATATTAACTTTACCATACAATAATGATTTGTATGCTATTCATCGTAAAACGAATAATATTAAAGTGATCATTTTGCTTATATTGCATGCTATTATTATTGTAAGTTTATTTTGGAAATTCTTTTGGAATTAGTAATTATTTTTGTTCACCCCAATAATAATTGTAGATTATTAATTGGATATTAAGTTTTGTATTTCCATTGGAACAACATAATTTCATCAATTCAGCATGGCATGAAGAACAAGAAACAAAAATTAATCTATTAAATTCCTATAATCTAACCATATATTCACAGATTATTCTTTGGCTTCTTAGTTTAATGATAAAATATTATTTAAAAAATATTTATTATCGAAGATTACGTATACTTGGCTATAATAATCATCATACAAAAGTTAAAAAACATATACTATTCACTAGTTTTATTCTGCATTTAGCCAATGGTGTATTGTTAATCAGTACGGTCATATTTAATCATTCGGATCGTATAGAAATATTTGGCGTACATTTAAAACCAATTCATGCAGCCGAAATAATAATTTCCATTGCATCCATTCCGATATTGATCAATATTCATATACACATTTATCATGAGATTAAATTTCGTCGTAGCCGTAATCCACCGGATGTTTTTTGTGTTGATGATCCATCAAGACGTTTAACTTCGGATGGTCTTAACCAAGTGGCAATTCGGTATGTTTTTTGGAATTTTTTTGGCCTTGTTTTTATAATTAATTTCAATATCAGATCGTCATCATTCCTGGAGGATTTATTGGAAAATCAAGCCGATTTGATCTATAATCTCAAATTACAGAATTCGCATTTAAGAGAATTACTATACAAAGCGACCAATAATAATCAGAATGGAGATAATCCACCTGAAACATCGTCATCGACGGCTACAAATAGAGATACTAATTAATAATCAATTTCGATAAACATTCTATTTCATTTTTATTTCGGTCATTCAATTGAATCTATATTATGGTTCCATTATTTTATAGAAAAAAAAATTTTTGTTTTCGTAAAAATTACATTAAAAAAAAATTCACATATAATCTTTGTATCGATACAATCGATTATGACCAACATCATTATAATGATAGTCACGTGTTTAGCCAGCGTGTCGAACTTGGCACTGATTTTTGTATTTACATTTTGTGGTTTAAATTTTGAGATTCAAACAACAAAACAAAATGAAAACCAACCAGAAAAAAGAGATATCACCAAATTGGAAAATATTACGTTATCAGGAAATGTTGCGAAAAAATCAAAATAATATCAATGTTGGTGGTGGTAAACGTAAAATAACGAAAAAGACAATTGTTAATGGTGTGAAAACAAACACCACAGTCGATACAAAAGTTAATGATATCACCAATGGCAATAATAGTGTTAAAAAAATTTTAAATAAATTTGGTCTTCAAGAAAATGAAAACAAAATCTGGTTCGATGGTGTGGATCCACATTTGATTCGAGCTACGCAATTTCCATCCAATTCAAATCTATGTCTTGAGAAATCATCAAAAGAACTAACGAATGCAGTGGCCATCGATTGTGAAATGGTCGGCACCGGATATGGTGGTAGTAATTCAGCATTGGCTCGTGTTTCAATGGTCAATTTATATGGACATTGTATCTATGATAAATATGTAAAACCAATTGAAAAAGTGACCGATTATCGTACAATGGTTTCTGGTATTCGTCCTGAACATCTTAAGAATGCTATCGATTTTAAGACTGTACAAAATGAAGTATCCAAAATAATTGATAATAGAATTTTAGTTGGTCATGCTGTTCATCATGATCTTAGTGTATTATATCTATCACATCCAAAACAAATGATTCGTGATACAAGTGTCTATTTTAAACGTTATTATTGTGGCCGTACACCATCATTGAAAAGATTAGCACAAGTACATTTAAATGTAACCATACAGGATGGTGAACATGATTCCATTATTGATGCTCAAGCAACAATGCGTTTATATACATTATTTAAAAAAGAATGGGAATCACGATTGACATCTAATTCAAAACGAAAAAAGAAAAAAAAGATGATCAAGGAATCTAAATCTGAAATATAATAGCCAAACAAATCGAGAGATAATAAACAATTTTATATTTATTTCCACATTTTTGATTTGTGATATATAAATAAATAAAATTCATTTGAAAATTTTAAAATTCAAAAAAATTACCGTAATAAAATCCATTTTAACCCGAACGGTTTCATTTTTGTATGTGTTTGTGTGTGTGTGTGGCGAAAATCGGTAAAAATAGAAAATTATAAAATGGTGTGTGTGTGTGTGTGTGCCCTATTAATACATGCTTTTTTTTGTTGGTTACAATTGATGATGATGACAGTGTGTGTGTGTGCAGCAGCAGCAGTATAATACACTGGTTGTTTGTGAATAATAATTCTCAAAATAGGAAAAAATAACCTACACGTCATTCTGACAGCCGTATTCATACAATACACAATATACACAACTTTATAATTTCATTATTTTCATTTCACATTGTTTGATTTCGATCGAATTTTTACATATTATTATTCTTTTTTTAAATTGTTTTCGTTGAAATTAATCAAATAGTGCCTATTTTTTTTCATATTCATTGTCATTTCATCAATAAATAGAGTCATCGTTATCATCATCATCATTCATAATGAATATTTTTCGTTTAACCGGCGATCTAGCACATTTGACCGCCATTATAATATTATTGTTAAAAATATGGAAAACACGTTCATGTTCAGGCATATCTGGTAAAAGTCAGATACTATTTACAGTGGTCTACATAACACGTTATCTTGATTTGTTTACCAATTATATTTCCGCTTATAATACATTGATGAAGGTATTTTGTTCTGGTTGATTGATTCAGTAATTTTTAATTTTTCTTTTTTTTTCATCATCATCATTAGATTATATTTGTTGTTTCATCATTGGCAACAGTTTTTTTGATATATTTTAAATTTAAAGCCACATATGATCGAAATCATGATACATTTCGTATGGAATTTTTAATTATTCCATCCATTATATTAGCATTATTGATACGGCATGAATTTACTGTCATGGAGGTAAAAAAAAAATTGATTATGATTGAATGGTGAAAAATTTTGAATCGACTAATTTTATTTTAATCATTTTATCAGGTATTATGGACATTTTCAATCTATTTGGAAGCTGTAGCCATATTACCACAGCTATTTTTGGTATCAAAAACAGGCGAAGCTGAAACAATTACATCACATTATCTGTTTGCATTGGGTTCATATCGTGGTCTTTATCTATTGAATTGGATTTGGCGTTATTATTTTGAAAATTTTCTCGATTGGATATCGATTGTTGCCGGTTTTGTTCAGACTGTATTGTATTGTGACTTTTTCTATTTATATGTCACACGTGGTAAGTGTCATTATGTTGAATTGTTTGTCAATTAACTATAGATAACTAACCATTTTGTTTTTCATTCAGTTTTACATGGTCGTAAATTAAGGCTTCCGGCATAGAAAAAATTAACTTTTAACATCATCATCATCATCAAACAAACAAACAAAAAAAACCACCATCACCACCACCACCAATAACCAAATTCAACCCGAATTCAGCCAACACTTGAAACAAAAAACAATATGTGCAAATGACAATCGGCAACGAGAGAAAAAAGAAAGGAAAAAACAAATCGATCAAATCGAACTGTAAAAAAACGATGAATTTGATTTGATATTCAATTCTGATAAAGATTAGCTCTCTCTGTCTCTTTCTGTTCATCATCATCATCATCATCTGATCGGTGTCATCAACATCAAAAAAAAGAGGAAAAAAATATGAATGATAAATAATTTTTCACATTTTTTTTATATTTACTTTATTATTAATACTTTATAAATATAAATTATATTCAAATGGGAAATATATAAATTTTCAATTTTTTTTTATAGAAAAATAAAATCGATGGTAATTACTTAATTGCTAATCATCGAATGGTTGAATTCATCATTTCATCATCATCGAACAAACAAAAAAAAAAATTACAGATATTTCAAAGTGCTGCCATCTGTTTACAATGAAAAGCACTGTGGTTTAAATTCATCATCGGTTTTTTTACGTTGAATTCAATTCAATTTGTTTAAAATTAGATAAAATTTTTATTGAATTTTATTTTTAAGAAAAAAAAAATATTTGTGTTCATAGGTCATCACTCTCTCTCTCTCTCTCTCTCACACATATATATGGTATAATCATCGAATATTCTTCATTGGTTATGGATGAATGTGTGTGTGTGATCATATTATTTACATCAATAAATTGAAATATATTTATCGGTTACATGTGTGAAGAAGAAAAAAAATCTGAGAAAAGAATAGGTCTTGTGTGTGTGTGTGTGTATGTGTGTATGATAGTTTAGAATGATTTTCAATATTTTGAATTTGAATATTAATTATTATGAGAATCGAATTAGATTAATGTGATTATTATAACTATAATTTAAACAAAGAATGTTAGGCCAACACAACAGAATGATTTGAAAGATGATCAGTCTGCAATAATTTTTCTATGCAAATGTGACAACACTTCTTTGGCATATTTTAAACGAGTCAAAAGTTCCGAATTAATACCATGTTCTTCGAGTAATGAAAATTTATATGCTCGAAAATCTCCAGTTTCATTTACAAAAGTAACGGCAGCCATATGTGGACATAATATTAATTTGATATGATCTTTGAAAAAATTCAACTAAAGAATTTGATTAGAAATTAGATAATTAATTTTGGTATTATTAAGATTTTTTTTTTTTTTTTTTGATTTAAAACTTACCTGTACAGTACCATTAGTCAGATGAAACACTATGGCACTATTTGTACGGAACCAAGAGTTAATATATGGTACTCGTACCATTTCCTCTTTTTCACCCAATTGTTGTTTCTGTTTTTCACCCATTTTTATTAGATGTGAATTCATATAATTACGAAAATAACGAAACAATGTTGTCTTTTTAACCAGATGATCGGGTGCATAATCAGGATTGTATTTATAATATTCTTCTACACCATCTTTGTCAATGTAATGGAAATTTGTTTGGTCAGGCATCAATATGAATTTAGTCGAATCATTGAATAATACACCAATACTGTTATCGCATAATTGATAGCCAATACCATAACGATCGGTATAATCGACCCATTTACTAACCCAATAGCATGGCATTGATGCTGGATGTTCAGCTTCATCGTCGTTTGATGATTGTTTAACACGCAAACGTTTTGAGCTCATTAATTTAATCACTTGTTCACGTAATTCAGATAGATAATAATCCGATGGTGCATTTTCATTCAATGGCTGTAATAGAGCATTAACTCCTTTGTTAGCGGCCAATTGATTATTAGCGGCAGCCTTAGCTTGACCATTATTAGTTTCTTTGGCACTTTGTCCATCTTTTTCTTGATTAGCCATTTCGGAGAATGGTCGTCGAAAACCTTCACCGTGAGCAAGAATTGAAAGACGATTTTCATTGATACGTGGTGCAACACTAAGACATGATGTTGGTAAACAAGATGGAATATAATTATCAATCAAATATGGATCCTTAAGAATTTGTTGCATTGTTGGACGTTTACTAGGATCAGCTTGAAGCATTTTATGAATGAATGTAGCCAATGCTGGATTCACATCATTCGGTATGGTATAATCATTCTTTTTAATTTTTCGATAAGTATTTTTCAATTCTTCTGTTTCAAATGGCGGTTTACCGACAGCCAATGTGAACACAATACAACCTAATGACCATACATCCACTTCAAATCCATGTCCAGTTTCCAATAAAATTTCTGGTGCAATATAATTTGGTGTACCACATAAAGTTTTTCTCTGTTCACCTTGATTTAATTTTGTAGCCAAACCAAAATCACCTAATTTTACTTGCATATCATCATTAAGGAATAGATTTCCAAGTTTGAGATCACGATGTACAATACGTGAATTATGTAAATAAACACAAGCCAAAGTTATTTGACGAACATAATAACGTAATTCAGCTTCACTAACACGTTTACGTCGTTTATGCATTTCCATCAATGAACGTTTACCACATAATTCCAATATAATGTAAACAAAATTGGCATCTTCAAAGAATGAATAAAATTTGACAATATGTTCATGGTCAACACTACGATGTATGGATATCTCTAAACTCATCTATATATATTAGATTAGAATAGTAACAAATAATATAATAAACAGATTTAATAATCAATATACAAAGAAAAGAGTTTATTCACCTTTGTCTTGTGTTTATCTTTGACCAATTGAGTTTTTGAAATCACCTTACAGGCATACATTTTTTTCGTTGATAAATCAGTAAATTCATAGCATTTAGCAAAACCACCCTGTTTTATGTTGAAAGACAAAAAACAACAACAAAAAAAAAAAAGAAAAGATTACATCCAGATTAATGACATAAATCAGAAGATTTTCTACACAACTATAATGCCAATCAAGAAAAGGCGCCATAGTGTGTGTAGGTGGACAATAACATTAAAAAGGCCAATGATTTAAATCCATGAACAACAAAAAGATTGGCTTTAATCGACTGAATTGAATCGAATCAATTTTTGATAATAAAAATACAACATACCCGACCAAGAAATTTGCCTTTTTGATATTGTTTTTTCGTCTGTGGATTTATGATTAAATCCGGTATATCGATTTTTGACACCAATTTATCAGTCATTTTTCCAGTAAAAAATACGACGAAATTATTTGATCAATGAAAACGATTTCTAAATTAGATGAACTGAATCAATCAAGAATTAATGTTTGAGATTGCCGATGATGAAATAATTAAATGAACAGAAACATACTAGGAAACAGAAGAAAAAAAAAATTAATTTTTAAGTAAAAAAAAATGTTGAACACAATATACAAATTCAATTGTTCTTTGAATCGTTAGACAAAACACACACACACACACACAGAAACAAAATCAGTAGATGGTTAGTCAAAAAAATGAGATTTCATCAATGTTGACGATGTACATGATCATCATCATAAATATTTCGAGAAAAATGAAAAACATACAACGATTTTTTTTAACGGTCAAATGTTGGTAGGTGGAGTCAAAAAGCATGTTAAATACAATACACAAACGATTATTATTAGTTGTTAGACACACACCATACATACACGATATATTAAACTTTCAACTGACATTAAAAAAAAAAAATACTGCCACCATCACCACTGCCACAACGATGATTAACAGTCAAAGGCAAATCAAAACTTTACCACAATCAAATTTCGACCAATAAACCCACCAACAGGTTTCAAATGCATGAACAACAACAACAACAAAAAAAAATGAAACCAAAACGAAACAAAAATCGAATTTCCAATGCATAAGAAAATTACCCTTACTACTTTGATTTACGCATGCGTGATTTTTTTTTTTTTTTGTTTGATTTTTCGAATGTTAACGACTTTTTTTCGTCTTTTTTTTGAATTTTCACGATGGCTAGAATGAGAATGATGTGTGTGTGTGTGTGTGTGGTCGTTATACGAGGATTCTGTAATTGCAATCAAGGTTATTATTTTTTTCACTAATTTGACCCGATCATTAACCCTTTCGATATGTTGAGCCAAAAAAAAAAAATTAAAAATCATCATAAATTTTAAAATTAAATTATTAATTACATTGTCACATTGGAATTTTATTTTTTTTTTATATTGAAATTGATTTTATGAATTTAGGAACTAAACAAACAGAACAAAAAAAAATCCACCGGCACTATTATTACGCCATCTAGTGTTTTTGATTAGAACAAATTGATGAGAAAAAAAAATGATGCCCATCATCATCAAATTTTATTTATGTGTTTCCTTTGCTCTTCATCCACCCCTCAAACGTATACTGCTATATATTAACCTTATTAAAATGCCCAGCTATTATTTTTTTTTTTTTTTATTTGATTTGATTTGATTTGCGCAGTTCTCGGCAAATCAACACAACAAAAATAAAAATCATTCGATTGTGTTTTTGTGTTTGTTGTTGAACTCTTAACATTTTGGTACGTGGATTATTATTTATTATTTTATTAATTAATTTTCATTTAATTGTAATAAAATCATCTTTATCCTGGTGGATTATTATTATCCACAATTTTTTTTTTGTTTGTTTGATTCTTATAGCTTTAATCCTATTTTATTATTATTTAATTTGATTTGATAATCAAATGCGTGATGGTTGGTATTCGATGGACAGAAAATTGATTGTTCGAAATGATGAATAATAATAATCATAATAGTGATAATAGTCATAATAATAATAATGATAATGATGCTCATAATAAACATAATAAATCGAACGAATCATCATCATCTTCATCGATATATTCATCACCGATAAATACACCGATAAATCCACCACAACCACCACACACAACAACAACAACCGCCACCGGATGATCAGATAAATTCCGATTATGAAGAATTAATTGCACAAACAAAACAACGAATGGCCATAAAATTCGAATGTTTGGAAAAAGAAACTGGATTATCATTATCAATAGGTCGAAATAGTTTACAAAAACAATCAAACATTAACAATGGTGATGTGGTTGGTAATAATTATCGATTAAAACAATCGGAACAATTATTTTTATCCAATGAATGTCAACGGTTAAAAGAAGAACTACGATTAAAGAATGAAATTATCGATAAAATGTATCAAATACGAATACAGGTTGATAGTGAATTAGAAGATCTGACCGCATCATTGTTTGAAGAAGCGAATAAAATGGTCTATTCAGCCAATGTTCTAAGAGATCGTGCTGAAAAAGAATTACATGAAGCAAATCTAAAAATTGATATGCTTACAGCCGAAGTTCAGGCATTAAAATTATTGGTAATAACATCGACACCATCGAAACCGAATGCACATCTTCATCCACAGCTCAATTGTTCGAATTCATCATCATCATCATCATCATCAACAATGATGGCATCGACTTTACCATCATCAGGTAGTCATCATCATAGACAAAATCAAAAATCGAACAACAACAACAGTGATAACAATTCAAAATCACCAAAACAAAAACGTTCTATGCCTATGAAATCACCAAGTAATTATGAATTGACAAGTAATTCAAAATCCACAGAACAAATAATGATGATGGTGAACAAATTACCAGCCATTGATGATGAAAATGATTTTGATGATCAAATTGATGATGGTATTACTGAAATTGATCCAGTTTTATATGAAGAATTTCAAGAATGGCGTAAATGTCCTACACTTGAACCAATATGTTCGAATTTTATGAAACGTATCTATGATGAAGAAATTTATCCGGTATTTAATTTTAAAAATAAAAATCTTACATCATTGGTTCTTCGTTCGATTGAATCAAATACATTGACAGTGGAAATGATTGGTGCCACCAATGCTGCCACTAATGCTGCTGCTGCTGTTGCTAATTGTAATGATCAAAAATTACCATTTCCAAAGAAATGTGCACTATTAGAAGTGCCTCGTATATGTCGATATCGTATGAGAATCGATTCAAATGTCAATACACCAACAACAACAAAAACAACAACAAATAATGGCCATAATCAATGGTATTTTATATCACAATTATGTCGTAATCGAATTACTACTGTCTGTGATTTATTCTGTTATTTACGTTATGTACAACAAGGACTAGTCAAAAGTAATATAAAAGATATTTATTGGCAAATAATGAAACGACGTCGTAATATAGCCCAATCTAAATTAGGTTTTACACCATCCATTAATGCATTTGAATTCAATGGAAATTGAAATGAAGACATGCCATTAATATTTCCGTTGTTTGTTCCTTATTTGTTGGCCATTTTAACCAAAGAAGATAACAAACAATTTATTATAGCTCAATGAAAGATCTCAATTTATGTAAGCAAACAAACAAACAAAAAAAGAAAAGAAAATGGTCCAATTATATATTTATTAATTCAAATGACTGATATTTATTTATTTGATGAAATTGTCAAATTTCAATTTTTCGTTATTTTTAGATTATCATTTTGATGATTAATGATGAATATATATTAATAAATTCATGTATGCGTATATATTATACAAATGATTTGATTTGATTTGATTGATTTGATGTGAATCAATAATTTCGAAATGTATCCGTTACAATTTTCCATACATTATTCTCGGCAATCAACATAAATGATTCATTAAAATGTTGTTGTTTACGATTAATGGCCATACGTCCATTACAGGTGACCAATATACTGGTATGATCTTTTGATATGATCTGTGATACTGGCTGTGAATCAATGCCATGTAGATTTGTATCAATAGCCGGTAGATTCATATAGAATTGTACAATATTTGTTTTGCCAACAATATGATTACCATTCCATATTAATGTTGCTGTATCATGATATAGTTGACCGATTAAATGACGATTCTTATCCAATTGTTCATAGAATAATTCGGCAAATTTTTTACCACTTTCACATGCATGATTTATTTTCAATGTTGATGATTGTATTGACATTGTTTTCGTTTTTGTTTTTTTTTTTTGAACTTTCAAATCCAAAATTCAATATATTGAAAATCACAAACACACATGGGCATCATGAATCAGGAGCATCAACGTTAGATGGCAGCATCAATTTTTCGTGAAAAAAAATTCCGCAAAAAAATGTTTTACGACGAGTGAAAAAAAATTTCCAAGAAATTCAAGTCCTCAATGACATCCATACGGCCTGATATCAAGTTCACATCATAACAACAAATTGTTTTTGTCGATGTGTGACTTGTAGTTTGATTTGTGAAAAAACTAAAACATAACGAAACAATCACGATGGCTGCCAAACGAATCACTAAATCATCAATTGATTGGGCCAAATTTGCTTCGGTTGTACCGAAAAATGAAATGAAAAATTTCAATGCATTCAAAGCTCGTTCCGATGCCTATTTGGTTAGGTAAGATGAATGTTTCTTTTGGGTTTTATGTTTGTTAATGAATCGGATTCATTTTGATATTTTAGAGCATTGGCCTATCCAGAAAATCCACCGGAAATTAATTTCAATGAATACAAAGCACGTTTAGCGAATAAAGATATGGTACAAAAATTTGAACAAGCATATAAATCATTGAAAATTCCTTATCCAAAAGATACGGTAGCCGGAGAAATTGAACAACAAGAATCGGAATATAAACGTACATGTGATGCTTATGTACCAATTGCTAATGCAAAAATTGCCGAAGCTGAAAAATTGGTAATAATTGAATATAAGCTATAGAAATTCATTTCTTATTTCTAAATTTTTTTTTTTTTTCTATTTAGCGTAAAAAATTCGAAGTGATGATTCCGGTACGTGACATGAGCAATGAAGATTTTACATTAACATTTCCTGATTGGGTATGCACACTGGAAAATCCATCCATTTATCCACATTTTGAGAAAACACCTGGCCTCACTAAAGAAGAACGTGAACGTTTGGCTGCACCGGATGGTAAACCATATTCTACTGTATAGAATGATAAAAAACAAAAGAATTGTTCACTGGCTTTGTGCTATTGATTGTGTTTAGCTAATTATTATCAAAAAAAAAAGTTTCAGACAATAACAAAATCATCACGGTGTGTTGAGATTTTTTTTTATTTGTCTGTTAAGAATAGAATTAAAATTTGGAAAAATAAAAGAATTATCATTTTTTTTTCTTAAAACAAAAACAAAAAATAAATTCGAATGCTACATTTTGATATTTGGATAGCCAAAAAAATAATTCTGAATATTTCTGTTTTGGTTAATGTGCGTTTTGGTTTCCATTCTTGTTTATCTACTACATTCCAATATGTTCGGATTCAAGTTGTTGTTTTACCTCGTGATATGATGAACCAGATTTTTTCAATATCTATCAAGTATAGAATTTTTAGAATTAGATACGATAATTTATATATATGTGATCTAATCAATTACCTCTGTCATTTCTGAACATATTTTACAAAACCAAATTGTTTCATTCCGATGATTAATTGTATCGACACCACATTTATTACATACAAGCTGTAAATGATAATAATAACATTTGATTATATTGTTATTAAAATTCTATTCTTACCTTTGAACATCCATGACATTCATGGGCATTATGATTGAAAAATCCAAATGATTCGTTACATAATATACAGGTGTAATGGCCATCACCACGTGCATTTCGTTTCATATTTTTCAATCTTTCAATCATTTTACTAATTCGTTTCTTTTCAATTTCATCCGATTGTTGTGCACGACTTATTACATCTATAATGGTCTTTCTTTCCTGTTCTGTAATTTTATCATTTCGATTCGGTGAATGCAATGTTTGAAATTGTTTCGTTTTACATGACCATCCAGTTTCCAATCTATATGAGCAAATTTTAAGTAAAAACATTTATTCAAGAATGATTTAAATCATCATCATCAACTCAACTTACTTGGCACGTAACATAAGTTCACGATCATTAGGACAGGTCCAATTACTTTTACTACGATTCACATTCGAAGAATTCGATGTACCAATACCATCAACATCATTGGCCATCATTTTGGAATCCATATCGAAATGACGATCCATATGGTTAGATCCAAATGTTTTTGCTGTTTATGGCAATGACATATATTAGTTTCAAAATCAAAATATACAAACGAATGACGTCATCAAAACTATATAGTCGAATTAATGGAAAACAAAATATTTTCACATCTAATAAATTATTGAATGTTGAAATCCGATGTCCATATATATATTGGAGGCCATGATCAAATAAATTTCAATATCCTGGTTATCAATGAATTGAAAACAATGGTGATAAACTTTTCCAAAGAAAAAAAAACAAAAGATTCGAATGTCAAAAATCATCATAATTTTTTCAAAATTTAAATTACAAAAAAAATTTCCATAAACATTGTTTGCATGTGTGTCGGAAACTATTCTCCATATTCTGACATGTGGCTTGATTATTCATACATCGACATCATCAGTGTATTAAAATTTTTTTTTTTCATTTTCATTTTAATTTCAGAAACAAAACAATCAGCAAATCATGTTCAAAAAGTATGCAATATTCTTGTCAAGTTCTTGTTAATTTATTTGATTCTATTTTTCCTTCAAAAAACACATAGATTCGAAGATACAAATGTATCGGGTGTCACACAGCTTAAATCAAGCGTACAAAAAGGTATTAAAAATCGATTGGTCGAACAATTTCCATATCTAGAGAATTATATTGATGAAATAATACCGAAAAAAGAAAATCTACGTATAGTTAAATGGTAAATTATCATATTGTCATGTTTTTTTGTTTCATGGAATTTTTTTTTCCAGCCAAGATCATATCGAAGTAATTGTCAATTCTGTTGGTGATTATCTATTCTTTCGGCAACGTGATGATTGTTATTATCCGACACTTCGATTAATACATAAATGTAAGTTTTTCGAGATTGGCCATTTATTTTTTTTTTTCATTCAATGATTCTAATCTCTCTACATAACATGTTCATTACCAATCTAGATCCATTCATATGTCCATTGATGCAAGTGGATGAAGGTGCCATTACATTCGTTTTATCTGGTGCAAATATTATGTGTCCAGGATTAACATCAAAAGGTGCCATTATGACTGATGGATTGCCAGCTGAAACAATTGTTACTGTTATGGCTGAACGTAAACAACATGCATTAGCTGTTGGTAAATTGAAAATGTCCGTCGATGATATGTAAGTATTACTCTGTTGATGATGATGATGATCATAAACATTTGATTTGATTTGATTTCATTGAAATTTTTATTTCATTTGTTTTCACTCATACACACACACACACACACACAGTGCCAAAATTAATCGTGGTGTTGCCATTGAAAATGTACATTTTCTTAATGATGGTCTATGGCGTCTTAAGCCAAACAAATAAAAATAATGAAGAATGAAGAATTTTATTTTATTGTTTGTTTGTTTATTATTATTATTCAATTCAACAAGAAAAATTTTTCAAAAAAAAAAAAATCATCATAAGAATAATGATTGCGAGGTGCTGTTTCCCACCATCATCATCATAACAATTATTTTCTCACACCATCATTGTTCAAACAATATCAACATTAATAATAGCATTATATATATATACTCAAATGGTAATAATAATAAATACAGATCAATTCGATCAAGACATACACACACCCACCCGGCCAAATCACCGTTCATTATTTTTTTTGTGTTGTATAATGTTTGTGGTATTATGGTGATGATGAATATATAATTCATTTGAATAAATTGCAAAATGATGATGATGATGATGATGATGGCAGTTGTTGTGATCAAGATGATGATGTTTTTGATTTAGGCAGGTAAAATGTCTATATGAATGACATAGAGGGTGGTGTGATGGTGGTGGTGGTGGTAATGGTTGTATAAAGTGTAATAATCCTTTGGTGAAAAAAAAGAGTGCTAATTATCAAAAAAAAAGAGAAAAATCTTGAAATTTTAAATTCTATAATATCAAATCAATCTTGCACTGTTGAGAATATATAGTGCAAGAATATAATCATTATGTAATAATAATCATAAATAGGTAGAAAGGTAGATGTATAGGAAATGGAAGCCAAAAAAAACATTTCCACCAAGAAGAAGAAGAAGAAAAGAATTGAATTTGACCAGATATCAATTTAACGAAAAATTGATTCGATTGATGATGATGATAATGATTAGTGTTTGATGTAATCTGATCTATCTTTTGATTGGATATTCACGTGATACGACAACAAAATAGTCGGTGGTCCAATTCGGAAAATTTGGTAATAATTGTTCAAATTTCCAACCATCCGATAGTGTTGATATAGCCAATGATAATTCACTTTCACGACAATGTAATAGACGATAAACATTTTGATTTTTTGATGAATCTGGACTAGGATTATGATTCATTGTACGATCTAGATGACGTTGTTGTAATAATTTTATCAATGATGTTATATTATAGAATTCGGCTTCTTCAAGTACACCTTCTTCATTCAGATCTTTATTTAGTATAAGTTTACCATGACGTAGAAAATTCAATATTGGTGCAAAATATGATGGATCACGATCAATTAAATAGGCTCCATTTTCATCCTAAAATTAATGGGAAAAAAAGTTTGATAAATTTTTGAATGCATTAAAACTTGATTCAATCAATTAAACCTTTTCCGATGCTAAACTATTCTTATTATCATCTTGTTGACAAAGACGATAAAAGAACGAATTACGATCACTACATAGTGTGGTACGTGTCGTTTGAAAATAAGTACCACCAACATTTAATTTGATCCATTCATTTGAATTCTTTGTTTTACCATTATTATTATTATTGTTATTGAATTCAATCGTATTCATCGTTCTTTGACAATTATTATTATTATTATTATGATTATGATGGTTCATCATCATTGTTGTTGGTGATTGACAATCATGATAACTAATATTTTCACCACCACCACTGCTACCATTTGTTTCGATTGTACAATTCTCAACCAATAAACAACCGGATGATGTTGATGGTGATGATGATGAGGTACTACAAATATCAGCTATTATTGCCGATGATGATGATGATGATGATGATGACGAAGATCCGGATGATGATAATTGGTCATCCGATTTACTATTAATATCATTTTTCATTGTTAAATTAGTTGTAGCCGTCATCATTTTTGATGATGACAAAGATTTTGTTTGATTATCTTCTTCAGATCGACTTTTACCACTTGTACTATAAATAATTCTTGATGATTTTTGTGTCACTGAAATACAAGCAGGATTTGGATCATTACCATCACCATCATCATCACCAACACTTTTAGGACTAGTAGTATCATCAAATTCTGTAGAATCCAATTGTTGTTTATTATTATTTTGAGACATTCAAAATTATTAATTGAATAAACAACAAACAATAGAGCTTAGATTTGATAATCATTGAATCATCATCATTGAAATAATCTCTTGAAAGAATTTTTGAAAATAAAACGGAAAAAAAATTCTTCAAGAATTATTTTCAGATGACGAATTGAATCATCAAATATAATAAAAAAAATTATTATTCCGTTTTATGTAACCAGAGATGAAAAAAAATCGAACAGACTGTGACTCGAGCTACTACCACCACCATCACCACCACCAACCACTACTACCATCAACAAAAAAAAATGCAGGCTCTGAAAATAATGTTTTTTACACACATGCGTCATAGTCCTATATTTTGTTCGTCCATAAAAACATTCGACAAGAATCAAATGTGAAGAAAATGTTTCGAATTTCAAGATTCTGGTTATTATTATTATTATTCTAGAATTCTATAAATGAACTGGAAACCCCTCCTTATCCATCTATTCATTTTTTTTTCATTGATTTAAACATTCATAATCTATATAGGCGAATGATGATGCCCAATGGCAATGATTATGATTCTAGGGCAGGGAAAAAAAATGGAATTTTTTTTTCTACCCAATTCCATAACAATCATCATTGATGTTGTTGATGATCCAGTATGAAAGAAAAAATTTTTTTTCTGTTTTTATTTGTTCTTTAGGTTGATTGGTTGATTCTCTTTTCCACTTTCTTTCTCTCTCTCTCTAGAATCCAAACACACACCCCCAAATGGCCCATATATCCAAATATATTTTTTTTGTTGTTGTTGCTGTTTTTGTTCTTGTAGCTTGGACCGTCTCTGTTGAATAAACCAAATGGGTTCATTGACTTGAAATAAACAATAAACCCTCCTACGTATACGTATCCCAATATTCCATAATAATGCACTGGACTTATGTTCAACGACGACGACGACTTTTTTGTTGTGACAAACCCAGACTATAGTCGTCTTAACACAAACACTAAGGACCTAAGAACAACGTAGACAATTTGACTAGACCATTGAAAATAGGAATCATCTCAGTTAAAAGATATTCCCAAAGAAAGTTGGTTAGTAGTGATTCCTTAAATTGAATTTCAAATAAATAAGAGAGTAACACTACTCTCGTTTAATTCTAACAGAAAAAATACACAAACACAATGTGTGTGTGTGAAAAAAAAACATTCAAAACAGGTGTGTAATTAAGCCATAAAATTTGTTTTTTCGTTTATAAAATTCATTTACAGACAACGCCGACTGTGTGGGTGGTTGTCCACTATACAGATGTTGCCGTCGTCGTCGTCGTTGTTGTTGATGATGATGATGATGATGATGATGATGATGGTAATAATGATGGTGCACAAACATAGGTAAATTCTTCACGTTGACATTGTTGACAATGTACCTGGCAACAGAATTCAAAACGACAATTACAGGTGGTTGTTATTATACGGCGTTCACGTCGTACACGATAACCACATTGTTTACAAAGACGGCGACAACTTTTTCTTTCTTCACCGGTAACATCATCATCTTTGCGCATTGAACAATGACGACCTAATGTACCGGTATATGAACCGAATGTTGAATTCATATCCGCTTTACAATAATCCGGTGAATCATGTAGATACATTAATTTCCATGTGGGCACTTCTGGTTGATTATTCTGTTCCCATGGTGAATTATTTTCAATTTTTACCGCTTTTCGATAAGCTTTCTTAAGGTAATTACCAATTTCACGAAATTCATTCACTTTCATCCAACAGGTTTGCATTGAACATGATCCACTTACACCATGACATTTACATTTTCGTATCATTGTTTCTTTTACTGACTGATTTTACAAACAAAAATAAAAAAAATGATTTTTTTTCGAAAACAAATTACTTACAATTCGACCAACACGATGATTATGTAGACGAATTTTAGCCTTTAAATCTTGTCCAGTTTCACGATCATCCAGATGGGCAACAGCAACACGATAACCAAGTTCAACATTATCACTACAACCACCCCAACGGAAATCATTACGCATTGATTGTTCATCATCATTGCCATTCAATATTGATGATCGTGTACATTTACAATTATCCAATGAACCGGCACTACAATTTCTTGTAACCGTATGTACAATACCGGCACTTATAATTGCCTGTACAAATGCTACTTCTCGATTTACTTTATCCAGAAAAAAATTTGAATAAAAAATTCAAATGAAAAAAAAATCGAACCAGAAACAACAACATACTTGGTAGATGATTTTGATAAACTTCCGATAGTATCGATTCTGGACATGGCCATCGTTCATACAAAATTGTTTCGAACATTCATCTAAACCTTTTTGTGCACCAATCCAAACGGTTTCAAAACTAGATAATGTTGCCTGGCTACTTGTACGTAACATATTGCCCAATGACCTGTTGTGTGTAAGAGAAACCCCAAAAAAAAAAAAAAAAAAAAAATAAAACAATCAAATTGATCAATCTGTCCTTTTCATAATAAACAGTACAATGACCGAATTTTTTTTTTTTGTTTCAAAATCCACTTTTTCTTTAAAGTCCAAAAAATTGTACTGTTTGTTTGTGATTTGTATCCGGAACATTTTTTTTTTTTTGTATCTTTCCAATTGAATCGAATCAAATCAAATCGAATCAAATTGATTAATGATGATTATTATTAATTTTTTTTATTAATGACGACATTTATTCAAATGATGATAAAGTTTTTTTTTGAGATAGAAGAAAAAAAATGAGAACTTACCAAGAATAGACATGATGATGATTGACAGGCAATATCAATAATAATGAGATTGTCACATGAAATAATCGATATATTAACGATGATGATGATGATAATAATGACCAAACCTGATAGTTTGTTGATAATTTATCATTATTAACAATGATGATGATTGATGACATATTTTTATGCAAAAAAAAATTGATGATTGATTGATTGATTGATTGATTTGATATGACGAATCGATTGTATCTGAAGAGGAGAAACGAAACGAAACGAAACGAAAAACAGTGCAATAATGATGATCAATGTTTCGATAAGATGAAATTATGAAAAAAACAAACAGAACAGAATAACAAATGTGTATTTGTGATCAGAATGATTACCATTTGTTGAATGTATCTGAAAATATATGAATATGTTTTTGATCCATGGGAAAAAAGAAATATTCATATGTTCAAACAGTGAGACAAAATATAATTAACAGGACAGAACGTTTTTTTCGGTCATTTGAGGTTATTAGTAGAAAAAAAAAATTTGTCACACTCCCCACACACACACACACACACTTGAACATGTCGAAAGGGTTCATAGTGGGGGGTCATCACATTCACAATCATCATCGTATTTGATGGCCAACAACATGTCTGGAACAACTGGACAATTGGCTCACATGTGTGTGTGTGTGTGATATGCACGATATGTGAATATTCTTGGACCACTTGATTTAATTTGCTATAAAAAAAAAATTTCAGAGACGAAATTTTACTCCTTGAAAGTTTTCTTTCACACATGTATTCCGTACATGGTGAAAATTGTAATTGAAAAAAAAGTGAATTCAGCCGGAAAATTTAATTATTTCAATATCTCTTTTGCACCTATTTTCACCCACCCACGCACTCATCCACCACCACCAGCACCACCACCAAAGAAGAATATTTTCACACAAAATGACAACAAAATTATATAAATCCGGATAATAATTTTTTTTCTTTTTGTTTCTTTTCCACATTATCTAAGTGATTATTTCAAAGTTATTATTATGTAACACAGGAGGAGGTGATTTTTTTTTCTATTTGACAGTGCAAGTAATACAGTGCATGGCTAAATCAATCATGTTATGTTGTAATCGAATTCATTTTTTTTTCTGTAATTTCAGATCAAAATTTTCATGTAGGTAAAATTGATCAGTAAATTCATTTCATTCATTCATTTGTCGAACTGTCAAAATCTAATCAAATGATTACGATATGAGTGTACATCATTCAGAAAAATTATTCGAACCCTTAGTAACCTGGTTATCGTTGTTGTCAATATAGTCGGTACACCTATTACAAACGATTTTCGAACACAAGAGATAATCAAATTTTGTTTTCCAAATAAATCTAGAAAAATTGATAAATTCGGTTCAAACTGGATTTATCAATTACATGGATTTTCTTTTTCGTCGTTATTTTACGTATTTATTGCTTCATTTTTTTCATCATTCAATTTCATCATCATGGTCAATACACGTGATGATGATCAATCAAATTTTATTTTATTATCGTTATCAATCAGCAAACATTCATATCGGTTAATCAAAAATGATGAATCAAATCTGGTAATCTGATCTCTTATATATATGAAATGTTTTTAACGAGGTTGTGTGTTTAAATTAAGAAGAAAAAAAAATTATCAATGTTTATATACGAATTGATGAAAATTGTAATTCAATTTTTTTAAACATTACGAATTTTTCCATAATTGCTGATCATGATTGGATATGATAACGGTGGACAAACCGGATTAATACATCACCATCACCAACATCGTGGTCGTCGTCTTCATCATCATCATCATCGTTATCCTTTCGAGTTTTTTTTGTGTGGCCAATCAAATTGGATTTCAAAACAGAAAAATTGACAATAATTTTTTGTGTGATATCCTGATAGATTCCGTATTCGATTTTTATCATATCAAACAAACAAACAATTTTTTTTTGTTACATTCGCCCCCTCCTTCACATCATTTTTTTCTCTCTTTCTTATTTTCACAGTGCACTGTATGATAAAATGTTCATCATCATCATCATCAACATGTTTGCCATGACAAAATAGAGTTTATCCCTCCTTGTTTTTTTCCCCTTTCCACCAAAAACAGTTTGTCAGTTTTTTTTTTGTTGTTGTTTTTGAGGCAAAACCAAACATGGCCAAAACCGACACACATACACAAACACGCATTACTGGCATTTGTGGCACAAAAAAACTAAAACAGAGAAAAAAGAGAATGATGATGATGATGATTTTTATAAATAGTAGATTCATTTCAATCATCATTCAATCATCTAAACTCATGCAACCATACACATAGACCAAATTGTCAAAATGGAATATCCATCAACAACAACAACAACAATAAGTTGTCATCATCCGAATATTGTGGACATTCAAAAACCATTGCCGATAACATCACCAATGATGATGGAAAAGATGTCGAAATCCGAGACAATAGAATTACGAAATAAACATGTTGGGTAAATATAGAATTTTTTTTTTTTGGTAATGGTAATGATTCTAATTTTATTTTGTTCCAAAAATATAGGCCATCGGTAACGTTATTTTTTAAGAAAAATCCATTGAAAATCATACGTGGTAAAGGACAATATATGTATGATGAAAAAGATAATGCATATTTGGATTGTATTAATAATGTTGCACATGTTGGACATTGTCATCCGGCCGTGGTTAAAGCCGCTACTGATCAAATGCAATTGATCTATACGAATAGTCGTTTTTTACATGATAATCTTGTTGTTTATGCTAAACGTATTACAGATACAATGCCAAAACCATTATCTGTTTGTTATTTTGTTAATTCTGGGTAAATTGATTTTTTTATTGATTATTAGACCTGCTCTAATTTTAAAACTTTTTTCTTTTATTTAATTAAAAAGATCCGAAGCAAACGATTTGGCCATTCGTTTGGCACGTAGCCATACGAAAAACAAAGATATTATCACAATCGATGGGTATGTTTATCATGGATTGGAATGATTTTTATTATCAAATTATATTGATAAATTTTTCTAATCTAAATACTAGTGCATATCATGGTCATCTAACCACATTGATCGATATATCACCAATGAAATTTCTGAAAATCAAAGGAGCCAAAAAGAAGAAATGGGTTCATCTGGTATTAATATAACAAAAAAAAAATTTTCCCTATTGTTGAAAACAATCCAATTCACCTATAGACATCGCTACCGTGTTCTTATCGAGGTAAATACAATTTGGATAATTGTGAATCATCCAGTGAAATTGGCCAACGTTATGGTGAAGAAATCAAGCAGATCATTCAGGATGCCCACGATCAAGGACGACAAATTGCTGCATTCATACATGAATCAATGATTAGTTGTGGTGGACAAGTTTTATTACCGGAAAATTATCTGAAAAATGTTTACAAGTAAGTTATCGATATTTGTTTTGCTCTAATTTTTCTTTCATTTTATTTCATAATAAATAGACATGTTCGTGAAGCTGGAGGTGTTTGCATTGCCGATGAAGTTCAAGTTGGATTTGGACGAACTGGAAAAATGTGGGCATTTGAATATCAAAATGTTGTACCGGATATCGTAACCATGGGCAAACCAATGGGTAATGGACATCCAATTGCATGTGTTATTACAACACCTGAAATTGCCGAAAGTTTTGCTCGTATCGGTACCGAGTATTTCAATACTGTAAGTGTGACAAAAAAAAACATTAATCAAAGAAAAATAATCCCCGAGAATTTGACCGTTTTTTTTTGGTACGTACAGTACGGTGGCAATCCCGTTTCATTGGCTGTAGCAAATGCTGTACTTGATGTAATTGAACAGGAAAAATTAATTGATCATGGTATTCAGGTGGGCAATCTAATGTTAGAAGAGTTAGAAAAATTGAAGAAAAAGTATTCATTAATTGGCGATATTCGTGGTGTTGGCCTATTCATCGGTATTGAATTAGTCAACAATCGTCGTACAAAAGAACCGGCCACATTGATTGCCGAATATATTGTTGCACGTTTTAAAGAGAATCGTATATTAATGAGTACAGAAGGTAAATTTGGAAATGTATTGAAAATTAAACCACCAATGGTATTCAATGAATCAAATGTCAAACAATTTATATTCATATTGGAAGAAATATTACAAGATATTAATTATATGCATCAAAGTCGTACACGAAGTTCATCATTAAGTTCAGCATATAGTTCAGATTCCATATCCATCAATGGTGGTAATGGTAATTACAATAATGGACAAAATGGTGTTGAAAACAACATTAGTTCGGATTCATTATCTGACGAAGATTCATCAATCATTTCTGAATAACCTTTTTTTTATTACACATGAATATTTCAATTACGATATATGATTATTTTTAAAATAAATCAAGTCTTTTTATTTTTTAAATTTAAATTCTCTTTGTGTGTGTGTGTGTGTTTGTGTATGTAGTACATTGGCTGCAGTATAAAGAATTTTCGCTAATTACGAAGATATGATTTTTTTAAATAGAAAAAAAAAAAAAAAAACTAATGAATATCTAGAGAAAATAAGGAGCTGAAAAAAATAATAATCCTATGTAGGCGTAAATATGTATGTGTATGTGGGTGTGGCGGTGGCTTCTTATTTTTTTCCATATCCATTCCAATTGGGGCGACATTTTTTCTTATTGATCAACATATTTTTAAGCACTCAAATCGATACCCATACCCATTTTATGGCCACCTTGATTGAAATTTTTACCATCAATCAAAGCATTCAATGTGAATGTAATTCCTGGTCGTAGACGACGAATCAATGCCAATCCAATGTTGCTCTTGGTGTTTACACGTGCCTAGAAATACAATGTATTTTGTTCAATTTAGATTGATTCACATTGAGAATGAACATGGCTAACCTTAATCTGTGTATCTTCATCCATACGATACAGACAGCCAATATTAAAATTGGGTGTATTATCGGCAGATGCACATGAAATAGTGATGGCACTTTCCAAATTATGGGCAATTTTTTGATACAATGAACCGGAAAATTCTTTACCATCCGTTCTAATTTTCATAATTGGAAAAAAATAGATGAACGATTAAACAGATTATTATATCGATATATCAAAAACATCGATCAACTACACATACACATTAGTATGAACTTGAAAGTCCTTGTCCAAATAACCGATAGCAAAATTGGTTTTATTCAATTTTCCTTGTTGTGGATTGAATGATAATTGTGCACCAGCAAGCCATCCAGCTTGGCTATTGTTATATGGATAAAATGAATTAAATTAAATTTGTTTCTTTAAAATTAAAAATACTAACCCAAGTACCAATGAACCATGTACAATAGTACCATTGTTAAGTGAATCAAAATCAAAATCAGCATTAGCATGAAAACAATCACCTTTCAATGCTGTTTTGATGGCACCGGATTTTTTACCAGATTGTGGAGCAATATTACCATTGAATAACAATTTTGATCCTTTAATAAATTGATCATCAAATTGTAATTCAGTAAGTATGGTATTGTCGGTTGTCCATTTTTCTTTAAGGGTACAATTCCAATCTTTGAAAAAGTACTTGGTTTCCAACGTAGCATTCACACGGCCAGTATCATTAACCGATACACCATTAACGGCAAATTCAACATTATTCTGTGTTTTGGTTTTCACATCCAATTTTACCAGGCCAAAATCTGCATAAATTGTAAAAAAAAAATTATTTAAAAAAATCGAAAAAGGGTATCGAAGCTATACTAACGATAATTTTTCGAGAAAATATCTCGTGCTTGTTTTCCAAGATCAGAATAACATGGTGGAGCCATTTTTTCTCTTTATGAATGAATTAATTAATTAATTATTGTCGATCGTTGATTCAAAAAATGTTTGAAAAGTTGTGATTGATTGATTTTCACACACAAACACACACAAATTGTTTTTCTTTTGGAACAAACTGGATAGAAAATAAAAAAAAAAATTTTGGCCAACAAAAATGAAATATAAATGTGATGATACGAAGTGAATATGATGTGTTTGTGAAAGTGAGAGAGAGAGAGATGGAGATGGAGAAAAGTTCTTTTACAAAGTTCTATCGGTTTTTGTATGTGTGTGTAGCATAACCAGATTTTCATCCTCCTCATTCAATTCTCCTTATACACATCCAAAGTGTCCTTTTCAATGTTAGCAAAAAATTTCAATACACACACACACACTATTGTGAGGGAGGGAAAGATTTTTTTTCAATTATCACACCACCGATACATTGCTGCTGCCCTCTACTGGTATCGTGTACTTGTATTGTAATCTAAATCTAAATTTTTTTTTTCTTTCATTTGATTGTAGAGTGTTAATTCCATGTCACAAACAAAAAAAAAAAATCAAACACAAAATCATCATCATTGTTGAAAAGATTTTATGACGATGATAATCATAATTTTGTTTTCATTTATTTATTATTAATAATAAAGAGATAGATGACGTTGATTTTTTTTTCTATAAATTTCGGATATAAAATGATGTGATGAACGAATTCTCACCTATAGCATGACAAATTATAAAATTTCGAATCATTTAGATTTTAACCTATCGATTATATCGATTAATTCAATGCGAAATGATCTTATCTGTTCATTGGTTATAATTGTTGTGATTGATCGTTGATCATTATTTAGATATTTTTGACAAATAGCATTAGAATTACATATTAAATGTATACCACAATTATAGCCATCTTCTTGTGGATGACATTGTTTAAAATGAATATCCGGATCACAGGATAATAATTGTGATAATTTAGAACCAATTATCTTTATGTTGATCATCATTTCTTTATGTTGTTCTTGATTGGCTGAATCATAATATTCCAAACGAGATTGATCATCACCATCATCATTAATGAATACAAGTAATGACCAATGTGAACCACCATAATCATATGATAAATTATCATTCATTGGTATTAATATTAATTTTCGTTGTTGAATTTCTAATGGCTGAAGAATGGCTTGAATCTCATCCATTGAATCAGTCATTTTGATTAATTGTGTTAATGATGGACTTAGACATAGTAGTTGATTTGAATATTCTTTAAAAAGATTATGTGTAAGATATTCATACCAGAATTCAATCAAACTATCATTGATCCATTGTCGTGATTGTAATATTCGATAATCTGATTGCCGGATAATAGCATCATGGTAGCTAAGAACAATTTGCCAATCATCATCACACATTTTTTTATTTACAGCCATTATTGTAATCCAAGATATTTATTCAATGATGAATGACACCAATCATCTTCTTTAAGATTTTCAGCAACTTTGCGTAATGATTCCAATTGTTTGAATATATCTACAATTTACAGTAAAAAAAATTAAAATAAAAGGGAAAAAATTATTAATCAAACCTTTCGATTTTTTATTCGAATCCAATTCCGGAAACGATTGATTATCCTTTAAAGCTTTAGGAAAATTAAATTCTATAATATAATAATACAAAAACAGAAAGACTAATGATTTTGATGGTGGTAATAAAAATGATATAATTTACCTTCTTTCTTGCTACTATTATGATTATTATTTGAATGATGATTAACACTTGATGATGAATCGTCCATCAAAAATAATGAAATTTTGTTTGTATTTTTTTTAGAGAAAAAAAAATTCCAGCAATCAAATTGATTCGAATATAAATCTCACATGTGTGTTTGTTGATTCAAATAGATTGATCGATACTCATTTTCGGCATACACATGCGCATTTATAATGAATGATGACGACTAAAAAAAAAAGTAAAATCAACGATAAGTGGAATCAATTTAATAATAATTTTATATATAATTCTTGGATTCAAGAACAATCTGTCGATTTAAATCAATTATAATTCAACATTCCTATATTTAATAACAATCTTCAATTCGATTTTTGTTCAAGCAATCAATCAATCAATTATTATGAAACGATTATTACATTGGGGACCATTAATAGCATTGGCAATTATTAAATGTATTTCATTGACAACATTATATTTTACCGGTTATTGGTTCACTTTTCATCATAATGGTTGGCTAGCACTTATCAATTATATCTGCTATTATTGTCTATTAGCGGTGACATTATATAATTTTCTTTGTGCCATCATTATTGGTCCTGATTATGTACCAAAAGGATGGCGTCCTGAATGTGGTGATGATGAACAATATCTACAATATTGTTATCAATGTGATGGCTATAAAGCACCACGTAGTCATCATTGTTCCAAATGTAAACGTTGTATATTGAAAATGGATCATCATTGTCCATGGATCAATAATTGTTGTGGTTATCGTAATCAAAAATTTTTCTTTAATTTTCTTCTTGCCGCTGTTATTGGTTCAATGCAATCGGCTATTTTGTTATCGATTACATTATATCGAGCTTTAACATTCATACCAAATAGTAGTGGTCAACGATATATTCATTTAACAATATGGAGTGCATTTTTAATATTGATCTCAATTGGTATGGCAATCGGTGTTGTATTTGCTGTTGGATTTTTACTCTATCTTCAGGTATGTCTTGTATATTTGATTTTCTTTTCTTTCCTTTAATTTGAATTTGATTCATGATTCAGGCAAGGATAATCATTTATAATTGTACCAGTATTGAAGATTGGATTATTAAAAAGCTGAAAATCGTAAACGATCCGAACCGTTTATATTTCCATATAATTTAGGTGTATGGCAAAATATTCGCCAGGTATTATGGCAACCATTATCCGATGGTATACGATGGCCAGTAAGAAATGGTTGTAATCAATATACATTGACTGTAAGTATTGATTTGAAATTCAAGAATTCAGAACATTTTATAATCCAATTTCATTTTTTTGTTTTTTTGCAACAGTATGAACAATTACAGCAGAAAAAAGATAAAATTGATAATGCATCATTATATCGTATAATACGGCCATATAATGGTCGATTTTTTCCATTATTTTCACAAGGATTTAAAGTATGCATTACATTTCCAATTAATGATGATCCACGTCTTGTGATTGAATCTGGTGATGAAATTCTTGTTACACATTCCCATAAAAATTGGTTCTATGGACAGAAATTGACAAAAAATGAAAAAATTCATCCAAAAGGATGGTTTCCATGTCAATGTGCTGTATTAATGGTACGACCTACATTAATGTATTATACAAATAATAATGATTCTGGTGATCAAAATCATCATTATTCTTCCGGTGATGATGGTCGTCGTGGTGATGATGTTAATAATTTTACAATATCAAATGGCAATGATGATTCACATAGTAAAAAAGATAAATGAATTTATTATATTCGAATTTTTTTTTCTTTGACATATTTTATATACTAATTATTTATAAATAATAAATTTATTAAAATCATCATTCAAGTGATAATTTTAAAATCTTTCTACCCATATAAATGTTCATCATTGCTATGAACATGGCAAATATGCTTCTAAACAATTGTGATTGTGGTATGAAATTTTTCATTATGGCTGTAAATAAAAATGAACTTAAATTAAACATCAATGATCCATAAATTGAAATGATAATGTGATCATGACATTGTTGAATATGTTTTTGACGATTTATATAATAACCGATTCCAATGTGTGATGTAAGTAATAAAAGATTCAATGATCGATTACCAATCGATGGTATTAGGCTTAAGAATCAAATCAAAAAAGAGAAAAAAATTAGCTCAATCAATTGGATTTGAAGATTAGAATTACTACTACTACTACCTTGATAAACCGCCATTCAATGACATATGTAGATTATATGTACAATAACAAATTGAACCAATTAATGGTAGACGATTATTTTTATTATTATAAATTGATTGAAAATTTTTCCATTCAATCGATGATAAATTGAATTTATTGAAATCCATAATTTACCACCACATCATCATCATGTGGAATATAGAATCAAAACAAGTTCGAATTTCAACCATTCAAGCCAATAGATGGCAATCAACGATACCGAGAATACCATGCATGCATGCAATTTTTTTTTCTTCATCGAATGAGTGCCAATGGACTTTTTATTATTTTTTTTTTACTCTCAACAAAATCAAACAGCTGTCTGAATTTTTTGTTTTTTTTTGCTTTTTGATTCACGAATTTTTTCTATTTTTTTTGTTGTTTTGTCATCGGAAAAAACCAACGGACGAATTTTTTTTTTTTGTCAACTTTTCTCAAATTCTTGTGATTCCTGTTTTGTAATGTTGTTTTATGTTCATTTGTGTATATTATATGATTGATTCAAAGAAATTTTCAAAAATTTTGTCATCATTTTAATGATTCATGTGATATAAGAAAAACGAGATATTCGAACAAATGAAATGGAATGAATTGGCATAGATTTTTCTGGGATTTTTCTCCCATCGAAACAAAAACGAATCGATAAAAAGACAACTTAGTGATAACGCAAGAGAAAACAATCGAAGAAGAACAAAAAAAAAAATGACTGCCGAAGAAAGTTTCAATTATCTATATGTAACATTACCAGCACAGGTATCCGGTTCCAACCTGGAAATGATCAACATATTGACACCAATATTAAATGTTGATGATAATGGTAAAAATCATCATCATCATCAAAATGAAAATTCAAATAATGGCCTCACTACTGCTAATCATCATCGATTATCATCAAATGATATCGTACATAATGATCATCATCATCATTCGATTACCTTTGAAACAATCGATATAAAATCTGAAAATGGAATACTAACCATAAATACTGATGAAAGTCAAACATCACCATCCGATGTGGCCATTAGCATTGATCCTGATTTAGATCTAAAACGTTATGAACGATTACAGAAAGATATTATGCGAAAAAAGATGGCACGTATGCGTGAAACTGAACAACAACGATTACAACGGCTACAAAAAGATCGTGAACGTAAAAAACTTTCTCGTCAAAATGAAACCTATGAACAACGACAACGACGTTTGGAAAAGGACCGCATCCGGATACAACAACGTCGTGCATTAGAAAGTGATGAAGAACGAAAACGTCGATTGGAAAAGAATCGTCTTAGTAAACGTAATGCTCGTATCAAAGAAAATCCACGATACAATTCCTAATTGATTGATTATTTTCATTATATACATGATCCCACCATTTATATATCAACAGGAACGATTCGAATGGAAACCTAGCCGAAATAAAAAACCGAAAAAAAATGAAAATACAAATTCACATTATGTGTAACCATGTGTAAATATAACAAAATCAAACGATGATGATAATATGATGGCTGAATTGATTTAATCGATTCATTCATATTTTTCAAATGAATTCTGATTTATATATTTTATTTAAATAATAATAAAAAACGTTTTTTTTTGCAAACAAAAAAAAAGAAGAAAATCTGTTGGCACTACGTAGTTGTGGATGGTTGTGGTAATGATTCTTTAAAAAAATTTGCCTTTGCCCTTGCAATCTGTTCTTTGAGTGCGGTCACTGAATTTGCATAATTTAATTCTGGTGGATATAATAACCGATTGTTGTTGTTGTTGTTGTTGTTGCTGATGTTATTATTATGAAAAATTTGAACATTCACTGGATTTGGATTTATATTCTGTGATGAATGTTTTGGTGCATGATCAAAATCAAATTGACTATAGGTACCGTTGGTAAATATGGCGCCAGCAACTAATTGTTGCTGTTGTTGTTGTTGTCTATGGCCCATCATTGATGATTGTCTATAAGAATCATCGGTAATCTGATGGCAATTAATTTGTCGATGACCGCTATTTTCTGCAGTAGCTGTCATCGATGATGATGTTTCTATTTCAATCTTTACACTAACTGAATTATTAACGAAAATATTTCCATTTGTTGATACGGGTGAAGAATGTTGATTTTGATATTGATGGTTATCATATCTCGATATACGATTATTGTCATTTGAATTGACAGTCATCAAACTGGATGTTGTATCTTGTGAACTTGTTGCCAGTTTATTACTGCTAACACCGGTTGTTGATTCATCATCAACATCTGAATTATGGTCATTAATCTGGATTGGATGTTTTGCTGTCCAATGATCGTGGTTGTGGTTGTCATCATCATCATCATTGTCTAAATTAAATAAATCTAAACATTTGTCATCGTTATTACCATCATTCAAATATAGTATCCTGTTTGTCAGAATCAGGTTGCCATTATTATTATTTAATCGATGATCAATAATGTCATGTTGACCTGATTTGTTGTTAGCCATAATAATACCGGGGTAAACTGTTTGTACATGTTCGGTTGATGATGGTGTATGACAAAAACTACCGTTATCAATGTTATTTTGACCATCATCATCGATATAATAATCGATCAAACTATTACGATGATGATTTCTATGATGATGATGACGAATTGATGAAGTACTTCGATGTGATTGTTTTCGATGGTTATGATTATTATGGCCTTTACAATCACCGGTATTGACATTCGAATGGCAACATCTATGGCATTCATTCATTGATGAATTTTGATGATGATGATAATGATGTTTCGAGATATGTCGAGATTTTTTATCTCGTGTTAATCTTGATTCCATCTGATTACCAGTACAATAACAACAATGACAACATGAAGAACATTTACCATTTACATGATGATTTCGTGTGGGAGGTAATGATGATGATAAACATCGATTTTTCGAATAACACACCCCTTGATGATGATCCATCTGTTGTTGCACTTGTTGTTGTTGTTGTTGTGGATGATGAAGACGATCTTTTGACAAACGTTTTGCTCGTGAAAGTGCATGCCTTCCAGATTGACGCATTACAACTGTTATTATTTCTTCCGGACCTGATTTCACTGTTTGTGTAGATTGTGTTGAGAATTGTTTTCGTTTAGCAGTAGTAGTTTTATTATTTTGTTGTCCATGATGATCGTAATGATTATATTGATGTTGATGTTGATGTTGCTGTTGCTGATACTGATGATGATGATTATCATCATAAAATATAATGCCATTATCATCATTAGTATTAATCATCAAATGATGATGATCATCATTAAGGAAATTTTCTTCCGGAAATTGAGATCCAAAATCGTTACATTTTACTTGCTCTGAATGTAATGGAATTGTCATCGATGATGAAGGTGATGTAGAAGATGATTGTAATCTTGATGAAGAAGATTGTGGTGGTTGTGATGGACGTCCTTTTGAATTCAATTTAAACAATTTACCTAAAAGTGATTGTCCTGTACGAAAAAAAAAATAAAATAAAATAATTTAATTTAATTGAATTTTATTTTCGAAAATAAAATTGAAAATTTTATTGGAAAAATGATGATGATGATGATGATGACACATACTTTTAAGCATCAAATCGGTTGGTGAGCAAACAAATTTCGTTCGTTCTTTATCATTCATATCATCATCACCATTATTATCTTGATTGGTGATCATTGTTGTTGTTGTTGTTGTTTTATAATTCAATTTAAATGATTTACTTCGTCGAAATGGTTGTTTCGTTTTTGAATAATGATTACCGCTGTTGCTATTATTATTAGTATTATTATCGTTTGATGATGAATTTCTACGTTGAAGTAATTGTAATTTTTTATTCGTTGCAATACAATCGGAAAAATCATCATCTGTTGTTGTTGTTGATTGTGATTGTGATTGTTGTTGTTGTTGTTGTTGTTGTTTTTCAGAATTATTGAAATTTCGAACATTATTCGATTCGATTTCATTTGAACATCCAACAGTAGCGGTAACATCATCAACATCATCATCATCATCACCATCACCGTCTTCCGTATGATATGTATGTTTACTTGTTGGTGTTCGATCCGATAACGAGAGGCTTTCAAATTCATCCATGATACCCCATGGTAGTACAAAATTTGATGATACAGTATATGTTTGATGATAACTATCATAATTTAATTTATTCTCAGCAGTCATTGCCAACAATGTACTGCGAATAATATCATCGGCAGGCAATTCAACACTAGGAAATTCTGAACACAAACGTTTTAATATCTGATCATAAGTGGCTGCCAAATGTCCATTTGTTGTTGTACCTAATTCATCAATACATCGATATAATGCTTCAGCTAATGGCGTAAAATGTGATTGGCAAATAGTGTTCGCTTCCAATATGGTCGTATATCCTTATTTGAACATTTAAATGATGAAAAAAAAAAAAAAAAAAAACCGGACAGGAAAAAAAAACATTTGATTAGAAAAAAAACGAACAGGAAGACAGGTGAATGCTCTAAATAATAATAATAATGATAAAATAATTAAAAAAAAAATTTGATTTTCATGTCCACAATGCTTCAAACGTTGAACGAGACAAAAAAACAAAATGATAATTTCAAGCATCCATTAAAAAGATTTTGTTTTTTTTGTTTTGTAGTTTTTGGCGAACCAAATTTCCATCATTTCCGACACGTCATTTATTGACAGGGATTATTCGAACGATTTTTTTTGAATCGTCCATCTCGAATCATTCGATAGTTGGCCTAAAATAAATGTTTGTTACCTGTTGTGTTGTTTTTTGTTTGTGATGCTGTCAACGAAATCATCGATTTGATTCTCAAAAAATCAATGCAAAAAAAAATTCAAATTCAAATTCAATTCATTATTGTTGACCACAATCACCGACAACCGATATGGTAAGTGTATTTTTGTGTGTGCTGTGTGTGTGCATAAATTAAAGATTTACATAAATTTAAAATTGTTGTTTCACTGATTTTATAATAATAATTTGAATTTATCCAGATCTGGATTTTATTCATTCATTCATTCATTTTATTGTATGACCATTCTTATCATTCATTTATCATCATCATCATCATCATCATCATCAAAAAAAAACCACATGAACATGGTGCTTTGTTTTCATTTTAGCCAAAAAACGAAGCCATGAAAATGAATGAACAACAACAACAAACACAACCACTTGTTGTTGTTGTTGTTGTTGTCGTCGTCGTCGTCGTCGTTGACCGATGATGCTAAAATTACAATTTACGTTTTTTTTTTGTTTTTGTTTTTTCACTTTGCATTACCATTTCATATATATAAATTCGTCGGATTCAAAATGTTGTTTGTGTGTGTGTGTGTGTGAGTGTGCAATGGTAAAATTGTTCATTTGAATCTTTTGCCAATGTTTTTTTTTTCATTTTACTGGTTGGTTGGAAGATGTCTATCGATAAAATGTATGTATGTTTGAGTATGAGTGGTATTTGGTGAGGATGTAGAAACTTTTTTTTTCTTTCTATTTTTTTCCTATACGACCACATTTACACGACGGCGGCGGCAACTATGATGATGATGATGATGATGATGATAAATGATTCATAGTGACCGACAACGAAATGAAGAAATGGCTAGGAAAAAAAATCTTCAAATTGGAAAAAAAAGGTAACAACTAAAAATAAAAATTTATTAAACTCTAATTATATAATAGTGAATTTATGTGAAAAGAAAATTTCAACATCAACATCAACAACAACAACAACAACAACAATCACATTGATAGAGAGTTGACCAACGTTTTTTGTTTGTTTGTCTAGCTTTTAAAAATGTTTAAAAAATTTACCGAAATGATTGAAAAACAGCAACAACAACAACAACTTTCAACATCTTATATGTGGCAACAACGATCAATGATAATCCATGAAGAAGAAGAAGAAGAAGAAGAAAAAAGAAACTAGACAGCTAAATCAGAATAAAGATCCGTTAAAAGTAAATGGATAAACGAATTTTATGTATGATTGTTTTGTTCAACCAGAAGAAAAAAAAAGAAAACAACAAGATGAATGAATAATAATAATATTATAACAGTAAAAAAAAAAATTTCGGCAAATGGGTTACGTGCTTATCATCGGATTGGATTGGAATTGGTATAGATTTGAATGTGACAGATTTATAATTCTTCTTTTTATCTTTTTAATCTTTTGACAAAGCAAAGCAAAGCAACGAAAATATTTATGACCATCAATCAAACACACACACACACACACATATATATTGAGAACATTGATTGGATTTTTTCGTTTTTTTCGTAAACAACAACTTTTTTTTTACTTTTCCCTCCCAAATTTTTGTCGGTCAATCACAGATCATAGAAATCATAAAATTTATCATCATCGTCAGATGTGTATATTCGAAAATGATCGTGTCAAATATTTTTTTTTTTTTAACCCATTTGTAATGGCAAAGACAATCATTCGAAAATCCATCACCATCATTATCAAGAGAAATTGATCGTCGATAATTTGTCCAATTGCCACACTTTTGATCAAAGGTGTCTTGTGTGAGTGTGTGTGTCTACATCATCATTTGGGCAATTATCGATTTTGATAACATCGAATATTACAAAAAGGCGTCGAGCCGTGGTTATGTTATATACTATCATCATCATCATCATCATTCGGAAGAAGATATATGGGTATAGATAATATGGCCTTTGGCTATTTCAACACAAATTGTCCATTAAAAAAAAAAAATTTTTTTTTCAAATTCAACTGAAAATGGATTCAAATTTGAATTTCATTCTATTTTTTGACTTATCGATCATATCATCACCGATCTTCTATCCAATACCACAACAGTAACATCTTGACATTTGACCAAGTTTTTCTTCTTTTTTTTCTTGTTCTTGTTCTGATGATAATTCACATTGATCTCAATATAATATTTGATTGGGATTGATGCCGTGACATCAAATCCTAAATAACCGAATGAACCGGTATTATTATTATTATTGTTGTTGTTGTTGTTATTGCTTTTGAGAATGATTGTCAACATTATTAACAACATGTATTAGCCATGCATCATGTTCAGTAATATTATTATTATTGAAAACAGGATAGAAAATTGTATTGCTTCGTACATGGATGATTAGTTCAGCCATTCAGATACATATATAGACACACACACACATAAATATCGTTCAATTTCATTAGTCTGTTTTTTTTTACCAAATATATCAAGTTGCGGCTAGCCTTAGGCTTAGCAGCTTGTCTTTTTTCATTTCATTTCACATTTTTTTTTTTGTTTCGAGACTGTCGATTTTGATATGGTCAAGAAAAAAAAATGAAATAGTAAAATTTCATCCAACAACAGTAACAACAACAACAACAACAACATCATCCTCATCATCATCGTTATTAGCCGAAACTGAAAGAAAAAAAAATTATTATTGAAAATTTCCTTTCTATCGGAAGCAGAAATTTGATATCCAATCCAATCCAATCAATATCTATCCGACAAGCCATTGTATTGGATTAGATCACATCGATACACGAAAAAAAATTTTCATATCTCAAGAAAGAAAAAGAACAATTCTTCCATAGACAAATGTACTATACGCACGAACATGAAAGATTTGAAAATTTTTTGCAAGGAAGTATTGAAAAAATTTTTTTCAATGTAAAAATCCAATCAAATTTTAAACTGAAAAAAATGTTAATTTGTCGTTTCAAGATACTTGGTAAAAAAAAAAAAATATTTTGATCATGCAATGGGATTTTTTTTCCTTTTTGTTGACCACTTGATTCTCGGATGACGAAGATGATGATGATGATGAAAATGTAGATCAGCAGCAGCAGCAGCAGCCGTGCTCTATATAGACATTTTATTTTAATATTCACACTTGATTTTTTTTCCCTTGTTTTTTTTCGTGTGTGTGTGTGTGCGATTGTGATTAACCGATTTAATTACATTGCATAAATCTCCAAGCCTACAATCTTTTTATCATTCGTGTGTCTATGTGTGTGTGTTTACGATTTAATTTATGTAAGAAAGAAAAAAAAAAAGTTTGATTTCTTTGCATAATAAATACAAAAAAAAATCTTAATGTTTATGATGATGATGATGATGTCATCAAACGAATTGTGAAGGAATCTCGTTCAATCAGGCTGGCTGCTGGTTTTTATCTCTCTTTCTTGTGATTTTTTTTTTTACTTCGTCATTACACTAAATTCAGAATGAATTATTATATTTTTAGTCAATCCGTATAAAAAAAACATCCTGTTTATGGATGTGAAAAAAAACCGGGCCAAAGTTGGATAAGAATTTGCTTTTTTTTCTTTGTTTCTCTCTCTCTCTCTCTTTTTTTTTCGTGTTTATTTGTTTCATTTTAATACTTCACTTTCTATATAGATAAAAATATAAAACTTTTGATGATTATTGATGATTTACATACCAACAAAATTTATTATATAACCAGCCGGTGATTTAAGTATACGTTTTGACCATAATGAACACAATGTTTCCAATGTTTCTGATGTTTGTCCAATTATCAATAATGTTGATGGATAAAGAAATCCGGCCATTGATAAACGTTGAAAACAATTAGTAACGATTGTTGATGAATGATGATTATTTTTCGAATTTATTCGTATAAATTCATTGAATAATTCCATTGGTTTTTGGCACTCTTGTTGCTGTTGCTGCTGTTGTTTGATCATTGTTATTTGTCGATGATGTTGTTATCGATGTTAACGATACTTTATCTACAATCGATAATGGACTATTATTACTTTGTCGTCGATTTAATGATGTTGGTGATGTAGATATAGCCGATATTGGTGATGATGATGATTATTATTATGGCTACATTTTTTTATCATCAAACCAATGGCTAAACAATCTTGTGAAATTAATTTTAAATTTCTTTGTTTAATAATCATTGAATTCATGTCACCGTTGTTGTTGTTGTTGTTGTTGTTGATGTTCATCATCATCATTTTAAATTGTAGTAATAATGACAATAAATTTATTATTGATTGATCATTGGATTGAAAAAAAATTGATCGAAAATCAAATTATTCGCTGTATCATCATTGATGAATAGATCACATGAGAACTAGATCGATCGATGGAAAAAAAATTCAATCTGATTGAATATGATCATATGGTAATTGATGATGATGATGATGATGATGATACAGCATAAATGAATCCAACATACACACCATTCACTTGTTGATGGCCGATTTTCAATGTGCGAAATTGAATTTACCAAAAAATCATTATTAACAATCATGGAACACACCAGTTTTTTGTTGGTTTTTTTTTGTTTGATGACCTAACTCTTGATTCAATTCGATTCAAATGTTGTTTTTATTGTTGTTGTTGAATGTTTGACGACGAAAGTTTTTTTTTTCATTTCTGGCTAACACCAACGCCAAGCCCATTCATATATACATACACACCACATATGAATTGAATTGAATCCAATCGGGTTGCTCTTTTTCTTTTCTCTCTTTCTCTTTTAACATGTGGCTCTTTTTTTCATTTTTTTTTTTTTGTTATTACATCCATCATTGAATCATCATTCGACTTTTGCCCTCATCAAACATCTTTCTATGATGATGATGATGATGATGATGATATTCATAGTCATTCTTGAATTTTTTTTTCATCTCTTTTTATTGGCCATCAGGAGATAAAGAGAGGATGGATGGATGGATGGATGGATAGAAAGATCGAAATGAATATTTAGAATGGATCAACATATAAGCCATTCATATCCACAATTTTATTAAACCGGTGAAATGATTTTATACACACACATCATATGATAGTATTGTAGTAATGGATGGATATTAAAAGAGAGCAACACACACACACACACATACACACGGTTTCAATCATGATGATGATGATGATGATGATCATTTCGTTCGGGTGGTAGAAGAAAAAAAAAAAGCGGGAATCATTTTGAACATTGCCCAAGTAAAGCCAACATTTTTTTTTTTTTTTTTTTGATTGCATTGATGACCATAGTTTAATAAACTTTCTCTCAATTCATAATCAACCGATTTATTTTATTATTATTATTATTTGCTTGATGATTTAGAATGAATCGAGCAACAACAACAACAACAACAAAAAAAGTGGTTAGGGGTTAAGTGATTGAGATAACAGAATTCTTTCATCAACCACGATCCATCGTTAATGATGATGACCTTTGTGTTATGATATTCATTCATTCATTGTGAAAAAAAAGGTTTTTGATCATCAACAACAACAACAACAAAAATGATTCGATTCGAACGTTGCGCTAAGCAGATGTTCGAATCAAGTTGATGAACAAAATGGTTCGAAATAGTCTCCTTTTTTTTGCTTTCTTTTATGATTATGATCTCATCATGATGATGATGATCATTGAGATTCAATGATGATGATGATGATGTTTGAAGACAAAACATTGAACAACAGGTGCGAAAATTGTTTCGTAACAAAACAAAAACAAAAAATTTTTGAACTTGGCATTTCATACTTTTTTGTTTTGTTTATTATTATTATTATATCGTTGTTGATGATAATAGGGCCATGATGATGTCTTTGTCGAATTTTTATCATCATCATCATCATCATCATCATCATTTTTTTTTGTTGACCAGTTTGTTTTGAAAATCTATATACACAGTGACAAAACAACAACAACAAGTGTTCTTATATAGTTTCGATTGATCGATCGATTGATTTTTTTTTATTATTCATTTATTTATCTGATTCAATTTTGATTGATTAGTTTTCTCTCAATCGTTAATTATATTGATTAAATATTAGAATTGAAATGTTTTCATTTTTCCAATCATTTTTTTGTTGTTGTTGTTGTTGTTGTTTTGATTCAATGTTTTCATGATGATGATGATGATGATGATGAGTAGGGAAGGGGAAAGAGGGTTAAATATGGTTGTCATGTGATGATGATAATAATAATAATGATGATGATAATGTTGTTTGTTCGATCTTTTTGAATGTTTTTTTTTGCTTTCCAAAAAAAAATGATGATGAAATGTACATGTGATGATGATGATTTGATTTTAAGTTATGGACAATGTCCGATTGTTTTTTTTTCTGTTTTGTTTTGTTTGTTCGAATGATTGACAGTTAATGTTTTGTTGTTGTTGTTGTTGTTGTTGTGTTTTATATTTTATTTCATCTAAAACCTTGCACTATTTTGTAATTGACGTCCAAAACTAAAAAATTGATTATATGTTTGCCGATGATTACGATATTTACCCCATGCACCAAACGGTACTACCAATGCTGTTGCATTATCATCACAAGAACAATGTAATGCTTGATCAGTTAAAAATTTGGCTGCTTCATTTGGTTTTTCACAACTTTTCACTGCATTTACAATTTCACGATCATTCATTACATCGGTAATACCATCTGTTGTTAATACAACGAATGAATCTCGGCCATGTTTTATCTATTTATCCAAAAAAAAAAAAAAAAATCCAATGATCAGCTATCAATCAATCAATCGATCGATCAAAAAAGAGACTTACCTCATATGTTCTAGTATCGGGCAAAGCAATCACACCATATGGTTTAAGATCTAAATCACCGATACTACGTGTCATTGCTAATCGACCATTGATTAATCCACGACCAAGGCTATCATATTTGATAAAACCATTTGAATTGGTTATTCTATTTTGTTTTGTTTTGACGATACAATCGATTATTTTATATTCTAATATCGATTATTTATATTATTCGAATTTACTTACTTTTTCTGCTTTAAAATTAGCTGTATGATCATTTGTTAATTTAATACATTGTCCATCACGACAAAGAAACATTCGACTATCACCAACATATGCAACAACTAATTTTGTACTATTATGCAATAAACAAACAGTAGCTGTTGTACCGGAAGTACTACGTTCATTACCACCATTCATCGTATATGTAAGATAACGTGCAAATGAATTATTCACCTCAGTGAATGCATTTTGTAAAACAATTTCTAGATTTTTTTCACCACGTTCAAGCCAATATTTAACATGTTCAGGTAAATGTTCATTACAGAAACGTGCACAAGTATCACCACCATGACCATCAAATATGGCAAAATACATCATATCGGGTTTGATTTCCATGGCACTAATTTTTTTTTTCATTCATTCATTCAATCATCATGACAAATCGAATAGAATAGAATTGAAATTATAATCAATACAAATCAGGTCAATGGTTGTGGAAACACTAATCATCATCATCATCATCAGTTTTATACTTACTGGCAATAATCTTCATTTTGCATTCTTCTACCAATGACACTTGCATGGCCAATATTATCGACACTAATTTTTGGAATTGGTTTACCATGTTTGATACTTTGTTGTAATAATAATGTAAAATCAATACGATTATCCCATGTACCGAGTGTATCAAAATTAACATGACGTTGTTGTGAACCTTTATTCTCTGGATCGGATAACATACGGGCAAGATAACGACGAGATAATGTGATCGTCGTCGTCGTCGTTGTTGTTGTTGTTGTCGATTTCTCACCACCCATCAACTTCATAGAAAGGTTGGTAAATATCGTACGACTAGTGATTAATTTTCGCATTATTCTTCTTTTTTTTCTCTCAGATTAATTCAACGAAAACGAAGAAGAGAAGTGAAGAAGACAAATGAAAATGAAAAGCAAAAGCCAAAAAAAAAAAAAATTCGAATGTCAACCACAATGAATGAATCACAAACACAAATGAATTGAAAAAATGACAAGCTGGTAATCTTAAAAAGTAAAATTTTTTTTTCTTCTGTGAAAACAAAAACGAAAAATATCGAGATATGATGATGACGGTGATGGTGATCACATCATCATCATTCGTGCCGATGAGCAAATAAACTTGATCATCATCATCATCAGTATTATCATGCCATATACACTAGATATGATTTTATACTAAAGTTATGATGAAATCTAAGCCATCGATTGCCATCATACACACGAAGAAAAAAAAAGTCAAGAAGATGTAAATGATGATGATGAAGAAGAAGAAAAAAAAATAACGATTGGGAAAACACTTGTTTATAAGTATGATGATGATGATGATTATGATGATGATGGTGTTGCCCCCTTTCTCTCCCTTTTCTCTTTCTTTCTTCCAGACACAATCATCAGGAAAATTAATCATCGATTCATCATTATCAAATAAGATTACGCCTTTTTATATATTTCAGAGCCAAAAAAAAAAAAAAATTTTTGGATTCGAAAATTTACATCAACGTGTGTGTGTGTGTGTGTTGAGAAACAATTTTGATTGTCAACAACAACAACAACAACAACAACAACAAAACAACAAGTGTTGATCTTTGAATTTGAAAAAAAGATTTATCCTAATACATAACAGCAACAAATTTTTTTTTTTTCTGTACTTGTGACTATTGATGATTGTCGACGACGACGACTACGATGACGACGACGACTTTGATCATCGAATCATCATCATCATCATTAACATCAGTGATCAATGATCAAGGATGTCCACTTTTTTTCTGCTATTTGCCACTTCTATCTTCATTCATTCATTTTTATTTTTATTTTTTTTTTATTTAATAATTTCTGATCATCAACATGACTGCCAAAAAAACATTTGATCGTATGATATGGTTGTTGCTGTTGTCAACAACACAACCACAACAACAACAACAACAACAACCATCACCATGTAATTCGCACTAGGATTTTTTTTCTTTTATTTGCTCTTTGAATTTTTTTTTTTTTATTTATTTTATATCTATTCAATCGAATTTCTATTGATATTTGATGATCAATTGATATATTTTTTTTTTGATGATTGATCGAATAATCGACAAACATTTTTATCATCATCATCATCATCATCATCGTATCAATGTAGCTTCATTGAATGTTACGATTGATTTTCTTCGAAATTCTTTCATATCAATTTTTGTATCATCATCATCATTAGACAGTTTAAATTTGATATTTGGTTCAGTATTTGATCTACTTATTGTTGCCACTAATGGTTTTTCGTTGTCATTTTTTATACGAAATGAATCCGTCGGTGGTTTCAATGATGATTTCCGTGGTTTCAATGATGATGAACATGATGGACAACGTAAATTTGCTGGAACATATCTGTTTCATGGAATATTGGCATTTATTTAGGTTTTATTAATTAAAAAAATTCAGCTCATTTTTTCATTTTTCATTTTCTTACCTGGAAAAATTTGGCACCGATAATGATCGACATTTTTGTCTTTGCTGTTGTCGTTGTAATTTATACTGTAAACCATATGATTTATTTCTTTTCATTACAATTAACAAAAATGTTAATGCTGAAAATAACAAAAGACAAACACTGGCCATTATCGTTATGATCATTGTACATTCATGTGATAGACCACCCCCACCACTATCGCCATCATTTTCCACTTCGTTTGTTGATGGAAAAGATTCTATGGCCACAGATAACGTTACATGATGATTGTCATTTTCGATTAAATATTGAATCGTTTCTACAGAACGGAAGTAGAAAAAAAAATTAGGGCTAAATCAAAAAAAAAATTAAAGAGAAAAAAACAAATTTTTTTTTGCTGTCGTAATGAAATGTTGTTTTTTTTGTTCTATATCAATGATAATGATCATTCAATGAGATGAGCAAAATCCATATCCATATAGAAAATATATCTATCTATATTGATATATTGATTATGATTGATTGCAATCGACAATCAATCAATAATCATTGATGGATGAGAATGGTAACACTTGTTATTGGTGTTGTTGTTTGCTAATTCAATGAAAATCATTTTTTTTTGTTCACATTTAGCTATGCTTGAGGTCAATGTTGTTGAATTGGGCTGATTTTTTTTTTCTTTGGTTTTTGGTTTTATTTTTACCATTTAATTTGGATTTCCAATTTAAATTTTCAATGCTACTGTTGTTGTCAAAGATGATGATAAGTTGCTTCTGGTGTTTATTAAATGATGATGATTTTTCTAATACATTTACAGAATCAATATTTGTTGCTGCTGCTGCTGTTGTTGTTGTTGGTGATATCGATGGATAAATAAATCGTGACCATCGTTGGTCATTATTATTATCATTATTAATGGCCATTATTGATGGCCAATTTAAAATTAAAAAAATATAAATAAAAACCATAAAATAAATTGATTGGATGTTGATTGTCATCATCATGATGATGATCATTTTAGGATTAAATCACAAAAAACTTGTTGTTGTTAAAAACCATTGTCATGATCAATTCATTTTGATTAATACTATTGCTATTACACATGCACAAAAAAAACATTGATTCAATTCGATCTGATCATCATCATCTTATATAAATTGAATGGAAAAAAAACAAAATTAATTATCTGCTTCTGTGTGTTCTATGGCGCGTATGTTTTTTTTGGCGTGTGTTTTCTTTTCTCACCATTCTATTTCTTTTGAAAATTGATTTTGATCCATTGATTAAATCTAATTGATGATAATAATGATGGTAAAGGGGCAACACGTCAAATGTAAAACAAAAAAGAATGAAAAGATGACGTTGATGATATAAATATCATAGTAACTAATGAGGATTATTATCAATGAATGAATAATAATACTGGTTGATGATAAATTTTATGATCCTGACCTGACATATGACGAAGGTTGATGATGATGATGATGATGATTATTGAAAAAAAAATAATCGACTAGGCACCACGACCCGAAATTCAAAATGAAAAAAAAACAAAAAACCAGAACTACTGGATAATATTCGAAAAATAATAAAATCCACTAAAATGCATTTTTTCACAACCAGATGGCTGTTCTGTGTGTGTATCCAAATACACACACACACATTTCATCTGAGTCACAATCCTGATCATCATCATCATCACTGCTGCAGTTACGGTCGTTGGTACCCTCTCTCTCTCTCTCTCACACACACAGTGTCCACTTTTTTATATTTGTGTTTTGTTTGTTTGATTGAATTGTGACAATGAATTGAAATCGGTTTCATCATCATCATCCATTCATTCATAGTCGTCATTATTTTAATTTACAAATTTTTTTTTCAATTTTCAAAAGTGTTGCTCAATTCCTTTCCCCCCATACCAGTTTTTTCTGTCATTGTAATTCCCATCCTTTTTTTTGTTGTTGTTGTTGATTGGTTAATCGATCAATTTCGATTGACGCCTATTGTTAAAGAGTGGGTGTGTGTGTGTGTGTGTGTTTTCATTTCGATCGAACATTGACCAATTTTTTAATGTTCGATTTTTTTTCCGGGTATGTTTTTTGAACAAATTTTTTTTGTTCATCATCATCATAACCTGCTTATTTGTTTTCCATTTTCCAATTCACAACATTAACAAATGAGATAGATATAAACAGACAAAAAAATCCCAATTTTCCATTCCAATTATCTTATCTTATCACTTTTTTTTATCTTATCAAAATCAATGTTTTATGATGATGATGTATACGACAATTATATATCGATTATAACTCAACAATAATAATAACATTTGTTTCAAATGTTTATCCGTAATTAAACAAATGAATTTATCTTTCTCTGATTTTTTTTTGTTTTTGTTGTTGTTCCTTTACAGATAAATCTCAAAAAAGCCCAGTTTCAGAATCGAATCATCGATAGGCAGAAAAAAAACGCCTAGAAAACAAAAATTATTCCAAAATAATATCGAAACATTCCGAATCAATTCAACAACGGTCTTTCAACGATTAATCAAAAAAAAAAAAAAAAAAAAAATTTCTTTTTGTGTTTGTTTCACGTTCCACGTTTGTCATCGATAATCCGTAGAAACTATATACCCAACATTCGATGTGATTTAATCTTAAAAACAATATATATGATGATCATCATCATGAAGAAGAAGGATAATTGAATTTCAATTTGATTCTACAAATTAAAAAGAAAAGCCACACACACACACTATTATAATATCTTTAGTTGTGTTGGCACAGTGGCTACTCAAGTTACAATTTTTTTTTTTTTTTTTTTTGGTTGATAATTGTATTATTAATCAAAATAAATCAATCAACAAAATAACCAACGATGGCTGATTTAGGTATCGATGTCAATAAATTACCAACTGAAACAAGAACAAAATTGGCTGAATTAGAGCTTGAATTATCTGAAGGTAAGTCCTGTGACTATGTCTGTCTGTTTTTTTAAAACATTCCATTCTTCTAAATCATAAATTCAAAAAAAGTATGAGGAAATTTTTTCTTCAAATTAACCATTTGATTGATCAATCAAATTCGAATCGAACATTTGTACATCATTATTGCAATCCCCTCGTTTATTGTCTTCATATATATATATATAGGAAACGATATGGACAAAAAAAAGATGGACAAACTCTTTCACTTGTATAGTGTAATAATCAAAGTTATTTTCATTATGCATTCCACCACTTAGTAATTGAAATTTTCTATCATTTCATTTTTTTTCATTAAGCTGCTATTTTTATTGTTAATGTTGTATATGGTGTGTGGTGTATTATATTCATTTTATTAACATTTATTCACTTCTTTGTTTCAAATGGGTGTGTGTGTGTATGCAGCATAGACAAATGGACAAATTTTCTTGGAAATTTGTGTGTTTGTATTCAACACTGTTTCTCTCTCTGTGTGTGTGTGTGTGTGTTTGTCATTAGATGTAGTTTTTTTTCTTGTTTATTAAATACAAACTAAACTGGATCTGTGTGTTGTTTGTGTTTGTCTATACATCCAGATGTAGATTTGATCCGATCCGATCCGATAATGTACTGTTATTTGTAAATTTACCATGTGTTTGTGTTGACCACCCATAAAGTATATATGTGTGTATGTTTTAATTATGAAATTCCCAAAATTTGTTTGTTTGTTTGAAACACATACACACATATGGTACCCATATGGATAATAATGCTGTGTTTTCTAGAAAGTTTTGTTTGTGAAGAGAAAAATTTGTCATTTGATGTTGTGTCTATCAATCGAACGTTTGATGTTGTGGTGTTTTTATTGTGGAACTATGGAAACGGAAATGAATTATTATTATTATTGTAATTATGATTATCATCGTAATGATAATAATGATGAACTAATAATGTGGAAATCAAAACATTCATCGAATGATTTCAATCAAAATATTGATAATCTAGATTATCTTGATGATGGTTTGTTACAATTTTTTTCAAAGAATTTGCATTAAAATGATTTACAATTACAATATTTATTATTTTTTAGATTTGATTTTAATCATCATTTTTATTATTGTTTTTTTTGTATTAATAGGTGACATTACACAAAAAGGTTATGAAAAGAAACGTTTTCGATTGTTGGCACCATTTTTTAATCAACAACAACAAGCTCAACAACAGCTACAACAACAACAACAATCTGGTAAATTTTAATTTTGTGTAAATAAAATCATCATTGTTTTTATTATTAACAATAATTTAATTAAAGGAGCTGCTAGTCCATCAACACGTGCCAAACGACGTGCACATCGTCGTGTTACTCGCCATGAAAGCCGTTATCATTCAGGTGAGATTTTCTTTCATTTTCCCACATCAAATAAATGATTTTGTTCATTGTTAACCCATTTTTTCGTATTATCAATTTATCATGGAAAAAAATTTATAGAAATTCGACAAGAAGCTGTACAACAAGCTTTGGCCGCAATGCAAAACAAACCAAAACCATCTATGCCAATGCCATCAAAACGTACATCAGCCGTAATGGCTACTGGTCATCATCATCATCATCGGAATTATCCACAGATGCAACATTCACCGAATCGACGTCGTCCAATTGATTCACGACGACAACCACCACCACCAAGGACCGATTCATCAACCGATGATGATGATAGTATTCTGAATGAAAGTAGTAGTACAGCATCTGAAAGGGAAAAACGTGGCATTGGCCGTCATGGATCAAAATTTCGTGGACCATCATTTATGGCCATTGATCAATCATTACCAAATTCATCAGATACATCAACACATTCCTCACCTGCTCATGAACGATCTACAAGTCATCATCATCAACAACAACAACGATATTCTCATCATCAACAACAACCAGCTTTACTGCCACGTGTAATTGGTATGCACGAACATTCATCATCACCATCGACAAGAATCTGTATTGGAACACCAGATTCATCATCAAAACATAGCCGAAAATCACATATACAATCACAGCCGTTACCACCACCGCCAACAATGTTCAAAAATCCAAGTCCAACTAATATTATGGAACAGCAGCCAAAGCAACAACAACAACAACAATCATCATCATTGAATCAGGCATATAGACCACAATCACATCATCATCCAATAGGATCATCATCATCAGCTGGTGGTCATCGTATGAATGGATCACAATCACAGCAATCACATCTGCATTCAATACCACCGGCACCGGCTGAATATGCTAATGATGATGCAAGTAATAACAAAGTGGAAATACCACCCGAAAGACCAGAAAGGGTTAGCTCAAAAATATCTGATGTAAATCATTTGGCTGATATTCTACAGAATCTATCGCCAAGTGGAACATCAGCAATTAATCAGCTTCCTGGATTATTACCCGATGTAACCAATACAAATTCATCATCATTGATGATGATGTTGAATAATAACAACCAAATTGATGATAACCAAAGCTTCGGTATAATATTTTTATCTTGACCATTTTTTTTTTTTAGTTTGACTTTTTCTTATTCGAAATTCTTTTTTTATTTCTATAACTCACAGAGGATTATGAAATCGATTCGGGCACTTGTACAACCAAATGGAAAGTATCGACAAAAATTCAACAATTATTGAATACATTAAAACGGCCAAAACGACGTCCATTACCTGAATTTTATGTTGACGATGAAACGGATCTAGAAATAGCTGCCAATCAAGTTGATCCATCGGCACCTAAACCAGAAGGAAATACAATGTTACCATCAATTGGAGAACAATTAATGGTACCTCCGGGTCTACCTCGTACACTTGAAGCAGCATTGAATCGTTATGGTACATCTACAATGAAAGCACCGGCCATTACTGTACTGGATACGAATGGAAAAATATCACCTCCATTAACATATGGAAAATTATATAGTAGATCTCGTAAAATTGCTTATAATCTCCTGAACAAAATTGGACAAAAAGGTGAATTGAACATACGTACTGGTGATCGTGTGGCATTAGTGTTTCCGAATAATGATCCAATCGGATTTATATGTGCCTTTTATGGCTGTTTAACTGCCGGTGTTATACCGGTCGCTATTGAAGTACCATTAAGTCGTCGTGATGCCGGATCACAACAAATTGGTTTTCTATTGGGTAGTTGTAATGTAACATATGCATTAACATCGGAAGCTTGTTTCAAAGGTTTACCAAAAACAGCGACCGGTGAAATACATACGTTTAAAGGGTGGCCAAGAATTTCATGGCTAATAACCGATAATCTTACGAAACCACCGAAAGAATGGCAACCACCAACAAGAATATCAGAAGAATCATCTGCTTATATTGAATATACATCAGATAAAGATGGTGCCGTTAAAGGTGTCTGTATATCACGTAATGCAATGATTTCACATTGTCGTGCATTGACCGGTGCTTGTGGATATTCCGAAGGTGAAGTTATGGTGTGTGTTCTTGATTTTAAACGTGAAGTTGGCTTATGGCATGCCGTACAAGCTAGTATATTGAATGGAATGCATGTCATATTCATTCCATATGCATTGATGAAAATCAATCCAGCTATGTGGATGTTAATGATCACGAAATTTAAGGCATCACTTGCTATTTGTAAATCGCGTGATCTGCATTGGGGTCTATTGGCTAGTAAAGATCATAAAGATATTAATCTTAGCTCATTACGAATGCTATTGGTTGCCGATGGTGCCAATCCATGGTCGTTATCATCATGTGATCAATTTTTTTCCGTATTCCATAGCCGTGGATTACGAGTTGAAGCAATGTGTCCATGTGCTACATCACCCGAAGCAATGACAATCTCGATTCGAAGGTAGGTTTAGATATTTTTGCTAATTGATACTAAATTCTTTAAAATGATCTTTTCATTATTAATTAGACCTGGCCGTACTGGTGTTGGTGCTACCGGTCGTGGTGTATTATCAATGTCGGCATTAAGCTATGGTGTTATTCGTGTTGATAATGAAAATTCATTAACATCATTAACATTACAAGATTGTGGCCATGTATTGCCTGGAAGTATGTATTTTTTATTTGTTATAATCTAGTCATCAATTATCATTTTATATAAATATAGCTATTGCAGCCGTTGTCAAAATGAATGGACTTCCACATTTATGTAAAACAGATGAAGTAGGTGAAATATGTCTAAGTACAACATCGGCCGGTAGTTGTTATCTGGGATTACAAGGCTTAACAAATAGTATATTCAAAATGCAACCATTCAATTCGGATGGTCGTCCATTTAGTGAACAAACATTTGTTCGTACTGGTCTACTTGGATTTATGGGTCCAGGTGCATTGGTATTTGTTTGTGGTACACGTGATGGTGTAATGCAAGTTAGTGGACGAAAACATAATACTGATGATCTCATTGCCACTGTATTGGCTGTTGAACCAATGAAATTTGTCTATCGTGGTCGTATTGCAATATTTTCAATCAAAGTTCTACGTGATGAACGTATTTGTGTTGTTGCCGAACAACGTCCCGATTGTACGGAAGATGAAAGTTTTCAATGGATGAGTCGTGTAATACAAGCTGTGGATAGTATACATCAAGTTGGAATTTTTTGTCTAGCATTAGTGCCACCGAATTGTCTTCCAAAAACTCCTTTAGGTGGTATACACTTGTCTGAAGTTAAACGAAAATTTATCGAAGGTAGCCTACATCCAGTCAATGTATTAATGTGTCCACATACATGTGTGACGAATCTACCGAAACCACGTGAAGTACATAGTGAAATTGGACCAGCATCAGTTATGGTTGGCAATATTGTTCAAGGTGTACGATTAGCCGTAGCACAAGGTCGTGATATAATGGATGATGGTGATAATAGTAATGATCTAAGGAAACAGAATTTTATAACCGAAGTTTTAAAATCACGTTCAATGACTACACCAGATCATGTGTTATTTACATTGTTAAATTCAAAAAATATGGAAGTAGCAACATTATCCTGTTCACAATTATATAAAAGAGCAGAACGTATTGCTTGTTTATTGATGGAACGTGGTAAACCAAATACAGGTGATCATGTTGCTCTCATATATTCACCGGGGATCGATCTGATATGTGCATTCTATGGCTGTTTATTGGTCGGCGTTGTTCCTGTTACTATACGACCACCACATCCACAAAATCTTCAGACCACATTGCCAACTGTTCGAATGATAGCGAATGTATCAAAATCTTCATTAATATTATCAACGGGACCAGTTATAAAATTGCTGAAATCAAAAGAAGCAAATAATGTTGTTGAAATCAAATCCTGGCCACCAACATTGGATACAGATGATCTCCCTAAACGAAAATTGAATCAACCATATAAGGCGCCGACACCGGAAATGATTGCATATTTGGATTTTAGTGTCAGTACTACCGGAATGTTGGCCGGTATTAAAATTTCACATGCTGGTCTTACATCATTGTGTCGAAGTATGAAAATTGCCTGCGAATTATATGCATCACGTCATATTGCCCTTTGTTTGGATCCTTATTGTGGTCTTGGTTTCGTTCTATGGTGTATTAGCAGTGTTTACTCAGGTCATCATACAATCTTAATACCACCATCCGAAGTCGAATTGAATCCAGCCGTTTGGTTAACGGCTGTTAGCCAATTTAAAGTTCGAGATACATTCTGTTCATATGGTGTTATGGAATTATGTACCAAAGGTCTTGGATCTTCGATTCAACAACTCAAAGTAAGTTTTTGATTTCTTAAAATTATTTATTGATGATGGTTTAATTTTCTATTTTTATTAGCAACGTGGAATCAATCTAAGCTGTGTACGAACATGCGTTATTGTTGCCGAAGAACGACCTCGTGTTAGCCTCACTTCATCATTTACAAAATTATTTCATAGTCTTGGCCTTTCAGGTCGATCTGTATCGACATCATTTGGATGTCGTGCCAATATTGCCCTCTGTTTACAAGGTGCATCATCGCCCGATCCAACCACTGTTTATGTTGATACTCGAGCTTTACGTAATGATCGTGTTACATTAGTTGAACGTGGTGCACCACATAGTGTATGTCTAATGGAATCGGGTAAATTATTACCTGGTGTTAAAGTGATTATTGCCAATCCTGATACAAAAGGACATTGTGGTGATTCGAATCTTGGAGAGGTAAGTTGAATTGTAATTTTAAGCAATATAGAATCTAACTGAAAAGAATCTTTTCAGATTTGGATACAATCACCGCATAATTCGAGTGGATTTTTTGCCGTTTTCGGTGATGAAATGATGCACAATGAACATTTTAATGCACGATTGAGTACTGGTGATACCTCACAAACGTATGCACGTACTGGTTATCTAGGATTTTTACGACGAACAGAATCGGTACAAGCCGATGGAGGTTAGTAATCAAATTTGTATTCGATTATCATGATTAATCATTGTATTTTTGGCAGAATTACATGATGCCGTTTTTGTCGTTGGATCATTGGATGAGACTATTACATTACGCGGACTCCGTTATCATCCGATCGATATTGAAAATAGTGTAATGCGATCACATAAGAAAATTTCTGAATGGTAAGTGATCATTTTAATTGATTATTATTTATAACACTAAATATTTGATTCAAATCAATTATTAGTGCCGTATTTACATGGTCAAATTTACTAGTCGTTGTAGTCGAATTAGATGGTAACGAAAATGAAGCCTTAGATTTGGTACCAATGGTCACGAATGTTATATTGGAAGAACATCATCTAATCGTAGGAGTTGTAGTAGTTGTCGATCCAGGTGTTGTGCCAATTAATTCTCGTGGTGAAAAACAACGAATGCATCTAAGAGATGGATTCTTAGCCGATCAATTGGATCCAATATATGTTGCATATAATATGTGATGATCATGATCAACACAAATACACACCGCGGACAGACATTCCTAATATTTTTACGATCATAAAATCGATTGACATCAAATCTTTAAACTTTCATCATTTTTTTCCACTACAAACTCAATAATGACAAAATTAGTTGAATTTTATTAAATTTTCTTTCGAAATAGTGAAAATACATTGAATATATATATACATTTACGACAGACACATTTCACATAGAAAAAAACTTGAAACAAAAAAAAAAAAAAAAAAAAATGTGCAACCTAACCAAATCTAAAACAAAAAGATCTACACAAACATACACCTTATATTACATTTGTACACGTTTTTACAATTTTTTTTTTTTATTATAAATAGTTTTTTTTACACGTGAATTATCGCCCATCTGGATGTATCAATATTCGAATGAAAAAATCGTACAAACAGATGTGTGATAGAATCGAATCGATTTTTTTGTTTTGATTTAGTTTTTTCAGAATTATTATTAAATTTTATTTTTTATTTAAAACAAGACAAAAGTGCTGCCATCTTGTTAACAGAGAAACAGCTTTTAATTTCAATTTTCATTTTTAATTTTTAAATAATCAAATATAATTGATTGATTTCTTATTCAGTTTTTCAAAACAAAAAACAACAACAATCCAATATGGTTTTCTTCAAACAATCAACAAACAATGGAAAAAAAACAAACTAAAATTCAATTTAATGATTTTTTTTTTTGTTATATCAAAGTGTATGGTGGGAGTGTTTGTTTGTTTGTGTGTGTGTGTGTGTGTTTTGTCGATTTGTCAATTTAAAATTGTTTATATCTGGATATAACAACAACAACAACAACGGAAAAAATGGATTTCTCATTGGATTTGGATTGGGAAAAAGATTAAAATGTCACAACCTTTGTTTCAATTAAATTAGTAATGGTAATATAATTGATTTGATAATGATAAATGATGATAATCATTTTTTTTTATCTTGAAGAAGAATAAGCAACGTATTTCATTAAGTGATAAATAATCAATATGATCAATGAATGAATGAATGAAGAGAAAAGAATGATGAAGATCAATTTTCAATCACAACCATCGTTTTTTTTGAATAATAAAATTGGAACGGCTAAATTCTAATATTGGTTTGAAAATAAAAAAACCAAGAATTTTTCAATCGCATTGGATGATGATCTGGCCGATGTACATATCTGTGTGTGATGGTCAACTGAGATTTTGGACAACTCTCAACTGGCCAATTTGGGCATCTTTTTTGTGACAGATTTATCGATCAGAAATTAGGTCAGTGGTTATATATGGGTGTGTGTGTGTGGTTTGTTGGTTACGAATATTCTATGAAAATGATAATGGCCAATGGCGAATAATAAAATTTCATTTGTTTTTTGTTCACAACCTCGATAAATATCACTGGGGACAGATAGATATGTAAATGTTTGTGTGTTGTGTGTGTGTGTTTAAAATGTGAATTATATAAAAAAATAAAACGTCACCTGATTTTCTTTGTCGATATCAGGTGTCTGATTAATTATGGCTAAAAATAAAACACTCTGATTGATTGATTGATTCCATGCTGTAAATAAGATGATTGATGACGATGGTGACAGCTACGATGAATGGTTAATGATGAAATTTTTCAAAGTTTAGTGATAATAACCTGGCCCGGATTAACCGATTCTATATTGGGCATCGGTTTTGCTTCATTAGCACAGCTAATCGAATGTTGCCGTCGAAATGATGCCATCAATGGATTCGATGATTGAAATGATGGCTTTACATCTAGATCGACAGATGAATTGTTCGATTTACGTTCACGAATCAATCGTTCTTCAGCCAATGGCTTCAATGGTGGATCGATTGTGGTTTTATCCAATAATTTTTCACTACTACTACCACCACCAACATTATTATTTTTATTATTACCGGTTGGATCATCTTCGCCGGTATCCAATGCTTGATTAACACGGCCATTTAATTCGGATGTTTGATAATAGAAAGCTTGTGACGCACTCAATACGGTCATTTCTTCATGTGGTTCATGAACAACATGTACATCATCCGGTATGTTTATGACACAATGAAAAATATCGAATTCGGGTGGTAACCAACCGGATTCAAATATACGTTTGGACAATATGGAAACACTGATCAATGTGACTAGGCTGGACAACATGGCAAATGTTCTAAATGGAAATAGTTGACCATCAATTTCGTTATACCATGGATATTTGATGAATGGTGGTAGATTGAGAATATCTTCACCACCAAGTGCACGAAGTAAAAATCCAACTATATAACCGGACAATGAACCATAGGTATTACAATATTCTTTATAATGAACTACGCAGACTAATTGTGGAAACAGAATTACATAGACCAAATCTGGTGACAAACAAAAAACAATCAATCAATTATAGTTCAATGGGGACTGTATGTGTATACATACCAGATGAAAGATACCATAATCCATAGATTGATTTGACTGTAATGGCCATTGTGGTAGCAACACAACCTACAACAATAATTGATATTTTCATGACGAATATTACTTCATGTTCGGATGCCTAAATTGAAAATGATTGATTGATTGATTATTAATAAATCCAATATTAGATATTATATTTCAAATGATTCATACATTTTGTCTGATCATTAATTTATAAACATTACGAGCAAACATTGAACTGGCACTCAATAGTGATGAATCAGATGATGACATAACAGCGGCACTAACTGCTCCCAATCCAAAGAATGATATGAATGGCGGTGTTAGATATTGTAATACCAATGGTAAAACCAGAGATTGATGATCCTTGTCCAATGGAATTGGTCCTTTGAAATCAGTTTCGTTCCATGCTGTAACACGACCAACAGCTCCAATGATAATCGGCGGTATAGCCATTATGACACAACCAAATGCCGCTACATAAGATAGAAGCTGTGCTTTTGCACCGGATTTTGATGATAAAACTCGTTGAAAATAAACTTGCCAAGGAACACCACCCAATATTAGCAATAAGAATAGATCCGTATATTGGGCGAATTGATAGCCATGTAGAACACCAAACCAATCATTATGTTCGGTCGACATACTTTTGACCGCTGGATGTGCAATACTGAATGGTATGCAAAGCCACTACATTCAAAGATGGAAATAGAATTATTGATCAAATGTAAATTTGAATAAAATATCAGAAATAAATACCAGTCCTATGAATATGCAGAATAATTGTATGACATCGGTATAGGCAACCGAATATAAGCCACCAAACAATGTATAGATCAATGCAATGGCTGCAGATAATATGATCGATGTGTTATTATCGATATCAATGATAACACTGACTGTAGCACCCAATGCAGCCAAAATGGCTGCTGACCAGAAAATCTCGCCACATAATGCAGGCAAAAATAATAGGCCACCCATTCGAGAACCAAGAACCTCTTGAAATGGATCCAACATTGTTACATAGCCTTGTTCACGCATTTTTGTTGCAAAAAAGAAACCACCCACAACAAGACTCATTGCATAACCAATCGGAGCTTGACACCAAATGATACCGGAACTATACAGTGCTTCGGCCGTTCCATTAATATAGCCACCACCAACCCATGTTGCTAGAATTGTAATGAAAACGTAATCGTGATAATAAGAATTGAATTCATCAATATTTTACATACCTGTCATCGTAAAAATACCAACAAAAACGCCTATATTACGGCCAGCTAACATAACCTCTTCGGTTTCAAATTCATCACCTTCACCATCGGTCTTTTTCTTACGTCCAGCCCAAATGCCGACAACCAAAATGATAATGTAGAATATGACAACCGAAAAAATACCGGCAATATTGACAGTCATTATTGATTGAATTTATTTCGATTGCAAAATATATTTGAAAATGACTAAATGAATAATTGAATTATTTTCGTATCAGCTTTGTTTGATTAGAACCACCAGCAGCAAGATGAAGGATAAATATAACGATTGGATTTCAGAAAAAAATGTTTGATTTCATTGATTGATAGATTGTCGTGCGAATAATTGTGGAAAAAAAAACATTAATGATGATGATGACAATAACGACAACAATCACCCCAACGAAGGCTGGTTCTTTTCGATGGGAAATTGCGCGTACGACTTTTGATTAATTTGATCATGTAATTATAATAGAGCTAATTAATTAATTAATTAACTGTGCTGAATTCCGATTGTTGCCTTAATATAATATAATAATGTAATTAGCATGATGATCAATTTGTTTTTTGAAAAACAAAAATTTTTTATCAATGATATTATCGTCGATCATTGACCGATGATGACGATGATGATAATAATAATCAGCTTATCTTGAATTCATTCGGAATGATGGCAAATATATATTTTGTAATCACAACCTTTGTTTGAATGTGTGTGTGTTTTTTTTGTGTGGACGAATTATGATTCTTTTTTTTTTTTAACAATTTAAATTTGCTAAAATAGAATGATTTATGTTGATTGATAATTGATGATCATAACATTATTTATAATAACCGACCAAAGTCGATTATGATGATGATGATGATGATTGTAATTGGCCATGTTAACAAGATTCTTGAAATTATTTAGCCAATCATTCGATTATATCACACAAAATCATACGACAGAAATCGATTTTTCACAATTTTTTGAATTATATAAATACACAACCAGATAGAATGATGAAAGGCGAATAAAATTTCAGACAATAATCGAAACTTGGATAAAAATAAAAAAACCAAGAGTTTCGAGCTGGAAATTGAATCGAACCATACGAAAAGTTTCATACTATTTTATAGGAGAAAAAAAACAATAAATGATTACATGGTTCAAATCGAATGACAGTGACAAACTCACCACCACCATCATCAATCGATCTGATAATAACGTTCATTTATTTTTATTATGGAACTCAATGGATCACCATCAAACCACATCATCATAACATACGCACGGATATATGAAAACGAAGAGAGAGAGAGAGAAAAAAAATAAGTTCAATTTGGTATTTGGGCAAAATATATAGCAAAAAATTATTAGCTTCGAATATAATCATATATGGCACAAATGGGATTCCCTTTCTCAAGTACACACACACACACACACACACACAAGCGCAAAGAATTGATCACCAACTTTTTTTTGATAAAGAAAAAAGATTCTTGTTCCATGATTTGGCCACCAACACACCAACACCAACACCACCACCACCACCACTTCTGTCCAAATGGCCATCAACATAAAACTATACATTCGATTTGACATATGCGCGATCACATCCGCGCGCGTTTATCGTTCTTGATTTCGACAAAAAAAAAATTCAGAATGAATTTTTCACAACAACAACAACAACAACAACAACGACAAGAATAGAAACAACTGAACCATATAGAAAAACATTCAAGGCTGTAATGGTTCTATCTATTAACATCATAATCGTAATCGTAATATATATATTAAAGAAATAAAAAAAAATGGCTTGCCATCATAGTCAATTCTAAAAATGAATGAAAATTCTATAAATTCAGATAGTCGCCTCTAACAAAACAACAAAAAAAAAAAATCCATATATGGCAATTACGTGCATGTATTTTGTGCCGCATTATTATAAACCACCTTGAAGAATTATCATCATCATCATCGTCATCGTCATACGATATGATGAAGTGCGCACGTGTATTACCGAATTTGTAACAATTCAATTCAATTTTCAATTTAACATTCAAAGCGGAAAACAATGTAGAATAAAAAAACAATCAGTAATAAATTTCAAATAATTTAAATGAATAGAAAAAAAATCAGAAAGACAACCGCTACAAAACTTTTTGACGATTGCGAATACACACGAATTTGAATAAAAAAAAAATTCAATTTTCAATTGTTAATAATTGAGAGAAATGGGAAAAAAATAAAATCGGATGAAACATAATAATAAAACTATTACGAATGCATTTCCGGATTCGAATGTTGATGTAAATGTAACGGCTGTTGTTGTGGTTGCTGCTGATGAGTGGCTGTTGTCGAGACTGTTACTGTAGCCGGTGTCGAATTTATTAGTGGATATTGACTAGTCTGCTGTTGATGTTGTTGTAATTGTTGATGATGATGTTGGACATATTGATATTGTGGTGGATGGCTATACAAGGAATAATGATTTTCATGCATCGGTAACAGACTTATAGTTGGAGCATTGGATGTTGATGTTGGCAATTGTGATTGAATTGGATTACCATTCATCGCCATAACCATTGATGATGATATAGTGGCCACAACCGTAGTTGATGTTGATATTGGTGCAGATTCATCAATTATTTTTGATGTATTAGTTGTTGTTGTTGTTGTTGCGGATGCTGATGATGGTGGTGATTCCAAATTATTTATCATACCTATGTGATTAGTATTTTCATATAATGGTGGTGGCATAGTTTGTTGATAATTTATATTTGTTGTTGTCAATGTCGAAGATGGTTCATTTGAAATTTTGTTCGTTTCCAATGGTTCATTATCACCAGCTGTTTCATCTACAACCTATATAAATGAAAAAATTTTCGTCAATCATTTGATTGAATAGATATTAATCTTTTTTTACATACTGATTCTAAACCTCTGTTTTTAAATTCTTTTTCATAATATTGCAATTTCAAATTCTGATCACCAAGCAACGATATAAGGGCATCTTGTTCTTTTCGGATTGATTCTAATTCTTCACGCAATTTTTCCATTTCAACTATCTGTACATTATTATCGGCCAATTCGTTAGTGGTTGTTGGTGGACGATCCGGTTCAGACACATGTCGTGATATATCACTATCCGATACATTCACTTGTGTGGATAATGATAATGATTGTGATTCGGATGCAAATGCCTGCTGCTGATGATGTGATTGTGATGGCTGTTGTTGTTGTTGATTGTAATATGCATAATAATTTTGTTCCCAGCACTTATATTGATCAATTATTGATAATAATCGTCGATTTTCATTCATTAGATAATTAATTTGTTGATTGTCGACAGGATTAATTGCATCTACACTGTTATTCGAGTCTGGTGAAATATGCAAATTTGCCATCTGATTAGCCTGAATATGAATTAAATTAAATGAAAATTAATTTTCAAGAACAAAAAAAAATCATTATCGAACATACCATTTGATCATGGACATTATTATTATTAGATTGATAATTACCATTATCATTATTGAATTGAGAATAATTTGTTTGACCGGAAACATAACCCGATTCAGTAATGGCAATCGTAGCCTGATTACTATGGATATCATTCGGTTGTTGATTACTAAATGCCTGATTACTACTATTTGTTGCACCACTACTAACAGCAGCATTCGATACGAAGGATGTTGACATTTCAGCACTACTAACAATTGGACTAGGAGTTTGTAACAATGTTGATGATGATACTTCTGAAGTTAATGGATCATACATTGATTTTTGTGCTTTAAGCAATGCTAATTGATCACGTAATTGTTGTATAATGGAATGTTGTTCATTCAATTGTCGTTGAAAGAATTCATTTTCAGCTTTTAATTCCAACGATTGTTTCTTCAACAATGTTAATTGCTCATCTTGTTGTCGAATTAATTCTTTATATTTAATCAATAATTTATGATCTTCATTCGATAATGTGGATTCCAGATTTTGATTCGAATCATTCGTGGCTGGTTGTATTATTTTCAATATAACCGGTTCTTGTTTTCGGAATAGATTACAAAATTCATAATCAAACAATACATCGGATGCTTTATGATAGGCAAGCTGTGGTTTCTGTATCGCTTGACTGAATTTTTCATTTTTTGATATTAATGATAATTTATCAATAAATATTTCTCGTCCAATTCGATTATTGATTAATTGACACAGATTGTCCCTAAATGGAATTTATATTAGATATTTTTTATTATTAATAAAATTAGCCACTCAAACTTACTTGGTAAAACTGGGAACCGAATTATCATTATAGCATATACAGATACCCAATAAGAAGGCACATAAACCTTGAACAATAAGTTCAACATCATCGGATTCAATTAGGCCAACTTGTGAGGTTAGATATGGCACATTGGTCGATATTGAGACAAAATTCGCTACAACAACAGATGAATTGGCAAGCCAAGTGGATAATAACATTAAAAGGCTAACACGTCGTTGATAATGACCACCTTGTTGTAATAAGCTTGAACAATATGCTAATAATGAAGTTGGTGAACTATTCGGATCGGTAGCCAATTGAACACGAAGCAACTGTTCTTTCTGTGTTATATTATCCAATAAGGCATACGATAAAGAAATGGAAACAAACCAATTGGAAAGATAATCATAGCTAAAAAATCCACTGCATAACAGTTGGCCAGCAGAAACATCGAAATTCGTTACTATTAAAATTCGAAAAAAACAATGATTAAATTTCATCAAGAATTCGGCAGACATTCCTCAAATCTACCTTCAGATGTGGTGGGTAATAATGTTTCGACAATCTGTGCTTGGCCAAGATCATTTTTATATAGGAAACATTGAAAACAATAAAGAACGGCACATCGTAATTCGAATGGTTGTTTCTCATTGATCATAGACATCAATAAAATAACAATCACTGGTTTAGGCGGTTCAATCGGTGCATTTACACGGCTAAAATAATCCTGATTCTGTTGATTACCACGTATTACTTCGGCAACACAATTGATTGTCTATCTCAAAAGAAAAAATGAATTTAAATTTTAAATGATAAATAATAAAGATAATACCTCAGTTAGAATTTCTGCTGGAATGCCATTCGACATGAGTATGGCGCATAATTTCTGCAATACTTCATTTTGATTCATTACTTTTTGACAGGAACTAGTAACTTGTTGTGGATTTTTTGGCGATACCAACGAACGAATCACTTTAAACATGAGCAATAGATTATTGATTTTTTGTGTATTCCAATTAGTGTCGAATGAAAAATCAAAAAATGGTAACAATCGATTAATGTAGCTTCCTTCTTTAAAAAAATTCTGATTCGATGTGTTCGTTTTCAATAGATTCAATAAGATAGAAAGACAATCTTCGACAATGATACCACCATCACTATAACCTTCAGATGTAATTATATCCAATATTCGATCGAATGCATTTTCGAATGCAACAATTTTCTGTATATTTGTATTATTTTTTGTTAAATCAACCAATAATAATAATGCATCATTACGTATAACTTCACGTGGATCGGACAAAAGATCCATCATACGTGATATACCCATTGGATGTGTAAGTATACAATCTTGACATTCACGAAGTTTATTCCTTAGTAAACTATATAATAATTTAATTGTTGGCCAACGAATTTTAAAATCAAATTCACCCAATAAATCCAATACTAATTGAACGTTTTCTTTTCGTTTGATGAATATTTCAGTAAATTGAGTACTTAAATCTTGACTATTAGTTGGAGAATCAGATAAATGGACATTATCTTCTTCATTACCAATTACATTGATCAGTGTTTCTAACGCAAATGCAACAATATCAATATCATTCGAATCATTCTGTAGAACAAACAATAGAGCATCCATTGCTTTGGCTCCTACTTCTAAACGATAAGTTTTCGACAATGATTTCAATGCACGACATGCATCACGACGATCTTCAAGCAATGTTGAAGTTTCCACACGTTCAACCAATCGTTCCACCTGAATTCAGATTCAATAAATGAATTTTAGTTGTTTTTAAAATTTTAAAAAAAAAAACATCACAACTATACCGTTTCGGCAACATTTGGTTGATCATCAAGAACCGAATCAGATGGAGCACCGACCACGGTTTTCCATCCACTTTTTAAATATTCCATTATTATTAATGATGATGATGATGATGATGATGATCACAACCACAGAGTTCAAGGTGTTTTAATAAAAAAAAAATTTGAATAAAACTAAATATGGAAACTTTTTCGAATAATTTTTGAACAAAAATACACAATATTAGTAGCGGTTGAAAGTGGAAAATTCAATTTTTGTCAGACAAATCACTAATCTCATTTGGCCAATTTATTCGTTTGATTGGACTTTAATCTTAAACTTGGAAAATTTTAATTACGTAATTACGGTAAATATCGTGTGTGTATCTTTAAGGTGCGTTTACACTATAGTCATCAACATTTTTGTTGAGGTAACATTTTTTTTTTATATTGTCGAAATGTTGATTGACCAACACGTCAACAACAAACGTGGCTATTTTGATTCACTTATGACTATATCAACCATGTTAGTTGTAGCCGGTTTTAATGCAACAACCAAAGAAATTTTTTTTTTGACAATTTATTTTTTCAAATTTTAAGTTTCATTAATTAATTTCAATTTGAATTGAGCAACAAATTTTCAATTATTCGTCTACCAAAAAAGTCTAGATTAGGTGAAAAATATGAATGAATGTCAAAATTCCAGCAACGATGAGAACAAGGTTTGAGAAACGCCCTTTTTTCTAATTTTTTTTTTTTGGATTTGAATTTAATTTAAATTTTTTTTGTTCTAGCTTCTTGAACCATATCATTATATTATGCAATGTAGTGGTAAAAAAATTCGAACCAAACTTATTCAGGTATGAATGGATGTGTTATTCGAATGAATAAATTTCTATCATCATCATCATCTACTTTAGGCTTTTAACCATTGGTTACAGATTCCAGATGATAAATTGGAAATTATCAACACTATTATTGAAATGCTTCATAATTCAAGTTTATTGTAAGTATTATTAACAATGATTATCACTAACCATTGTGTTGTTTGTATTTTTATACAGGATCGATGATATTGAAGGATAATGCTACATTACGTCGTGGAATACCTGTAGCGCACAATATATTCGGTATTGCATCGACAATCAATTCGGCCAATTATGTCTATTTTCTTAGTGCAGATAAATTAATTAAAGAATTTCCATCAGCTATAATGCCAAAAGCAATTACTATTTTTACTGAACAATTGCTTGAATTACATCGTGGACAAGGTATGATGCCATATTGAAATTAACATTAATTAAAATAATTTTTATTTATTGAAGGAATGGACATTTATTGGCGTGATTCATATACCTGTCCAAGTGAAGAACAATATATTGCCATGATTGAACGAAAAACCGGTGCCTTATTCAGTCTAGGTGTAAAATTGATGCAATTATTCAGTGCTGATCAACGTGATTTTAGCTTTTTAATTACATTGTTGGGAAAATATTTTCAAATTCGTGATGATTACGCTAATCTCAAATCAGCTACTGTATGTATTGATTTAGGAATTTTTTTAATTTTGCAATTTTTTTAAAGAAATTTTTTTTTCTAGTATGAAGAAAACAAAAGCTACTGTGAAGATTTGACAGAAGGAAAATTTTCCTTTCCCATAATACATGGTATTCTTTCGAATCCAAATGACAAAACATTAATCAGTAAGTATATCATTATCATTATCATTATTATTATTATTATTAATTACCATTTTATCGATCATTCATTTTCATTTAAATTAATATATAGACATTTTACGAAAACGTACAACAAATGTTGAGTTGAAAAAATTTGCCGTTGAAAAATTGGAATCTTTTGGTTCATTTGAATATACAATGGTGACAATGAAAGATTTAAGTCAAAAAGCACGAGAAGAAGTTGATCGTTTGGGTGGTAATAAATATCTACATCAATTATTAAATTATCTGGAAACAATTTGAACAATTTTTTTTTTTTTTTGTTATTATTTTTTTCAATCATTTTCTTCATTTATAAAATTTAAAATGAATTAAAATTCTATACAAAATTGTTGTTGATTTGTCCATGATTTTTTTTCTTTGATCAGCTTGATTGTTTTCTTAATCTTTTCTGTCGCATACTTGATAGTAGATCATAAGCTTGCTGTATGGCCATAAATTTTTCTTGTGCCAATCGTTCATCACCAATACGATTTTTATCTGGATGCCATTGACGTGCTAATTTCCTATACATAGCTGTTATATCATCCTGTGTAGATGATTCATTAAGACCAAGTATTCTTAATGCATTTTTTTCACCTTGTGGATCAAGTGCTTCAACAATTTCATTCCATAATCCACTAATACCTTTAATTTGAATGAAATCCCAAAGATTACGTAGAACCATACGAAATTCTAACCATGCTGGACTATTGAAAAAATTGCCTACAGCCACACGACATTTAATGATTTCGTCATTTTTATCGGTAACCGTACAATTGAAATAAAACCATGATATCCATAACATGAGATAGGCAAACATGGCTAGTGTAACCAGCCATTTACTAATTGATTTTTGAGGCGTACGACGCCATTGCAGTGAATATCGAGTGAATGCTAATGTAGCCAATAATGAGGTAATGAATACTGGATTTAAATTAAAAAAATATAGCGGTGCAGTCATATAGGCAGCTATTAATGGCCATCGAATCGGTCCACAATAATGACCAATATTACCAACGGTATGTACACCGATAGCAATAGCAACCGGTACCAGAATAGAATTCAATAATCGAGATATTATATTATCACTGGTATCATCCACACTGAACCATTCATGTGGTATGGCACCCATGACCAAATAGCCAAGTATATCGGCAACAACAATACTGGCAAAATATCTAACAATTCCGAATGATGGTTTAGATTTTTGTCTCATCTTTTCAATCAATTTGACCATATAATCATGATCACCATTAACTTCGGCCACATATTCAGGTAGACGCCAAAATTCTCGTATAAGACCAACACCAAAATAACCGCCAAATGATGCACACAATGCAAATCCATGTCTATAACGACCAAGATAGAATTGATGTAAGCCAAAAAAACCACCAAATAATAGGAATAAATAGGCCAACCATAATCGTTTCTTATTGTTGTTCGGTGTCATTTTATCACAGAATCGTAAATATTTCTAAATGATGATCTAAAAATTTGTTGTTGTTGATGACATAAACTTTTACAAAAAAACAAGTCAGCTTTTTTCAGGTTTGTTTTGTTTTGTTTTGTTTTGAATGTTCGAATGATGAATCACATATTCAGTCTGTTCATTGGTTGCGATGCGACGACCCCCATTCATCCAATCAATTCATGGTCGACCTGTTCATGGTCATTTTATATATGATAGCAATGTGCAATGTGTTCGAATCGAATCAACCTGATTGACAGATAATAATAATATAGGTGTCGTCATCTATTATCAATTATGGTCAAGTTTTACTTTGAAAAAAAAAATTATTTTTTTTTATATTCTGTACAGGAATGAAAATTTTTCAAACATTTTTTGTTATAAAATTTCAATACAATCCGGATGATGATGATGCACGACGTGATGCAAGTACATGTGCTAATGTTTTTGCTGATGTATGGCCACAATTATAAACATGTGATGTTTCAGCAGAAAATGATTGCCGACGTCGTTGATGAATTAATAATAACATTAAAATGATAATTAAAACGAATAATGTTAGGGATAAGGCTAACATTGACCATGCAAATGTTCGTAGTTTTGTCATCGAACGTATACTACTACTGCTATCCGATTGTTGACTACGGCCATTATTATTATTTATATTATTATTCGATTGATGCCATTTTGAATTGGATTTCGTACGATCAATGATCGATGCTGATGTAATCGACGATGAACTAATTGATGGTAAATAACGTATCCAAAAATGTGTTGCAGAATCATGATATGAATCAACGGGTAATAATTTTTCTTCAATCAAATATGTAGTTGGCCTTTGTATTGTATATGGTGGCCAAAATGGTGTATCCAAACTTGGTATAAATGGGGCAAATCTACAAGGAAAATACGCGGTAATGTGTAAAAAAAATTTTAAACAACCGGAACAAATAAACAAACAAACATTCAAATTATAAACATACCCATGTTTGGCAAAATCAGTCCATAGATGTAATAATCGTCGTTGTATCAATGCATCACGATTATCTTGTGGTTTTCGTGTTGAAAATTTTAAATTGAATAAATAAAATAATTCATCACCATGACAAACGGCATTGGATGTTGGATCAAATTCTTGATTATTATTTGATGGCCACCACATTAAACCTCTATTATTATAACCGATTAGTTGACGATGATTACCTTGTAATATTAGATTTAACATTGAATTACGTCCACGATAACCAAATACATATTTATAAGTAATATTTGTGAATGGTAACGAAAGGAAATGACCCATAACATTAAGATTTTGTTTGGATGATGTTGCAGCTGTTGAATATAATCTCAATGTTTCATCGATACAAGATCCATATAAAGCATCGGTGCTCATCTTTGAAAAAATTTTAAAAAAAAACATGAATCAATCAATTGTTATATACTTACATTGACAAATCGAAAAGCCATTTCAGGATAATTTTTACTATTTAGAAAATTAAAATATTTGAACAAAATATTCTGCTGTATATCATGTTCATAATCTTTGATTGCTGTTTTCAGCTTATAGGCATTATTTCCAATCATTTCATAGGCAGTGTTTTTTCCACCATTATTCAATAGAATTGTAGCACGTATAAATCGTGGTAAAAGTTTTTCCTCTAAATATGTTCGTAGATTTCCGACTTGGTCACCAATCATCTGTTTGTTAAGTATGACTAAAAAGAAAATTAAGAAACGAATGACATGACACATGACTTTGAATACTTACGTGGATAAAGAAATGCTGTTTCATCTTTATTATATCCCATCATCAATGGAATACGTCGATAATGACCTTGACTTATTAACCGTCGTGGTTCATTCGGCACAAGACGTTCATGAGCAACACCCACTTCTTCAACAACAGGTACAAATTGGTGTGGATATTCACCGAATATCTTTCCTTGTTGTTGTTCTTTAAGCAATACGGTCAATTTCACTCGTCGTAAACATTCGATTAATTCGGCGTTTCCACGACGAATTGGACAGCCAATTTTACGGCCCAATTCTATGGCAACATTGGCTGCATTATATTCCATTGACCAGCTACAAAGTGGTGATCCACTTTGTGCAATTACACGATTGAATAGTCCAGTACTTAATGGCGAAATTAGATGCAATATGGCCGATGATGCACCAGCTCCTTGACCAAACAATGTAACTTGACTTGGATCACCACCGAATGATTCAATGTGATCATGAATCCATCTTAGTACCAATAATTGATCATAAAGACCCCAATTTCCAGTACCATGTTCATCACCAGTGCTTAGAAATCCAAGTATACCCAAACGATAATTGAAAGTAACGACAATAACATCCCAATCGAGTAGATATTCTGGACCATAGAGAGCTGCATCACCATTTTCGAATGATTCTCCTTGAATGTATACCATAACTGGAAAGCGTCTACCGATCGGATTCTGTTGTTGCTTTTTTTAATGACAAAATCAAAATCAATTGTGAATAAATTCATTAAATTGTTACCTGTGGAAGGTTAGCCAACGGTACAAATACGTTCAAATAAAGACAATCTTCTTGACCATGTGGTAGACCATTAATATCTAATTGTGGACAACATGGTTTATAACCATTGGCTGTCAATGTTTTTGGATACCATTTTGGATATGGTATTGGTTTCTGATTTTATAATAATTTTAAATTAGAAATTAATTTAAAAATACAACAAAAAAAAATTCTTTTCTACATACCTTAAAACGTAGATTACCAATCGGTGGTAATGCATATGGAATGCCCATAAAACCAATAGCTCGATTATTGAGATATGTTCGAATTCGTAGGCCTGTGATCGGTCCTAATTCGGTTTGAATTTCAACCAACCGATGATGATGATGATGTCATGATGATGATGATGATTGGCAATTGATTGAATAATCATCACTATACATGGATGAAAATAATAACAACAACAATAATAGAAATCTTGATAATAACAAAAGAAGAAATGAAGAATCAAAAAACAAAAACATTTTCAATGAAAATTTTCGTTAATCATTTCGTCAATATTGTTTGATGAAAATTATCAAAATGATTCGACATTTATGATTGATTTTTTTTCTGGTGATTGAAATGAATGGAGAAATTCATGAAACTGAAAAATTGCGAAAAAGAGAAATCAACGATTCAAACACAGAAAAAAAAACAAAACAAAACAGAAAAAAAATGAGATTCGGATGCTAATAAATGGACTTCCTGATTGGACAATGGTTATTTCTCTCTTCATTCGTTGGTTGGTTGGTTGGTTTTTTTTATATGTTTTACAACCAAAATTGGTCAATAAAAACAATATATAATTTCACTTTAAAAATTTCAATTTTTTTCCGGAATGTCAATATTTGATCAATAACAATTCAATCAATCAGATCTGATGTGTGTGTGTGTGTGTGTGTGTGTGGGTTTTGTTGTGGCAATCTGATTTGATTGATTCTATAGGAATTGCAGAGATTTATTTCATTATGACTCAGAGATGTGTGTAGAGAAAAAAAATGCAACAGGTAGTGTTTTTTTTTCTTGTCTTCCACAGTGTGTGTATTCAATAGCTGTTAAATGATAATAATAACAACAAACGACGAGGACGATGATGATGATGATGATGATGATGTTAATGAAAAACATACGGGAATTGAATTTATAATTACGATATGAATGAAATGAATATAACAATAGCCAAAATAGAATGTTTTACATGGAATGGACATGGTTGGTTTGATTTTGATTCTCTTGATTGTTGTTGTTAGTAGTGGTGGTGGTGGTGGTGGTGGTCTTTAGATATAGAAACAAAACAAAATATCATTGGACATGATGATGACCAAAAATTAGAGAAAAAAAAATTATGATGACCAAATGCTGGCCTTGCTTTTAAAAAAAAGCATTTCGATTCGAATCTGTGAATGAATGTGGATGGAGACAATTTTTGAACGGTGAAAAACATTCGAATATTTGTCACTCATGTATTTTAATTATTACACATACCTGGTACTATTGTTTGTTGATACATTTTTTTTTTTCTTTCAAAAAGATAAATAATCACGGTCAGTGGTATAAATTAAAAACGAAAAAAAAAGAAAAAATTCTCATCAATCGTTAATCGAAAGGAGAAATTTTTTTTTCTTTTCGTTTCGTTTTCACGATACATTGAAATTCGATTCGATTCGATTCGATTGTATGCCATCGTGGTCATAGTCATCATCATCGAAATCGTGTGAGTAATGATCAATGATTAGTGATCATTATCTTTTTTTTTCATCAAATTCAATTTCATTGAAAATTTCATCGGCTTTTGTATTATTTGTATGTATAGACAACCGACAATTTTTTTGTGGTTGTGGGAACCAGATAGTTACGATTGATGATGATGATGATGACGATGACTACAATGTGAATTTGTGAATGTAACCAGTGGCTAAATGACCAACAAGTAGTAGCCAAAAAGTAACAGATGAAAATCAAACAAACCAAATCGAAAACCTATTGAAATCAACGACAAAAAATTTATTAATTTTTTTTTGTATTGAAAATTAATCGATAAAATCTAAAATTTTTTTTGTTTCAATTCTTGAATTCTGTATGAATTATCATCGTAATTTTTATTTATTATGAAAAAAAAATCAAACAATCCACTACTACATACCTTTATATTTGTGTATAGACCTATATTGAAGAAAGAAAAATTATAATAAAAACCACACAACAACAACATTGTCGATTTCTCTTTTTTTTTTTTTTTTTTCACCATTCAATCTAACTGTTTATATTTGTTGTTGTTCGTCGACTATCATTGACGATTGATTGAATCATTGGTCATGTTCAATAATAATAATGATGATGATGATGATAATGATAATAAAAGACATCAATAGTTAATGTTCGGCCCTTTTTTCTTCTCCATAAATAAAAATTTTTTTTTTTGTAGGAGGTTTTTCATTGGGCAATCAAAAAAACAAAAATTTTGTTTTTGTTGATGATGAAAAAAAATGGAAGGATGGATCTTGTTTGATTTCGACAACGATGATGATGATGATGATGATGATGATGAAGAAAATGAAGGGAGCGATTTGAAGAAGATATTAAAAAAAAACAGGCTTCCAATATAGAGATTGGAGGCTTGTCTTGTCTGGTTTCGTCTTTATAATCATCATCAAATATATAAGACATCATAGAAAAAAAGATTCGAATGTTTGAATAGATTGATAGATAGACGGCAGGTAGATTTATTGATTGATTGATTGACCAATCGATCAGGCGATTTATCATCAATTGTATCTTGAATTATCAGATGATTTTATTTTATTTGTATTTAATCTTGCTATCGATGATGATATTTGATTTATTGATATGATACTGCCACCAATAATTCAAATGACAACAATGATGGATATAAATAATCAGTTTTCATCGAATAAAGCAATAATTTATCCGGCTAATTATAATGGCTACCAAAGTATTAATGGTGAAAATGATTCCCATCATCGACCATCATCATCATCATCGGATTTATTATCTTATCATCATCATCATCAACAACAATCACAACATTTTTATCAAAATGATGATGAACAAACAAGAAAAACAATGGATAATATGACATTTTTATCGAATGAACATGATATAGATGATGATGATAATGTTGATGATGAACAGCAACAACAAATATATCCAACAACTATGGTAATAATCAGTGCGAATACATTACATCCACAAACATTGCCGGTTATCGATGATGGTAAGTTTTTTTGGTTTTGTTTTGTTCACAGCATCTATCGAATGATGACCATGATTATCTATTTTTTTACCACACACATTACAGATCTACAAGAAAAAGGTGTCCATCTGACCATAATCGAAGAACCAATCAATCGAATACGTTATCGTTATCGTAGTGAAAAAGGTTCACACGGTGGCCTAAATGGTGTGAATAGTTGCCCAATACGTAAAACTTATCCCACCGTCAAGGTAGTAATTGCCACACACACACACACACACACATACAAATTGGAATTTTATTTGAAAATTTTTTTCTTTTTCCTTTTTCAACAACAACAACAACAACAATGATCATAATATTTTAGATCGAAAATTATCATCTTTCAAATCCCGTTTATGTTCGTGCCAGTTTGGCTACAAATGAATTGCAACCAAAATTACATGTACATAAATTGATGGGACGACATTGTAGTGCTGATGGTTCGTGTACATTGCCCGTAAATCTGGATAATATGACTGCAATGTAAGATTTTATAAAAAAAAATTTTCACTTTTTTTTCCTAAAGAAAATATTCTTGAAATTTTTTCCACAAATAGATTCCAAAATCTAGGCATTCTGTTTATTGGCAAAAAAGAAGTTCAAGAAATTCTGTACAGACGAAAATCATCATCACATCAACTAAATCGTCGCCGTCTTCTTCGTCGTACTGGACAACAACAACAACAACAACATTGTCTTAACAATCAACAATTACGACGACAATTACAATTAGAAGCAGAAAAAGAAGCTAAAGATTTGAATTTAAATTCAGTTCGAATTCGATTTGAAGCATTTATGCTTTGTGCAACAACAACAACCAACAACCAGAAGTGGAATTGGAAACGAAACAATTTTTTCTACGGCCGTTATGTGCACCTGTCTACTCGAAACCGATTGCCAATCAAAGTAAGTTGAATGAAAATTTTTTTTTCATGAATTAATCCACACTCTCTCTTTCGGTATAGAATCACCTGATTCAGGTGAATTAAGAATAGTACGTTTAAATCGATTCTATGGATCAGTTATTGGTGGTGATGAAATTTATTTATTATGTGAAAAAGTGAATAAAAAAGAAATACGTATAAGATTTTTTGAAATCGACAACGATGGTAATCAACAATGGGAATCATTTGGACAATTCAATGAATCAGATGTTCATCATCAAGTTGCCATTGTATTTCGTACACCACCATATCGTAATGTGGAAATAACAAAACCAATACAAGTTTATATACAATTATTTCGACAACGTGATGGTGAATCAAGTGAACCACGAACATTTATCTATAAACCACAAGATGAATCGATATCAAATGATTCTTTGGATATCGATGATCATAATCTACTTAAACAAATTAAAATGGAAAATCAATCGGGTAAACGTCGTAAATATTGTCCAAATATTAATCAACAACAACAGCATAATAATAAGAATCGAAAACAGCAACAACAAAATGAAAATCTAAATAATGAACAAGTGATAAAAGTGAAAAAAGAAGAATTGGACAATAATAATGATCATCATGATGATGACGATAATCAGAAGACGACAATGACTACTACGATGAATACAGATAATTACACCTCTCATCATCAGCATCATCAATTACCACCACAGCAACAGCAGCAGCAACAACAACAACAACAACAACAACAGCTACCACCAATGATTAATCAGAATATCGATCATTATACATCAATCAATCATCAATGTGGTTAGTATTCAAAAGAAATTTTTTGTTATTATTGCCAATTTACGTACAAAATTTGTGTGATGCAAACATTATCATTATAATCATCATCAAACATTATCATTACCAGTGTAAAAGAAATCATTATAATTTGAATCTTTCGAACGTGTGTATGTTTGTGTGCATCAACCATTAACATTTGATTCATTCGAGAATGAGCAGATTAGAGCCAATTAGCATCAATTTACGTTGATTTTTTTGTTTGTTTGTTTGTTTAATCTCCTCTTAATTTTTCAAAGATTTTGATTGAAAATTGAAATTTTTTTTTTTTGAAATTGATAATTTTTTTTCTAGGTCGAATGCTGTTCTTTGTACCTAAGTGATAATTATATATTTTTCTTAGTCAATCTATTCAGTGTTTTTTGAATGATTATCGATATAACCTATGTTTTTTTTTATTGATGATTGATATATAATAACTATTTCTCTTTATATTTTGTTACTATATTTAGGCGATTGACAATTCGCATTTGATTGATCTGTTGATTGATTGATTTGTCATTTAAACAAAGAAAAACATAAAAACAAGAAATTCTCCATAATTATCAAAGGAATTAATGATTGCACATTGATCAATAATAATGAAGCAATTATCAGTCTTCATCATTCCTGTTGTTGTCATTGTTGTTGTTGTTGTTGTTATTGTCACTGTTTATTTAATTGTGAGAACAAAAACCACGCGTATGCCCCATTACCAATTTTTTGTATATCGATTATCCATTAGTGTAATTAATGACATTGATGTTAGATGAATATGGGTACTATATAATCACATCATAAGATAATTTTGTTGACAATGAAATTTTGGTGGCTATAATAATCAACAGTAACAATAAAAATGGCATAGAAAAGAGAAGAGAAACGCTATACAAAATCTAATCCTTGTATGCGGATTATATGATACGAATACAGAACTATTTTAACAAGAGAAATCAAGACTTTAAGAAAAAAAAATTGTCGTGAGTGATTAATATACCAAATACCAAAATATAATATAATCGATATATAGTGGTGGATGCAAAAAAAAACCACACAAATTGATCTGATAACTAAAATATTATAAAATATATTTGATCAAAATTTTCACATGGATAATAATTGATGATGATTATTACTATTGATACAATTGTGTATGTATCGAATATTTCACGAAAATCACGTTCGTAGACCACACACACACACAGACAGACAGACAATGTTGTTTACTGATAATTGAATCTTTGTTGTCGTTCTTCAATGTTTACTTAATCGAAATTTGATTTTATCTGTTGTTTGATTTTTTTTTTTTTTATTCGATAAATTTTCAATCAATGACAATTGGTAGTAGAAAAAAAAACGATTTTCATGATGATGATGATGATGATAATCGATGAATAATCAATTTGTTTTTTTTTTTTTTTTTTGTTTGTTTGACCAATCAATGTATTCATTTAGATTTTTATTATCTGGATAATAATAATTCCATTTATAATGATTATGCTAATGATGATGATGATGATGATTTTTTTTATTCATACAAATTGAATAATCCAAAAAAATCGTATGAATGAATTTCCTTTTTTGTTATTTTATTGTTGTTGAAAGGTCTATTCATATCTGTCGTTATTCATAAATGAGATAAGATTTTCAATCAATCAATAATGATGATGATGATGATCACAATTTATTAATTAGAGAAAAGAAAATTATATTTATTAATATTTACCCATCTTTTTTTTTGAATAGAAACAAATTGTGACAACGAACATCATCATATTGTTTCCGATATCAATTGTCATAATCATAATCATCATTTAATCAATGATTATTTTCCACCAATTCAACAAGTACCGCCATTATCATCATCATCATCATCATCATCATTAACATTACATCCGATTGACGTATTACAGCCACGAATAATGAATGATTTTGATCATCATCAACAACAACATTCTGATCATTCGATGGCCAATCATCATCATCATCATCATCATCATCATCATTGGACAGCTCAATCATCATCTATATTATCATCAACGGATTATCATACAGATATAATAATTGGAAATGAAAATCCAAATCCAACAATGGAATCGATTATTTTAACGAATCATCATATGAATACAAATACCTCATCAATGATTGAACATTCAAATCGAATATCTAACAATAGATTCGAATATTCGACCTATTATTCTTATCATACATCATCATCATCGACATCATCATCGTCTTCATCGTCAACATAGCCAAAATTGTTTGATTGTTTGCAGAAAAAAAATTCCGAAAAAAAGGAATTGTAAGCTAATTAATTAATTCTTTTTTTTATAATCAATTATTTTGAATTTTTTTAAATTTTATTCTGTTCAGATTTCATTGTTTGTGTTGAAAATTATTTATATTTTTTTTCAATATATTTATAATGTCTTACCTGAAAAGAAAGAAAAAAAAATGAAAACAGAGAGTTTGTGTGTGTGTGTGTGTGGTGATCAAAGCAATTTCAAAATGGGTTGAGATTATGGTAATGTTGGTAGATAGGTGGTGTGTGTGTGTGTTTCAAATTCATTGGAATTTCAATAAATAAATATATTTAAGAATATTATTATTCAACAAAATCAAATTCAACAGAAAAAAAACAACAACAACAATAAATCAATCAATCAATCAAACATATGATAGCATAAGATAACGGGAATAAAATTTTTTGTTTGTTTGTTTGTTCACACCATGTTTATGTTGAAAAATTTGTCGATTGATTATATAGTTGATGATGATGATGACGATGATTTGGTTTATTGTAGAAAAATAAATATTGTGTAGACAGACAGACAGACAGAAAGTCAGAGAGAAAGAGATAGAGGTCACAGTTCTAAATATTATTGGCTTTGTTTGAATCGATTAATCAATTAAACAATTGATGATGATTGATCTGTGTGTTTATGTTTGTGTTAAAATGGGGTTTCATTTTTTAAATGAAAAGACAAATGAAAAAAAAAGATAATGGACATATTGGTCAATGTAATGTAACAAGAGATCGGGAAAAAAATAGAATGGAATGGATCAATTTGAATTCAATGTAAATGATGTTGTGGTGTGCTTGTATTTTGAGAGTAACATAATCTTTTGAAATTCAAAGTTGTTTTTTCTCACTGTTTGGGCATTTTTTCGATATCAATGCTTCGATTAATTTGATTTTTCCTTTGATCGTCTAAAAAGAAATGTAAGAAAAATAAAGACAAATTAAAAATGAATTTATAAATGATATAAAATACCTTGTATGATGCATAAACTGAACTCATATTTGATCGATCTTCTTTTTCCACATGACGACCAGTTTTTTTATAGAAATCATTTTCAAATGTTCGTAGTACAGATCGAAGATTACGTTTTTGTTGTCGATATTCATTGAGGTGTGCCATTAGCTCATATTGTGACATAATATGATAGTTTTTCTCCTTTGATGATGATGTTGATGAATTATTTGTCATATCACAGGTAGTAGCTGTAGCAGATGATTGATCCGAATCGGATATTTTAATCGGTTGCGATTCCAATATGGAATGTTCTTTATTCATTGATTCAATGACTGTTGCTATTACATCTACAGTTTTCTGATGTGTTGGTGATGTAAAATTCATTTGAACATGTTCAAGAATTGGTTGTAAATCGGTGTTTGGATCCAATTTTGGTGTTTGTTTTTGATTCAATTTACTAGCATGTCGTTTTACTAATCGATATCTATACAAAGAATTATTAATACGAATTAAAATCAATTGATAAATATTAATGAATGAATGAATGAATAAAAATATACCTATCATAAACGGGTCGAACAATATCTCGTTCAGCTTTTGAGCTTGGTCGACCACATAGGGCTTCGAAACGAAGTAATGCTTTTTGTAGGGCAAGTTTTTCATCCAAAATTTGTTCACCAGTCATTAAATCCAATGATTCTGGTCTTTGAGCAATTATACGTTTTTCATTCAAAGTACGTTGTATATCTGTCATCATTTCACTAATACGTGCTAAACTTTTTTCTTTACGGCTACCGAATATTGTATTGAATATATCTTCAGTAGTGAACACATATGAATTACTAGTAGATGATGTTGCTGTTGGACTTTTCCATGCAGACGGCTGAATACCAGGATTACGAGAATCTCCAGAATCGATTGTCTTTTTTTCAATCGATTCTATAGGTTTCGGATTGTCTTGGCTGTTTTCAGCTTGAAGTAATGTATTCAATTCAACCATCAATGGTCGTGCAAATGATGAACTCATTTTATTTTCAAATGTAGCCTGATATCCATTTTCTTGTTCAAAATCAATTTCAAATTGTTTCAATTTTTTTCGTATCGATTGTAATCGCCTATGTCGTGATTTACTTGTGCGATTTTCTTGTTCATCTTTCGATAATTTTGATTCATTTTCCGGTTGTATTTCTGTTAAATCCTCGGGTTTCGGATCTTCAACGAATGGTTTTTGTTCTTCAACGTTTAATTCTTGTTCAGTTTCCTCACTAACTGGTTGCTTAGAATCAGATTGTTGTGGTTCATCGGTACCATCAGCATTGTCATTATTATTATCGTCATTGGAACTAGATGAACTAGTATTTTCTTCATCATCATTACCATCACTACATTCACTTGCAATTGATTTCAATAATGAATCTTCATCATCATCTGATGCAAAGCTAAGACTTGTCGGTATATTAACATTTTCAGTACAATCACTACCACAGCTAATACTACGAGCACCTTTAGCACCATCACCGGCGTCACCGACGGTCAATAATTTAGAATAATTAGGTATTGTTGGTCCAGCGATAATACCACCAGCAAAATTATCTTCCGATATATCTGTCATATCACCACCGGAATGATTACAAATATCCACTTGTCCAACACCGATTATAACAGAACGAACTGTTGGCCCGGTACTTGTAGCTGTTGTTGTATTATCATCGGTGGATACACTATCACTACTATTCGTTATAATTATATCATGTGAATGAGAACTTTTCCGATATGAATCATCTATTTTCAATCCCAATCGATTGACAATGGACTGATCAACATTTTTTCCATACATTTCTTCGCTATTACAACGTTGTGGTGGATGACGATGAAGATAATAATCACCAGAGTTAATCGATTGATTATTGTTATTATTATCATGATTGTTTTCATAATCAAATGATTGAGATGAACGATCATCATGAAAGCGATCATCAATTGTATGATGATGACTTTGACTTTGATACGATTTTCGTTTCTTATCCAATTGTGAACGTATTTCCTGAATATTCGGATCTCCATATGGGACATCTAAATTGATCGATGATTGTGATGTTATTTCGAGTTGTTGTTGCTGTTCTTCTTCATAATCTTCTTTTTGTTGTTGATCAGTACTATCGGGACATTGTGTACATGGACATTGTGATTCCGATCCATATGATAGGTCACCGGAACTACCGGCACCTTCAACACTATGACAACCAACATCACTTGATTCATTGAATATTTCAGAATAATCACTGATTAACAGATTAACTACTTCATTGGCTGATGATTGATCCTTGAGACCTTGATATGTGTCTACACAGACGCGAAATATGTTCGGAGCGAATACAATTCCTATTCAGATTTAAATTGTTGTTTACATTTTAATTGTACACAAAAATACCAAAACAACTAATGCTTACCTAGATTTGTTGACGTCATTCGATTCTCTTCATTACGTTGAGCAATACGATGTAAGAATCGTATCAAATATCTTAAAGTATAATAATTTTCATCAGGTAATTGGGAAACAAGTGCCTTAAGACTTAGTACACATGTTTCGTGATCATTTTTCAATGCTATTTTTGTTTAAAAAATTGATTAATTAACAAACAAAAAAAAACTATAATGACTTAAAATACATACAACGTATAACGTCCAAAAATTGTGATCCATTTGGTATTAATGGTTGTGGCAATTCCCTTAGGAATTGTTTAAGAAGGGCAGCAGCAGCGGCTAGATCACCATCCGTTTCTAATGGTGCATCACCATTATTATCAAATGATTGTTTTAATTTATCCACAATTTTAGCATTACCGCTAATACGGAATAGGCCTTCCTGTAACAAACCGCCAGAATTTTCAATATACGTACAAAGTCTTGTTACGATGAACGGTATAAGACAGGGTATATTTCCGATGCCACCACCACCAACACCACCAGTGGATGATGCTGTAGATGATGTTGTCGATGATGATGAATTGCCCGATGATGGTGATGCAGCTGCTATTGATGATAATGATGAATGAAGATCATCAGGATTACCGTGTGGTGAAAAATGGCCACTACTTGTATCATTAATACTACCGGTACTACTACTATTACTTGGAGCACTTGTCAAACAACCGGGGCAAGCTTGTCCTAGAATATGTGCCGCTTTTTGATGTGGTACAATAATTTGTTCCGGATCTCGTACATAATATTCTTCCATACAATGATGATTTGAATGTTGTTGTTGAGGATTTTGTTGTTGCTGATGATGTGGATGTTGATGATGGGATAAAGATTCTAGTGATACTCCAAATGTTTTCATCGATACATTCTGTCCTAATGCTGGTGATGATGATGGTGACGATGATGCAGATGATGATGGTTGTGGCAGTTGTTGTCGATTGTTTGAAGTGGTAGATGTTGTATTGGTGGTGGGTGTATGCTGATGACTCGAACAAACATGATGATGATGATGATGGTGATGATGTTGTGATGATGAAGCAGTTTTACGCTTCAACAATGGTGAGCTTAATAATTTTCGCATCCGTTCAATACGACTTTCCGGTACGCATATGTCAAGGCTCTATAACAAATGGATGGATGAAACCATAAAAATTCCATCGGTATCGAAATTTTAAATACTTGAAAATTTTTCATTTCATTTCACAAACCTTTGAAGTAGGATTATTATTATTATATCCATACGAAGATGTATTGGAGGATATATCCGGTGTTAAATTCGAATCAGTGTGGGTGCCAATGGCTGTTGTTGTATTAATGTTCAATGTATCAGATGTTGGACTTAATGCCGTATCCACTGATGCCGATATTCGTCTTATCCTGGCCTTCATATCGTTGTCGGAAATGATTTTTAAGATGTTGAAATATTAAATCAATAGTTGTCTTCATTTAGTACCAGAAAATCATCACATACACCCTACATATATTATATCCATCAATAAAAATTTGATTATAATCAATCATTCAAATTCAAATAACGCATACCTTTTGAAATTTCAATTAGAATCATAATCATCATCATCATCAACATATATCATATATAATATAAATCAAATCGATTTGTTTTTTATTATTCATAATGCTTGAATACTTTTCTAAAGATTCGATTTGTCGTTATTATTGTACATTTCTAGATTGTGCTCGAATTGATGATGATGATGGTGATGATGTATACACTGAATTCAATTCAGAATTGAGTGCAATCGATCATTATATAAAATATAATGATCGGCGATAATATATTGTTGATGACGATTGATGGTGGTGGTGGTGGTGGTGGATATAACAACGAATAAACGAATAAACGAACAAATAAGCCAACAAGCCATCCAGCTGAAAGCCGTGTTTGTATATGTCCGAATCCGTTTTTTCTTTTTTATTCTTATTATTATTTTGTTCTTCATCTTTATTTTCTTTCTTCATTCTCTGTATTCATGTTTAATTTTGGCATTATATAGAAAAAAAATACCCGTATATATAAATTTGAGCATGATAAATTGATGAATGGATGAAATTATATTCATATTACGGAAATATGAAGGGTACGATAGAATTAAGTTGAGAATAAAAAAAAAAAAAAAAATTCAAGTTCAACACAGAATCAACGATATAGAATGTATCGTTCATATCATAACATATCTTCTAGAAAGGAAACAAAACGATCCAAGAATTTGTCCTCAACATTCGATTCTATTTCGACACACACACACACACATAGATATATAGTTACGACAGGCGCTTTAGTGATCCATGGCCATCATATAGAATAGATAATAATTCTTCGAGGTCTTCCCGGTACAGTAAAAAAACGACCACTATTACACATCTTTTTTTCAGTTTCAAGACCATCATCATTGGATCCAATGATTGTGATGATGATGATGATGATGATGATGATTGTCGCCAAGTTGGATTTTTTTTCCCATTTGATTCGACAATTTGACTCTAATGAAGACGATATGGATGAAACAGCAGCAGCAGCAGCAGCAGCAGCAGCAAAACAAATGTAGGAAGTGGATTATTTTCACATGTTGGCTGCCATCTATTGTTCGACATTGTCATTTGAATTTTTGTTCTTTATTTTCAAAACAAAAAACAGAAATCACCAGTCAATAAACAGCGTTACCATACAAATTCAATGCTTTTTCTTGACTTCTCATTTTCGAGGTGCGTAACCCAACCGTTTTTTTTACTTTTTTTTCTGTGTTCTGTGTTCTGTGTGATTGCATTGTTGTAAATGTGAGTAATTTTCCGGAAAATCATCATTTGTTGCACATGTCTTAAATTTTGAATCTCATCGTAAAAAAAAAAATTTATAATTTATGATAATAATATTCCATAATGTCTGACAATAATGTAAAAAGTGATCTCAACAATGATTTATAATTTATGATAATAATATTCCGATTTCGATATATCAATGTCTGACAATAATGTAAAAGTGCTAGTCGTAACATTGCATCATTTAAAAAGAAAAATGTGCCAGTTGCTAGTTTGATTCGTATCATAATGAAACCTGATCATAACTGCTTCAACGAAATGATTTTGACCAAAAGCGTAAATATTGAATCCAATTCTCTAACATTCATGTTTCCTCGATTCTAATGTGTTTCCTGAACAATTTTTTCCCAATTCAATAGCCAATGACAATTGGTCGTAATCCTGAATCGGATTTTCACATCACATCTATTGAAATTTCTCGAGTTCATGCACGAATCTTCAATCTAGGTTCATCTTGGTATCTAGAAAATTTAAGCGTAAGTAATTGCAATGATGATGATGATTTATCAACAATGTTTTCATCTTTTTTTTTGTACACAGAGCACAAATGGTGTATATGTAGATGGTCAAAAAGTAGCTTGGCGAGTTCGTTTGTCCGACAATTGTTTTGTGACATTTGGCCCGTTAAAAAGTTCCAGTTTTCGTTATGTTTTCGTTGAAAATTATAAAGTTTCTATGAATATACAAAGAAATGTGACATTGAGCAAAACAATTCAGCGCTCATTTGTGCTTGGTGGTACTAGTTCTGGTGCCGGTGCTGGTGCTGTTACAGCTACTGGTGGTGACATTACCCATCTGTCTACAAAACCTGGTGAAGATGTTTTAAGACGTGACTTTGATCGTAAACATTTCGAACAAACGATGACAATCAATTTGATGAAAATTGAATCGAATTTTTCGAAATTGAAAAAAGATGTCGAAAACCAAAAACAAGAGTTGGATTCAATTCATGCCAAAGCAGAAATGGCCCAAAAGGAATTGATACGAATAGCGGAAAAGATGAAAGGTCAGGATGCTTTGAAAAATGTTCTGTTGAACGAAATATCCTGCTCCGTTTGCTGTGATATAATGCACGAACCAACCGTTCTCAATTGTGAACACACATTCTGCTTCACATGCATCAATGCCTGGAGTCGTCGCGGTAAACAACATTGTCCAGTTTGTCGCAAGAAATTTTCACGGATGACCAAATCGATTCGATTCCATTCATTGATCAATCTGATTCTCGATCATTATCTCAGTGAAGATGAAAAGAAAGAGCGAAAAGAATCGATCGAATCTCGGCTCACCGATCCAGCGTTCACCAATGAACATAGCAATGATGAATCGAGTTCACAAGGAAACTTGGATGAAATTCTTTCCGGATCAGATTCATCGTTTCGTGATGCATTTTCCACTCTGTTGAATTTTTTAAACTTTCATCGAGAATATAATGTTGACAGTTATGTACAGTTCCGCGATGCAGTACAAGTTATCGCTGATGAAGATGAAGTGAATGGAAACGATGGAGAGAATGATGATGAAAACGATGTATCATTGGATCTAGTAGAGAGTATGTCACCATCATCAAATTCTGTACATGCACCGACATCATCCTCTTCACCGGTGTCGATATCGTCAAACTTTCCCGATCAATTGCGTCTTCGACGATTCTCCAATTTGATCAGCAGAGCCAATGAATCGATGCTCATCGATTTTCATGAAAATTTTGGATCACTTTCAAATAATATGTTCAACAGCACCACCACCACCACTGACAATGATAGTAATGATGATGATGATAGCAACGATCCTCATAATGGTGATGATGATGCAGATGCAGCTGGAATTTCCGACATTCATGCCGAAGAAGATGAAGACGATGTAATGGAAGTGAATACTGATCAATCTGTAATTTTCCTCGATGATGTTGATGACGACCACGACGATGACAATGATGTGGATGCTGCTGCTGATCAAGGTTCGAGCCAAGTTCGTATTGCGAATGGAGGTAGCAGTCGACGACTTGCTGCTGGAAACGGTGTTCGTAATTTGAATCGTAATCGTCGTCCTGTCGGCATTGGCCACAATGTTTCAAATCGTTGGAATGTACGACCAATGCGTAACAATAATCGTCAGTCTTTGGTTCAACAAAGATTACATCGAATACGGAATTCTCCGTATCCAAGTCGCAATGGTCAATCCAATGAACCTTTGGCTTGATACTACCAATTGGACAAGTAATAACTTGATTGTGATCAAATGATTCTAACTGTGGTCATTCATTTAAGAAATTGATTCGTTTCAAATTTTTGCTAACATGTGTGTGTCAAGTGGTGTGGTGTTTTTTTTTCTTTTTACTTTCGTAAATAAATAAATGAATAAAGTTGAATTTAAAATAATAAAAACTTTTTAATTGCAAAATTATCACACTCTATGCAATATTGTTTACAATTGGGTTTTTGGACAATCTATTGTTTGGTTCGAATGTGTAGGTGGTGGTGGTGTATCATTTGTACCACTATTACACAGCTTTTTTTCAATTTCAAGACCATCATCATTGGATCCAATGATTGTGATGATGATGATGATGATTGTAGCCAAGTTGGATTTTTTTTCCCATTTGATTCGACAATTTGACTCTAATGGAGAACGATATGGATGAAACAGCAGCAGCAGCAAAACAAATGTAGGAAGTGGATTATTTTTCACATATTGGCTGCCATCTATTGTTCGACATTGTCATTTGAATTTTTGTTCTTTATTTTCAAAACAAAAAACAGAAATCACCATAGTGATGATGACCATCAATGATGATTTTTATTTGTTTGTTATGATTGAATTTTGTTTCTTTGTAATTGTCAATGGTTGATTTATTATCATCATAAATTATAATAATCGAAAAAGTATATTTCAATGTTAATAACGAAAATCGGTGATTTTAATTTTGATTCATAAATCGAATGTGTGATGGCCCGAATTATTCTTACAAGAAATTCAATGAATTCTAGTGCCTGTACATTGGATGATGTTGATGTTGTTGAAGTTGGTTCCAATCATTCATATGATCTTTCTAATGAAGATGAAGATGACGACGACGATGATGATGATGATGATGATGATGATGAAGAGGTAAGTTTTTTTTGTTGTTGTTTAGATGAAATTAATTAATTCAATTTATTATTCAAAATAAAAAGAATGATGAAGATAAACAGAATGAAAAATATCTACGAAAATTATTAGATGCAATTGATATGATTGTATTTGATCAGGAAGAATATCCAGATTTAATCGATATACCAGAAACAATATTACCTGAAATACAAACTTGGCAATGGAAATTTCGTACAAAACAGTATGAACCGTGTATAGTTTTTTCAATATTCGAATGATGATTAATTTTATTATTTATAATTAATTGATGATTTCAGTGATGCCAATTTAAATCGTCAAGGTCGAACATATGAAAAATCACCACTACCATCACAAACTGTTGACCTTTCATCGAATAATAATAGCAGCAACAATCGTGAAAAAACATTGCCAAAATTATCAATAAAAAACAACACAAAACGTATTGAACGGATATCATTTATAAACAATGAAACACAAAGACGAGAAATTGGAATGATCAATGGTAAACAACAACAGATAACATTGCCACCGTTATGCATATCGAAACAAACATCTAGATGTCCAACTGGTTATGTTTTATTGAATGAAAATCCTGATTATATTAGACCTGAATTTAGACGTAAAGGTAGATCGACAATCAAATCGAAAATTGAATTTTGAATTTCAAATGATTTTCATTTATTCTAATTCATATTAGCAAGCTTAATCCTTAATGGTATTGATAATAGTTCGACAAAAACAACAACGAATATAACGAAAACAACATCTTTGTATTTTGAATCATCATCGTTTTTATCATCACCATCAATCATTCAACGACAATCACCAATGATAGTGTCATCTATATTTCATAATCGTCGAAATTCTTCAATACGACAATCAAGAATTGATTCTTCAAATCATCATCATCATCATAATAATGATGATCATTTACGATTACGATTGCCAATATTATTGAATAATAATGTCAATGTTTCTCATTCAATAACAACAACAACAACAACAGCAGCAGCAGCAGTAACAGCTAGCCAAAGACGTACAACAGGCATTGCAGGCGTTTAAAATGTCATCATCATTCTCTAATGGTAAAAGAGTTAAAAAAAATTCACGTACAATGATGGCAATTAAAAAAAAAACTTTCTATTCCACAAATTGTGTGTGAAAAAGAAGAAGAATGCATTAACAAAACGATACTTGGTGAGCTATATTGCATCGATATATGATCCATTTGGTCTGGTGTTGGCCACCTGTCTACGATTAAAATTATTGATTCATGAAGCGTGGGTAGAGGGTCATGACTGGGACGACGTACTACCGGATGAATTTCAGCGCAAGGTGATGAAGATCGTAAACGATATTCGATTATTGAAAACATTTTCTTGTCCACGATTTATATTTGATCGAATAGTAAACGAATTTGAATTAATCGTATTTGTTGATGCCAGTAAGGATGCGATTGGAGTCGCTGCTTATTTATCGGATGGCAAAACAATGTCGCTCATTTATGCAAAATCGAAATTAATCAAACATCGAAAAATTGTAACTGGCGAATTAATGGCATTGTCGTATGGAGCTAATATAGCCAAGTCGTTGGATGAAATGATTCGCCCTAAGCATCTTGTATTGTATTCAGATTCGATGGATAATGTGCAACGCCTTGAACGTGATATCAATCAATTTCCTTATCCTGTAGCTGTTCATTTGTACAACATTAAATCGAAAGTAGCTGATATTCGTCATATTCGTGGAGAAAAGAATCCTGCAGATGCATATACACGTGGGATTAAATCTGATCAATTAAATGGCATTCATCGAATTAAATGTAATGATATTCTCGAAACTGATGCAATGAACGTAATGATGGTAATCGACGATAAAACTGAAATGAAATATGATTTAACTGATATTGACCTGGATAAAGAATGTTCTTATGACGAATGGATACAACAAATTGACGAAAAATCTGATGATTGGAAACGAAAAATTGATGACGGGTTAGATAACCTGCGAATTTTAATTAAATTAAATCAACAAGTATTTATTGGACAACAACTAAGAGATCGATTTCCAATGTTTAAAGACGAGCACGGACTGTGGCGATGTCATAGCCGATTGGAAAATGCCGATTTACCATACGAAGAAAAATTCCCGATCGTATTGCCAAAATGTGAATTCACCCGATCGTTATTGATATGTCTGCATGAGAAGGACGAGCATGCATCCGTAAATTATACGTTGGCTAATCTTCGTACTAGATATTTCTTGGTCAAAGCCAGACAGCAGATGATTCGAATCAAGGCAAAGTGCGTCAAATGCCGACAATTGAAAACCAAACCATTGATTGTTAATATGGGAAATTTACCGCCTGAACGAATAAACCGATGTCAACCATTTGAGAATATCGGCGTCGATCTTTTCGAATTGAAAACAGAACCTAAATCTATTGGTATCATCTTTACTTGTTGCGTAACACGATGTGTACATTTTGAACTACTGGACGATGCCACCGCCAAAGAAATTTGCCGTGCCTTTTTGATATTTTCTGACCTTAATCGAACACCAACTACGATCATTTCTGATAACGGTGCCAATCTAAAACGTCTTAGCCGAATGTTGTGCGAGGCCATGAGATTATTGAAAAATGAATTCCACTGGCATTTTAACGTTCCTGCAGCTCCGTTTCGTGGAGGTTTTTTCGAATCGCTGATCAAAACCATGAAAAGAGCGTTTTATAGCATTATATGGCAGCAGAGTGCATCACGAAATGATGTACGAGCTATTTTGTATCGAATTCAGGCCATAATGAACAGTCGACCGCTGGTAAACGACGGAGAGAACATTTTGACACCTAATCATCTCAGATTCGGCGAAAACGTACGTGGTCCGATTGCTCCACCGAGAACTGGTGGTAATTCCGATGAACTATTGACATATTGGCGTCGAAAACAAACCATGATAAACGCTGCGTGGAAAACATATCGAAATGTATACATGAAAGATTTACGAAAATTCTACCAGAACGGAAATGAACATCATCAGGTTGAGGTTGGCGACCCGGTATTGATAGTCGACGATCATAAGCCTACGGCGCTATGGACTACGGGCGTGGTGATGGAAAGAATTCCTGATAAACGTGGCATAGTACGTACATACAAAATAAAACTTGGTGATAAGATTCTGAATATAACGAAAACAACATCTTTGTATTTTGAATCATCATCGTTTTTATCATCACCATCAATCATTCAACGACAATCACCAATGATAGTGTCATCTATATTTCATAATCGTCGAAATTCTTCAATACGACAATCAAGAATTGATTCTTCAAATCATCATCATCATCATAATAATGATGATCATTTACGATTACGATTGCCAATATTATTGAATAATAATGTCAATGTTTCTCATTCGACAACAACAACAGCAGCAGCTAGCCAAAGACGTACAACAGGAATTGCAGGCGTTTAAAATGTCATCATCATTCTCTAATGGTAAAAGAGTTAAAAAAAATTCACATACAATGATGGCAATTAAAAAAAAACTTTCTATTCCACAAATTGTGTGTGAAAGAAGAAGAAGAAGAAGAAGAAGATTGCAATCATCATCATTCATATTATTAATCCTTGTTGACGTCATTTATTCGCAATTATTGGTCAAGTGCATGCATCAACCAACCAACCAACCAACCAACCAACCAACCAAAAAAAGACATTGCTACCGTTTGCCGCTAGCTTTCAATGAATTCAATGTGAATGAAAACAAAAAATGGATGCAACCATTCATCGTTGTTGAATAATAATTTGGTTTGGCCAAGAAAAAAAAAATCATGGAATTTTCATCATATGAATGAATGAATGAAAATGACCTTCAAATCAATGAATGCATTGGAAAAAAATCAACAAACGACCGAGAACATACGGCTACGGTATATGATTGGATGGATGGATGGATGGATGGCTGACTTTGTCTGTCTGTCAACATCTTATGATAAGAAAAAAAATCATTTTTTTTTATTCATATTTTTAATATTAATGAGGACAAGCCATCAAAAAAAAAAATGATAACGACCAGTTCGAATTTTGTTGTTGTTGTTGTTCAGGTGTTGTTGTTGTTGTTTTTGGTGTTTGTGTTGTTTTGATGGTGTACTAGATTCTTAAATTTTTTTTTCTTTTTATTTTTATTTAGAAGAAAAATCTGGATTATACTGGACTTCATCATTAAGGGACATCAACAGCCGACATTTTTTTTATACATTCAAATACAAACATGCTTACAGCATCATTAAACAAGAACAACAATGTCATCATTGTGCTTGAAAATTCTTAACTTGATGATCAATGCAATAAAAATGTTGATGACCAGCTGATTGAATGTTTCGGTTTTTTTGTTTTATTATTACTTGTTGCTTTTATTAACCCCATCATCATCATCATCATCATCATCATTCGTATGTAAAAAACAACTGGACAACTCGTTTTTTTTCAACAACGACAACGATATTAAACCATCGTTTATACATGCGTGTAATGTGTTGAATGAATGAATGAAAAAAATGTTTATATCAAACATCAGTTCATCATCATCAAATTAACAGCAACAAAAATAACAATAAATGTAAAATGAAATGCCGGCTAAATGAATGTGGTGTAATTGATCGTCATACAATGGTCATCAAACAGAAAAAAAAACATTGAATCCTGAACTTGTGTTTTAATAATAATAATAATAATCATAATTGTGTTTGGTGTTCAAATCAAAAATCATGATTATCATTTGATCAATCAATCAATGTTCCGTTTCCGTTCCGTATTTCCTATTCATCATTGCATAGCAATCAATCAAAACGATCAAGAAAAAAAAATGAATTTTGTCGATCAATCAATTCATCAATATTAGAGAGAGAGAGAGAGAAAAAAAATTTGTCATATTACAATACAATCATTCAATCCATCATCCATCATCATCATCATGTTATAATAATTTTTATTATTTCAAAATATATAGTTTGCTTTTATTTTATTTTTTTGAGAAAAACACACGCACATTTGATCATCATAAAATAATAATAATGGTAAGTAATGGTAAACATTCATTATTTCAATGATTTGATAATTTCATCATTTTTTTTTGTCTGAATTTCTCATAAGACCAATCAACATCATAACATCAGATCATCATCATCATCTATATTATGGTGTATGGCTATTTTGTTATTATGTTGTTTATCAATTATACCAGTGAGATTATATCCATTAATTGTTGATAATGATCATAATCTTAAAAATAATGATGATAATAATCAAAGAACTCGATCATCAATTAATGAAGATCATCATCAAAATGTAGTAATTTCATTGGGTGGTGATTCATCAACAGAAAAAGCATTATTTAATTTACGAAGACGTGATTTTTTTTTAGATGACTATAAAAATAAAGAGATACAAATTGTCGATACGGTAAGCAATTATTGATTGACAAAATAGATTTGAAAATAATTTTGAATGAAAAAATTTCAGATTGCAAACAATTCTATTATCATTAATAAATATAAAACAAATAATATGAAACAAACATCGTTGAATCCATCACCGCTGGTATTGGCAGAATTAACCGTTTCACCATCCACCATTATGATGATGACAAATCAATCAACGATAACACCATTGCATACACAAATTGAATTAGAAATGAAACCACAACGGTCAAATATTTTATTACCAAAATTAGAACAAACAGGACGACCATCGTGTTTAACAACACCAGATGATACATTCTGTGAAAATGTTGACAATTATCCCAAGTAAGTGGATATAATTTCTTAATCATTTTTATTTTATTTGAAATTTAATATTAAAAAAAAAGCAGAAACATCATTAAACAGGAAGTGGATTTTTCTATCGATCAATTTGCTGAAATTTTTGGCAATAAAGAAATCGATGGCCGTACAATAATGGACGTTGAAAATGATGAAAGTGTTTGTGGAAAAACACCAAGAGTTATTTATCCAAAGATGGCAAAAAATCAAGCAAATCAATGGATTTATGTTGTAAATGAAGTGGAATATACACAGGCTGTTGTAGCTGAAATCTGTCAGTAAGTAGACAATGAGTAATGTAATTTGTTGTTGTTTTTTTCTTTCGATAAACATTTCCGTTTCAAATTGTATAGACGACCGGGAAAACCATGTGCATATATGGATAGTTTACCAATGGGATTGTCATCAACATGTAAACAAAAATATTCCTATAAACGTTTATTGGCATTACATCCAACAGAAAAACGTACATATCCAGATGCATTTCGTTTTCCATCATGTTGTTCATGTTATATAAAAACTATTGATGATTTTATGGCACGTAGTAATTTTCGTAAGATTGATAAACCAATTACAGTGGTTGATACATCGGAAAATAAATCATCTGCATCATCTGCATCATCATCATCATTAGCAGCAGCAGCAGCAGAATCATCGTCATCAATCATTATGGATGATAATATTGATCAATCATTTATCAATATAACAATGGATAATATCAATATAATGTCTAATGATGATTTAAATAAATTTGAAATGATAACAACAACAACAACAACAACAGCAACGACAATGATGATTCCTATACAGAATCAAACGACAATTGTGATTGATTAGAATCGAAATTGACGAAAAAAACGAAATCGATTTTTATTCGATTTAAAAAAAAAATATACAACCATATCCTTCCAATATTTTGGTAATTTGTTTATCGAATTTATTTTTATTTTTTCAAAAATTTTTTTTTTTTGGTGTAATTATCAATAATATCAATTTACACATTGAATAAAACAAACATGCTTAAACTTCTTTGAGTTCATTTTAAATGGAGAAAAAAAAATTTCCGGAAAATTATCATTTTTTTCACTCAATATTAAATTGTTGAGAAAATCATCAATCATCAATCGACTGATGATAAGCAACTCAGCACACTCTTCTGATAACAGCAACAACAACAACAACAACAAAATGAACAAATCTTTATCATTTGATCATCAAATATCATTAAAAAAATCGAGCAATTTCACGATTGATGCACACGATAAAACAAATTGGATGGATCTTTAGTCATAAGAGTATAGACACAGCTGAGTGGTTTTTTTTTTTGCTTTCTTTGTTTTGTTTTGTTTGCTACGCCTATAGGAAAGTAAATAAAAGAAAAGAAAAGAAAAGAAAATCAATTAATTAATTAATGAAAATGGAACCATCACAATTAATCATAAAAGGATCAGAAATCCAAGATCATCAATTAATTGCCAATGGTCGTGTAAAAATAGCCGAAATGAAAGAATTAACTGGAATAAAAGCAGCCAAATTTCGTCGTATGGATGATTCAATGAATGAAATCGTTAATAATGGTTATAATCATCATCATGATGATGATGATGATGATGTTGAAAAGATCAATGGTCTTATTTGGAATGAATATGATGCTGTAAGTATTATTGAAATATCAGAAAATGATGATTATTGTTTTTTCATTTTTTGTATTCAAGTCAATTAAATTAGTTAATCAAAATCTATGGCAAATACCATCACCATTAACCACACAATATGCAAGTCGTGTACGAAAATTAGATCTAAGTTATAATTGTTTACAAACATTATCCGGTATTGAATATTTTAATTGTCTTGAAGAATTAGTGCTTGATAATAATCTTCTTGATGATTCGATTCGTTTTTTTTACAATCCATTTATGAAATGTTTATCTATTAATAAAAATAAGGTAATTATTATTATATATCAATGATGATGATGATGATGATGATCAAACTTGTCATTTTTTTATCCAGTTGACAGATTTGGAACGATTTCTTAATGAAATAACATTAAAATTACCAAGTTTAACATATCTTAGTATGTTGGGTAATCCAGCATGTCCTGATCAATTATCCAGTTCTGAACATGATGATAAAGATTATAGCCGTTATCGTAGTTATGTAATACATCGAATGCCACAGTTGAAATTTCTTGATTCAACACAAATTCGACGTACAGAACGAACAGATGCACAGCAACGTGGCCATTATTATCGTCTTATACGTTTGAATTCAGATTCAGTAGTGGAAACAAATAAATTACGTAGCCATTTGTTTACATTACGTGAACAAAATGATAATAATGATGATGATGGTAGACAGAATAATCCACTTCCGTTTACACAGGATAATGGACAACCAAAAGGTAATAATAATAAACAATTCGAATCTATCTATTTTGACATAAAAATTAATGGAAAACAATTTTTTTTTATTTTAATTAGGTGGATTTGGAAAACTTAAACATCGTTATACTGGTAAACATTCGGAAGGAAATCGTTTTATACGTAATCATGAACTTTGAATGATTCAGATTCAATCTTTGTCAATTCTTTTCAATTCTTTTCATTATCAATTTGGTGATGACATTTTTTTATTTGTCTTTTTTAATATTTCGAAAAAAAAAAACAAAACAAACAAACAAAACAAGAATCAGGAAATCAATCCAACAGAATCCAAAAAAAATCGAATATTGATATCGGAAACAAAAACGTCATCATTTCGAATCAAATCAATTTTAAATAAGACAACAACAACAACAACAAACCTTATAATACAAAAACAATATAACCAATGATGATTCAGCAACAAGAATAAAAAAACAACAAACAAATGACGACATAACGACCTTTATTATTATTATTATTTTGTTGTTGTTGTTGTTGTTGTTGTTTGTTGTTGTTATACAATTATCAATTATCATCATCATCAAATCATATATATATATATAAATACAAAACAAAACAAGAAATTCAACGGTAATCAACGGGAAATCACAAAAAAAATGATCATGATAATGATGATATTTCAATTCTATTTTTAATCCCCATATTATTATTATTCTAAATGTTTATATTTCTGGAAAATTCATCCGATCATCATCATCATCATCATCATCAACCTAATTCTAATAATAATGATTGCCATGGTAATTGTCAATTTGACATTTCATTGTTTATGTTGTTGTCGTCGTTGTTGTTGTTGTTGTTGTTGTTGTTTCATCTTTACGCGTCCGTATATTTTGGATAATTCAATTTTGAATGAAAATTAATAATAATAATAATAATAAAAACATGATCCCCAACAAAATAACTAAACAAACAAACAAAAAAAAATAATGTGATGTCATAACATATAAAAAAAACGCGTTTATATAGTTTTTTTTATTATTATTTTACGAGATGAGATCAATATTTATTTCCACACCATATGACTTATACTCTGGAACGAAAAACAGAACGAAAACAACGAAATGGATCTATCTATGAATCTATTTATAACCGAGTCTCATTTTAGTATTAGAATTTGGATCATATAAAAATAGAAAAAAAAAATAAATAAATAAATAAAACCCAAATAGCCGGTATTAAATAACGAATAAAACAAACGAAACCACCACCACCACCAACGCCACCCACATTAACTAATTCCTTTTATTATGGATGGAAAACCGAACAATTGTCTAATCATACAAAAATTTCCTTTGTGGATCAAAGTTCAAAGATTGTCGTCATATTTGGGATTGGGTGCATTTCTTTTTTTTATGACAAAGCCAAAGAAAAAGAAAAATAACAACAACAACAAATTTTTTTTTCTTTTATTACCTCAAACAAAACAAATGACGATGAAGACAACTATTTCCAAGGATTACCACTAAATATTTTTATCGTACACACACAAACAAACAAACAAACAAACATGCATAAGATAATAATAATAAAAGAATCAAATATGACCATGAACCAACAACAACATTCATCAGTTTCATTCCTATTATCATCATCATCATCATCATCATAATCATCATCATCATATGATACATTTTCCCACATAGAAAAAAAATCACACAAACCCTCTTCACCATGCATGCATGGTCGTCATTTAACAAAAAAAAAACAAGCCAATGATTTTTATCCTTAAGGGTATAATATATCAATCATAATCTCATCATATATATAATCCACCTGGTATACGCGTATATCAACATATCATATCATCAACAAAAAAAAAAAAATTTCAATAAACAACAACACACCAATGTGCAATATATATACAATGTGATGATCAAAGATCTAAAAATATTGAAAATATGTAAAAAAAAACAGGAGAAAAATTACATCATTATATAACAAACGCCAATCATTTGGTGATGTTTAGCTATTATAAATGGCCACAATACAACTGTTGTGTGTGTGTGTGTTTGTGTATGTGATTCTATTCTATTTTGTTTTGAATGACTTGACTAATAGATTGTACATGTGTTGTATGTGTGTGTGTGTGTGTTATACGGTTAAACGAATGAAAAAAAAAAAAAATCCATTGCATGCTCGATTGATTTCATCAAATAATAATAAAAATAAAAATCAAATGTGTGTGTGTGTGTGTGAGAGAGAGAGAGAAAGAGAAGAAAGTGGAATGAAATGAAATTGAAAAAAAAACTAAATTTTTCTCTGTTTGCATAAACCAAAACGATTGTGAAAAGCATCAACACATTTGATATTAGACAAAAAAAAATTGCCGATAATCAATTGATTTGATGTGTGTGTGTGTGTGTGTGTGTGTGTTCTATAAAATATAGACGAAAAATAAACAAAAATTATTTTACATTTTTGATCAGAAAAAAAACGGGCAAAAGAAGCTAGACTTACCGTTATAATTCATATAGCAGCTTATTCGTAAATCAATTTATTCGATTTTGGTGATTCAATCTGAATTCATTCCATCCATCAATTGTATATATTGTTGATCTCATTTGTTCTTGGCGTGTGTGTTTGTGTATACTTTTCAATCATCATCATCGAATCCAATGTTTTCATCATCATCATCATCATCATGATTTAATTTGATTTTTCTAGTTGTTTTGAATGATGAGAATTTTGACTTTTTTGTTTTGTTTTGTTAAAATGATTACTTGATTGATGATTTTGTGATTGATTTGCGTGTTTGATTTTAGCCATTTTGCCATTTTTACATTATTGAATTCGTCACATTAGAATTCATCAATCGATCAATCAATAACAAATTGATTGATGAAATTCGGAATAAAAATTACAGAAAATGAAACGTAAGTATCAATATATATTGATTGAAAATTGATTCCTTCTTTTTCGTTTGTGTGTGTTTGGTTATCGTATATATTTCATATATTAAACATAATGGACAGAGGTAATAGATATAAGATCAGGTGATCGATCAAACATGTTATTATCGTCATCATCATCATTTGATCGATATTTTCATGGCCATATAAATTTACAAGACCACGAGGATATGATGTTCAGCTGATCTTTTGATAGAAAGATGTTTAAAATTCCATCTACTAGACGGCGCATCATTATTTAGAGTTTTTCTTTTCATGATGATCGATTCGAATAAATTTTGATCATTATCATCATCATCATCATCATCGATGTATACCAGATTATACCGGTAATAATAATAATTATTAATCAAAATAAAAAGATGGTGAATGAATTTTTCCACATTATTAAAATGATCATCATTTGTTCGTATCTGGCCTTTATCTTGATTGATGATGATGATGATTTCATTTACTGCTTTGATCGATGATGATTGTTTTTGCCAAATTAAACAAATAATATTCATATTCATATTCATATTCATTATTATTATTATTATGAATATAAATTACAAGAAAAAAATGACAAGCAAATCAATTATATATTATTATGTCATAAAACATGTTTTTGAATGAATGTATGACAAACAAAATTATTATTTAGACAATTGTGTTTGTGTGTTTGTGTGTAATCGAATGGATGAATGAATGACGTAAATTAAATTCAAAAACATTCGAATCTTATCCGATGATCTGTTCGAAAATGACGTAAAAACGTCTTGATTTTTATCTGAAACGAAACCAAATGAAAAAAAAACCAAATTAAACTAACTCGAATTAACCAGTTAATATTAGATTTGTTGTCAGAATAATGAGAAAAAAAAAAATTATAAAAATTTTTTCTCACAAGACAAAAATCAAAATTCACAAGTACAAAAAATCCATCCATCCATTAATCGAATATTAATATCTATATGTCAATCAATAATTTTGTAGTATCTCAAAATTTTTCCAATTCGATTAAATTCATCAAATTGATTGCCATCATCGATCGAAAGAGAGTGAGAGTGAGAGAGAGTGAAACGAAAAAAAAGGCAATTCCTGTCCTTGTACTTGTACTTTTTCAATTGTCTCTCTCTCTCACTATCACTATCACTATCATTGTCATCATTTGTATTTTGGTAACAAAAATTTTTATGGATAACGGATTATTGTCAATCAATAGGATGACATTGTGTGTGTGTGTGTGTGTGTTTGCATTAAAGATTTTTTTTTTTCAATATCAATGATCAATGATTGTCATCATTGTTGTTGTAATATTTGACATTATCTAATTATTTGGAAACAAACAGCCATATATATATTTCAATATTTCATCACTATGTCATCATCATCATCATCAACAACAACAACAACAAAATTACATTTGTTGTCGAAATAGATTTTCTTTTGTTTTTTGGTTTTAAATCTGGAGAAAATTTTTGATTTTTTTTTTTTTTAGAAATTTTTAATTATATGTGTGTGTACTTGTTGTACTTGTTTTAAACATATGAACTGATTATAATAATAATGATGATGATGATGATGATTAGTCTGTCTTTTTTTTATATATTGTCTGATATTTATTTCCAATGAAATGGAGAAAAAAAAATTCCTGAGAATTCTTTGCCTTTTTTTATTATTATTAATAATTTGAACGTACATTTGTGATTTGTGATTTCATCATTTTGATTATCATTAAAATATATTGCAAATTTCGTTTGTTTAAAGATTTCCCTCGTTTTGGTATTGATGTTGATGGTAATGGTAATGGTAATGATAATGATAATGATGATGATGATGTTGTGCCCAATCTTTATCCATCATTGTTGATATGGTTGTTGTTTGGTATGTGTAATAATCATTGGTGTATGGTGTGTGTGTATGTGTCATCGAAATGAATGAAACTCGTCGTCATCGTTGTTGTTGTCGTGGTTGTGTGTGTAAATTTAAATCCAATATAACCACCATCATATGTCATTCAAAAACATTGGCTTCAACAACAACAACAAAAAAAATGCTACGTACAATGACGATATGTTCATGGTGATGATGATGATGATGAGGATTGCCCATAAAGATGCCGTATCATCAACAATTTATTCATTCAGGAGATTCCATTTTTCATTTTACAATTGATGCTGCTAGATGTTCACATTTCTTCTGTTCATCATCATCATCATGATTTTTTATTTTGATGGCGGTTACCATATTGAATCTCGATGTTTCTTTTTCTTCTTCTTCTTCTTCTTCTTCTTCTCACTCTCTTGTGTCATCTGAAAAAAAATAATTTTTTTTTTTCTTTCAAGTCTGATGATGATGATGATGAAATCTTTTGGGGCTTTTTTTCGATGAAATTTGAACATTCAAACAACAACAACAACAAGCAGCCGCATCTATTTTTCTTCTTTCATCTTTCATCTTTTTTTCCAGTTCAAATCGGATGTTTATTTATTTGTTTACTCGATTTTTTTTCTTTTTTTTAAATTGTTGATTTGAATCGCGAAAATTTAAAATTTTTTTTAAATAAAATTTCCGACAATCATTCGATATTTTTATCATCATCATCATTCAGCATCATTATTGAATTTTGACATTTTTTCGTTGTGAATTTTTTTAAATCATCATCGAAACTGTGTAGTAGCAGCAGAGGTAAGTTTAGGTTATGTAAACGAAATCAACGGAAATGAAAATTTTCAATCATTTTTTTTTCTGTCCCTGTTTGCGTTTGTGTGTGTGTTTTTCTTGAGAATTCTAAAATTTTTTTTTTCATTTTTCTGGGTCTTGTTTTGTTCAAAAAAAAAAAAATGAATGAATGGATGGATGGCCAGGTATTCGAAATTTTATTCACCACTATTGTTTAACTGTTTTTTTCTTCTTCTTCTTCTTCTTCGACATACAGCCCACATGAAATGTTTAGTCTTTTTTTTCTCAATTACAAAAAAAATGAACGAACGAACGAAATGTAGACACATATGGACCCGGTTAGAGAGAAAAAAAAAGTAATCAATTTTTTTTCAGTTGGAAAAAAACTGATCCAGAAATATCAGACAATTTTTCCAATTGATCAGTTTTTTTTTTTTTTTGTTTGTTTTCGAATGATTCTGGTTTTTTGTGTTGTTTGCATCGACAACGACGACGACGACGACCATGATGATGTCACCCATTACCGGTTGATCAGCAGAATGAATGTGTGTCCATTTCTTTCTCTGTTTAATATGTGTGTATTATATGCTATGTATGTTTGTATTGGTGATCATCATCATTATCATTTAAAAAAAAAAACAATCGATCAACATCAAAAACGGAATACCGGTGGCATAGACACTTACTGACTGACTGAATAGATGGAATGAATGAATGAATGGAATGGAATGACTGACAGAGTTGGCGCTCTTGTTTAGTTTCATAATCATCATCATCATCATCATCATCATTTTGTGTGTTCGAATATATATCTATATATAAATTGATGGAGTTGCGCTCCATATCCATCGGACAAACACACACACACACACACGCACACACATTGTGCCAAAAAGTATAGGTAGCAATTCACTACTACATTCTGTTCAATTCTGTTCTTTTATCGTGATTCTGTTTTATCAATTATTTTTTTTGTGAGTTTGAAAAAACCAGCAATCTTGTTGAATATATATATATATGGATACATCATCATCATCATCATCATAATCATTGATTATCAATTGTCATATATTGTATTTTGGATTCGATTGATGAAACACGTTGGTCGGTTGATAAGTTGGTTCGGTTATTGAAAAATAAAATTTCATTCATTTGTTTGAATAACAATCATTCAACGAGAACGAATGACGACGACGACGACTACAACGATAACGACAACTACGACATACGTAATTGTAATCAATTGGGTGTTGTTCTGTGTCCCATTCTTCATTTATGTCAGTAAAAGTTCATCATTTCAATTTCTTCATGACATTTTTTTTATTGTTTGTTTTTTGTTCTTTTTCATTTTCATTTTCATTTTGTTTCATGTTTGGACACGCCATCATTCTCATATATTTGTTCGTCAATTTCAATTTTTTGAACACACAATAAATTAATTCTGAAATTCTGGCTATGATGATGACATTTTTAAGATTGAAAATTAATCATCAATAATATACACACACATGATACATACAATTGAAATGAAAAAATGGTTTTATATTTTCTGGCCGTTGTCCAAAATAAATTCAGTCAAACTTGCAACATTTTAGATTCGATTCGTTTATTCGAGTTTTTTTTTATTATTATTATTATTCTGTATCAATTGATTGATGACAAATATATAATATACTACAACGATGCTTGGTTATATTCGTAAAGTAACTAAAATTGATCAACTCTGTCATCAACAATCATCATCGTCACGTAACGGTAGTGGCCAACAACAACAACGACAACGACAACAACAACAACAACAACAAAAGCAACAATCATCATCAATGATTATGATGACGGTGATCAATGATTCAAATCGTTTATTAGTACCAGTCGATACAATCGATACTGATGTTAATCGTACAAATTCAGATTCTAATTCGGCTACAAATATGATGATGAATAATAATAATGGTGATGATGATGGTGATGATGAAAAATTGTCCGCTGATGATCAAAAATCAACATCAACGAAAACTGTTTTTCATACTCCAAAACGGAAAAGTTTATTCAAACGACGACATAATCTTTTGCCAATATCATCAACAATTAATAGTGGTAGTAGTAGTAGTAGTAATAATCGAACCCGTTTATCATTCAATAGTAATAATAATAATTCTGATCATAATATTATGGAAAAATCGATTAATAATCCAACGTTGATTAATAATGATTCGCAAACATATTGTTCAAATATTTCCATAAATCATCGTCATCATCATCATCATCATCACGATCAAACACATACAATTCATTCGCATAATAATAATATTAAAATCTGTCCAACAATAGCATCGGCATTATGGCGTCCATTATGGCCACCTGGTGAGCGAGTATTTTTTTTTTTTTTTGATTTTGAATTCGAATTTCCTTTTCGGAAATAGAAATTCAAAAGGAATGGATAAGAAAAGTGAAAGTGAAAGATTTCGTTTTAACTTATTTCATCATCATAATGAATATTTTTGACATATCTCCATTAGAATTGAATAATACTAAACTTTTTTTTAATTTTAATTTTTTTTCAATTAAGGTTGGCATCCTCGTAGTAATAATACATCATCATCATCATCAGCATCAGCAACAACCACAACGTCCAATACAAAAGTGCCTACGTCTTTATCGACCACAAGTGATGGTGGTGGTGGTGTAAGTACATTGTCTTCGTCTTCATCATTAACACGTCGATCAGCTAATAATAATAATAATAATGTTGAACATCAACAACAATCGTCAATGATGACAATGGATAATGATTCAAAATCAACAATGACAATGATAGCAACAAAAACGATAAAATCAATGAATCATGTTGATTCAAAATTATTAAATCATCATCATCATCATCATAGAAAATTATCATATGAACAACAACAACAACAACAACAATTGAATGGTGATGATATCGATAATGAATCGAATAAAATTGAGGTATTATCGATTGATGATGATAATGGTTTTTTAATAGTTTCTAATCGAATATTTATATTCAATATAATTTAACAAATAATTTAGGATTGGCTAGACGAACATCCAGATTTTGTAAATAGTTATGTTATACGTAAAGTATCACGTTCGATTATTGATAAATGGCTTGTTACACATTCAGCATCTACAATGGGTAAGTGTAGACTGTGTGTTTTATTTATGAACGTGTGTCTATAGGAATGAAATGAATTACGATGATGATGATGATGATGGGAATTTTTTTTCATCAATTTATTCCTAGTTTGCAATTATAATTTGATTGCCCATTTGGTTTATTGAACATTTTCTTCTCTATGCTTCACTAAGTTGTGTGTCTGTTCAATTGGTTGAAAAGTAGTTTAGTTTAGTCAGTTTAAGAATAAGTTTTTTCGATAAAAATAATTTATGAAACAATAAAAATTGTATGAAGAATTAATTTCAAAAAATTCATTCATGATGAAGGTGATGATGATGATGATGATGGTAATTTATTAATTCTACGATTTAATTTTCTAAAACTTTGTCTTTTTTATAGGAACATTATTTCCGAATAATCAGAATAATACATCATCATTGGCAGCAACATCATTGGCAGCATCATCATCAACATCACCAGCAGCAGCAGGAGCGGTGGCGGCGGCCCCAGATTCAGGTGCAAATACACCGGTACGAAAAATATCTGCACATGAATTTGAGGCAAGTGGTGGTGGTTATCTACGACCAATGGTATCGACTACTTGTGATGGAATGTTAACATTTTTATCACTTCAAGATAATATGGGTAGAGAAAATTCCATAACAGCCAGTGATTCTTCAGATCTTTTTCATGCATCCGGATCATTTGGTAATCGACCACGGCCACGACCACGTGCATCAATCATATCATTACGTTCACGTGAACAATTAGAATCCAATAGTACTGATGAATGTGAATTAATATTTGAATTAGTCAAAGATATTTGTAATGATTTGGATGTAAAATCATTATGTCATAAGATATTGAAAAATGTTAGCATATTGACACAAGCTGATCGTTGTTCACTATTTTTGGTACGTTAAATTTATTTAATTTCAAATGAATTCATTTCGTTTCGTTTTGTTTTCTTATACTAAAATGAAACATTTTTGTTCGTTCATTCATTCATTTATCTTATATATAGGTAAGAGGCGAAAAAGATGAAATCGAAAATAGGTAAGAAATAATTTTGATGAATAGATCTATCTTTTTTTTTGGTTCTACCTAGCTACTGACATATGGAATTCATTAGTTTTTTTCAACTCAAAAGTTCCACTGATGTGCCCAACATATATGACCGAAGGCATATTGAATTCAATTACAAATTTTAGTCATTTCATTTGAACAATGAAATAATAGTTAAGGATGAAGTAACAGATAGAGAGAGAGAGAGAGAGAAACATTACATTTCAATTTGATTGTTTGGCAATGATTCACTGAGAGATGGTCGAATATTTGATTCTTTATTCGAATTCAATAGAATATAATAATAATAATAATAATGAGGCGAAGAATTTCAAATGAAACCACCATTATTATTATGTTTCCCATTGATGTTAATAGGAATTTTTTGTTGTTGTTGTTGTTGTTGTTGTTATTCGTCGTTCCGATTGCATTTTTCAATAATTAATGTCTTGAAGGCATATAGAATTTCAAGATAATATATTACGAACATATTGGATTTTTTTCTTATTTTTTTTTTTATCTTTCTTTATTTTTTTCTTCAATTATGTACAGATATTTGGTTAGTCAATTGTTTGATGTTTGTGGACAATCGACCATTGAACAAGTGTCGAAAAATGAAGAAATCATTATCCCATGGGGCACAGGCATTGTTGGTCATGTAGCCGAAACTGGTGAAGCGGCAAACATTCCAGATTGTTATCAGGATTCACGTTTTACCGATACAATTGATCAAAAAACTGGTTATAAAACATGTAATATGTTATGTAATCCTATATTTGATATTGATGGTGAAGTGATGGGCGTAGCACAGGTGATCAACAAAAAAGATTCCAAATGTTTTGATAAGAATGATGAAAATGTTTTTGTAAAATATCTACAATTCTGTGGTATTGGTTTACGAAATGCACAAGTTTATGAACGATCACAGTTAGAGAATAAACGTAATCAGGTATTGTTAGATCTGGCCAGAATGGTATTTGAAAAACAATCAAATATTGAAAATATTATCTACCGTATTCTGATACATATTCTATCATTATTACAATGTGAACGTTGTCAAATTATGTTGCTTGAATGTGATGATAATGATGATGATGAAAATGATGATTTTATTTTAGCTATGAATTCAAATTCAACAAAAATTAGTCATGATGATTCGCCAACATCGAAACATCTACATCTAAATGCACAACAAACTGCGAGTAATTATTCATCAGATCGAAGTCCATTATCTGATTGTCCAAGTAGTAATGGATCAAGTTGTTTGGAATCAAATTATGAACTACAAGTTAATCAAGTTACAATGGCTACACGTAGTTTTTATCGTGTATTTGATTTGCAAGCCAAAGATTTGGAACAAATTGATTTTGAAAAGAATCAAAAAACACCATTTGAAGGTCGATTTCCAATCAATATCGGTATAACTGGTTATGTAGCTACAACGGGCGAAACATTGAATATTGCCGATGCTTATAATGATTGTCGTTTTGATCCAATCGTCGATGATCAAGATGATGATAATTATGGCGATAATAATAATGTTGATGATGGCAATAGATTTCGACATAAAAGTATACTTTGTATGCCTATCCGTAATGCAACAAGAAAAATAATTGGTGTCGCACAATTGGTGAATAAATTGAATGGTCGTCCATTTAATAAGAATGATGAAAATCTATTTGAAGCATTTGCCATATTTTCCGGTATGGGTATCGAAAACACACATAAATTTGAAAAAGCCGTTAAATCAATGGCTAAACAAAAAGTTACGTTAGAATTATTATCATATCATGCATTGGCAAGTGAACATGAAGCATCAAAATTTGCCGTAAGTTATTCAATGATTTAATTTCTGCAAAAAAAAAAAATTACAATTGATTTTATTCATCAATATAGCGAATGTTAATACCATCTACAAGCAGTCTTTCATTATCTAGTCTACGATTTGATGATTTTAGTTTGAATGAAGATCAAATGATAAAAGCTTGTATACGAATGTTTATTGATTTAGATCTAATTGAACGTTTTCATATTGATTATAAAGTACTTTGTAAATGGATTCTAAGTGTACGAAAAAATTATCGTCCAGTTTTATATCATAATTGGCGACATGCATTTAATGTTGCACAGATGATGTTTGCAATATTTGTTGTAAGTTTTGAAAAAAAATTTTTTTTTTTTAATTTTAATTTTAATTTATTTTTTGAATGTTTTATTTTCTCATCATAGAATTCAGACATGTGTTTTGTTTTGGGTGAACTTGAAACAATGGCATTGATAGTTGCTTGTCTTTGTCATGATCTTGATCATCGTGGTACAAATAATTCATTTCAAATAAAAACCGGTTCACCACTTGCACAATTGTATTCAACAAGTACATTGGAACATCATCATTTTGATCAATCATTAATGATACTCAATAGTCAGGTAAATTGTTATGTTTTTTTTTTGGTTTTTTTTTATTATTCAAAATCCATCGATAGGGCAATCAAATATGGAGCAATCTTTCACCACAAGAATATCGTCGAGTTGTATACGTATTGGAAGAAGCTATATTAGCCACCGATTTGGCTGTTTATTTTCGTAAACGTGATAAATTTTTTCAACTAGTCGAACAAATGAAAACCACTGGCCAACGTGATTGGTCCGATGAGAATAATCGTTCATTATTACGATCAATGTTAATGACTTGTTGTGATATAGCTGCCATTACGAAACCATGGTTTGTTTTTTTTTTTTTTTTGAAAATTTAAATTTTAAATTTATTTATTTATTATCAATATTTTATTTTTGTAGGCAAACACAAAAAGTGGTTGCCGAACTAGTCGCTAGTGAATTCTATCAACAAGGTGATATTGAAAAAGAACAACTAAATATTGAACCAATTGTAAGTAAAATCAATAAATATCATTGATTTTATCATTTAAATCCATCATCATTTATCTCATTATTTTAGGATATGATGAATCGTGAGAAAAAAGATGAATTACCTAAAATGCAAATGTCATTTATCGATACTATTTGTTTGCCAGTTTATCAGGCATTCGCTAAGCTAGGACCATCGCCAATGAAAATATTATTAAATGGTGTTACTGATAATCGTGAAGCATGGCATCTATTATCAAGTCAACCATATCAATTAAACATTCGACAAACCAATTCAACCTCATCAACAACAACAACAACAATAACAACGACGGATACGACAATAAACCAAACAAAAACGATAACGGTACCACCATCACCACCATCACCAACCATAGAAACACCATCATCAACATTTATAGATGATGAACCAAATGTCTGAAATATGCATGGTTTCCACACGTCCTTCATCATTTCGATATTCGAAAACCAAATTTTTTCTTAAGCACACAAACACACACACACACCTTACATTCATCATTATTTTTCATTTCAACAAATAGGAATCACATTTGCACATGTGAAGAATTTTCATTTTATTGCAATTTGTTGCAATTTTAAATTTGTGATATATATTAGAAAAAAAATCGGTTAAACTTAGCGATGTGAAAAACACGTGTACACAATTCAATTGAAACTTTGAATTTCGTATGTGTTTCAATCGATACGTTTTTGTTTAGTTTTGTTTTTGTTATTGTTTTGTTTTATATAATGAATGAAAATCATCAATATCAATCAATCAATCAATCAATCAATCAATAATCAATAATAATTAATAAATGGTAAAAAATTGTGTGATTATAAGATGCGTGATGATGAAAGATAAATAAAAGAAATATATTTCGTTGTTTTTTATCATTTTTTTTTGTCGATATGAATTTTAAATGCTCAACGATTAATCGAATTATTATTATTATTGTTATTGTTGGTGATGATATAATTATCCGGTTCAGTGTCGGTAATTTTCAATTCTGGTACAGCCATTACATTGGTATTATTATTGTTGTTGTTGTTATTATTATTATTATTACGTTGCAATGTAAATTGATGTTGATCACCACCATCAATTAATTCAAGATTCAATGCAGCAATACTTGATGAAAAACATCTAGTTTCTACATGAACATGACATGGTTTATGACAAATTAGGCCACAATCTAAATTTGTTGTTGTTTTTATTTGAAAAAAATGTTTATCATGTTCAAATAGTAAATTTTTCAAAAAAACACTTACCACGACATTGATAGGCTTGTTTACCAAGACGAAATGCAAATTTTTTACCACAAATTTGACATAATCTCGATGATGGTACATGTCGTGCAATAAACAAATGATCTTTATACAGATGAAGTTTGGTGCCTTTACGTCGTTTCAAATCATGACGAGCTTTATCCACATCCTCAGTTGGTACAACAAAATGTTTAATCATTCCTTTTTCATTACATTCCATTATCAGTACAGAATCTTCATGCATAAATGTTCGTGTAGATGTTTGACTTAAATTGCCAAAACTTTCCTTAATACGTGGTTCTTGTTGTTGGATATTGCTTTCTTTGGGCATAGATGTTTCACGTGAACCGGGTACCGATCTTGCTCTTTCCATTCCATGACCACGTTGACCGTCATTATAATCATCATCAAAATCGTCATCATCATCATCATCACCGTTGGCAACCGCTCGTTTACCAAGATTTCTATCCACTGATTTTGATCGTCTATTGAAACTAAATCGTTTCTTTATGTTTCGCAATAAAGATTTATCACGTGGTGGACGAGAATCTAATCAATGAAGACGTAATGTTAAAAAAATTTGAATTCCGACAGTTCCTTAAACATTCAATAACAATTCTACCTGAATTTCGTTTATCCAATGTAGCCGATATCCTGGCTGATTGTTCATTGGCAGCGGCAATTCGTTTCTGTTCATCTGTTAATGATCGTAATGTTGAATGACCATTTTCACCCGAATTATAGCCTGGATCTTCCTGTACAGATTGTTGAACAGCTATTTGGAAAAGAAAGAAAATAAAAAATTCGTTTCAAAAAAAACTAATGATTATGAGGATTCAGGAAAAAATTTGAAATCAGCATGAAAGGCATATGATTAGGTTTTTGTGAATCTCTCTTATGCGAACCGATATTATAGTAATCATAATCATCATATTGTTTTATGAATCCATTTCGTCGACATTTACGGCTTAACGATGAACTTGATGATGAACAATTATTGATAGCTGGTTCAGAAGCTCGATAACGAAGTGAACATGATCGTAATGGTGTTGATGATGATTTTTCCCTTTTCGTACGATGCCAGTCATCATCATTTTCACTATTATTACTGTTAACATGTAAACGTTCAGCAATTTTTCTTGATACTTTACTACTATAACGAAATTTAAATTTTCTTTTCATCGAATCTGTAGCCGATGATGATGATGATGATGAAGTCGTCGACATTGATGAACATGGTGGAGGTGTTGATTGTTGTTGTCGTTTATTTTTATTATTATTAATGCCAAGCCATTTTTCATAGAAACTAGCACGAATCTGACTATTTCGTTTGCTGGTGTTGGTCGTTATTTTATTCGATTCTGGTACTTTTAATCCATTTGCTGATAATGATGATGATGTATTGATAATAGTGGAACAATGACGTCTACATTGATTCAATTGACGATCTGATTCATTGCCTATGCCAAATTGATCATCACCATAATAGTAGCTATAATCATCATCATAAAGACAGAAAAATAATTGTGTATCGGATTTAGCTTTCGATATATTTTCATTAATGTTGTTGCTGTTATCATAACGGATGTTTGCTCGAATAGATAGCTGTGGTGATGGTGTCAATGTTGGTGTAGGTGTTGTTGTTGGATGTTGTAATCGTATTGGAATCAATGACTGTAGATACGATGATCGTCTTTTCAATGGCTTAGATTCTTTTCGCTTTTCTTGGTCATTAACAACAATCATTTGTGATGATTGCATTGTAGGTGGATCAACCGGTAATTCAATGGCTGATATTTGAACTCGTTCCATCATTGATGCAATTACAGATTCTGATTGTTCGACAACTTGTCGTTGTTGGTCATTAAATGTACAATTATCCACAACATCTAAATGGCTATCAATACTTTCGAGTGATAATTGTGAATAAAGTGATAATCGTTTCTCTGGATTATTCAATCATCATTATCATCATCATTATTATCGATTTTGGATGATTTCAATGTTGGGCTATTCGAGCTAATGGATTCCGGATGTTCAATATCACGGATCATATTGTTTGTGTTTGAATTTTTTGTCATTTTTCATAAAATTGAAAAAAACGCAGAAAAAGAGACAAACAGAAAGACAAGACACAAATACACACACACACACAAACAAACACAATTAAATTAGGAGAAAAAAATTACATTTAAAATTAGACTGTAGTAAATCGTCGATGTTATTGCATTTCGATATGATTGTCTCAATATTAGGTATCGTATCGATTTCAAGTGTTGTCAAAAATGATGATGATGATTTCGATTGGCGATCCCAATTATTATGATCATGATGATGATGATTTTTATGATGATTATTGCGATAAAAATATTCCCCATCATCCGTGATGAAAGCTAAACTGTTATCATTATAATCAACATCAAAATAATCAGTTAATGTTGCTGTTGTCAATGCCGATCCTATTGACCATCGTTGACGATGTTCATGATGATGTCCATCTATTTGATTTTTTTTTTTGATGAAAATTTGAGAGAGAAATTTGTTTATTTAGACATAAACATTTGAATCATTAAATTTTTAGATGATCAATGAGGAAAAAATATCGATTTTTTTCAATCAATACGATCGATGAAAGAAAGAGAGATCAGATTATCGGTAAAAATCCGAACACAAAATAAGAAAGAGGATATCCCGTTATATATTTTTTTTGTATTTTCGAGGAAATTTTTTCGTCGTCGTCGTCGTTGTTGTTGTTGTTGTGAATTTCAGTTTGTCGCGCGATTCAATTATATAGAAACACAGATATATGAGATGAGGATGAAATTGAGACGCGTGTAATGATGATTCGTTTCGTTTTTCGAAAGGTTTTTTTTGAAATGATTATTGTTGAATATGATGATGATGAAGAAGAAAATGATGTGGCAGGATTATTTTATTTTATTTTTTTTAACGGAAAAAACCGACCGACCACCATCACAAAATCATCAGTATCATTGATGATTGTTGTTGTCGTCGTTTGGTCATTAAAATGATTATTATTTCATTATACCATTACAATGATGGCAGTGGTTTTTTTTTTTGTTATGGATTGAGATTTAGATGAATCACGTTTCGTGGTTGGTTCGGGTTGTCAATCATAATGTACCGTTTTCAAATCAATTCGAATCACATATAAACAAAATAAAAAAAACAAAAAAAATTGTTTGAATGCAATCATGGATTGATATGATTATTGATGATGGATGATGATGATAGCGATTTTTTTGAAGAACGATATAATCATAGGTAAAATTCCAGATTTTGTTTCCAAATCGAATAATATGTTTCCATTATCGATAAGTTTATCATTATTTTATCGTTTTTTTGTTGTTATGATTCGAATGATTTTTTTTTTTTTCATTGATGATGATCAGATTTTCGATAATCCGTTGCCGTAGAGATTCAATTTTCAGAAATAAAATTCAAGCAATAATAACACACATATATAGTGAAGAGATTTTGAGGCATAAAAATGAAAAATAGGCAAGATGCAAGCAACAGATCGAATATGTGTATGTGTGTGTGTGTGTGTGTGTGTGACATGCATGGATATATATGATATTTATTTATTGATTGGTTGTTGGTTGGGATTTGTTGATCCAAATATAAAGTAAGTAGATTGGACACATGCACATGCAAAAAAAAGAGATAAGAGAAAATAAAATAGACAATAAATAAGCATCATCATGATATAATTAAAATATATCTCATCTTTTTTTTTAGGAAGAAAAATCTAATAGGAAATAGGAAATGGAAATAAAATGAGTGTGTGTGTGTGTGTATGAGAAAAAAAGGGAAAATAGGAAAATAAAGTATGCCTATGTGTATTGTATAATATATGATTGTTATGAAAATATGATGAAGATAATACCTGATGATGAACGATGTGATGCTGATTCATCATGATTGTTGATTTTATTATTATTATTGTTATTTGGCTTTGTCATCGATTGTGATCTTGTAACCTGATTCTGTTGTGATTGTTGTTGTTGTTGTGGTTGTCCATGCAGTCTAATTGATCCATTTCGGCTATGTTCCATGAGTAAAACTAAATTTTTTTTTATTGTGTGAGAAATTTGTTATATTTTTTTCAGATTATGGACGCATCAATCAAAAAAAAAAAAAAAATACACTTACCTCAACAATCAAATTTCCCATATCTTGTTTATTATTCATACCGGATTGTAATCGTAATGTTTGTGTTTGTGATGGATTTGACATTAATTCCTGAATGTTTACAATAGCATTGCCTAATATTTGATCTGAAAAAAAACAAAATTTTTTAATTAAAATTAAATATTTGAGAACAATGATGCAAAAAAATGAAAATACCACCGATTAGATCATTATCCTCCGTTTGTTGTTTATTCGATTTTCGTTCTTCAAATAATTCGAATAGCAATTCATGTGATCTTTCATTGAGATTACTGTTCGATCGAAACAAAAAGAATTAGTATGAAAATTTGAATGACAGTAATCGAAACAACACTTACAACATAAAATGTTGATCCCATTCTGGTGAATCATTATGTGAATGACGAATAATCGATGTACGTGTCGATTGAAATGGTTCATCCAATTCAATCGTACAATAAAGGGCACCGGTACCGTTTGATTTTTCTAATTGTAAATCATTTGCTTTGGCTATTTTTACCAATAATTTTCGTTCTACATTTGGCTAAATTTTTTTCCCCAAACAAACAAATATTTGATTAATTGAAATATATGAACTTTAATGATACAAACCTTATAATCAGTGGTCAATGATGTTTTCGTCGATTCTGTTGTGGCCAATCGTGGAAAATCATGATATTTATTATGTGATTCATTAAAATTCAAATCAAATATAGTGGATGTGAATACATTCAATACAGCATTAATAATAATGTCTGGTTGAAATTTATTCTTCGATCCAAGTAATGGACCATCGATTTGTGCTTTTGTTTCTGGCCGTTCTAATGGCCGTATGACAAATAATAATTCATCAGTTATACCGACCACTTTTAACTTCGAAAAAAAAACAGATCAGAACGAATGATAAATACAATGAATGATGTTGTCTATACATACCAATGAGCTAAATCGTTCCATAATAATATGATAGATAGCCGAACGATTTGGATCACCATAACAATCAGGTGCAACACGTACCTGCATGATTAAACGATCACATGTAGCTTTCATTGTTGTTATCTGATCAGTGGAACAAAAAACAGACACATGATAAATAATTTTCATTTCATTCGAAAGCTATTTTCACACATTATGTGTGTTTTGAAATTACCAGATTTTCATTAAGTTCTTCGGCCATTTTAACCTGACTTAGTTGGGCACCAGTCAATTGTTCAATTTGTACAAATTCAACAAATATACCATTCTATATGTATACACACATGAAAATCATATATATGATCATTTAAATATCAAAAATAATGAATGACAAACCTCGATTATCAATTGTTGACTTTTATTATTCAATGAATTAAGCCATTCATTTGTTGTTGCCATAACAAACTGATTGTCCATACTTGATGTATGTTGAAACCATTTGATTACTTCATTCATCCATTGTTGACGATTAACAATCGGTTCATTTGGAATTGATTGACCAAATTGCATTGAATGATGTTTAGTGGTGAATTTTTCACGATCAGATACTGAATTCTGTATCCAATCCGATCGTTGATCATCATCATCACCATTGATTTTTGTTGTTGATTCTTCATTTTCATCAATCTTTAACGAATCATTTTGACGTCTTTTAATCTTCAAATAGATATTGGCTGCAACGGCTACAATCAATGCAACAATTGTCCAGAATATAAACAACATTGTCGATGATGATAATGATAACAATAATGTTGATTGATCATCATCCGAATTAATGCAACAAAAATCCATGATTAAAGCTATTATAGATTCGATATATGAATTTGATGTTGTTGTTGTTGTTGACAATGTTTGTTGGCTGCTACTGCTACTACTACTTTTATCATCCATTTTTTTTTATTTTATTCTGTCATCAAAGTTTTAAGATCAGATCAACAGCATTCATGAACATCAAGAAGAAGAAGAATCACAACGACAACAACAATTATTTTGATGTAAATAATAATGGATTCTATTCAAAGAATAAATGAAAAGAAAAGTAAAGTAAAAAAAAATGACATGTGTGTGTGTGTGTGTGTAAGATTTCTAACAATCTACGAATTCGTATCATCATCGCCATCATCATCATCATCAAAGAAATAGAATCACACGCCCAAAACAATATGTAGCAGCATTTATGTGTATATAATCTACATGTACGGTAATTTTAAAATGATCATTTTTTTTATCAAAAATGAAACTTACCACGAATTTTTTTTTTTTTCTTTAAAATTTAGATTGCTCAAGAATTAAGAAATCTTCTACACTACACTAACAACACACACGGAGCGAGAAAGAGAACGAAAACAATCACTTTGGATGAATGATGATCATCCGAAATTCTGGCTGCCAATAACACAATTTAAGCTATATTTTTAAGAACAATTTTTTTTCTGCAATTCTTACATCAAACTTCATCATTCATTTGTTTATTTACTGTATATATATTCATATAAAAGTAAAAGTGAATCTAGGACGCACAAACAAACAAAACAAAACATATAATATATATCAACCATCAACCAAACCCGATCATCATCATCATCATCATCATCATCACCATCATTGCATCAAATCATCATCAAGCTTTCATTTCATTTCATTTAACATAAGTTGTCTGTCTGTATATATAAATATATGACAGACATTACTATTAGTATTTTCAGACAAACAAATATACATTCCATTAGATAATCCTATTTATCTATCCATTCATCCTATCACCATTGGTGACCACCTACAAGAGAAAGAAAAGTACCGATAATATCACTATGATAATCTATTGATTATAGAATTTTTTTTTTTTGGTTTCAAATATTTCAATTATTTATCCTAAATGTTCATAGATGGCAATACATGTTTCGAAATGAAGAAAAAAAATTTTTCGAATTCAAACTTGAATACTTTCTCAATCATCAATATGGTTCACTGCCAATTTTTTTTTTTTTTTTTTTGATCAATTGATCGATTCGAGTGATATTGTTGTATTCGACAACATTCAATTTGTTTGATTTTGATTGATAACGATTTTTTTTTAATACTTACGATATGTATCGATTGTTGTTGTTCAGTGTGATTTTTTTTTCTCAGATTGTTTGATTGTTGATTCACGAACTTATTCAAATCATCATCATATAAATCAATGATGAGAATGTACGTGAAATAAGAAAGATCAATCTAATTGATTAATGTGAATGAAAAAAAAACAAGAACAAGAATGAATGGTTTTTATTTGTTGATTTGTTTTTTTTTATATCTTGTCTTGTTTGTTGTTGTTGTTAATGATGATAATAATAATTTTTTTTTTTTCGTTTTTCGATTCACACACTTCAGACTTCTTTTCTTCATGGATCAAGGACAACATCGGAATTCGAGATCAATTTTTGTTGTTGTTGCCATCATAAGCCGGAAATAATGACCAGAATTTTCATTTCAACCAATCAATCCGTGACACATCAGAATCAGAAAAAAAGATACACGTGTAATACATACACAATCAAATCGATTGATGGATGATTGTAAAAGAAAAATCATCAAACAAGGAAATTAGTGGACAAAACAACATACACAAACAATCATCGTATCAACCACACATACACACACAGGTAATAATCGACGAGAAAAATCAGATAGAAATGATGAAGATGACGCAAATGATGGCAATGGCGATGCGAGTACTAATGTCACACATTCACAAACACAAAACGTTCGAATGTGTACAGGTGTGTGTGTGTGTGTATTTGGAAAATAATTGTTCCAGAAAAAAACAAATTCAACAAATGAAAACAAAAATGCAGAAAATATCAGATCAAATCACCATCATTAATAAAATTATATATTAGAAGAACGAAAGATGCCAGAAGAAAAAAAAACACGAATTTCAATCAGATAAAATGATCAATTATTGGGCGCCAATTCATTTGTTGCTACCATGTTGTTTCAATCATTCATGATTTCAATGTCTTTTTTGATCACATACATATATAAACATACAAATCATGGTTGTATGTATCTCTGTTATACCGGTGAAATCTGAAGAATCAATTTTCAAAGTCGATCTATTGATCAATCAATCAATCTATTATTGAACATCAATTCAGCCGGTTGTAATGATGATATATATGTGTTTAGCGATATTTTTTCTTCTTCCCCTTTTTGTTGTGTATAGGTTGAAATTATTGTGTAGTATAGTGTGATGTGGTGTTGTGTGGTGTGTGTGTGTGTGTTGTATTTGTATTTGTCTTTCAATGTCGATTGTCGATCATCATCTACCATACACGATGTACGACAATCTGTGCAAAAAAAATTTTTTTTTTTTTTTTTCATTATAGAAAAAAAATTGACAGATGTATTCAAATGATGATGATGATGATTATTATTATTATTTTTGATGAATACTTGTATATATTATGGCCATCATTCAACGAACGAATCATAATAATCAAATTGATGATGATGATGATTGATTTTTTTGGAAGAACAAACATGACCAAAATGTTTTTACCTCATTCAATCCTCAAATTGGTAAATACAAGATTACAAACTGTCATTGGCCTTTATTTGTGAAGGAAAATTCAGATAGAGAGGGAGAGGGAGAGGAGAGAGAGGGGATAATCAGATGAATTAACAAAATTGGCCAAAAATCATTGGCTATAGCAAATAGCAATATATTCTAATTCAGTTGGTTTTTCCCATTTGAAATTTTTTCATTTTATATATTTATTAAAGCTTTTAAAATTTGCAATAATTTATACAGGCAAAAAAATTTTTTTTTTTTTATTTTATTGCAAATAGAAAACGAAAATAATTTGTCAAACCATAAATAAATGTAAATGAAGTAGTAGTGGCCAATATAGAGCCATTTCATTTATGGATTGAAATCATCAAATTCAATCGGATGTTCTGGTTGTTGTTGTTGTTGCTGCTGCTGATGCTGTTGTTGACGATTTGTAACGGAACAAACATCATTGATAATACTTTCAGCTATACGCCATGCATCATCTTCAGATTCGATTCGATTAGTCGAATTACCAAATGATAGACGACGAAAAATTTGTGCCAATTTTATACGATCAACAGCAGGTGATGATCGTGGTGGTTCTGGTTCCAATGTACTATTCATACGGCCATATTTATCAATATAGGTGAATTGTAATTGATCTTTTAAATCACGATTCCATAACAGATCTGTTTGATCAATATTTAGAGAATTTAATTTATGATTTCCAATATCATTTGATGTTGTTGATGATGATGATGACGATTGTTTGGATAATATTTTCATTGATGGCCTTATCAATTTTTGTTTTTGATTTTGTGAACATTTTAATTTTTGATCACAATTCTGTACATATTCAAGGAAATGATTACTTTCAAGAAATTGTGGAAAATATGTTTTGGAAAAATATTGTAACAGAATATTTGCTATACGATCAAAACAATCGGATTGAAATTCTGTTTTCGGATCCTTTATATTCACAATAGATGATTGCAATTGTTCAATGATTGGTTCGGAAACCTGAAGAAAGCTTTCAATTGTAGCTGCACGACAATTAAAAAATCTATTATATAAAGCATTAGCATCCGAATATTGTCCAGAGAATTTTCGATAATTTCGATATTGTACTAAAAAATCAACAAAACATTTCATACGTTCAGTGGCCATAAAATCCATAAAAGCTGACGATATTAATGTATGTGAAAATAAGATATCGGAAAGCTGAAATTTTTTCCCATTCAATACTTCATATTCATATTTAAGAAAAAAATTTGAACGAAGAAATTTTTCGTAATAATCACAATCAATTTTTTCGGCTAATGATTGTCGAAACGATTCGAATATTTCAAATGATAATTGTTGTTTTTGATAATTTGGAATGATTTGGTCATTATTATGATGATGATCGAATAATTCAATCATTTTTGAGTGGACGTTTGGATCGATTTTCATGGATGTTGTTGTCGAATGGGCAGCATCAGCAACATCACAATTGGAAGCATCATTTTTATCGAATAATTGATTAAATATTCGATGAAAATCAGTAATGAAATTTTGATAATTATTTTCATGTTCTTCTTGATTTTCAAATGAGGAATTTTCATTATCACCAGGAAATTTTTCTTGTATAAAAAACATTAGACAATTTGTTTGAAGAAAACATTTGATCACTGTATTGGCATGTGATCCTAATGATTCCATAAATTGTACGAAACACAGAAGAATATCGGCATTTTGTTCGACAGTAAAACATTCATCAAACGTACAAGTTAGACAAGAATCGAGCCGTACGGTAACGTTTGGATCATACATTGATTCAGCTAATAACATCTGATATGATGGTTTAAGATTTCTATGTGAATGTAGGCCACTAATCTGTGATAACGTTTGTTTGGCACTTGTTTGATGGCTTGATGAAAGATCATTATTATTGCTAGTGATAAAATTACCATTTTGGCTAGACGAATATCGACCTTTATATGAAGATGATGATGATGATGGTGAATCAATTGATTTATTCGAACCATTCGATGATAATTGATTCAATTTATCACGACTATTGGCTTAATTAGGGAAAAAAATTATATAATCGAAAATAAATGAAAAAAAAAATATTTACCAATAAAATTTTTAATTAAATTTGGTAGAGGCATAGTTTTGTTTAAGTAATAAATTTCATTGTTGAAATAAGAAATCTAAAGCTTTTTTTCTTAAAAAAAAAAATTAAAAATTCATCAACATAAATGAATGTGTGTTCGATTAAGCCGCATCAATTTGTTTGTTTTTTTTCCATTCACAAACAATTTCGAGCGAATATAAATAAAAACATTCGAATTGATGATGATCGAATATAATCCATTTAGATACGTTCTTTACGAATGGATATATACCAATTTTTAAATTTATTTAATTAATTTTAAAAAATCACAAACAAAATATAAGAATGATGATGATGAACATTGATCATCATCATCATTGAATATATATAAATGAAAATTCGTTACTACAGCAAAAAAAAAGAAATGAGATAAAGGCAATTTTGAATCGGATGTGGATCCAATGATCGATAAAAAAAAGGCAGCATGTTTTTCTAGTAACCCTGTTTACAGACTTCAGGATCATTTGGATTGTAGAAATAATCATCATAGAAAATATTGAATAAAATGGCAACAGTCATGAATATGATGTAAACTGTTAATGAAAACCAAGCCAAAACCAATTCCCAACGTTTTGCTTTTAAATTCCGTAAAACATTGAATCCAACGAATAAACCGACTAATGCTCCGGCTAGATGTGCTGAATAACTGACACGATTACGTTGACTGGTTTTATAACGATCATATACAGCAACACTTATGTCAGTTGAAACGAAAACAATGATGGCCAATAGACGAGCCCAATTGAAATCCATTTCATCCCAATTCATAACGACATTGGCTAGATGTGCTGCCAATAAAGCATAAACACCACCGCTAGCACCAGCTAAAAATGTATTTGGATCCGAAAGTGAACTGGCAAGTGATCCTGCAATCACACCGGTTATGTAAACAATACCGATACGCCACCATTTATGTACCATTTCAAGCGGGATACCCAACACCAATTGGATTAATAAATTACTGAATAGATGATAAAATCCAGCATGAATGAACATGTAGGTGAAAAAACGCCAAATTTCATAACGTCGACAAGGATTATAGATTAGTACACTTTTCCATGGTACCGGTCCAGAAGTGGAAAATTCACCCAAAATAACACAATAATATATAAAAATGGCCACTTCAATGATACTGATGGTCAATACGAATATCGGTGGTGGCATACAATTATATTCATTCAAATAATTACGTATGACCGATTGTCGTTGTGATTTAGGTACAACAGCCACTGCTGCATATCTAACTAATCGATGTAGCCGTGATTGAATTTGTGTGTCTAATCGTGAATTGTAGATCTAAAAAAAACGAATTTTGAATGTGAAATGAAATTGAATTTCTTTGAATCATTAAAAAAAATGCCCATACCATATTGAGAAATTGTTGATAATTAATCAATCGATTATCATCTTCATTCTGTAATAATGATTCCAATACATCGACAGAAATATCTTCACTAAAATGATAATTACTTTCATGTAGAATACGTTTAAAATCACCTAAACGTATTTGGCCAGTTTGATGGCGATCAAATCGATCGAATACTGGTTTCCATATCTATTGAATTGATTGATTTTTAAAAAATTTTACAAGAGGAAAAAAATCCACTAATAACATACCCGATCCATTTGGATTCCAATTTGATTGGCATTTGATTTTGTTGAACTCATCGTTGATTTTAAAACATCAAAAAAACAATAAAAGATTTATAATTTAAAATTTTCAATAGAATCTTAAAGAATGATATGAAAAAAAACAAGACGAAATAATGATAGAATTGGCTAATGACTCATTGTTGAATGAATCGATTGACAATCATTATATTGTATGTACGCGATGCATTCATGCATGTGAGTCGAACAGATAGAGAGTATATACTGGTTTTTTTTAAATATTTTCTTGGTTGCTGGTTGATGACATCAAAAATTGAATTCTATCAAATGGCACGCCTATTTATTTACAAATTGAGGCCATATAATCTTGGAATTATCGACGAAACAAAAAAAAAAATTGTCGTGACGACCATTTACATGGAACTGATTCAACGATATTATTATCATATATATAGATAGTAATAGTAATTGTTGTATAATTAGCCACAGTTTTAGATTAGGTTATGTATTTGGCAATGAAATTCTTTGTAAAACAAAAAAAACAAAAAAAAAATTCTGGTAAACACCCAATATTCGTTCGATTCCAAATCAATTATATATTATATATTTGTTATAATTTGATTATGAAGGAATTGATTTTTTCACTTTCAAATAAATGCCATCGTAATTGACCTAGATTTTGGTGTTGATTTACAATCTTTTTGTTTTGTAATAACAAGATTTATAAAAATCAGGCGGTATCCACGGTTGTAACGTTGTTTATGATTAAATCAAAAAAAAAAAAAAAAAAAAATCTTTATTGTTCTTATTTTATTGACAAAACAATTTAACTGCGAAGTTAATTTCATTTGTTGGATTATCAATCATTTTTTTCATCACCATATTTTCGATTTTATTAATTCTGCTAAATTTGTGATTTTGAATTTTTTTGTTTTCATCAAAGAAATCATCATCTTATAATGTTTAAAAGCTCAACTTATCCGTTTGATAAAACGCTTGGTAAGTTTAAAAGTTTTTGGCTTTATTTTCAAAGTTTCATCGATTTTTCTGATTGATGTAGAAAAAGCTACTAGTCTTACAAATTTGGAACCTGATTGGACCAGTATAATGCAAATTTGTGATGCAATCCGTCAGAATGATGTCCAGTATGTTGGTTTTATTTTTATTTAGAAATTAAAATTTTTTCTTGATATTTTTTTTAGACCCAGATATGCATTGTCAGCAATCAAGAAAAAATTGAATGCAACCAATCCAAATGTGCAATTGATGGCTCTGAAAGTGTTGGAATCATGTGTTAAAAATTGTGGACCCGTATTGCATTTCGAATTGGCTACAAAAGAATTTATGGAAGAATTACATGCAATGTTACGAAACACTGCTGATGTTAAGGTTAAGAATGAAATTTTACGCATCGTACAAGCATGGGCACATGCATTTCGTAAAGAACCATCATTCAAAGCTGTCAGTGATCAAATGAGATTGATGAAAGCAGAAGGCTTTCAATTTCCAACATTGAAAGAAAGTGATGCAATGTTTTCCGCGGATGTAGCACCGGAATGGTCAGATGGTGAATGTTGTCATCGTTGTCGTACACAATTCTCCGTTATGAATCGTAAACATCATTGTCGTCATTGTGGACAGGTATTCTGTGCAAAATGTTCGGCAAAAACATCGACTATTCCAAAATTTGGTATTGAAAAAGAGGTCCGTGTTTGTGATCTTTGTTATGATAAAATTAACAAAAAAATCGAAATAAAAACGATGCCAATCAATGATTCGGCTGAAAATGTGGCTAAAGGATCAACGAATTCATCGAATCCAACAACACCAACCAAAACAAAAACTGAACAAGAAATCCAGGAGGAAGAAGAGCTGCAACTTGCATTGGCATTATCGAAAAGTGAAGCTGAAAGTCTTGAATATGAACGAATGCGACAATTTCGTAAATCAAGCACTTCGTCTGGAAACAATGGTCAATCAAATAAATCTCACAAGAAAAGTTCAAAATCATCAAAATTAAAAAGTAGTAAAAAATCCTCTTCATCGTCTTCATTGGCAGCGAAAACTGATCTGGATATTGAAAATGATGATCCAGAATTATCTCGTTATTTGAATCGAGAATATTGGGAACAGCGATCACAAAGTTTTGGTGAATATGAATCATCACCATCGCCCAGTGCTCCACAATCATCATTGAGTAATTCTTCTTCAGCTGTCAAAGTGGATAATGAATCAAAATTGGCTTCTCAAAATAAATTTGGCCTACAGTATGATGCTGAATTGGAAACTTTTATGAAAAATCTTCAATCAACAATTGAGATTTTTGTCAATCGGTTGCAATCGAATAAACTTCGTGGCCGCCCAATTACAAATGATAGTGGTGTACAAGCATTGTTTATGAATCTGACGGATATGCATTCACATTTGATGATGTATATGCAGCAGACAAGTGAAGACCGTTCTAATTGTGAACGATTACAGGATAAAATTCAACAGATCCGTGATGCACGTGCTGCATTGGATGCATTACGAGATGAACATCGTGAACAATTGAAACGTGCTGCAGCCGAAGCTGAACGTTTGCGTCAGCAACAAATGGCACAAAAATTGGATATAATGCGTAAACAGAAACAACAATATCTGCAATATCAACGTGAATTGGCCATTCAACGAATGCAAGAACACGAACGTGAATTAATGATGAGAACAGAATTGTTAAAATTTGGCACAAATCCGGCATCGATTGTACAATCACAACAGCTACCACAACAACCACCAATGCAATGGAATTCTGCAGCATCAACAATGGGTCAATATCATCAACTTCCTGGAACTTATTATCAACATCCAGAAAACCATAGTGTAAATTATCAGCCTACATCCAATCCACATGGCATGGTGGCTACTCAACCACAACCGGCACCACCACCACAAATGATGCCTCAGCCTCCCACACAATATCCGCCTACATCGACTGGTGGTCCAAATTCTATGATACCACAACAGCAATATTATTTGCCACAACCACAACATCAACCAGCTGCTTATATGCCGCCACAGCCTGCTCAACAACCACAATCTGTTGTACCAAACAATGGATATCCGCCGGCATCATATGGTGGTGGAATGCAAGCACCACCACCACCACCACCACAATCACATCATCCCGAACAGCAGCAACAGCAACAACAACAACCAGAACCAATTAAAGAGCCAGTAAAAGAAGAATTATTAATTAATTTCGATTAAATTGGACATGCATACTCATCAATAATTCGAACAGCACTTTTGTTTTTTATTGATTGATTAACGATATATATAATAATAATAAAATATTTGTAATAACTAAAAAAAAGTAGATTTATAATTATTGGTCTATTTATTGAATTTTCAATTTGAAATAATAAAATTTTTCATGCATAATCAAGAAAAAATGTTTTAAATCAATTTCTTTTGAATTAATTCGGAAATTCGATCCACATTATCGGTGATGAATGTCTGATGATTACCAGGGAATTTATGACATTCACATTTGCCAGTTATGGTCTATTTAAATTAAAAATAAAAATAAAAATAGTTTTAAAAAAATCTTAGACAAATTTGTTTGTTTGTTTTTTTTTTGATTTACCTTTGAACAGCCATAATCATCATCTAGTTCACCACTTTTAACTAATGTTTCTTCTGCACGTATCAACATTACGTTACCGGTGAATTTTTGTTCTGGTTTATATTCGGCCATCATTATTAATTTTGAGATGAAAGTTTCAATCGCTACCATTGTATCGGATATATCGGATGATTGAATCAAACCATTTTCGGCAAGAATTTCTGCAACTTTACGTAATTGTTGTTGTTTATCATTCATAGCCATTAGATGTTGTCGTAGTTGTTTTGAATCGATACGTGTCAATTGACCAAGTAAGAAAATCAATGATTCCGTTTGTTTCGAATGTTCATCATCATTCACATTGTATACACGATCACGATATGCATGAATAGTTGAACCAATATTAATTGGTGATGCATCCAACATTGTCAACGATACTTGTGATTGATTTGATTGCAATTTGAGTGCCAAATCGAATGCAATGATTGCACCGAATGAATAACCAACCAGATTGATGGTGGAACAATCATCAACGATGTCAGTGGTCAATCGAACAAAATAATCACTTGCCTGGTCAACGGAGCTGCAATCACGAAGGGCAGCAGTCCAATTCAGACCAAACACTGGATTCGAACATTTTTGAGCCAATTGTTTGAGCAATTCAAAATTTCCTTCAATTGGTGGCAGAAAGAAAATTGGACGACCTTTACCATTATCGTTTAATTTTATGAATTTTTCCGTCGGTAATTTCAAAACAGGCATAGATAATGCCATTACTTTTGAAGGTGTTGTATTGGTCGAACTTTTCACTTTAGAATCTTCTTTTGTTGCTTGATTTAGGCCACCAATTTCCATTAGATTTTTATGGTTAATGATCTTAATTCTTGAACCGAAAGAATCACTTCAAAATTTCTTTCGAGAAATTGTTTCACTTCAACAGCCATTAAGGAATCCATACCTAATTCCGATAACGAGGTATTTGGTGGCAGATTTTCCAATTGTTTAATGCCAAGAATATTTGCAATTGTTTTCAATATATCTTGTCCACTTCCAGCAGATGATGATGATGATTTTTCATTATTACGTTTTGCACGAACATGTGAACAATAGACAGCAACTTCTGTCATCTGTAAGAAACGATCCAAAACGCTCAAACATGATGGCATACGTTGTGGCAATGTACCACCAATCACAACATTATTACCACCCATTTGTTCGGAAACAACACCTACATCGCCAATTGCACCCCATTGAACAGCAAGACCATGTAGTCCTGAAGCACGACGAAGTTCACAAATACGTTCCATTGATGAATTAGCAAAACCATAATTCGTTTGACCAGCATTACCACGGCCACAACTGATTGATGAAAAGGTAACAAAATAATCTAATTCTGTACAAACTTTTCGACTAACAGCATCCAAAATTTGAGTTCCACGAACTTTAGAGGCACAAACTTTTTCAAATGATTCACCGGTTTGATTTTCGATAAAACCATCACTGAGAACCATTGCCAAATGGAAAATACCACCAATCGGTGCCATTGATGATGCTTCCTTGAATAATTGATTCACGCCATCCATGGTTACAATATTGGCTGTCGAAATATGGACTTTTACACCTGATAATTCAAATTGTTCAATACAATATCGTTGATATTGTTGTCGAACACCAGATCGTGAGACAAGAACTAGATTTCGTGCACCACGTTCAATTAGCCATCGAGCCAATTCAAGACCGAAACCACCAAGACCACCAGTAATGATATAACTTTTTGTTTCATATAGTACTGTACGAGCAATAGCCATTACTGGTTGTACAGTTGGTCTAACTGCTTTCAATTTTTCTTCTTGTCGTATTTTGATGACAACTTTTCCGATATGTTTACCGGTAGCCATAAAACGGAATGCCTGTTCTGTACTATCCATATCGAATAAATTCGATTTCAAAGGTCGTACAACACCGGTGGCAATTCCATCAAGGACTAATTTTGATACAGTTTTTTTATGTGCTTCAATCAATGGTGAAGAGCTATCACGATCCATTAGGGCATCCAAAAGAATTCCATGGAAAGCAATATTCTTCAAAAATGCAGCCATACCCAATGGATTATTTTGTGAAAGATCATATTTACCAATCTCCAAGAAACGACCATGTTGTGCAACACATCGTACACTTGCTTCAAGTTTTTCTTCGGCCAATGAATTCAATACCAAATCAACACCATAACCATTTGTTTGACGGAGAATATGCTGTTCGAATGATGTGTCACGCGAATTGGCGATATTTCGATCAGTTAATTGTGGAAATCGTTGTTTCAGATATTCTCGTTTTTCTTGTGAACCAACAGTTGTAAACACTGTACATCCCATACTAAGAGAAATAGCGATGGCAGCTTGACCAACACCACCACTACCGGAATGAATGAGTACAATTTCACCGGGTTCCAATTCACCACGTACAATCAATGCATAATAAGCAGTACTATAAACAACAGGCACAGTTGATGCTTGTTCCATTGTCCATTCATCAGGTATTGGCCATACAAAATCTTGATCTTGTATCAACACTGATGTAGCAAGACCTTTAGATGGCACCATACCCATAACACGAGCGCCTTGTTGATCACGGCCAGCAAATTCTAGACCAAGTATACAATCTTGAAGTGCAAGATCACCAGGTAATGCATCTGGTGGCAGTTTTCCCGTTGCCAACATTACATCACGGAAATTCAACGGAGCATAATATACGGTGTATAGATTGCCCATTGATTTTTGCATTGTTTGTGGTGATTGTCGCCAGAATTTATGTTGAGATTCATACCAATTAAGACTTGATAAATCACCACGAATAGCAACATTTAGATAGGCATGTTCGGTAGCAACTTTTGTATCCACATTATCCAATTCATAATGACGGAATGACCCGAATCGATTCTGACGATAAACATTCATAACTAAATCTTTTTTCAATATATTCGAATAGAAACCTTGAGTATCATCGAATGTTGAGAATTTAGGTAGTGTATGATCTTTGATGTCAGTATCTAAAATACAACGAATACGATCACCACCTGGTTCTTGTCGAAGACATTTAACTAGACCAACTACACCATTTGCTGGATTATCATTAGCGATTAACCAGATATTTTCACCAACATTTCGTTTCTGATATTCAACCATTTTAGTTTTCAATTCTTCAACCCATTTATCATAATTAGATGTAGTTACATGGATTACAGCCTGTCCATTTGCAGGAATTGGATGATCGATTTTTCGCCATAACAATACACAACTTGTCAAATCATCTGATCGTTCAGAGATCAATTCAAAGCCTAGTTTTTCAGCTTTTAATTTAAATTGATCAATATGATCGGCATATAAATTTTTGAGTTTTTTCAATGTTAACAACAAATTTTCAGCTGTTGTTGGTTTCGAACGGAAAATGGCCATAAGAAAACCACCATCTTTGATTGATTGATACATTGATTCTATCATTACCGAATAATCGATTGATTGATCAGCGAATGGAGATTGTAAATAGCTATCTTTGTAGATGATTAAATCCGTTGAATCTGATGCAATCGATAAACGTTCTTTTGGATTCCATGTTACTTGTTCGATTTCTTCAGATAATTCTTGAGGATTAGTAGTCAAAATGGTATAATCGACATTGATTGGATATCCAGAGGATTCTACTGATTGTTTTACTATCGAAATTAATGGTCGATTTGTTGGATTTACTTCAGCTATGTTTAATCGAGCTGTCATATGATTTTCAATGATGACATGTATCGGAACGTTGATGAAAGATTCATGGGCTGTCCATAAAGGATCAGATGTAAAATCAATCTGATTGATGATGTCATTGAAATTCTGACCCATTAATAATTGTCGAAGTATGGATAAAAGTGGATATTCATCCGAAGATTCCAAATAACTTTTGAGCAATGATTCTTCAATTTTTACTGGGAATTTTTCAACCGATGATAATTTCAAATGATCAATCAATTGATTCGATACAAACTTTAAGACATTATTGTATTCATTCAATTTCGAATGAATTTGTGGATCAAAAACATCCATTTGATTGTAGGCAGTGAAATGACATTTTTCCAGCATTGGAATCTGACTGTTGATTCGTCGTGGTGCTAAATTTACTTTCAATCCTTGAATTTCCAGACCAGGAGCAATGATTGAATTAATTCGATGATCATTAATGACCGTTAATACACCATCAGATTTTTCAACGGCTTCATAAAGAATTTTTGGATCACATCGAACGGATTGAAATCGAACTGGTAAGTAAAGACCACGATTATTTTGTCCCAATATTCCAACCTGTAACATATTATCGGCCAATACAATCCAATTGGAAAATTGAAGCCGACCTTCACGAGAATCAGCTTCGACAATTCCTTGAAAATTTTTTCCATAATCATAGCCACGTAATCGAAGTTCTTTATACACCTCTTTTCCCGTTAATCGAATCGTTTGACCAATTGGTTTTTCGGCCAGTACATCCTGTAATTTTACAGGGCTTCCTTCTGAAAGTTGAATTTTACCCGATACAACAATCATATCATTTTCACAGATTGTAAATTCACCACTACTTTCCATAAGATGGATTTCAAATTTAACTGGTGTTTCTTCATGTAAAATGGTTGCACGATGTAGGGAAACATTTTCAAATATAACTGGTGTTTGTTCACAAACTTGTCCCTTGAATTTAGCCAACATTTGCCATGCAATATAAAGATAACCGGTTGCTGGAAACAATATTCGGCCATCAATACAATGATCAGCATAGAATTTTTCGGAATTTTCATTCAAATCAATTTTAACCGAATGATCAGCTTTATTACTTGGATTGAAATATTCTGGATACAACAATACTAGCCATGATTGTGAATGATCCCATTTGATTAATGGACTTAATGATTGAATATTTCTTGATACTGGATATTCAATTTTCGGATACAATACGGTAATGTTTGGATTCAGACCAAGATTATACATTTTACCAGTTGAATTCAAAAATAACGATAATTGTTGATCATTATTGTTACGTTTCATTAATCCAAGATAGGAAATTTCTGAACCTAATGTTCGTTTGATAATTGGTTGCAACAATGAATGTGGAGCAATTTCAATGACAATAGCATTGGCTGGTATTTTCTGTACAACTTCATGAAACAATACCGGTGATGTAAGATTATTTACATAATATGATGCCGATGAATATTTGGCCATTTCATCATTCCAACGATCTTCTGGAAACGATGAACTAAGCCAACGTGATGATCGTAGTTTTGGATCCGGTATAATTGGTTCAAGTTTTTTCAACAAAGTTGGTGCAATTTGTTCCATAAAAAAACAATGGAATGCAACATTACAACTTTTAACTTCACGTGCAAATATATTTTCACTTTTCAATTGTTCAACAAATTTTTTAGTCTCATCATATTTGCCAGAAATGGTTACCGAATCTTGTGAATTGTGACAAGCAGGAACCACTCCGGATGGGCATCGAGATTTTGCTTCTTCCCATGTGAGGCCAACAGCTGCCATAAGACCTTTTGGTAGATTAGCCATCTCTACACAACGACCACGCCAATAAGCTGATAAAATCATCTGTTCATGTGTGAATGCTCCATCAGCATATGCACAACCAAGTTCTCCTACTGAATGTCCAACAATACCATCCGGTTCGATTCGTAATGCTCGAAGTAAATCGGTCAATGCAATTTGTACGGCTGCAATTGCAACAAATGGTGCTACAGTTGTATCAAGAACTTTTTCATCTTTGCTCAACAATATATTCATCAGATCAATATCTAATTTTTTCAGGATTTGAGCTGATTTTTCAATCGATTGTCGGAAAATATCGACTGTCATAAGACCTTGTGCCATCGATGTCCATTGGCTTCCCATACCAGAATATACGAACCAAACGGGTCGTTTTTCCTGAACTCTGCCTATCTCTCGTGGCAATGTTGTTTCTCCATCTGGATGTTTATCAGCAATCATAAATCCTCGAGAATTCATACCGGAATTTTCCTCTGTCATTGCTACGTCGTTGAGTAAGGCCAAAAATTCTGGATTCACTTTATCCGGATTTCGTTCGATGAAATCAAAAATATGATTAACACTTTCTTCATTACGGCCAGATACACAAATTAATCTTGGAATTTCTGTTACAATCGAAGATTTTATCGGATCCAATTCTTTGACATGTGGTTTCAACAACACATGGACATTAACACCACCAAAACCAAATGAATTAACGGCAACAATACCATCTTTGAATGGAGTGTTTTCGATCACTGGCTTAATTCTACCATCCATTAATTCTGGAATATTTGTATTTGGTGTTTTAAAATGTAAATTTGCTGGTATCATTTTATTCTGAAATGTGAGCAAAACTTTAGCCAATGAATTAAGGCCAGATGCTGGTTCAGCATGTCCAAGATTTGATTTAACTGATCCAATTAACAGTGGTTCTTTACGATGATCAGGACAGAATACTTGAGCAATAGCTTTGGTTTCGACTGGATCACCAACAGGTGTACCTGTTCCATGTGCTTCAACATATCGAACTTCAGCTGGATCAATACCTGCTTCTTCAACTGTTTCACGCATAATCGTCATTTGTGATCTCCATGATGGATATGTTACGCCTTCTGGTTTATTACCATCGGTATTTGTTTTGACATGTAACACCGTAGCATATACACGTTTTGCAGCCGTTTTTCGTTGTAAAAATATTACTGAACAACTTTCCGACCGGACATAACCATTGGCTGAATTATCCAGATGTTGACATTTACCATCCGATGATAACATATTCAATCTATTAAATTGTACAGATGTTACAGGACGAATACAAAGATTAGTACCACCAACAATTGCCTGATCACAATCATTTGTTTTCAATGCCGAAATAGCCTGATGTAAAGCCATAAAACTAGATGAACAAGCCGTATCCATTGTATAGCTAGGTCCTTGAAAATCGAATGTGAATGAAATTCGATTCGAAAACATTGATCGTGAACAACCGGTTAGTGCGTAGCCATTTGCACGTTCAACATCTTCAACAAGTGCCTCTTCAACTTCGGATGTTGATGAACCAATAAAAACACCGGTACGTGTACCACGTAATGTTTGTGGATTAATACCAGCATCAACTATTGCTTCATATGTTAATTCTAACAATATTCGTGCCTGTGGATCCATATTACGAGCTTGTTTACCGTGAATACCAAAAAATTGAGCATCTAATTTACTTAAATCTTTTAGCTTTCCATTTCGACCAGGTAGACCATAAAATCCTATAAAATAATAATAATTATATATTGAGACTAAGAACCAGTTTTTTTTCACATACCAACAGGCCAACGACGATCATCTTCGGTGACCATATCGACATTATTGTAAAGATTTTCTTTGAGCTCATCAATATTTTCCGATTCGGGAAAACGGCCAGATATACCGGAAATGACGATATCATCATCAATAAAATTTTGAAGAATTTTATGTGGCATCGTTTATTTGAAATGTTACGTTGTATTATTGAATTTTACAAAAGTACACTATGATGGAGACAACGAACAGTAACAACAAAAATAAAAAAAAAAAAATAAAAATAAATATCAACCGATTGATGTCAATGAAGAAAAAAAAATTGTTTCAAACTCAAGATTTTTTTTCGAATGTAAAAAAAATTGTGTAAATGAAACAAGGAAAATTTTCATCGGGTAAAAAAAAAGAGAGTATAAACAATATTGGAACACAATATCCAATTATTGTTGGCTCTCTTGATTATCACCGATTATTATTATTATCTGGTGTTGTATTGTGTCATTATTATTAACTGTCATTATCATCATCATTATTATTATTATTATTATGTGAACACAATTAAAAGATTGTATATTGCTGTATATGGCATTGATGCGTGAATTTCGTCAAGTCAAGTCAAGTCAATTCAATCCAATCAATCAATTATTACCATTGATTGGAGAATAGAAAATATGAAAAGAAAAATTTTCTCTGTTCATTTTTTTGGTGTTGCAATAATATTTCTTTTTTTCTGTAAAGAATTACTACGTTTTTTTTTCATCTGATGATTATTTAGGGCATATAATTTCAATCGTTTGTGCCATGCTTTTTCTATATATATATATTGATTATCGAAAATTGGTCCTTTTTTTTGACAAAGTTAATTATTATCATTATTATTATGAAATAAACTAAGAAATTATGCTTCAAACTATCTAAAATTTTCTAAAAAGGATCATTAGATATGGTTCACAAACATGATTTATTGATTTTGAAATGAAAAGAAAAAAGAAGAAGAAGAAAAAAAAATTGTCGCTTACCTGAACAAAAAAAAAAAATTGAGAAACAAAAACGAATAAATTATTGAATGATGGATAAATCAAATTGGATGTAAGAATTTTAATGGATGAAGAATTGCCGTATTTGTCCGGTTATTGTTGTTGTTGTTGTTGTTGGATGAATGTTAAAATGTGGTAGAAATGAATATATAAAAACGCGAATCGAATCTGATTGAAAAGAAAATTAAAAAAAATTTTCAAATACAATTGAATCAACTACGGTAATGACATATAATCATTATGGTCGAAAATCATTGATTTATATATGTAATAAAATAGAACTGAGCTATATCTATCTAGCTATAGCTAAAATGATTAGAATCAGAATTCGATATATACATACATTCAATGTGTGTGAAATGGATCCATCACCACCACCACCACCACCATAATCATCATCATCATCACAATTACATTACATCGTCGCATGATGCTTCCTGGCATCATTTTCATCATCATCATCATCATCAACATCAACATCAACATCAACCATCGTAACCGACACAAAATAATGAGAAAAAAATAAAAATCATACGATTCTCATCCAATTCACACGAATACTGCCATGATCATCGTCATTGTCATCATCAAAGGATCAATGTTGATGACAATCCGGGTTCGATTAAATGTTCTACTGTTATTCATTTATTCATATATACATATATAACTATAATACTATGGACTTTTAGTCCGAGATTCGTACGATGATTTGAATTTTATCCGAAAATAAGTTTGTTTTTTGTTTGTTTTTTTTTTGCTTTGATGTGTTCATCAAATATTTTGATTCGATGTGATTTTATTGATAATCGATAATATAAAAGATTTAAATCAATCGATATCAATTTTTTTTGTTATGGTTTTTAACATATATAAAAAAACGTACAAAATAGCTCGAATGATCATTCAGCATTGCACGTGAATTGGGAAATTTTTGTTTTTTTTCTACTGTTTTTTTTTCGCGCGCCACGCGAAAAAAAAATGACATTCAGTTTGTCATACGATTCATGATGATGATGGCTACTGACGATTTTAGTGGTGCCACTAATTGACGTCGATTTATAATGTATTACAAGATGATGATGACAATGTACACATACACACAGACACACAGACGACAAAAAAAATTTCAATTTTCACCTGATTGTATTTACAATGAAAAAAAAATTTTATTTTTCTCCAAAAATACTGGTCATTGGCCAATCATGAATATGATCAAATTCGATATTCGCAAATCAATAAGAGAAAAACAGAGAAAATGAAAATTAAAAAAAAATCTGAACCACCACAAAAAAATCAATGAAAATTATTGACAAAATAAATCCCGTATTAATTCAATCAAAAAAAAAATCGCCCGGGATCGAATTTAATCCCGAAAATTTACAATTTCAAGTTCGTGTCAAATATACACAAACAAACACATATATTCATTATAACCGACATGGTGAATTTCCACCAACCCCAGGTTTTTTTTTCATCCACCAGGAAATGGAATAGACAAAAACCAAACCAAAACAAACCAAAACAATGATTTCAATTACCGAAATATTGCCAAAAAGAACTGGCTAAATTTGAATTTTTCTTTTGCTTTCTGCATTTTTAAATGACATTGACGACAATGTGATATGATACATTGACTACGTATATTTTAATTCAAATGAATTTCAACATTTTTGTCGGTGCAATATATATGATAATATGGTGCATGACCACTGAATTACACATTTTTATTTTTTTGTTATTGCATATATGGAAAAAATTTATCGAAAAAAATGGCAAAAATTATTTCATAGGGTTTTTTTCAATTCAAAAAAAAAATCAATCAATCAAAATGAATAAAGGGCTTTTAATTTGTCCACATTCCAATCGACTTGATCACAGTTATTATGATGATAAATTGTAGTATTGAAATTTTTACATAAATGATCACCATTATGATGATGAAAACAATATTGATGTATGTACCAAATCTTATTGATCATTGATAGATGAATACCATTTTGAGGGAAAAATTCTGAATATTTTCCCATTATAAATGTGACCGATTGTTTGTTTGTTGTTGAATGGTTCAATCTAACCATATTGATATCATCATTATCGTTTGTATCAGTTGGAAGGATAAAAAATCTTCCCATACCAATGACAGAGTCGGTGGCTTCATTCATAATTAACAATTTCCATAATCCATTCATAATGGGATAATATGTTTGATTATTATGTCGATATAATATTCCAATTCGATCATTATCAGTTATTTTTGTATTGTTCAATAAAATACGATTTTCATTAGCAATACGATTCCATGGATCGATGAAAATGAAAAGAATATGGTATACACCAAAAAATGGTTGCCATTCATGCCATACTTCTAACGGTTGGTTTGATTCCAGAACACAATCCGTGTTACGAAAATATTCATCTTTTCATCGAATGAATTACAAATCTAGTAACAAATGAGGAAAAAGGATGAAATTTTTGAAAAAATTAATTAAAATCAACATACCTTTAGTGATTTTAATCTCGGCACAGATGATGAATCAAATATAATGGTTTGATTTGAAAATGATCGTAATATCATTTCAATTTTATAATTTTGAATAGATTCTTGAAATCGAACGATTGTACCATAGAATCCATTCGAATTGTCAAACAATAGATTTGTTTCAATTATTTCAATCTCACATTGATTATTGTAAATGTTTGAGCATAAAGAGTCAAGTAATTGACAAGCGAAAAATGTGAAAAAATTCCTGCGAAACCATGGTAAATGATTTGGTAAATCAAATCGAGAATGATAACTATTTTCAAGATATAAATCATAATTTTTGCCCAAATTATTTAGCCTGAAATTTTGATTCAAAAATCTTAGCTCAACAAAATCAATCACTTGTCCATCGATTAGTGGAGAAAATTTTCGACCAAAAAATAATGGCTTTTTTTCCGTAGCCATTAATCGTTGAATATCACCACGACTATTCGTTGGACTGCGAAGTCGAAATATGTTCGGTGAACATCCACACCAATCAACAATTTTTTTCTGCTGACATTTACAGCCACGTTTACGATTCCAATTGGTTGCCAATAAATTATTGGAAATTATGGTCGTACAAAAGGCAGTATTTCTTAAGACAATATGGAAAAAACTCTATAAATTTATAAAAAAAAAAAAAATATAAATGAAATCACTATTTTAACCGAAGAAAAAAAGAAATTTATACCTCAGCTGGAAGTAGTGAAAATTCAAAATAATTACGTAAACCATGGACTAGACTGGATCGTCGATTGTTCAATTCATTAGTTACATAACGGCAAAATGATTGACTTAATATCATCCAATCACTACCACCATCCCAAACAATACCTTTGATCAATGATCGATCTGCTATACGCCACATTCGTCGTTCACATTGTACAAATACTTTATTTAGTGCTTGTGTTTGAATAAAATCAAATGTATTTTTTCCATGTGATTTAATAAAATTCCGTTCACGATTCAGCGATAGATAGCGTTCTAATTGTTTAATTTTCCTAATGAAATAAAAAAAATTTTTTCCTTTGCATTGTAAATAATCTATTAGAAATTTATAATCATACTTGATTGGAAAACTAGATTCACTTAAATTCAGAATGAAATTCCAATCATTCCATTCGTTTAATGCTTCACGAATACAGGATAGAATTGCTGTCAAAAGACTTGAACCACCCCATATTGTATCGAATCTTTGTTGTGTTAATCGTATATTGGCTGGATATTTCCGTTGTAAATATTTAAGTTCAGCATATAGGTAATTATCATGCTAAATAAAAATTTTGAAAATTGAAAACATTACAATCGATATATAACGATTTGAAAAAAAGACATTGACATACAGCATCCACATGTATAAGGTAGTAATGATGATTATCGAAAATGTTCAACATTAATCTATTCACTTGAAGTGTTGAACGACCACTGAGCAGTAGAAGAAAGACTATTTTTGGCCTAGTGAAATTTTGTTCATGATCATCCGTTGTAATTAACGGTGGTAATTGGTGGTGGATTTCTAATATATATTAAATTAAATCACATGAAGATTGTTATTAGTAAATTGAATTGAAAACTTACTTTTAATACCGGTTGAAATGATAAATAAAAAATTAGATGGACATTTTGAATGTTTGACACATTGTAAATCACATTCTGTATGGTTTGTTTGATCAATGATTGATTGATAATTATTTGTACATATACAATATTGATTCGATACGAATAATGCAAATTCAAAATCAATTTGCATGCATAGATCCGTACAATCAGTATGATTGAATGGTTGTAGTGGATCTATACGTAAAATTTTATTCGATTTTTTATCCACAAAATGATTAAGAAATTCTGATCGAAATTCCATACAGGTAAATAGTTTGGAATTTGCGTGACATTCATTCTGTAATCTTGATGGCCATGATGGTTGAAATTTTATACTACAATAGGCAGCGATTAATTTTTGACGACAATCCAATGTTTGAACACGATTCAATGCACTAATTGCTTGTTTATCATCAATCTTACATCCATCATGAATATCAATGATCGAATGATGGCCAGAAATAGTTTCGTATTGGCTATAATTAAATAAAAATGTTGATAATAAAAGTAATAATAATTGTAAAAGAATTATGCAGATAATTAACGTGAATATTTGACGGAATGTCAATCGACGAAACATAATTCTTTCAATCAATGTTTCATGGAAGATTTGATTATTTGATTGAATCAAAAAAAAAAAAAAAAATTCGATACGTATCCGATGAACGGTTTGTTTATAGAATCGTCTTGTTTAGGTTTTTTTCGGAATGCGCATTTTTATTTACTGAATTTTAAAATTTTTATTCTTTCAATTCTGTCATCATTCTAATCATTTTAATCGAAATGTCAGTGGCCAGTGATTTTAGTTTTCAAGTAAATAAATCGATTTTTTCATTCATTCATTAATTTGATTGATTTTTATTTCTTTTTTTTAATGATTTACAGGTTGAATTTGCCGTTTTAATGAAATGTGATGCATGTCGTGTAAAAATTATTAACGAATTAAACAATTTATCTTCGGTTCAGATTGACGAAATAAGTGTGGCCAATCAACGTTTAGTTTTACGTTTGAATGAATCAAGTCCAAGTGCATTTGAAATACAAAATTTATTGGAAAAAAAATTACGATTAAATACAATTATTCGTGGTACTGGTGATTTTATAGCTGCCGTTGGTGAAATTCGTGGATCTGCAAATTATCCCAATGTTTTTGGTGTTGCCCGTTTTGTCCAGAATGAACATAAACAATGTCTCTTTGATGCTGTTATTGATGGATTCAAAGATTCATCATCATCATCATCATACAATGTTGGTATCCATGAATATGGTGATTTAAGCGATACTGATTTAAAATCAATTGGTTCCGAAGTTTTCAATATTGCCACCAATGTTCAACCAATTGATGGTCAATTGTTGGTGAAGAAAAAAATCGAAAATATCGATATATCAACAAAAATTGGCCAAAGTTTAGCCATAAGTAGTAATAACGTTAATGGTGATATTATTGCTGCCAGTGTTATTGCACGTGCTTCAAAAATATTGAATAATACCAAAAAAGTATGCGCTTGTAGTGGGAAAACATTGTGGGAAGAACGAGAAACCGAAAACCGAAAACATCTTTAAAAATCCGAAATCCGAAAATATTTTTAAAATTTTAAAAATAGTATCGATTGTTTCGGGTATCGATGAAGATCGATACTTTTGAACCAATCTATTATATTTGTTGTTATTAAACTTATAATATAAGTAGCGTATAATAAACATGTTCCAAAAAATAATGTTCTTTCGTCATGGAATTGTTGTTCGTCGATTTTTTGCCAGCAAAAAGTTTAAAATTGATCCAGAATTACTGCAAAAATTAACCGATAAAATTGATGAGGAAAAACCATTTGTTCATGTTCGTGTGGAAGATTTTTCCGAATTATTTCAACAAAATGGCCATGAAATGAATCGGATGAAAATTGAAAAAATAATCAACATTTATGATGGAATGAAATATAATCTGGATCCAGTGCCTAGTAAATTGACCGTTGAAGATGTTGAAAATCTTCTTCAATTGACGACATTAAGTGATATTCATCGACAGATACGTAAACTTCATCGAAAAGAATTACAACAGCTGTTGAAAGAAGAATTGAAAAAACAATTGAAAACAGAAATCAAACAGCCAGTAAAAGATGATAAAATTTCTGAAGATCGATCTGGTTTGTTTGATTCAGATGGCAATTTAACCTATGGCTTATGGCATAATTCATTGTTCACAAGAGTCAATCCAAAATTACGACGATTATCATTGGAAAAATTTCGTCATGCTCATTGTTTTGGCCAGAATCTATTCATTGATTGTAGTTATTCATCATTTTTATCACAACATTTAAGTGTACAAGTAGTCCATGATCTATCTCGTTTAATATATTTTAATCTAAGACAATTGAATGACCCATTCAAGATCATTATATGTGGTATTGATTATGACCATTATTTATGGAAATCATTACAACAATTATTTCCAGATATAATTGAATCAATTGAACATACAGAAAAAAATCTAATGTCATTAACAACCGATTCGAAACAGATTGCCTGTTTTACATCATTTGAAACAAAAACACCATTGGAATATAATCCAGATTGGTCATATGTATTGCCAGCAATACCAGAACGTTTAATGAATCGTGATATTATTACACCATTATTGAAAAAAATGAAAATTCAACGTATGGGTGTACCAATCGATCGTTATGTTATTTGGCAATCAGGATCAAAACGTCTTTCGTTACAGCAAAAAATTCAAATCCTTAATGATATACGTTCGAAAAATTTTGATTGGAAACGTTCGATAATTGATCATGTGCAACCGAAATCAGGCTTGAGATAAGATTTAGTTTTTTATTTTGATTTCAATAGTCCAAATCAACAGATGGCATTATATTTGCATCAAGTGTCACATGCATTCATGCCGATATATTATTGTGGACTTGACTTGTTTTCTCTCGCAACCATATTATACAGTGAAAAATTATACATCGATATTTTGATGATAAGAGGAAAAAAAATTAGTAAAAGAGAAAAAAAAATGAAGAAATCGTTATCAACCAAACAACCGAAATAGGTTGATTGTTTATTTTTTTATTTTTTTTAACGATATACATAATTATATCCATTCATATTGACTTTTTTCACCTCTAAAAATGAACATGAATGATTGGCCACTGTGTGTGTGTGTGTTTTGATTGAATGAGCATCGATTTCTTGTTCTTCATTTTAATGAACTTTTTTCCTTCGCCAATAATAACCTCAAAACGTCAGCGATTTTAAATCGATAATTTGATTATTTTTGTCAATCAATCAACGGCTTAAGAAGAAAATTTTTTTATTCCAAAAAAAATATGTCATTCATTCAGAAAAAAGCATTGATTAATATTTTAGTCCATTTTCGAAAATCAAATTCCAAATCCATATCATTTATAATTGATTCCATTCAAAAATCCATTAATCAATTATATGGATTAAATCGTTTCGTTGTTTATGGTGTAAATGAATCCGATATTCGAACGAATACACGTTTACTTTCGGCCAAAGCTTTATTGATCATAACAAGTAATGATGATGATAATGGTGACAATAATGAAACGAATCTTTTATCAACATGGATAAAATCAATTAATCTGGAAAAATTAATACTCAATTATGACGATTTATTGTCATCATCGAATTCGATGAATAATTTTAATCATGATTATTTTGTTGAAAAAATACGCGCCATTATTCCACCACCATCTACGATTATGGATTCAGAATTGAAATCATCACCAATCATAATGGATAATAGTAATGAAATGTTTTTGTTTGATTCAAGAAATAATCCGGTACATATGTGGACCAATTTATGTTCATTGAAAGTTAAAAAATTTCCCGGTCTGGATAAATTTCGTTCCGATTCACCACCACCAAATGATGATATAATCTATTATATTGATGGTAATCAAATTGATCAATTCTGTCTACAACAACAACAATCAAATGAAATTGTAAATTTCAATATTCAAAGTTATTTTGATAATCTTCGAACCGAATCGATTGGACGATCATTATTGTTTCAGAATGTAACCGAGACAACAATGAAGATGGCAAATAATGTTGGAAAAATCGATGGAATTATTGCTACGGCAAATTATCAAACAACCGGTCTTGGTCGTAGTGATAATCAATGGCTATCACCATTTGGTTGTGCAATGTTTACATTGAATTTACATGTACCATTTTCAAGTGGATTAATGTCGAAAATAACATTGATTCAGCATATTGCATCATTATCGATTGTTATGGCATTACCAAGTGAGGAATTGAATGTAAAGATTAAATGGCCCAACGATATATTATATATGGCATCCAGATCAAAATTGGCTGGTATTTTAGTGCGTTCATTTTCCTATGAATATCATCTTAATGTTCAGATTGGAATCGGTATGAATGTTTCGAATAGAATGCCTAGCGTTTGTTTGGATGAAGTGATTGAACATTACAATGAACAGCAACAAATGAATTCGGATCGAAAATTGAAGACAATTCCACGTGAAATTATGATTGCTCGTATTTTGAATTGTTTTGAACGTCTATATCGTATGTTAATGAATGGTCAAGTGGCTGAAATTAAACAACTTTATTGTTCCAATTGGATACATTCAGATGATATTGTTGATATTTATGACAATAAGAATGATGATGATGATGATGATAATCAAGAACAACCAAAATATAAAGCTCGTATAATCGGTATCAATGATAATGGTTATCTATTGGCACAAGATTTAAATAATGATATTATACATTGTTTACAACCGGATGGTAATCGTTTTGATCTAATGAATCGTCTTTTAATACAGAAAACATAATTTTTAATCTCAAACAACAGCTCAATGTCAATCAGCTAATGATTTGAATCATCACATTCGATAATAAATAAATAAATGATATTAATGCTGCTGCTAGCAACAATTTTGATTAAATAATAATAATCTGTGAAATGAAGAGAAATGATAAAATAGAAATAAAGACGACAACAGAAAAAAACAAGTTATTCAGTATTCAGATTTCAATGATGATCGTATGATGATGATGATGATGATGATCCATATCATGATCATTCGATGAGAGAGAGGTGTTGTTTTGCCTTAGTGTTTGCCAATGTGTTTGTGTGAAGGTCATCGGCAGATATTTTCTTCTATCCATTTTTTCACATCGCCATCATCAATGATCAAAAATTGAATAAGAAAAATCTACAAAGAACAAAAAAAATTCTAGAATCCATCGAATGACATTTTAATTTTTATTTTGGTTGTCGAAGAAATAATGATCAGATCAATTTTAGGCCGAATTCTTACGGCAACCATCAATAATTCAACGATTATAACAACAACGACGACAACAACATCAAGAACATTGTCTCATTTTGCATTCAAACCGGATACTGCAGCCGTTTCAGATGGTGATACAACACGTATGAATCTATTTCAGGCAATCAATAATGCCCTTGAAATTGCATTAGTTTCTGATCCAAAAGCCGTTATATTTGGTGAAGATGTATCCTTTGGTGGCGTGTTTCGTTGTACAGTAAATCTACAGGATAAATTCGGTAAAGATCGAATATTCAATACACCATTATGTGAACAAGGTATCGTTGGTTTTGGTATTGGTTTGGCTGCAGCTGGTGCTACGGCTATCGCTGAAATTCAATTTGCCGATTATATATTTCCGGCCTTTGATCAGATCGTAAATGAAGCAGCAAAATTCCGTTATCGATCTGGTAATCAATTTGATTGTGGTGGTTTAACGATTCGAACACCATGTGGAGCAGTTGGACATGGAGCTCTGTATCATTCTCAATCTGTTGAATCATATTTCGCTCATTGTCCTGGATTAAAAATTGTCATTCCCCGTGGACCAATACAAGCGAAAGGTTTACTGCTCAGCTGTATTCGTGATCAAAACCCATGTATATTTTTTGAACCGAAAATTCTTTATCGATTAGCCGTCGAACAAGTTCCTGTCAAAGATTATATGCTGCCATTATCAAAAGCAGAAGTTCTTGTTGAAGGTGATGATGTTACATTGATTGGTTGGGGTACACAAGTTCATGTATTGCATGAAGTTTGTGAAATGGCACGTGATCAATTGAATACTTCATGTGAATTAATTGATTTGGCCACAATAATGCCATGGGATCGTGAAACGGTTATTAATTCGGTGAAAAAAACTGGTCGTGCAATAGTAGCTCATGAAGCACCATTAACGGCCGGATTTGGTGCAGAAATTGCTGCCACATTACAGAAAGAATGTTTTCTTCATCTTGAAGCACCAATATTACGGGTTGCCGGTTATGATACACCATTTCCACATGTATTTGAACCATTCTATTTACCGGATAAATGGAAATGTCTTGAAGCCATTAGGAAAAGTATCAACTATTGAGAGAAACATTTGATGAATCTGTTGCATCATTTCAGGATCTAATTGTGGTACGCTTAATGCTTGTTTCCAATCAACATTGGTTTCAATTTCTGTTCCACATATCCATCTGTTATCCTATTATATATTTTTTTCCATTGTTTAATTTATGTTTTTGAAAAAAAAAGATTTAAATAAAATTAAAAATTGTAATTAATAGACATTCCAAAAATAAATTACCTCAATTTTAATTGGATTAATTGCTGCCATCCATATACCCATGGATACATCTTCACCTTGATAGGCATAAAGTCTATCAAAATTCATGGCTAACCATTCAATTAAATCATTGGTAATAATGTAACCAGATCCACATGCAAACCATGGATACCAAGGTGATGTCCAATCATTTTCCATCCATTTTCCATAATAATTAATTGGCCATTGTTTTCGAAAACTATAATTTCATGAGAATGGTTTTAATTTACTGATATACTGTTGAAAAATTGTAAAACTTACTTTCCAAACCAAGTACATTTGGAATCTGAATTTTCCATAATCAATCGAACAATTTCAGCAACATTTAAATAACAATCATCATCAGTTTTAAGAACATGTGTAATGTTTAATGGATTGTCATTGAACAGGTGATGAAAAAATTTCAACAATTTTTCTGACAGATTTCTATATACATCGATTAAATCGACAAATAGAATATCATCAAATGTTTTGGATTCATTCGATAATCGAAAGTCAAGATCAGCCATTTTTTGATGCCATACATAGCTATTATTATTGTTGTTGTTGTTGTTTGATTCAATGTTCGATACGAATTGCCATTCAAAATTCAATGCAAATCGATGTTGATTTCGATTGAATGATTCGGATTCATAATCATTCATATGGCCATCATATGACTGTGTATGAAATGAAAATGTTTAATTATAGATTAGTGGATAATTTTGATTACTTACCCGTAAGATTTCCATTGCACAATCATTGTCGGTTGATAATGGACCAAACGTTGCGTCCGAAACATTATTATGATCGATCATAAATATCAATATAGATCCAGCATCCAGTTGAATGTTAACGTTTTCATTATGAAAATCTTGATCTTCAAGATTTTCATTTTGTTTGATTTCAAATTCGAACAATTTTTCTTTGGTCAATGCATTCAATATTCGTACATTGACAATGTTCAAACGATGGATCAAAGATTGTCGAATTACAATTAGATTTACCAATATTTGACGATATATTTTGATGCTAAAACCTTTGAATAGACGATAACGATTTTTAGATCTGTATGTAATTTCAAATAACCATGATTTATTTGATAATGAATTACATTCGGACAATTCCGTACATCCATATAATGTTTTACGATTTAATGGATGAATATGACATGATCGAGAGCCAAGGATGAAATGAGCATCAATTTGAATTGAAATTTGATTAGATTTGAAATGTTCATTTAAAAATTTCACATTCTGTAACCAAGTTTGTCGAATAGCATGACGTTTTTCAAAATTTTCGCGCGCAGATAAAATGGCTATTTCCAAATGTAATGAATGTCCGGTTCTCGATAACAATTGATCATCATTTGAAATGATGATAATAAAATATGAAATGAATTTTTCCACAATTATAATAATTAAAATATTGAATATGAACAATGATTTTATGATCATAATTTAAAAAAAAACACCCGACTAGATTATTGTAAACAAAAATTGATGAACAAAAAGAAAAGAAAAGAAACTTGCAACATATGAATTTGTTAATACAATTATTTGACGCATGCGTTTTAAAATTAACCAATCAAATTAAATGAAAAAGTTCGATTTAAAACGTTCGTTTTTTCTGTTAACACACACAATACACATTCGGTTGTGATCACGCACATTTTCATTGACCATTTTTTTTCGGTTTTTTTTTTACTTCATTAACATCTAAATTTCAAATTCAGTGACACTGTTTTTCCACTGTTTTTATAAGATTTTTGTTTTTGTTTGAAAGAAAAATTAAAAATATTGTCAATCATCTCTGTTATTATTGTAATGGAAGATTATCAAAAAATTGAAAAAATTGGTGAAGGTACCTATGGCGTTGTGTATAAGGCTAAACATAAGCAAACCTCGGAATTGGTTGCATTGAAAAAGATACGTTTAGAAAATGAAGATGATGGTGTACCATCGACAGCCATACGTGAAGTGACCGTACTCAAAGAGCTCAATCATCCAAATATTGTTTGGTGAGTTTTATTGTCAAATTTGATTTCAAAATTATGATTGAATGGAAAATTTTTTTTCCACAGTCTAAAAAATGTTCTACTTCAAGAGAATCGTCTACATTTGGTATTTGAATTCTTATCAATGGATCTGAAAAAATATCTGGATTCACTACCAGCCAAACAGATGATGGATAAAAAATTGGTTAAAGTGAGTGTAATTGAGTCTCATCATTTTTTTTTCTATAATTTCAATTTATTCAAATTTAGAGCTATCTACAACAAATTACTGAAGGGTTGATATTTTGCCATTCTCGTCGTATTATTCATCGTGACCTTAAACCACAGAATCTTTTGTTGGACGATAATGGCCACATTAAAATTGCCGATTTCGGTCTTGCTCGTGCATTTGGTATTCCCGTTAGACAATATACTCATGAAGTGGTCACTTTATGGTATCGTGCACCTGAAGTTCTGCTTTGTAGTCAAAAATATTCCACGCCGGTCGATATATGGAGTGTTGCTTGCATTTTTGCTGAAATGATTACCAAAGTGCCATTGTTTCATGGTGATTCAGAGATAGATCAACTTTTCAGAATTTTTCGGTTAGTAATTCTTTTTATTATTTAATCATACAATTCTAACATTTATCGTTTCTGCATATAAAGAACACTTGGAACACCGGTGGAAGAAACGTGGCCAGGTATTACATCATTACCAGCATATAAATGTAATTTTCCAAAATGGAAAGATAACATTCTACAAACAGTCATCACTGATATTGATGATGATGCATTAGATTTACTCAATGCAATGTTAATCTATGATCCACAGAAACGTTTATCAGCCATAGTTGCTATCAATCATCCATACTTTAATGAAAAAAATTGAACCAGTTGAAACATGTAGGGAAAAATCATTCGAAAACTCATCATTTATAATTTTTTTTTATTCAAATTCATATCTTTCTGTGTTCAGTGTGTGGTGAGTGTGCCATTCATTCCAAAACGGTATTGATTCAATCATAACAATGATAGAATAACTATAGAGGAAAATATGTTTTTAAAAAATGTAATAAAATCTCTTTTAAAATTTTATTGTATGGTTGGTTGTTCGTTGGTTGCATGTGAAAATTTTGTTTTTGTTTGTTTTTCCAGTAGGCGAGGGGATTGTGCTTTCGATCCAAAACGAGAATTAATCCAGACATGATGATGATCATTCAAAAAGATTTCTGAGTACAAAATGAGACATTTTTAGCTTGTGTTGCCGTTGTATTACGTGGTTCAATCGATACGGTTTTAACTTCTGGTAAATAACCGGATTTTGCTGCCATTATTTCATAAAGGCCAGGTGTCAACAGGCGCCAATATTCACCATTTTTAGCTATTCATTTATTTAGGAAAATTAATTAATTTTAGTAATTTAGAATCACTGTAACTCTATCTATTACTTACTTGTACTAATATCATGATTGATAATCTGATTAACACCATCAGTGATATTCTGTACACGAATGATTGCATTATCGATTGGCATACCATTTTCATCTCTTACTAAACCTTTAGCACCAATATGTGCTTGATTGATAAATTCTAATAAAGCTTTTTTATTATCTTCCCATTCTTTTGATAATTGTGATTCTGGTGGATATTTATCGCAACCTAATTCCAATGTAATTTCGAATGTATTCGTAGCCAGATAATTAAAATCTTGCATACCACCAGCAACAGAATACCATGCAGCACCATTTGTAATACCACCCTGTTTGCCGAAATCTTCATCCTGATCACATGCTGTACCTGAATGTGACATTCGTCGATGATTTGTGGCATATGTACGTGCTAGATGGAGAAATGTTGTATCATCGGCCGATGGTGTATACGTATTCATACTACCATCAGGTGTTTCATCGAATGGATAATTAGCAACAAGAGCACCACCATGAAGATTTGCCGATAATACAAATGGATTGGATAATAACCATACAACGATAGCACGTGTTTCCGGTTGCATTTTATGATAAATCAATGTATTGATAAAATCATCTTTGTCACCATGACGAAAGGCAATCAAATCCAGATCAGGAAAATCACGATTAATATCAATACCATTTAGATTCGAACGACCCAATAACCAATCAGAACCATGATTTTGATCAAGATTTGCTGTAGCCAATTCCCAACCATCCGGATTCAGTGATGGTAATAAATGAATACGTGTATTGTTGACTAGATTCTGTATATCAACATTATTATTACGATATTCATTGCATAGATAATCGGCAAGACGAAGTAATAGTTCACGGCCTAAAACTTCATTACCATGCATATTGGCCACATATTTAAATTCAGGTTTCACTGATTTGAAAAGAGAAATGAAAAAAATAAAAATTGAAATGCATGAATCGTAAATAATCTGAAACTTACATAATTCATGTTCACCAGGATTCGTTGATATCTCAATCACAGTCAATGGCCAACCATTGACACTTTTTTCACTTAATTCATATAATCGTGTAATCGATGGACATTTATGATGAACATCTTGTAATGATTGATTCAATTCTTCATTACTATGATGTTTATATTCAAATGAACATATGGTTTGAATTGTTAATGCAAATATAAATGACCAGATGAATATGAATTTCATCATATTTGAATACATTTTATGTTTATAACAACAATAGCCAAAACAAACTAAAAATCAATCAATCAATTATTAAAAAATGATTTTTTTTCAAAATCAAACAAACAAAAAGATGACTACTAAGCAACAACAACAGCAACAATGATGATGACGGCCAAGGTTTTGTGATTTTTTTTTTGTTTCTCGAATAAGCGCCATCAAAACACAAAATTCACCACAAGAAAAAACTCAATTCACCAGAACTACTAACTTGCTGCTTTTTTTTTCTTTCTGGATCATCATTATTATTACTACCGAGAGACCAAATTTTATTATATAGATGCCCAAAAAAAAAAGAAAATGTGAATCTAAAAACTCGAAACCGAGATATGGAAAAAAAATTCAAATGTCATTTTGAGACTACACCGAATCATCTACACAAACTCATGAGTTCCAAATGACGTCAATAGATAATTTGATATATACTATCGACGTGTATGTGTGTGTGTGTTTCCTTTTCAAAAAAAAATCAAGCAGAAAGACGGGGCAATCATTTTATTTCGTACCTTCGTGATTTTGTATTTCTTTTTTCTATCTTTTTACTTTCTTATGAACAAAAAAAAAAAAATACAAGAATAATCGGGTAATCTCTATATACAAGAAAATAAAAATATCAACAAATTAATAACCGATGACGATCAACAAATAAAATTCTTGATGATCGATTACGAAATATCCGATCATAATTTCCAATAAGATTCCATTGTGTGGATTGTCCATTTCATATCGATTAATTTTATTTATCATCATCTTGATGATGATGATTATTCGATGATGATGATGACGATGATGAATTTGTATGTTTTGGATCATTATTGGTTACATCATTATTGCTTGAGGCATTTGATGGATGCTTTTTATGTTGATTTAAATTAATAGGGCCGGGATGATGATGATTTGGATGTGTTGTATTGTCATTATGATGTTTACTTTCCAATGCAAATGCTGGTATTTTACAATCAAACATTGTACCATCTTCACGTTCCATTTTAAAGATTCCCCTGTTAAGATTAAAAAAAAAAAATTTGAATTGGTATCAAAAATTAAAATTTAAAGTTGACATACCACATATGCCCACTTGGATCCTGTAAGCTAACATGACTACTATATTGAAAAGCAGGAAATTTTTTCGACAACACTGGTTCTTCACCAACAACCCCACGACCACGAATTGATTCCAATATTCCTGGTATACTATATATTTGCCAATGTCTTTCACGAAGTTGTACGGTTATATCACCGAGGTTTTCAATTCGAACACAATAACGCCACTGAAATAAGTGATAACCATTATTTAAATGAAATATGAAAACAAATAAATCATACCCAATAGACATTGTTATTCTGTGATAATCGACAACCCATATAGAATGGTATGACTGTAACACGAATATTTTCGGTTGTTTCACGATGAACATCAGATAATTCAAGCCATGGATGATTTTTCTCTTGCCATGCTAACAGTGTTTCTTTAGGCGCAAATGGTGGATCTTTATCAGGTTCAAAAGTAAGAAATTTTTCAAACAATTGATGTTGAATCAATGTTGATTCAGTACTCATATATGGGATAACATCATCGTGGGCGACATAATCCAATCCTGGTATTGCATACAAAGCTCTGGTATTATCATGATTACCTAGAAATGTAACAGCTTCTGTTTGGGCTTTCTGTATTAAGACGATGAACAAAAAAAAATCAAAATTATACTGAAATCTAAAAATAGGAATTTAAAAAATCAAAACCTACCACATACGGACAATCACGTTGATCAATTAAAACCTGATAATAGGTATGTGGTTTAGGCGTAACGCCATTCATTTTAAATTCATTTCGTTCATTGTGGGTTCTTGAATAATAGAAAAAAGAAAATATGAAAAAAAATGCATGAAAATCTTTCCATACACATACATTTGACTAGGTTGTTTTTTCCTATGATCACGGTCATAAACTTTAGCTGTCCATGGAAACAATGTAACACCACGATAACCGAATACTCGATGTAAAAAAAATTGACCAGTATCATATTTTTCATTAGAAATTTTTGGCGAAACGATTCGACCTATTTCGGCCAATCTGAATTGTTGTTGAAATGGAAACAGAAAAAAATTTGTAACTCAATGTGAACAGCGAAAAAAAAACAATTCGAAAAACAAACCGATAGTTTTGACAATTTCGAATTGAAACAGATAATAATGGACGGCACGATGAATGAAGAATCCATGGTGTATAACGCGAAAATGACATGATCTATAGAATTCTGAATTTCAAAAATCCACAACAGCAACAAAAAAAAATTCTGAATCAACCAAAAACAAAACAAAACAAAAATGCACACAAAATTCATGTGACTTTCGAGAACCGGCCATTCGCAGAATATGTTACCAATTGGTTGGAAATCAAAATTTATCAATTTTTTTTTTGCAATAAAAAGCACCACAAAAAATCAGATTATTTATTGATTATAAAATTTTAATTATTGGATTAGATATTCATTGTTTTTTCTTCAATGTATTGATTATCGCAATCAATTCGGATATCTCTTTACTCCTAAAAAAAATTCATAGGAAACAATTGGATTAGATATTGGTCAATGACAAAAACGAATTAGAATTACTTACTGTTTGGCTAGCATTTGTTTAATATTCTTTATTTGTATTGGCGATTGTAGTTGTGATTCTGGTGGACCATCATCATCATCATCATCATCATCATAGATTACTGATGATTGTTGTAATGAATATTTCTGTATCTGCATATCTTGATAACGACGTTTCTGGCGTATCAATTCAAATTGTTCACGATATTCATTCAAATGTTGTAATTCTTCTGTTAGTTGTTCACTTAATTTTAATTCAGCATTAGACATTTCTGGCCGCTGTTTCTGTACCAATGTAATTATATTTTCCAATCGTTCAGTCAGAAAATTTGTCATTTCCTGTATTTTGTCATATTTTTCGGTTAATTCTACATATTTTTTGAGCATTTCATCCTTTTCTTTGGAATGACGATCCAATTGATTTAGCTGGAATATAAATAAAAAAAAATTCAAATCAAAAAAAAAGTTTACAGTTGAAATAACGACAACAAACCTGTACTTCGATTTCGTTGTTTAAAACTGTTTTACGTTTATTAATAGCTTTTGCTGCCACCAGATATTTATCCAGATATTCAATACGTAATACATCAATTGAATTCAGTAACATTTCCAATTCAGCCATACCGACTTTTGAATCGGTTTTTGATGATTTTATCAACGGCAAACTAGTCGTTTTAGACAATAATCGTTGTATGTGTTCAGAAAAATTTGGTTTCTTCGCCTGTTGCTGATGTTCAATTGTTGGTGATGATTCATTCAAATTACTTTGAAAGCCAAATTCAATTTGATCATCGTCATCAAAATCGGTTAATACAATATTCGATAGACGTTTATTAATCAATTCACCCGTATTCAATATGACGGTAATAGATGTGAAACCATATTTAATGGTTAAGCCTATGCCAAGTGGAAAAGTCGGACAATCTTTTGATTGTTGTTGCGATTTTCGATCATCAATAGTTGGCCGTGTACATATCAAATATTCGACAATAGCTTTATCATCATAAAATTCATTGTTAATAGTTGGATTGACTATTTGTTTGAAAAATGGTACCATCACACAATGAACACCATATGAATGTTGACAATAATATCGTTGACCATCTTTTGGATCGGCTATCAAATTCAATGCTGTACTAATTGAATCTACACCAGCATCATCAAGACCATTATCCATTGTTTGATATGTTGCCAATGGAAATGATAATTCAATCGTTTCAAATACATTCAATACTGTTTCCGGTATGATAATCATCGATTTAGATGTTGATATTTGGTATGAGGAATCATTATCACAGTTATCATCATCATCATCATTATTATCAGGATTAACGGGATCATTTTCAATCGCTAAACAATGATATAAAAGACCGGAACAAGTACCAATAATGATAATAGGTGGTACACAATCCAAACAAAGTATAGAACATGCTTCTGAACCATAATTATCTTCAGCAGCTGGACGCATTTTCAATGGTGGATGTTGACAATGAAATGTGGATAAATCTTTAAGATTTAGATATAGTAATAAAACATCACCATTTTCTTTTAGTACAAATATCGAATAAATATCAATCAATTCTGTCATTGTCATCGATAGGCTATTATTATAGTCATGGTATTGTGATAGTGATGGACCAAAATCAAATGAAACAGCATTTTCACCTAATGCACCAGAATAAACGCCAGAATTATAATCATTACCAAGATCAACAGTTTTAATCGGTTCAAATTCATTGAAAACATCGAATAATCTAAGACGATTATCATTGGTTAATATAATTAAATGTCTTTTAGATATTGGATGCCATCGTAAACATTGTAATTTTAAATTACGATTCGTTAGAAACATTCTTTCGGCCAATGAAAATGATCTACAAGAGAGAAAAGAAAAAATTTATTTATTAGTCACATTGCAACATCATCAACTAGTCATACAAAACACACACACACACGCTAAACATTTTGGTGATAATAATCATTGAAAATTGAAGATTCGAACCCATCATCGTCATCATCATCATCGTCATCATCATCACAATAATCATCAACTGTTAATGGCTATAATTATGATAAAAGCATATGGACATTATCGACCACCTCGAATCGGTAAATTGGTTTCCATCATCGTAATCGCAATAATAATAACAAACAAAACATTTCTCTTTCTCTCTCTTTTATTTGTTTGCTATAGATTTCATTCTTGATCACGATCATCGAATTGGGATGAATGAATTTCAATGATCCGGTCTCTTGCTTTTACTTTCTATCTCTATCTCTATCACTATATATATATGAGTACCATTATTATTAACGGCCAGCCAGAAAAAATCCAGTCAACCAATTCATAATCATCATTGATAAACAACCAGACACACACACACACACACACACAAACATAATGAATGCCAATGGGATAAATTAGTTTCATTTAAAAATTGGCTTGAAATTGCAATGAGAAAACAGGAAAACGAAAAAAAAAATTCCATATATCAGACATATGCCATCTAATAAATTATGGAAAAAAATTATATCCAAAAAAAAAAAAAAACCCAAACACACCATCGAAACGAACGAACAAGAAAAAAAAATCGAATCGACAATGAACAATTCAGGTATACATACATACATTTAATACACCTAGAACCGATTTTTTTCTCAATATATACCCCCCAGGTTATCTACCAGATATATATATCTGTCGGCCATTCAGCCATATCATATTTTTTTTTGTTGCTATCTGGGTTATATTATTAATAATCGGCTGAGAGAACAGAATAAAACAAAGCAAAAAATTAATCAAAAGAATAGCAAATCTCTCTGCGTTTGTGTATGTGTATGTGTATTGATGATCCATAGAAATAGAAAAAAAAATTCTAAATGACTATCCATGATGATCAATTATTAAAATCGAATGTTTTTGTTATGAATCTCAATCTTTCGAATCTAATCTATTGAATGGCATCTATCCATATTTTTTGTTGTTGTTGTTGTTATTTATTCGGCAACAAAATAACCATAAATCGAACACATAAAAAAAACTGTTTCGAAAAAATATTGCCCGGCAATGGATTTTTCGTACATTCTGTTTGTAGTTTGTTACAATTGAAATTCCAGAACCACAAACAATCGAATTCGAATCAACAAAAAGAAAAAGAACGTGACTTTTTTTCACGCTTCTATTGTCTGTATGTATATATATTATGTATTTATTGAACATGCACACACACACACACATTCACAATCATCATCATTGGGCTTACCTGATCAATAATTTGGAAGTCTCTTGTCGGTGTCGTTGTTGTTGTTGGTCCGAATCAACGGTAATCGATGTGGCGGCTGTAGACATTATTGTTTTTGGTGCTACTGTTCTACAACGAGACAAAGACCAATTTTTTGGCAATTCAACAATCATACAACCACCGGTACCATAAATGGCCATATAATTTTCCATTGGATTTGAACATATCCAATTGACAGTAAATGTTGGCAATGATGACAATGTAACGATCTATGAATTTTGAGACAAAAAAAAAGAAAAAGAAAAAACAAAGATAAATAGTGAGAGGAGGGGGTAAGATGATGATATTGATTATATAATTTTGAATTTTCATTGAAAAGAGAGAGAGAGAGAGAGGGAAATCATTCGATCGATTAAGATCAAAAAAAAAAAAAATTAATTGACTATAAATATATGATGACAATGGCACATACGACGACTGCTGCTGCTTACTCATTAGCACCATTTGTGTGTGTGTGTGTGTTGGTTATATGACAATAAATTCATTTTCAACATCGATAATTGTTGTTTGAATAAAATCGAAAATTAGTGCGAAAGACGGAGAGGGGGTGGGGGTAAATATATATGGTGTGTGGGAACAGGACAAGTCAAATAGACAGTCAATAAGTCAGTCAGTCACACACACACATAATGAATTTCAAGTTTTTTTTTTTTTTTTTGGTTCCAAGAATCGATACATATGTGTGTGACACATTGAACTATGAGATAGATAGAGAGAGAAAAAAAAGAATCGAGAAATTCAAATGGTCGATGAATGAGAATTTGCCAGTGAGTGTTTGATTCATTTTCACTCTCAATTGTTCTCTCATTGGATCGATCGATTACAATTCGAATTTGACAATTAAAATCATTAATATAGCTGCCCATTAATTTGCTTGGGAAAAAAACCCAAACCAGTCACAATAGTAATGACATCGTACCTAAAAAAAAGTATCACTTTTTTCATTCTACTAATTCTCATCTCTTTTTTTGTCTATTTGAAACCAGAATCGATGAAAATAAAAACCAACGATGGAGAATATATCGAATCAAAATTCGAATGGCAATAAAAACAACAACAACAACAACAATCAACAAAGAATCTCGTTTACTCTATGCAAATAAAATTGACAATAATAACAATAATAATGATAATATTGAGAGTTTTTTCTTCAAAACTAAAAAAAAAATTAGACTTTTTCGTTTTCGGTTCCAATAAATCAAAAGCAAATATTGAAACAAAATAAATCGATCGATTTTCGAAATGAAAATAGGGAATAAAGAATAAAAAAAATCGGTCAACACACACACAGATTGTGTGTGTGTGTTGAATGTCATTCGTGTGTGTTTTTTTATTCTGTATTTTCGATTCCTTATCTATCCCTTGTACAAACACACGCAATAAATTCGATTTTCAACAAAAAAAATGAGAGATAGAGAAACTTGCAATACTAATAACAGAATTATCGGAAGAATAAAAAAAAATTCTATAATTTTTCAGTATTTTTTTCATGCAAAAAAGATAAAATTAGCAGACAACAAAAAAAATTTGGTAATAATGTGGTGGATGAATAAAACCAGCTCGATGATCACTGCTGATAATATGATCTGAACGGTTTTTTTTTATATTCTGTACTGCATATTGTTTAGGTTGCATGTCATTCGTTTGTTTCTGTTTTCTTTATTTTTGTTGCATTCGTGATCAGCAAACAACATATATATATATTGATTGAAATTAAATTCAAATTCAAATATAAAATACGACCTGATATGTGTGTTTTCGATCCCCATTTTCAATATTTATGCCCCTCTTGGAAATTGTTTTTTGTTGTTGTTGTTGGCATTAAACGCGTTCGAAAACTATAAAATTTTTTTTTTTTTTTGTTTTCATTCGGAGATCTTTGTCAATTGTTTTTTTTACGGTGTTTGATTAGTTTTTTTTCATATTTTGTTTTTATTTAGTTTTGGTTGTTCTCATTCTTTTTTTTTGGAGGAAGTTCAACTGAACTCTATATGTTTGGTTGATTGATTGATTGATTGATAATGAAGAGTAAAAGTAATCATTTTTTTTTGTTTGACTATATAGTTTTTGTTTGATCGATTAATAATAATTCTATATATGGATGAAATTTTATGCTTTAAAACAAAAATGAGAATCAGCTTCAATCAGAATCGTGATTGGATTCTGTAAAGATTTTTCGTGATGATGATGATGATGATAATGGATCCAGAATAATTATTACATCATTTTCATGATCCATAATTATCGCCATTATCATTATCGAAAGAATTTATTTATAAATTATTTATATATAAATGAATTTTGTGGTAAATATGACAAACACGCCAATTGATTGATTGATTGGTGGTCGATAAGGCACGAGAAAAAAAGGAAAGAATATTCGAAATTTAAACTAACCTGAATATCTGTAATATTATAACGATCATCTAATGAACATTCATATAGACATTGATCATCTTCATTCCAAACAATTAATCGATCATGATAATAACAGGATAGATTGGCCACAATATTACGATCAAATTTTTGTTTTTTAATCGATTCCACAAGCTTTTCCAATTGATTGTTTTCCGTTGATGATGCTATTGGAATTTTCAAGAATTTTTTATATATGAATTAATTCGATTGAATATTCATGATTACCTTGAGCCATCGTCGTTTCAGCTATGGATTTAATCGTTTTTGTTATTTTTGGAGAAAAAAAACGAATAAAAACCAAAATGCCGCTTTTTTTTCGATTTTTTTTCAATCACACATAATAATAAACACCACATGTGAGCCAACAACAACAACAACAAAAAAAACTATTTCGACCATTCGATCAAAAGGTGGCGGTAGCTGTCCATTATAATTTATCATTCGAAATTGAAAACAAAACAAAAAAAAAAATCATCAAAAGAAATCAATAATTGAAAGAAAATAAATTACAAATCCATGCCGTCATTATAATGATGATGATGATGATGATGAAAAATTAATTTTCATTTTCATCCAAAAAAAACTATCAATTTGTGTGTGTGTGTGTGTGTGTCATTTGATATGATGATGATGATGATGATAGTGAATGGTTTCTTGCCATTCAATTAGGATAAAAGCTGGTGGTTGTTTTGCTAGAAAAAAAATCTATCTATCAATTTTCAATTTTCAAAATATTAGATTAGATTAGATACAATTTTTCCATCATCCAAATAGGAACAGGATTAATTAATTTAAAATGAAGAGATTGGGATGAGAAAAAATTCAATTTCAATCTTTTTTTTTTTTCAATATTGAAAAATTGAATTTATCCCTTTCATTTCAGTAATTCAGCAAAATTTAAATTTCTGTCTATAATCGTCATACGAAAAATGATGACGATCATCATAAAATATTCAACAACAACAACAACAACAACTGTAGATTGGAAATCTCTCTTTTTTGGGGATTCTGTAGATTTAATGGGAAAATTTTTCATTTCATTTCGTTTCTCCATAAATTCACATGACATCAGACAGAGATTTTTTTTTTTGGCCGCTTCAACACCTTTTTTTTGTCCGGATCGAACCATTTATAATCATTAACCATATATATATGTCCAGAAAGGACATTTCATTTATGAATGAACGTTCATCATCATTATCGATAGATATATTTTTTTTGTTGTCGGTCGGTCGGTCGGATATTTAACCAACGCCCGAAACAAAATGTCAATAATTCCATGATCGATCATTATTTCAAGTTGGTGAAAAAAAAACCATCAAATTGTGAAAAAATGAAAATTTTTTTGCATTGAAATTGGTCTAAACATGATTGCATTTTGCAATTTGCTTGCAATTGTTTTTGACATTTTCAATTTCATCCGATGATGATAATAATGATGATGACCATTTAATTTTATCAATTTTGTTTTGTTTTTTTTTTTTTCGCAATATCTGAATATCTTATTCAATCATCAAGTATATTATGGTTGACTAAATCATAAAAAAAAATAATTCCATCATACACACAATCAAGCCCGTAAGCAGCATGTATGTGAAGTGAACAACAACAACAAACACAGCAAAGAAATGATCAAATTAAGTGGCCAGTTTGTCAGTTCTGTCTGTGTGTGTGTGTGTGTATCATGTGTTCGTGAATACATTAAAGGCCAATTTTGAATCAAAGATCAGAATTATTCACCGGAATCAAAAACAAAACAAAACCAAAAAAAAAATATAGAATTTCCAACAGAACATATAAGCGGGTATATATATCGGTAAATATTTTTTTTTATCTGGCATCAATTTTTTTTCTGTGTTCTATTCCATTCTGTTGTTGTTGTTGTTGTCGTTGTCGTCGTCGTTTTTTTTTCGGACAAATAATTTACCCGAAAGTAAAAAAAAAAATTAAATCAGCAAAAGCAGAACTGCCGTTGTTGTTGTTGTTGTTGTTGCTGACTAATTTTACACTTGAATTGAATTGATATGATCTAATATGTGTGTATGTTGAGAATGAATCTTAAATTGAATAAAATAGAAAAATATGGAAATTGCTTTTCAACCGTATGTGATGATGATGATGACCAACAGAATATATAAAAAAAAAAAAATTTGTTTGACACTAACAACAGCAACAACAACAACAAATGATTTGTTTTTGTGAAATTACAAAAAAAAAATTTTTTTTTTGTTTGTCTCAATCACACTTTCATCGGTGTTTGTAAACGACAAATGCACACACACACACACACACTAGACTGGACACTAGGCGAAAAAAAAATTAACGGATCATTAGACCAAATGAAAATGATCATAGTGATGATCAATGAAAACAAAAAAAAAATTCTTGATTATGATTATATACTGTGTGTGTGTTTGTCTGTCTGTGTTTCAATAATTGGATTTATCTATGAGAAGAAAAGAAATTTGAAATTCTTTGTTCAAAAAAAAAATTCACCGATTCTTTGCTGTTCATATATCGATATATCAGAAACAGCGGGTGTTTCGTATTCTTTTTTTGTTGTTGTTGTTGTTGTTGTGTGAAGTGAGTGTGATAATAACAAAATAACAGAAAAATTCTGTAAAAATGGAGAAAAACAAGAATCATCAACTTGAATTCAACTCAACTCGACTCGATGATCATGATGATGATGATAATAATCGAACAGAAGAAGAAAAAAAAAGTGTTTCGATATTATTACAAGTATAAATTGTATCGATAATGGTGAAATATTTGCAATATATACAATCATCATCATCATCATCCTGATCCGGATCATGATGATGATGATGATGATGATGGTGATGATGATAATTGAAAAGATCATTTTATATTTTTATCATCATTTACACAAAATACATTTAGTGTGATTGTGTGTGTGTGTGTGAACATTTGTGTTCAATTCTTGTTGTTTTGGATCGGTTATTGTCGATTGTTGATCGCGGGATCCCGATGTTTGTTATTATCGACAATCGACTGTTTTTGTTGTTGTTGTTGTTGTTGTTGTTGTGTGTTTGTTTGTGTATATAGTAATTGTTCAATTGATTTACAGTTGTTCTTGTTTTTTTTTTTTTTTTCGCAATAATCAATTTCTGTAAGTACATTTAAAGGCAATGATGATGATGTTTTTTCTTGTTGTTGTTGTTCAGGGCTCACACATTGATGTTGTGTGTGTGTGTGAGTGTTAATGATAATTGTTTTCAAACACAAACACAAACACAAAAAAAAACACACAGGAATTGATTCATTTTTTTTTTCTCGTTTCTAGTTGATTGTTTAATTCTGAATTCTTAAGATTTTTTGTTGTTGTTGTTGTTTCAAATTGTTGTTGTTGTTGTTATTTTGTTTGATTGAGAAATTATTGTTATTACTATTTCTCAACAACAATAATCAAACGGAATCAGTCGATTTATTGTATAAGAAAAAATTTTTTTTTTTTCGTTGTTGTTGTTGTTGTTGTTTCTTGATTGTTTCAATTTACATTGATCATTATAATGATGATGATGATTGTCCATCAATTTGATTTTTTTTTCTGGTAAAAATCGTGAGAGAGAGAAAGAAGGAGAAACACTAAAAATCGACGGACCATTAGTCTTTGTGTTTTTTTGCATTTGTTCGGAAATTCCATTCGAATCGTTTTTTTTGTTTTTTGTTTTTTTGATTCGAAATTTTCTTCGGGTCGATCGTTCCAATTGTAATTGTTGATGAATGAAATTTCGTCATTGTTGTTGTTGTTGTTGCGGTTGTTGTTAATCATGACAATTCATGCATAATAATGTCATCATTAAGGTTTCATCAGCAGCACAAAAAAAATGAATTCAAGGATCAAGTCGGGTTTTTTTTTGACTGATACGAAATCGGAATCATAAATGAATTCATAATAATGATGATGATAATACGGGAAAAAAAGAAGAAGAAAATTGTAACAATTTCTGAAAATTTTTTTCATACTCGCCTGATAATGATGATGATGATGATGATGATACCGTGTGAATACAATTAATAACAACAACAACAACAACGAAAGTCAGTTGGAATCGAAATGCAAAAAAAAGTCTAATTATACCTGAGTGAATACAAATTATTTGAATTGCCCCCACTATATGTACACACACACACACGATGACCGTTCGAACGAATGAAAAACAAAACATTCGAACCGTAGAAAAGTTTTGACATTTTTTTTCGTTTTCGTTTTTGGTTTTTCGTTTTTGGTTTCCAGAAGATATTATGAGATATAATGGCCATTATCATCATCATTATCGATAGCACATTAAAGTGATATAATATAGTGACCAAAATCCAAAACCATCAAAAAGTGAAAGAATTATTTCGAGAATCGTTTTTTCTTTTTCTTTTTTTTTTTTGGTCGAATATGAATATTCAAAACGGATGTATGAGTCATTGATATATATGCATGTAATATATTCATTTTGTGTTCATGTTCGATGATTTTGAACCCCACCACCACCATCACCCCAAGTCAAGAGACAGAAACAAAAAAAAACGATTCTGCAACATTAACCATATTGTTTCATTTTGACGTTAATTATCTCTCTCTCTTTTTTGATAATTTTAATCAATTTAGCTCAATTTTTTTTCTCTTTTTCTAGATACATCCGATTTCGAATATGTGATCAAATGATTTTTCATTTATTCATTTTCTTTTGATTAATTAATTGGATTAATTGGATCAGTTATGGTGATTTTTGTTTTGTTTTTCTTCGTGGTTCTGGTTGAATGATCCCAATATGGCCATCATCATCATCATCATCATCATCATCATATCATCGAAAACAAAAAACCATTGGATTGCAAATGCAAAACTAAAACTAAAAAAAAAAAAAATGAATAGATGTCATTTTCTCATCTCTCAGAATGATTTACCGAATCGATAATCGAATTCTGTCAAACAAAAAAAAAAAAAAAAGAACGGAGAGAACTTTTTTTGTTTCCAACCGATTTTCAAACTATTACCCAACAAAACGAAACGAAACGAGTGGTGTATTCAAGCAAAAATTAAAACGAAAAAAAAATATGGAAATAGGGATACTATTTACTTATTGTACCCAATGCTATAACCACCCCATACATGGCCATTATCATCATAATAGCCATTCATTTATTTATTCATCATTCAAACATTCGAATGTTTTGTTGTGTGTGGAACATATTCATATTTCATTCAAATGTTATTATCGTTTTTTTTGTTGTTGTTTTCAGTTTTCTGTTTTCTCTGATTTGTTTTGATGATCATGATGATGATAATGATTTGTTCCAT